GAAATTTTGGAACAAGATGGAGATAGACTGAAATTGCAGAGTTTTGAAAAATTAAAAACAAAGTGCGAGACTGGCTTCATTATTTTCAGATAATGGAGGCATTTAAATTGGACAAGAAAATTGGCTTCCAGGTGGAAAAATCAAAATTAGAAACTGAACTGCTAGAACCCAAAACTAAGAATTTGTCAAGAATGTATAACTTGCTGCTGAAATGGAACACTCAGGATGAAACGGTAAAATCGGCTATGATTAAATGGGCACAAGACGTTGGACATAACATTATGTTTGCTGACTGGGAACAGTTGTGGACCACAGGTATGAAATTTACGGCATGTAATGCCTTAAGAGAGAATATTATGAAAATGATATACAGGTGGTACATAACCCCAGTCAAGCTTGCAAAAATCTATCATTTGCCCGATAATAAATGTTGGAAATGTAAAGAAACTGAAGGTACATTTTTTCACCTTTGGTGGACGTGCCCAAAGATTAAGGCTTTCTGGGAAATGATATATAATGAATTAAAAAGGTATTCAAATATACCTTCCCTAAGAAACCAGAGGCCTTTCTCCTGGGCATGGTCGGCCAAATGGTGATAAAAAGGATAGAACTTTCTTTATGTATGCAACAACAGCAGCAAGAATACTCATCGCAAAGTATTGGAAGACACAAGAACTTCCCACGCTGGAGGAATGGCAGATGAAACTGATGGACTATATGGAACTGGCGGAAATGACTGGCAGAATCCGTGACCAGGGAGAAGAGTCGGTGGAGGAAGATTGGAAGAAATTCAAAGATTATCTACAGAAACACTGCAAAATTAAAGAATGCTAGAGTGATGTTGGATTGAAAATAAGTGGTTTCCAGCTGTACAGGATTTAAAGTTATAGATAGACTAAGATTAAAGATTAGGATTAAAGAAGTTTAAGGAAATGGAAATTTGGTATTTAAGAGGTAAAATTTTAATGCTATATTACATTAAGATTAAAGATTGGGATTAAAAAAGTGGAAAAGAAATTGCTGGACAAACAATTTGGACTGGAACACAAAAGAGGGAGGTACGAGGAGGTCCAGAAAATAAGTAAATTTAAAAACGGAAATGAAAAGGTGATATTGTTTTTAATTGTTCTGTTTCTTTTTTTTGTTTGTTTTTTGTTCTCTGTGTTTTGTTTTGTTTTTTTCTTCTTTGGATTATGTATTGTGTATTTGTGTACTTCTTTTTTATGTTTTTATGTTTAATCTTTTACTGAAATCTTAATAAAAATCATTAAAAAAAAAAAAAGAAATAGTGCTTCAGGTTAAGAACTTTGTTTCAGGATAAGAACAGAAATCGTGCTCTGGTGGTACAGCGGCAGCAGGAGGCCCTATTAGCTAAAGTGGTGCTTCAGGTCAAGATCAGTTTCAGGTTAAGTACAGACCTCCAGAACGAATAAAGTACTTAACCTGAGGTACCACTGTATGGACCATAAAGAAGGCTGATCGCCGAAGAATTGATGCTTTTGAACTGTGGTGCTGGAGGAGACTCTTGAGAGTCCCATGGACTGAAAGAAGATCAAACGTATCCATTCTTGAGGAAATCAGCCCTGAGTGCTCACTGGAAGGACAGATCGTGAAGCTGAGGCTCCAATACTTTGGCCACCTCATGAGAAGAGAAGACTCCCTGGAAAAGACCCTGATGTTGGGAAAGATTGAGGGCACAAGAAGAAGGGGACGACAGAGGACAAGATGGTTAGACAGCGTTCTCAAAGCTACAAACATGAGTCTGACCAAACTGCGGGAGGCAGTGGAAGATAGGAGTGCCTGGCGTGCTCTGGTCCATGGGGTCACGAGGAGTCGGACACGACTAAACGACTAAACAACAACAACCACCACTGTACTTGCATTTTGCAACATGCAACAATGTTCCGCAAGAAGAATGCCACTAAGTGACTTACGGGAGCTTTACATTGGATACAGCCTTTACATTTTTAAAATGTACTTATTGTCAAAGCCACCTAAGGGGCACTCCACCTTGATGAAAGAGGCCTGGCCTGCTCTAGCTGGTGCAGCAGTGGCTAAGAAAAAGAGCTGCAGACCAAGAAGTTATCCATTCAAATCCTGCCTCTTCCATTAACTCACCTCTTGATCTTATGCAAGCAGAAGACTCTCAGCCCCACCCCACCCCCACCCCCAATGAGGAGGCTGTAATACTCTGCTGAAAGAATTAGTAGTAGCAGCAGCTGTGGTAGTATTTTATTTATTTTATTTATGAAGCATTTCCAATGAAGCATCTTGAAATGATTTCACAATACAATAAAAATATCCATAAAACAACTGCATATATAAATGCACACACAAATCCATTATGCAGTAGATACATTACTATAAGATAATGTATGTGAAACACTGAATATTCAGAGTTATATAAATGTGGAATATTATTACAGTGGTACCTCGTTCTGGAGGTCTGTTCTTAACCTGAAACTGTTCTTAACCTGAAGCACCACTTTAGCTAATGGGGCCTCCTGCTGCTGCCGCGCCGCCGGAGCACAATTTCTGTTCTCATCCTGTAGCAAAGTTTTTAACCTGAGGTACTATTTCTGGGTTAGCGGAGTCTGTAACCTGAAGCCTTTGTAACCTGAAGCATCTGTAACCCGAGGTACCACTGTACTCTTAACACATTCACAGCACAATCCTATGCATATTTATTGAGAAGTAAGCCAAGGGGACTTACTGCCAGGTAAGCTTGAAGAGCCCCTCTTACCTAACCCCACTTAACTGGAATTAAGTGCCACTGAATTACCATAACACTGTACTTCTGAGCAGACATGGTTAGGGTTGCAATGTCAATAAAGGTAAATGCATGGTTAGACAGAAGGAACTGCTCACTCTCAAGCAGAGGAACGCAGGATTGCTTGCAGACCTGAGGCAGTGCACTGACTGGTAAAAATGCACAGGATTGGCCTGCGGGGAGGTGATTAAACACTTTTAGAAAGCTTCCCCAATGCCAGAATCAAATGTTTGACATCCAGTTGACATCTATGCCAGGTGCATTTCACTTCAAAATTACAAGAAGGATTTGCAGGGGAGACGCGGAGAGCAAGGTGGGTGCTTAGTCCTTCCCCTCCTGGCCACTATTGCCCTGAAGCCCCAGAGGGAGGAGCACACCTCAGGAATATTGCAAGGGCAGCAGGAGGGAAATGGTCCAATACCCCTTGGCAGGGGAGAGGAGCACCTGGGATTTCCAGATGTGCAGAAATCAGAATATTATTCCCGTGGGAAAGGAAAGCTTAGCTTTCTAGCAAGAGTGAGGGTGGCATCTAGTGGTCCAGAAATAAAATCCACCTCGCCATCTCCAGGTAGCCTTTTGGATAGTTGCTTTGAAGAAGCATTCCATTTTTAAAAATCATGTCAGTATATTATCCAAATGAGTAATAAAGAAATCAGGGTTTGTTTCTCTGAAAAATGTTCTTTAGCCTTCAGGCAGAATACAGCTTGTGAAAAAGAACTAGCAGAAGCTGTGAAATGGAGCCTTATAGGAGGATTTTGCCACTGATGTTCTTGTTAGAGGTGAACTGTTATCCCTTTGCTTTCACAGCTTTTCCTACTACTGGGAGGGGAAATAGCAATCTTCAGGCAAAAATTATGCTTCTGCATAATTGCATAACGAACTTCTGCAAATATAAGGCAAAACCTAGGGAACCTCAATCCTGGGGACCAAATGCACTCCCCCCCCCCCTCCAGCCTCTCTATTGGCCGATCCAAACCTCTGCTTGTCCCACCGCTTTCACCCAGGGAAACCTGCTCTTTGGGGCTGAAGAGTGGGTTTTCCCTGGGAAAGTGGCGGGACAAGCGGAAAACCACTTGGACCCAGTGGCTAGGAAGGGGGGTGCAGGCCACCCCAGGTGTCATCAGTGAGGAGGGTGACAAAAAATAGCCCCGGCACCCACCGCACGCCCCTTCCTACGCCACTGCAGGCGCACTCTCCCCTCGCGTGATTTCCAGAAACCAGAAGCATTCCTGTCTCCAACTTTGCAGGCAGAGCACAGCCTTTATGGCTAGTAGCCTTTGACTGCCCTCTCCTCCATGAATCTGCCTAAGCTGCCTCCTCCTCTCCGTCTCCCTCGCCTGCTCACTTTGGCACAGTAAGTCTCTGCGGAGGAAAACTGCTTCTCTCCGCAGGAACCAGGAGAGTCCCTGCGCGGCCAGCCGGGCAGAGAGCGAGGCTGCCCCCGGAGCCAGGAGGGGCGGCAGGGATCTTCCTGCCAGGTTTCAGCCGCCTGGAAAACCTTCCAAGGCTTGATTGGGTTGAAATGGGCTGAGACTGCTTGGGACGGGTTTCCATGAGGGCTGCTTTTCTGGTATTGTCGGGGGCGGTGTGGGAGTGAGTTAATACCTTTGGTGGGTCTGGGTTGCTCTGGGTTTTATGACTGCAAGGTGGAAGCCGCCTTTGGAGGCTCGTTGCCCTAAAAAGTGACTTTTAAATCTCTGCAATAAGCCAGAAACCCACCCATTTCTTCCCCTCTCCATAAGCGGGCTGCATTCCTCTCCCTGGCTCCTATGGGAGGGAGCAAGAGCAATGGGGGGAGGGCTCTGGGAATGTTTGGAGGTCCACACTTAGGTGATCATGAAGGCACAGGGGTAGCTAGGTGAGGCGGGGGGCACTGGGTGCCACACCGTGGGGCTTGCGTCTGCCCACCGCCTCAGCCACCCTACGGCTGAGACTCGCCCTGCCCCCGTGGGCGGCTCATTCCACCTCCGGCTGCAGCGCATGTGTGCCACCCCGGGCACCTGACCAGCTAGCTACACTGCTGCTTGGGCCCATGTTTTGCAGGCATGGGACTAGCAGCAGCAGCAGCAGGTGTGTGGATGAGCCCTGTGTGGCCTCCCAAACCCTTCACAGGCTGCCCCTCCTCTCCCAGACCAGACCCTCTCCAGCTCTGCTCCATCCCCTCCTTGAGTGCTTTTGCCAGGCTGAAATGTGTCCCAGAACCCTGATGCTGATGGTAATCAAACTCAACTTACTTGCTTTATTTATTTATTTAAATTTTATTTGTTCATTAAATTTATATCCCATCCTTCCTCCTGAAGGCATTCAAGGTAGAAAACACCAAGCAACAAAGTAATAAAAATAATAAAAACATATTTAAAACAGTTCCAATACAGATGCAGACTGGGAAAGATCTCTCTTTGACACACTTCTTGGAACAACGCCTGTTGCTTGCCTAGATGGGGGTGTAAGCAGAAACCTCTGACTTTTGCATGGCTGGTAAGTAGCCTGTTCTATAAAGGGAAGAGTCACAACAATTGCCTCAACCACATCCACCTCTGGCCCTGCCCACCCCTAAGATGCTGTCCCCATGGGCATGTGAACCTGACAAGCGCACTGTGGCACCACCGGGCTGGAGTTCACGCCCAGGCACTTGCCAAGGCCAAAGGACATCCCAAAGGACCCAACGTCAAGGCAGTGTAGGGTGGCAAAGAGTGCCCTTAACCCAATCATGCCTCAGGTATTTGCCCCACCAGATCTTAACTTGTCTTTCCTGCCCAAAATGAAAGCCAACTAAACCAGTCCAGAACACCAATCCAAAAACAGGACTCCCAGCAGAATGGCGTCAGCAAAAAAAGAGGAGTGAGTCCCCAGGCCAACTGGGGGCTTACGAAAAAAATCCTATTCAGCCCCCAAGCAGGGTGTAAGGGAAGGGTGGGTCCACATCTGGAAGGCCACAGGTTCTTGAGGGAGGCATGCATGCACACCATACATTAAAAGCACTATGATACCACTTTAAACAGTCTTGGCTTCACCCCCAAGAATTCTGGGAGCTGTAGTTCATTAAGGGCACTGAGTGCTGTTATGATAGGGTTGCCAACTTTCTGTGGGCAATCTTCCAAAGCTCAACAACTTTCCCCAAAAAAGCTCAAAAACCTTTTGTGTCCGATTTATGGCAACCCTGTTATGAGATCCCCCTATTACGCCTCTGGAGCTACAATTTCCAGAGTGGTTTAACAATCAATTCCTCTTCACAGGGAACTCTGAAACTGTAGCTCTGTGGGCCAAAACAGGAATCTCCTAATAACCCGAATTCTCTGGGGGAAGCCAAGACTGTTTATGGCCTATTCCTGACTGAAGCTGAGAGATCAAGGACACTCGTCCATGGCCACTGGCTTTATAGTTAGTGTGGACATAGACATCAAGCCAGAATTTCCACATCTGTAGCTAACATTCGATCCATGGCTCTACTCAAGATCTCTCTTTCTTTGGCACTGCATAAATTGCTTGCACATTCTCTCCAGGTTGCATTCCAGGATCGGATTTGCTCTCTGGTAAAGAATAGAGACTATCTGGGTTCACACCAGGACTCATCGCGAGTGAATACACAACTTCATTCCCATCTATGTCATTGCGGCTGGAAACGGCATATGGGGAGCCTGTAAGGGGAAAAGGGGGAAAGACTCAGATGAGTTTTCAATCCTATCCTACAAAGTTATGTCAAGGGATTTTTAAGATGGAAAGTTCAACTATCTTATTTTTAAAGGGGGACCTGAAAATAATGGATGCACCACTTTAGAACCAAGCTATGCACCTACAACTAACATATGGCAAAGTCCTTTCGAAATTCTACCATTTTATACTAAAGGTAAGGAAATGGTTTTGTATGTTACTTTTATTTTATTTTCCTATTTATTTTATATTTAATTTTAATTTTATTTATCCAAGGATCCAAGGATCATAGGGCAGTTTACAATATCTTTCTTTTCCAGTGTTACATTCAAAATTTCTGTGTTGAACGAATTGGATAAATAATAATAATAATAATAATGCGAGTCCTACTCAGCGTAGCCCCAATAAACTGAATAAACCTACCGGTAAGTTAGTCATGCTCATTAACTTCAGCAGGTCTACTCTAAGTAGGACAAACATTAGATCCTACCCTATGTACTGTGTTCTGTGTGATGTTGATCTATGTCTGCTGTTGTGTGTTTTTTAAAAATAAAAAGAGTTGTGTGGATTCCCTGCACATAGAAACCAAGCACATCAGGGGGAAATGTCCTAGCCAAATGCTCTCCTTGTGAGTCAGCTTTCTCCATGCATGGATCTTTTATTAGCCTGGCCAGCATGCAGAAATATGAACCCAGACATGATTCAGCTACAGTGATTCCTTGACCCATCATTCAGTTAAGCCATTCTAGAGAAGAACTGATTGAAAGCTTATTAGAATCAAAAAGGGTGAACTGCAATATAATGGTGTCGTGTAGCCTTGTCTCCTGTTCCTGGTTCAGGATTCTGGTTACTCAGTCGTGCCATCCTTCAGGATATTGTATGTTCTTGTATGTTTCACCACCTGAATTTAATATGTGAAATGCCCTCGATCAGGTGTGGGGAACCTTTGGCCCTCCAAATGTTGTTGACCTACAACTCTCTCCATGTAAGAGAGAGACTTTCTGCAGGCAATGGCTTTTCCACCTGTTGCCCCACCCTCTAGCTCCCTGCCTCCTCTTGCTCCCTGCCTCCTCTCGCTCCCTGCCTCCAGCCTTTCCCAGACCATGACTTTGAGAACAGCAGAAGCAGCTGGCATGGGAGGAGTTGTGTGTCCTTGTTTGTCAAAGATTTTGTGTGTTTTGTGGTATTTTATGCATTATGGTTTGCTGTTATTTTTCACTGGGCTACAATTTTTTACTTTTTGAATGTTGTCTAGATTTCTACAACTGATTTAGGGTATTTTTGCACTGCTGAATCAGGAAATGGCATCTGTTTCTCTCCATCAGGTCAGGTTTACTATAAACTGAATGGTGGGCATTGATAAAGGTAAGTACACGTAAATTGCATGTTGCTTCACCATTTTTCAAACTTCAGGGCTTGAACTTCCGTTTCTTGGAACTCCTGGAATGCTCAGCGGCAGGGAGGTCTCTCTTCAGAGTCCAACAGTAGTCAGCCATCATGACTGTGTCCCAGCGACCCTGATACCTGGTCTCCATCTCTTTCATGTCCTGATGGAATCTCTCCCCATGCTCGTCACTCATTGAACCCAGGTTCTCAGGAAACCGGTCCATATGTGAAAATAGGTAGTGCATCTTGACGCTCATGTTGCAGCCCAGGTTTCTGAAAGCAGTCAGCATGTTGTTGACAAGTTCTGCGTAGTTTCTGGCCTTATTGTTGCCAAGAAAGTTCTTCACTACCAGAACAAATGCCTTCCATGCTTCCAGTTCCACTTCGTTCGTTTGAGAGTCAGTGTGGTGTAGTGGTTAAGAGCGGTGGACTCATAATCTGGTGAACCAGGTTTGCGTCTCCAGTCCTCCACATGCAGCTGCTGGGTGACCTTGGGCTAGTCACACTTCTCTGAAGTCTCTCAGCCTCACTCACCTCACAGAGTGTTTGTTGTGGGGGAGGAAGGGAAAGGAGAATGTTAGCCATTTTGAGACTCCTTCAGGTAGTGATAAAGCGGGATATCAAATCCAAATTCTTCTTCTTCTTCTTCTTCTTCTTCTTCTTCTTCTTCTTCTTCTTCGTTCATTGAGTTTCCGAACTCTGGATCTCTGACGAGCTGACGGATCTGAGGACCGTCAAAGATGCCAGCTTTCAACTTCTCCATGGTCAATCCTGGAAAAGCCTGGCACAAGTAAGTGAAGCAGTCACCATCCTTGTCCAGAGCCTTGGTGAACTGCTTGATTAAGCCGAGCTTGATATGCAGCGGTGGGAAGAGTATTCTGTCTCTGTCCACCAGAGGGTCGTTGATGACGTTCCTTTCTTTGCAAGGCACCAATTCCTCCCGCACAGGCCAGTCCTTCTTCGTGTAATGCTGAGCACGGTCCCTACTATCCCAAATGCACAGAAAACATGGGTACTTGGTGAAGCCAGACTGTTGTCCCAACAAAAAGTTCACCATCTTTAGGTCAACACAAATAAACCACTTATGCTGATCATAACCAATTTTCTCCAGCACATACTTCACCGCTTCATAGTTCTCCTTCAGTGTACTTGAGTGAGCCAGGGGTATAGAGGCAAACTGGTTGCCATTGTGTAGCAGAACACATTTCAGTGATCACTTGCTGCTGTCAATGAACAGTCTCCAATCTTTGGGTTCGTACTGTGGCACTCCAAGCTTGAGCAGAAGCTGCACAATATCTGCACAGTACACCAAGTCCTTCTCTTCCGAGAAAAAATGGAGGTACTCTTGATGCCTGTTGCGGAAGAAGCTGATGCGAGCACTGTCAGAGAGGAGGTTTTTTTCCTTCAATCTGGATGCCAACAGTTCGGCAGAGTCCTTCGACAAGCTGAGGTCGTGAACTAGATCATTCAACTCCTTCTGGGAAAATGGATGTGGAGCATCATCTTCAAGAACCACTTCTTCTTCATGTCCTTCAACACTGGAGGCATCTTCGTCACTAATGTCAGGAAGTTCTCCGAAGATAGGCACTGGAATTTCATCACAATGAGCTACAGGACGATGTGCTGATTGAAGATTAGGATACTTGAGGCTGCTCCGGTTCTTTCTGTTGATCCCAGCCGCACCAATTTATGGAAGATTTCGAGGTTTTATGACTTCAAACTGATCCCTTTTCGACATAATCACCCAGAACTATCAGACCTGAATACTTCTTGTCATTAAAATAATCATTTCCAATCAAAACAATTATTCGACATGGCATTTCACCCCCACCAACTTCTTCTAAAATGCTCCACACAAGCGTACATGTGAACAAAAACATAAAAAAGACATGTGGCCATAGCTCAAAAACTTGACCTGATTGAGCAAAACCAATGTGATTTTTGGATTCAGCGCATCAAATTCGTCCTAAATCAACTGAAAAAACGCAGACAACAAATTTGTTGTTGACCAGTGTTATAGATTACATTTATTACAATAAAGAATTACTAAACAGTTTAATTATTATTTGATGTTTGATTTTGCTGTTTACTATTGAATTTTATTGGATTGTTGAATTTTGCTTTATTTGATGTAGGTTGTTTATTTTAAAGATATTGTGACTATTTATATAGGATCAGATTGTTACTATTAATGTTTGATGTTTTATTATTGTGATTATTCTTTGTGTTGGAAACCGCCTAGAGTGGCTGGGCAAGTCAGCCAGATGAGCGGGGTATAAATAAATAAAAATTATATAATAGTATTATCATCAACATCCTTGGCCATTGGCCCTGCTTGCTGGGGCAGATGGGAGTTTAGTTCAGCAAACATCTGGAGGTGCAAAACATCTGTCCCAGATGTACAGTCAGAAAGTGCAGACCTGCACAGCATGTCATTTCTAATGCCTGCACACAACATGCCTTTGACACCATCGATCATAACATCCTTCTGGGCAGTCCAGAGGAGCTGAGAGCTCGAGGCACTGTCATACAGTGGTTCTGCTCTTTCATATCAGAACCAGTGAAGGCAGTGAAGGTCCTGTGTGAATGTCTGGAGGCGGTTGGAGGATTGATGAGAGCTAACAGATTGAGGTTGAATCCTGACAAGACAGAAGTTCTGTTTTGGGGGGACAGGAGGCAGGCAGGTGTGGAGGACTCCCTGATCCTGAATGAGGCAACTGTGCCCCTGAAGGACCAGGTGCGCAGCCTGGGAGTCATTCTGGACTCACAGCTGTCCATGGAGGTGCAGGTTAATTCTGTGTCCAGGGCAGCTGTCTACCAGCTCCATCTGGTACGCAGGCTGAGACCCTACCTGCCCGCAGACTGTCTTGCCAGAGTGGTGCATGCTCTGGTTATTTCCCGCTTGGACTACTGCAATGCGCTCTACGTGGGGCTGCCTTTGAAGGTGACCTGGAAACTACAACTAATTCAGAATGCGGCAGCCAGACTGGTGACTGGGAGCAGTCGCCGAGACCACATAACACCAATCTTGAAAGACCTACATTGGCTCCCAGTACATTTCTGAGCACAATTCAAAGTGTTGGTGCTTTAAAGCCCTAAATGGCCTCAGCCCAGTAGACCTGAAGGAGCATCTCCATCCCCATCGTTCTGCCCGGAAACTGAGGTCCAGCTCCGAGGGCCTTCTGGCGGTTCCCTCACTGCGAGAAGCCAAGTTACATGGAACCAGACAGAGGGCCTTCTCAATAGTGGCGCCCGCCCTGTGGAACGCCCTCCCATCAGATGTCAAAGAGCTAAACAACTATCTGACATTTAGAAGACATCTGAAGACAGCCCTGTTTAGGGAAGTTTTTAATGACTGATGTTTTAATGTATTTGTAATCTTTGTTGGAAGCCGCCCAGATTGGCCGGGGAAACCCAGCAAGATGAGCAGGGTACAAATAAATTTATTATTATTATTATTATTATTATTATTATTATTATTATTATTATTTTGAACCTCTGCTAGACCCTTCCCTGCTGCTCCAAACTGAAATGGTCACTGTCATTCTTGAGGGCCTCTTAAGGATTTTTATTACCCCAGTGCAGTCTGGAAATATGGCTGACCCCCACACAAAAGGAAAGAGTCCCCCACAGAATGAGATGCGAATGAAGCTCTAGAATCCTAAGGTGGTAAAATGAACCACCACCTTCCCATTACAGCAGCTGAGAGATCATATTTGTGAATGTTTCCCTGCATCTAGACAACTAGCATGGCAGGGAGCAGGGGTGCCAACTTGAATAAAATATGGGGGGCAGGTAAGCCCTACCTTGCATAATCAATCACATGGCACAGCACACACACACCATTTAAATGGCACTACCCATCAACGGGGGGGGGGGAGCCCCTTCAAAATATTTTTGGGAGGGCGAAAGGACCTTGACCCCTCAGAGTTGGCTCCTATGGCAGAAAGTGCACCTTTCTCTCCAACAAGCAAGATTTTTTCTTGCATGGCGTCTTTGCATTCGCCGACCTAGTCTCCTTTCCTAACCTGCTCAAGTTCTATGCAGAATTTTAATTGCATGAATGCTAACTATCTGAATTCACACTTAATGATTCGTGTCCACTAAATGTGACACATGTAACATCCTCTAAGGAATATGTGTTGGACATTTGCCTATATCTCTTACATGAGACACCACTTATAACATTATTCAAAAGGGGGCTTGTGCTTACAGTCTTCTTCCATTTCAGTTGTGGTCTGATCCCTAAATAGAAGAGATAAATTTAGAGTCATTTTTATGGTCTGGAAGGGAGAGAAGCACCAGCAGAATTCTTTATATTGTTTGACATGTAGTACCTTTGTTGCGATTCATATGCCTTTCCTGTCAAACAAAAAATATATGCATTATTAAGTAGCAGTTTAAAATGCTTTTGCAAATCACACAGTCACCTTTGATTCCACCTTATAATATGTTCTTCTTTCATTACCTTTAGACTTTTTCTTCCAGCAAAGGAACAATATTATCCCACTAATCAGAACAATTCCTCCTACCACTCCCAGTGAGATCTGTAGCTCTTTTGTAAAAGTAGACCCTGAAAAGAGATTCCAATATGATATGGTATCAGGTGGAGGAAAAGAAACATGGCAGCCTCAGGCTAATTTTATTGTTTCCAAATTACTTAAACATTCCTCAAAGTTTTGTGAGGATAATGGATGGCAAACATTGATCTGCTGATATGATCATACAAGCCAAAATCCTGTCTGTATTTTCTCAGGCTTAGAGCTTTGGGGATTATGGGGAGTGGAATTCAATGCTAGTCCTACTCAAAGAAGACCCTGTTCCCCTGTCAAACAGCTCTTAGTGTCAGAAAGTTCTTCCTGGTCTTTAGTCAGAATCTCTTTTCTGCGTGCCCAGGCACCCCAAGCCCACTTTGCCTGACTCACAGAGAAGAACCAGACAGAACAGCACTGCTTTGAGTCAAATCAGGCCACCTCTTTATCGATTGCAAATGTCAAAGGTTTGGCATAAGCATTGGACACAACCATCAACATCCAGCCACCTGCTGGAAGTAGCCTTTTTGGAGGTCAACACAATGGTGAGGTCCTGTGACATACATCAAGTAGGAATGCCCCATGGGATCGCCACCTTGAGGAGTGCTATGGCCCCTGCCTGGATGTCTGGACAGAAGCAACGTCTCCCAAATCCTTTTAATGGGATACTCCTTCCAGTGCTTTTTTTTTCTGGGGGTACTCAAGGGTAAGCAGTACCGGCACCTTTTTTTCCCCCTTTCAAATGTTAAAAGTGTGGCACTCAGTGTAATAAGTTCATGGTGAGCACCAGCACCTCCCTCCCCCCCCCCAAAAAAAACATTGTCTGTTTTGGGTTTAAGCCAGTTGAGAAAACCTCTGCAGCAACTGTCCCGCACAAGCCTGTTGAAGGTAAGTGGAGTTGCAACTTGAATCCATTGCTTTGTGTTCTCCCCTCGAAAGCAGGAGGAAACCAGCTTCCTCCCTCTTCCATGGGACAGCCCTTCAGATATTGGAAGATGGCTGTCCTATCACCTCTCCGTCTCTTCTTTTCCAGGCTAAACATACCCAGCTCCTTCAAGCATTCCTCATAAGGCTTTGTTTCCAGACCCTTGATCATCTTGCTTGCCCTCCTCTGCACACCTTCCAGCTTGTCAACATCCTTCTTAAATTGTGGTGCCCAGAACTGAAGGCAGGATTCCAGGTGTGGTGTGACCAAGGCAGAACAGTGGTCCTATGACTTCCCTTGATCTGGACACTAGACTTCTATTGATGCAGCCTAGAATAGGGTTAGCTGCTGTATCACATTCATGTTGACTCATGTTCAGCTTGTGGTCCACCAAGATCCCTAGATCCTTTTCACATGTATGCCAGGTGTCTCCCATTTTGTATTTGTGCATCTGGTTCTTCCTGCCTAAGTGCAGAACCTTACATTTGTATTAATTTCAGTGTTTCAAGAAGGGTAAACTAGAAAGTTCTGAACTGATTGTTTTCCCCCACCACTCGTGGCAGAGCCCAACTTGAGGGCAGATGACCATGATCCGTCCCCCACAAGGGTTTCTCTGAGAGTTTCCCAAATGTCTTGAGTGGTGAGGGAAGGCCTTCGGGGTGCCTGCCCTTCCTGCCTAAGTCCCCAGTCAATGAGGAGAGTTTCTGAGCATCCAACACTCAACTAAAGGAAGAGAACACATTTTTAAAAATAATTTCTAAACTCACCTTCACTGTTGCCTTTTCGCACTTGTACAGTCACATTATTTACAATCTTCCACACGTGTCTGTTGGTGTAAACAGCAACCAGGCAGAAATACACTCCAGTGTCTGAAGTGGTGGTGTTGAAAATTGTCAGGCAATGACTTTGATGTCTGTCAAGTGGGTCAGTCAAATTTTTGACCTGTCTCTTTTTGATCTTGGTGCCAACACAGCAGTTTAGATTATTAGAAAAACAGTGGTCTTCATTTGAAACAGAAGCAAGGCACCTCCTTTCAAATGTTTCCTTAATCCAATACAAAGTAAATATGTCTCCGGCACCAGTCAAATCAAATTCACAAGGAAGACTGAAGTTCTGTTGTCCTTCAACAACCACTAATTCTTCTGAATGTACGTTACTCTCTGCAATGCAAAATGGCATAGTCACATGAGAGTAACAGTGGTACCTCGGGTTACATATGCTTCAGGTTACAGACTCCGCTAACCCAGAAATAGTGCCTCAGGTTAAGAACTTTGCTTCAGGATGAGAACAGAAATCGTGCTCCAGCGGCATGGCGGCTGCAGGAGGCCCCATTAGCTAAAGTGGTGCTTCAGGTTAAGAACAGTTTCAGGTTAAGAATAGACCTCCGGAACGAATTAAGTACTTAACCCGAGGTACCAGTGCATAATCATGACATTTTTTTCATACAATTTGCTAGAAATGTGCAAAAGCTTCCCCTTGGTTCTTTCTGGCATTTGTACCTCACTGAAAACTAACATTACATATTCAAGTCAGTGACCCTCAAGCAAAATGGGCAAAGTTTGAAAAGGGAGAGCTTTCCAATACTTTTGCTTCCAATGGTGAATTTTGACCTGTGCATTATTGCAGCTTATTCTGCATGGATCTGATTGAACTGGTTTGCATTCTGTCTCCCTGCCAAAGTAAACACCAGCTAGTTATGGCATCCTACTAATCCTATCAAGAATTGGCTCACTGAAATTCATGGACCCAGGTGCGCTGTGCCCATTAACTTCAATGGGTCTAATCTGCGTAGGACTAAGATGGCACATCCATCTGGTCTAACGCCTTCTCTCTTTTTTAAAAAAGGTCTTTCATTTATTTTGACTCTTAGAGTTATCCTCAGTTGGAAGAACATCATTTTTGCTTTTGCTGTGAATTTCATGGCTGTTGCCTGCATTCCCACTGGCAAACATAAATGGAAATGGTTCTAAAAGAGAAATTATGTTCTTAGCTCAGGGGCAGAGAGCAAGAGAGAACCCTCTCTGAAACCCTGGAGTCAGTGCAGATAATCCTTAGCTAACTCTGTATGGCAGATTTCCTGTGTTCCTATTTCTTTTTCCAGTGCACCTGTTACTCTTATGCTTTCTGAATTCACCTCAAAATGACATGTTGTCTTTTAATGCACTCACCTACAGTGTTGTTTATTATTGCTACAATGAAGAAGTTGAAATTCCTGCAGTGGTCCTTCTTATTAATAAGTGGGTGTGGATCTGACGCATTGCTACCTGACAGGGCTTTGCATGCAAATATTCCACCACCTGGGAAAGCAGCAATAGAGACATTCCTTTGTGTACAGTTTCGATATCTGCTTGTGGGGTTCTTTCCTGCTGGGCACTGAGAACTTGGATCACAAGGCATTGGCTGAAATTGGACCAAGGAGGAGCAGTCTTTCCCCAACCACCATCTTGATTCCTTCTGATCGGCTGATGTGTTGCTGCAGCTCAGCCAGTGATTTTCATTTTCATAAATATTAATGAAGGTTGCACCTGTAGGGGGAGGAAAGTGTTCACGGCTCGTATTTGTAGGATCTTGCACTTCAGGGCAAAAGAATTCCCTGAACCTTTGGAAGCTGTAATGTGGTCCCTCTCCTGAATGTATCTATGCTAGTATATATTTCTTCAGTGTTACACCGTTTTAACTGCCATCACCTCCCCAAACTAATACAGAGCTGGAGTTGGAGAGTGGCTGACAGAGCCTAAGAAAAGCCTGCTGGATCAGCCCAAAGGCTCTTCTACTCCAGCATTGTGCCCTCAATGGGGCCAACCAGATGCCTATCCTATGGGGAGCCCCCAAGGCAGCGGTTCTCAACCTGTGGGTCCCCAGATGCTGTTGGACTACAACTCCCATCATCCCTGAGCTCTGGCCTTGCTAGCTAGGGGTGATAGGAGTTGTAGTTCAACAACATCTGGGGACCCGCAGGTCGAGAACCACTGCCCCAAGGGGACCTGATGGCAAGACTCCCTTGCAAGTCTCATCCCCTGGAATTCAGAGCCCTGCTGCCTCTGGCACCAGAGGTGGTATGTAACCACTAAAGCCAGTAGCCATTCAGAACCTTATCTTCCATGAATTTGTCTAAAGCCATCTAAATGGGTGGCTGTCACTCTTTCCTGTGAAGGCATATTTCATAATTTAAGTAAATGCCTTGCAAGATAGTTATTCCTTTGGGCCACTGGGAATCTCACCCCCTTTGGATTCATTGGATGACCAACAAAGGGGGAGAAAAATGGACCTCTGTCCATTTTCTTTACATCATGCAGACTTTTAGACACCTCTGCCATGCCAAAGGATGTAGGGCAGCTATCGGCTGTGACAAAATTACAGAACTTAAACAATCAATTATATGTAAATTACATTGTCATTACAATATATTAATATTAATGCAATGCAAATGGGGGCAGGGAAACTGTAATCAGTTACATATGATTTGGAGGTTGAAAAAATAGCAACAGCACCAAATACTGATTGTATTTGCTAGACTGATTTCCATTCTGGGCATGGAAGAAGTAAGCAAACATCAGCAATTTCTGCTACTGTTTCCATTTTCTCCAGATGTCTCCTACACCCCTCATTATGTTCCCCTCACCTGCCATTTTCCCTAAATGAAATAACCTTCCCTCTCCAGCCCATTGATTGTTATTGCTTATTTATTTCATAAAATGTATACATGGCCCAATTGTGAACAACCTTGAAGCAGTTTATGAAAGGAAAAAAACAGTAAAATCATTAGTAAAAACAATTAAAAGATTCAGAAAATTAAAACCAGCAATAAACTAAAAACACATCAGCAGTTGAGATATTTGGGTAGGCTTGTCTAAACCAAGATGCTTTAAGCATGCACTGAAAACAGCACAGTCAAGGCCTCTCACATTCACTCTCATGGTGTAAAAGGAAGGATGGTTAAGTTAGTTTCAGTCTGTGGTGTAGATTCACATTTCGTTTTTACTATTACCAACAAAAGGCTGTTTCAGGCACTGCCCCAAACTGAACATCTTCCATCTGCTCTGAGGAGCCCAAAATTGGCTTTGCAGAAGTGCCAGGGGCTCTCCATGACTTCACAACAGTTTTAAAGAAAAGGGAAGTTGTGGCAGCAGCTGCTCTGCCTGGCGTGGTCCTTGGTGGACCTTCCCTCACAGTTCCTCTCCTTAAGAAACCAACAGGAGCAGAGACCATGAGATCTCTTTGTAGGACACGTACCTGAAATTTCCCTTAGGAAAAGAAGAATCAGCATGAAAAACATAATCCTGAAATGGAAAACAAAAAAAGGCAAATGGTCTTGTCGCCTTAAGTTCTCTTCGCTTGAGAAAGGAAAGAAAAGCAGAAGAAGAGACAGCTGACATGAAGCAACTTGCAAGTGTAGCAGTTATTTACAGCCTTTCACTTCCCTTCTGTTTAGAAATCACTCAAGGTTGAAACTTTAACCGCAACTGACTCCCCCTCAAACACCTCCTCTGGGGAATTAACACGTGATACAACCAAACTAGGAAGTTTCAGAGGTGGCTGGTACCCAATGGCATTGGCAGGGCAGAAGGCAGGAAGACCAGCCTATATTGGCGAGATCAAAGCCAATAATAGGCAGAGACAACTAATTCTAGTTTTGTGTCCATCCTCCTCCCTGCCAAGTTGGAAGCTGATTGGTGGTGCCATTCCATAGACTGGCTGTGATTTAGAAGACATGCAACCAGCGGGTAGCTGAGGGTTGACTGAGGTTGGTGGGGTTGTTCCCTTAATGGATGCCACTCCCACAATAGCGGAGACAGTTAAAGGTAAAGGGTAAAGGGACCCCTGACCATTAGGTCCAGTCGTGACAGACTCTGGGGTTGCGGCGCTCATCTCGCTTTATTGGCCGAGGGAGCCGGCGTACAGCTTCCAGGTCATGTGGCCAGCATGACTAAGCCACTTCTGGCGAACCAGAGCAGCACACAGAAACGCCGTTTTACCTTCCTGCCGGAGCGGTACCTATTTATCTACTTGCACTTTGAGGTGCTTTCGAACTGCTAGGTTGGCAGGAGCAGGGGCTGAGCAACAGGAGCTCACCCCATCGCGGGGATTGGAACCGCCGACCTTCTGATCGGCAAGTCCTAGGCTCTGTGGTTTAACCCACAGCGCCACCCGCGTCCCCAGTGGAGACAGTTAGCGAAGAATAAACAAGGATGATTTGAGGGTAATTGTCCTTGCAAGCTCCCCACAGGGCCCGGGGCGGGGGGGGGATGAGCTTCACTTGCAAATTGTCTCAGTACCTGGCTCTCGCTCTGGCATGGAATACGGGAGGCAGGGAGGCACTGAGTGCAAAAGTACTTCGCCTATCGGTAACCCTCCTACGCAGCCATTAGGAAGCAGACGTACTTCTGTTTATTAGAGTGAAATTGTTAAGTTGTGGGTGAACATATCAGACGACACAGCAATTCTTCCAAAGCAGCTCTTTATTTGTAAGCTGGAACAGAACTGAGGAGCTCAGTCAGCCTGCTTATATAGAGCTCCAGAACAATGTAACTGTTGCCATTTTCTAAAACTATCCAATCACTGAACGTCACTTTCAATCCTTCATTTGCATAACTATCTACAGTATCGCCCTGCTGGCCCAGGGTGAGAACTTCAGTACATAACAGAAATTATGACTAATATACAGACACGTGCTGGAGCACATGGAACAAGATCATAAACTGCTAAATTGAAACAGCTACAAAGCCATTACGATTCAAACTGGAAAGAAGACTTCCTTCCATGTAAAATATGGTATGTGAGGGGGGGAGTCTTTACCCTTTCTTTCTACATAAATGATTCGGCAACTCCCCCCCCCCCCCCGCTTTGAATGCTAACAAACTGATAAAAGGCAAGAGGAGACAAAAGAGAACGGGGTTATATTCATGGATTACAATGAAAAATAGAACTGTGTGAGAAAATTGAAATGGATTTAAAGCATCAAACTTTCACTGTATTGCCATGGGAGGACCTGGATTTTGAGCTTTGAAGATCGGCCAAGGCTTTGGCAGGTCGCCAGATTACTCTCTCTCTAAACTCAAACAGTAACAACAAAAAGATGGTGTGTGACACAGTTGAAATTACAGCCTCATTCTCTGGGTACGAAGGAAAAGAAAGAGCGAAGCGGAAGCAGCGGTGCTGTGCAGGACGTGATGGAGAATAGGAAGAATGAAGAAACAACATGGACAAAATAAACATCACACAGAGGAAATATATGGGATACAGAACTCCTCTTGCAGAAATAAAATTTATTAAATGTGCCAATATGAATGGAAGTAAAAAAAACCTCTGTAGCTGTTGATAAGGGATTAAGATCAAGACGGAATGTAAATGGATTAATTAAGACTTCGGAAGCAAGATGAAATAAAATTATCTCACCTTGAAATCTAGTACACAGGAGGCCACGCAAAATGTATAATTGGCTTTATAATTGATATATATTTGAATTTGAATTGTAATTTGAGATTGTTAAAATGTGGTTTATATTGGACTTTAGTAATTGAAAATTAAGAATTTTTTTTTTTAAAAGAGAGGTTGTAGGGTTGTTAGCCAGTAGCTCAAATGGAGGAGCCTTACCTGGGACGTTCTACTGCACAAGCACCACTCCTAGTCATTACAACAGAGCCTCTGAAAGAGAGCTTCTAAGCAACTCTTGCCCACGGCTCAGACCTCAGTCTCCAGCTCTTCCGTCCTTGGTGGCCCCCCAGGGAGACATCTTCTGAGGAGCAGGCTTGGCAACACATGGAGAATCCCAGGTCGCATCCACAGCATACATTTAAATCTGATTTAAATTGCATGGCTTCCCCCAAAGCATTGTGGGAACTATAGTTTGTTAAGAGTGCTGGGAACTGTAGATCCAGAAGAGGTAAATTACACTTCCCAAGACAATGTTAGATGTGGTCTAAATGACTGTAGTTCCATTAACCCCTCCAGCCACATCCCAAGCCCTGTCTTGCTGCTCCTTCTCGGCCCCCCTCCTGTGGCTGCCAGAAAGCTCTGTCCCCCGCCAGCCCTGCCTGGAAAGAGCAGGGATGGTTTGCCTTCATAGCCTGTGCTCTAATACTTCCTCACGAATTGCGCTCATTCCCTTGCCCCACCCCCACCCCCTTGAACCATCTCTCCCTTTAGTCCTCACCTGATAAAACCTAGGAGACCTTCAGTGCAGCGGGTGAAAATGAGTGAACTCGAAAGTTTCAAGATCCATAAATGCTCCGGACTAGCTCGTCGCATTCTGGGCCTCTGCGTGTATTACCCTGGTCAGCCACTAGGTGGCAGAACAACATTTCCTCTCTCTGACATTCTACGGTAAATCTAATTAGTGTTGCTCAAAATAGGGAGAAGGGGCAGATTGCATAAAATGGGGTGTGTAGATTAGAACGGGAAAGCAAGATATGCCTAGTGTAGGCAGAGTGAGAGTCCTCACTGTGCATGGAAAGGAGTATAAAGCAGGAACAGGGCTTGGACTGAACTCTAATTCATGTTAACTAATTCACTGAATTAATTCAGAAATCTTGGAATTGCACCTGAAAGTATTTCCTATAATTTCCAGCTGAACCTAATGTGAATCGAGTTCCTTCTGCTGTGGAACTCAGGGTGTTTTTCAATTCAGTTTGACTAAAGTTTCAGTTTAATAACCCCCGGGGGGAAGGGTTGTCCCTTAACTCATTGCATTTACCATTTCTGCATGTCTGAAAAGTGATGTCAGCTGTTGAAACGTAAAGACCAAAATACTTGGAGGAGTTAAATAATTCCATTGTTAGCATGACACAGGGGGGGCGTGTCTAGATGTTTTCTGAAGTATATTTTATGCTTTAGCAGGCAGCTTGCGAAATTCTGAAGGCAGCAGCTGGGTGGGCCCATCGAGGACACATGGGCAAATTGTGAATTGTGAACAGAATTTGTTCCTTTTTGGGGGCGGTTGAACTTTCCAAGCAGTGACCAGCAATGGGGGATCTTAGGCCCAAGGGGAATGTGGCCCTCCAAGCAGAAGGGCCAAGTTCCACACAACCTTCTTGCATGTGTGTGATGTTACAAGGCCCAGGGAGGCCCGGTGGGACCCTCAAGATTGGGGATGGCTCAGCCTCATCCCCACATGTGGGGCGGGGGCTGAGCTGTCCTCCGCCCCATAGAGTTGCTGCCTCTGCTGCCAAGCCTGCCTCTCTACCTCTGGATAAGGTAGGTGGCCGTGTTGGTCTGATGCAGTAGAAATATATATAAAAAACAAAAAACCCCAAAAAATTGTCCAGTAGCACCTTAGAGACCAACTATGTTTGTTCTTGGTATGAGCTTTCATGTGCATGCACACTTCTTCAGCTCTCTTTCCTTTCCTGTGTGAAGAAAAATGAAGGGGAGAAGACCAGTACTGTTTTTCTAGGGGTACTCAAGGGTTCTCAGTACCGGCACCTCCCCCCCCCCCCCCAGTTAAAAGTGTGGCACTTACTGTAACAACTTCATGGTGAGTACTGGCACCTTTTTTTCTTTAAAGAAAGCAAGCACTGGAGAAGACCATTTGCCTTTCCCCCCATTTGAGTACAGTGGTGCCTCACAAGACGAAATTAATTCGTTCTGCGAGTTTTTTCGTCTTGTGAATTTTTCGTCTTGCGAAGCACGGTTACCCTGGGTATTAACGGTTTTAAGAAAAAGGAAACAAACTCGCAAGACGTTTTCATCTTGCGAAGCAAGCCCATAGGGAAATTCGTCTTGCGAAGCAACTCAAAAAACGAAAAACTCTCGTCTTGTGCGTTTTTCGTCTTGCAAGGCATTCGTCTTGCGAGGTACCACTGTATTATGTTTTTTGTGCTGATTCTTCCTTTCCTCAGTGACATCTCAGGGGCATCTCCTACAAAGAGATCTCACGGCCTGCATCCCTTTTGGTTTCTTAGAACTGTAAGGTCCTACCCAGGATCTCTCTGTTGGCCCAGAAGCAGAATTCCTACCCATTTTGCCATTGGATAGAGTCCTTATGGTGGCAGGAAGAGAACTCCAGATCCAACGGCATGAATCGAGATTTGTCATAGCAAAGGTGATGATGGTGAAATGAAATGATGGACAACAACTCCCACCATCCCTGACCATTGTCCATACTTGCAGGACGTGGTGGAAGGTGGAGCCCATGAGCATCTGGAGGGCCAGACATTCCTCATCCCTGAACCTGTTCACCTCCAGGTGCAATACCCAGGAATCATGGACTCTATAGACTCTAAGCTGGTTTGAAAATATGTAAACCTTTAATTCTCGAAGCTACAACCATGAGTCTGACCAAACTGCGGGAGGCAGTGGAAGACAGGAGTGCCTGGCGTGCTCTGGTCCAGGGGGTCACGAAGAGTCGGACACGACTAAACGACTAAACAACAACAACAACAAACCTTCAACTCTGCTCCCAGTGCTTTGTCTGAAATTTGGATATACTGGTGGCTAGAGTATCCAATAGTCAGACAACAAATTGAAAACAGTACTGGTGTTGCATATTTGCATATTTTCCTTCTAGCAGAGACCAATTTGCATTTTTCCTTTAGCAACTTACGCAGGGCCAAAGGAATTATTTGCATGGTGTTCCACTGTGATGCCTAACCTTGTAATGTCGTAATTCAACCAACATCAGCAGGTCTAAATATATCAGAATGCAGAGCTGGCAGCACAGAAGATCTGGACTTGTGATTGGCTTCCTGGCTGCCAGTCTTCATGCTTGTTTGCTTCTACATCCTGTTTCCAAGCATAGCTCTGAATTCATGAGGGACAGGTGCTTCTTCTTCTTCTTTTAAAACCACATGACAACCAAAAGCTGGGTTTCACAATATTTTAATGACACTTATGGGCTGTACAATGAGCATTACACATTCGTTAAAATGACAAAATCCGCATCCATTCAGGTTTTTTTTTTTAGCCATCTGTACCTTTTTCTGAAATATTAGGTTCGACTACTTAACTTCTTTCTAAATCTTGTGCATTTCAGGAAGCAGTCAAGAAAGAAGCTGCAGCTGTCTGTGCCTTTCCTGGAGGTTCAGTTGCACAAGGAAAAGGCTGTCAAAACCAAGTTGAATGTGACAGTTGTGTTATGGCCCTGATCACTATTTATTTATCCCATTAATGAATCACTTCCCATGAGGCATCCCAAAGCAATTTGCAAAACACTAAAACATATATAGAACGATGGCATATATAAAAACAGTTGAAAATTTGCATATATAAAACCAGTGCTTTTTTCTGGGGGGACAAAGAGGTACACATACCCCTAAACATTTTGTGAATCTAATTTTGACCTCATGGAGGGGCAGTATTTCAATATGAGTAGGAAAATGATATTACCCCTAAACATTTTTAAAGAAAAAAGCACTGTATAAAACAGATGTGTGTGGGTGTGTTACAACAGCACCTATGTATAAGATCAATTCCAATCCTGTACAGGTAGCAACTGAGATAAAACCCTCACTGAAAGAGGAAGGTTTTTGGCACACTCTAGGAGGACAATAGAGAAGGTGTCTGTCCGGCATGTGGTGGGAGGGAACTGCAAAGGGTGGGGGCCACCACATTCAGTTGCAGCATCATGTAGAGCAGACTTCCTGATACTGTAGGACAGGGGTCGGCAAGGTTTACCTCACCTGGGCCGGTTCATTCCAGTGGAGATCCCTCTGTGGGCCCGATTGCATGCGCGTGTGAGCATACGCGCCCACGATTTCCAGTGTCTGCGCATGTGCAGATGCAATTTCCAGCGCCGCGGAACTGAGTCCCCGCACCATGCTGTGCCAGTTTAGCACAGCACGCGGGGACTCGCTGAGCGGGCAGCTCGGTTCGGGGGTGGCTCATGGGCCGGTTAAATGACCCCTGCGGGCCACTTGTGGCCCATGGGCCTTAGCTTGCCTACTCCTGCTACAGGATCTGCAAGATGCCTTCTCCAGCAGAGTGCAGAGATCAGCTGGGTATGCAGGGGATGAGGCAGTCTCAATCCAGATGTTGCACCTGCTTTGGCCCTTTGCAGAAATTATAGCTAATGGGGGAAGGGAGGGGAAGTAGATTGAGGGGAAATGTGCTGAAGGTCAAAGCCCCCATTTCCTCATCATCGCTCACCTAATCAGATTAGTAGCCCCATGTTTCAAGGGGAAGGAAATAAAAGTTGCAGGTGATCCCTATCATGGTCTCCTTTTGACCCAGTACACCTTTCACTTGAAAGAGGCTTCATGGCACTGTGGCATTTATTTGCTTATTTAGATTATTTCTATCACTCTCTTCACCCAACTAAGCTTCCAGAGGATGTTACAAGCAATCAGTTAAAATAAGGCAGTCCCAGCCAACAGGCTTACAATCTAGAAGGCACAACACAAAAGGAAAAAGGAGCCGGGAGGGAAGAAGAAAACCAATCCCCAAAGTCAAATAAGTAGTTCTTATAAGAACTGGCTGAAATGGAAACCGTTCGGAGGTAGAAGCTGCCTGTCGGAGCTGGCCTTCAGCAGAGTTGATGGCATGAGCCCTGCTTCCCATCTCTCCCACTGAAGCAGTTTGGGGCCCTTGCCTCTGGGGTGCCGTGCAAAGACAGGGTCAGTCTGCAGTGCTGGGCCCACACTGCCTCATCTAGTAAGAAAAGGAGCCAATAAGGAAAGAGTTCATGTTTTCCCTATTTTTAGCAGATTTGCAAATGAGGGAACACCATGCAAAAGTGTAACGGACTTTATTCAAATGCAGATACATTGCCTGCTTCCATTTTGAAGGGGGTGAGATGATCAGGAGAACAGAAAAGCTAATATACCTTTTCAAACTATCTGGGTGTTTTGGCTCCAGTGGTGACAGAACTGACCAGTGGTTGGGCTTTATATTTCCAGAGGTGGGAAAATCAACCACTGTCTGCTCCATCACCCCAGCAGCCCTTGGGGTAACCAAACGGAGCCTCGTTGGAGCATCTGCTGCAGCCTCCAACATTCCCATCTTGAGCCTGGCCAAATACGAACACTCTGCTTAGGGTCCTGCCAATTCCACACACCCCGCGGAAAAACCCCCGTCTTTGCCATCCAGCCTGAGAAGAGTTCTGGAGAACACAGAAGGAGGCATGCTATTTTGTGCACACTTTTAACAGCTGTGCAGAACGAGGGGAAGTGAGCAAACTAAGTTTTTTCCTCCTGTGTCTGCTGAAAATGAGTTGAAATGCTTTCTCACACAGGCATGTTTTGCCAATTTTCTAGACCCAGGAGGTGCATTTCTGGGGTGGGGTACAAAAAAATGGCCCCTGGAAGTATGGTGTTCCTCTTAGTGGCCACTAGTAGGCACTGTCTGAGCACCTCTCCAAGTGTTACTATATCAGCGCTGGCTAAACAACAGGCTGTGAGCCACGCATGTGCACTCGTGCACACTGGCAGAGGAAGAGGATTGCGGGGGGAGCGCACCACCCCCCGGCAGCACAATCCCGTGGGGTGCCATCGCAGCTGCCCCCCTCCCGCGCTGGGCGCCATGCCCCCGCAGGTGGCGCGTCACACCCCCAGGATGCGCATCACGCCCCTGCAGGCGGCACACCATGCCCTCAAGACGTGTGCCAGCCCTGCCCCTGCCTGCTCTCTGCCCCCCCCCCCCGGTGCCAGAGCATGAAGCTCCGTCACTGCTCATACACACACACACAATGTTTTTGTAGTTCACCAGAGAAGGTGTTATGTACTGAGTTGAATAGGATCCAAACTGCAGCAGTCTGATTGGTCCTAGAACAATAGGATCCAAACTGCAGCAGTCTGATTGGTCCTAGAACAATAGGATTCAGAATGCAGCAGTCTGATTGGTCCTAGAACAATGCAGCAGTATGATTGGTTGGCAGGAACCACCCAATCATTCTCCAGATAGAAGTGAATCCACAACCTGATTGGCTTACAGTAGAATTCCGGAATTAGCCAATCATGTGCAGCCCATTGTGTAAATAATGTATATAAAGCAGATACTTTGAGGGGACTTCATTCATTCCTCCTCACCACTATTAGCTGAATAAAGAGCATGAAATCACTTTGCGACTCTGAGTATATTTCAGAAACCCTCAAAATTATATTTTAAAAAACAAAATTTTGGTTCTTCCTGCTTTGACTCTATGATGTCAAAAGGTTTTTGTGACAACCCTGCAGAACCCCATCTAGTGTACTTTTTAAAAAACAGAATGTTGGCATGTGGCCCCTGGAGGGTTGACCATGGCACAATGTGGCCCTTGGCCTGAAAAATGTTATCCACCCTAATAGTGCTTGTTTGTTCTTTGTTTGCTTATTAAATTTACATCCCAGCCTTCTGCCCAATGGAGCCCTGGGCTGGTAATGATGAGTAACATCTTATAAACAATTCCAGTACGGATCTGGACTAGGAAAGATCCCAACTTAAAAGGCTTGCTGGAAGAGGAAGATCTTCGGTGGATGCTTAAAGGCAACAGAGATGGCACCTGCCTAATATTCACAGGGAGGGGATTCCCAGGGAGAGGAGCCACCACACAAAAGGCCCAATTCCAACATTGCATAGATGGGCCTCCTGAGCAAACGGCATTTGCAGGAGATGCTCCCTTGCAGTGCTTATTGATCAATTGGATATCAATTGGATATAAGGGATGAGACGCTGCTTCCAGTTCCAAGTGATACACACCAAAGCCAGTACCCTGACCTTAGCTCGGCAGCCGGTACGGTTCTTTCCATTCTTTATGTAGGTCCACCTTTAACTGAGAACGGAATCCAATTTCTCCCCGCATTCCTAATGGCTACAGCCATGATGGCTGGGTTCTGCCTCCCCTGTTGCAACTGATATGCTTCTGAATAACAGCTGCTAGGGGTCACATGTGGGCCTTGTTAGTGCATTGGCCAGGATTTGGCATGGGGTGCATTGACATTGATTGGATCACTAGGTTAACAAGAAGAGCTGCTGGACCTCTGCTAACAGTGAAGTGCAATGGTTAGAGTGTTGGACTGTGACCTGGGAGACCAGAGTTTGCTTCCCCACTCAGCGGTGAAACTCACTGGGTGACCTCAGGCCTACCTCACAGGGTTGTTGTGGAAATTAAATAAGGAGTAGGGGAGCTGTATGTGTCACCTAGAGCTCCTTGGAGAAAAAGGTGCAACAAAATACAATAGCTAGAGGTTCAGGCTCTGTCAGACAATTTGAAAGTCACATGAGTTGCCCCAAAGGAAAGTTGCATGCTATCCCTGCTACTGAGGAAACATGATCCTCTGTTTATATTTTTACTCTTTGGAAGAGAAAGCTGTAAGGAAATGAGATCTCTAGGAGGCTATAATACAGACCACGCAACTCTTCCTTTCCTCCCCTCCCCCTTTCATAGAATCATAGAATCATAGAGTTGGAAGAGACCACAAGGGCCATCGAGTCCAACCCCCTGCCAAGCAGGAAACTATTTCAGCTATTTCCATCTCTGGATAAATAGTAGGCACCAGCAATTTGCTTGAGGGATGGAAGCCAGCCTGGAAATTGAGAACCAGCCCTCCGAGATGCTCAAGGACCTGGTGCTGAGGTGGTTTCTGCAGACGCAAGTTCCTCTTATGTTACAGGACGGCAGCTTGCCAGAATGGTTCCATGGATTCATTACAAGGAAGTAAGGAGAAAAGCACTGAAATGAATGTTTTAGTTAATTGCCACTGTCTTTTGAACTAGATGATTTGGGATTGATGGGAGGCTGCTGGTTTTGTACCTTTCTCTTTTTATTAAGAAAAGAAAATGTGCTTAACAGGAGAGTCCATGCTAGGGTTGCTATGGGTTAGTGAATAGATCATCGGGATAGGATTTATTAGATCCACTTTTCTTGAGGACTTTTAAAAAATGCAAACTGATGTGGAAATGTTGAACTGAATTTACAATTGGAAAAATGAGAAATGGAGAAAAAACAAAAACTGACAGAATCTTTTATGTCTAACCTCTACTTCTGTACCAAATCAGGCTGTGACATTATAAAAGAAGCTGTCTCTTTGTACAGGCAAACTGAAGAGCAGCTGAAAGAAAAAAGCTTTGGCAGTTTTCTCATCCGATTAAATGAGAGATCGTTTGGATACATCCTCTCCTACAGGTAAGCTTTTGAGTTTAGATTGTCTCTTTGGGCTGGAAAATGTCACCATTTTCAAATTGTCTTATACTGGGTTTTTGTTTGTTTGTTTGTTTTGGACTTCCAGCAGAATGTCATGTAGAATCACTGCTCTCGCTCTCTGCCATTCTCCTCCAATAGGCAGTCCGCTTTCTGTGGCCACTCAGTCCCCATGGGGTGGTTTGGGTGGATGGCCAACCCAAGGGTTGCTGCCTCTATATAAATTTGGTATTCTTCTGAAAGCCCTGGGCCCCTTCAAGCCTCTTGTGTGTAGATGGTCTTAGGTAGACTACTTAGGGAGCAGTGTGTGTCACCCGAGCACTGGAAAGAGAAGGAATGATGGGGCAACCGGGAACAAATTCCAGAGATGCATGTAATTTGAGGCCACTGACTGCAATCAGGAGGAAATGCAATACTGTGATGCAATACTCTCAGTTGTCCCTCCTAAGGCTGAATTAAATCAAGTTCTACTCAGAATAGACCTGCTGAAATGAGGGGAACTAAGTTAGGCATGTCCATTAACTTCAGTGGATTTACTGTGAGTTGATTTTGGATCAAATTCTGCAGGTTTCATCTACAGGTGGTGAGATCCATTGGTGATATTGTTTGGCTCTGTTGACACTGAAATGATTACTTTGGCCCAAGGTTTATAAGTGGGGTGGGGATGGATCCTGGTCTACCATCCTTAAGCAATTGTTTGGTAAGTATACGGGATATGGCAGCTTCCCTCTGGCAACTTGCCCTGTGGAACTCCATGCCAGTAGAGTTTCAGCAGGAACTATTTCGCCTTCTTTCAGCCACCTTCTGAAAAACTGTATCGTGACTGGTGTGGCTAGCAGCCCTTGATAGCCTTATTCTCCATGGATTTTTACAGGCTTCTGAGTTGATTTGTGGGAAAGTGCCTTCTCCTCTCAGGGTGCCATTTGTGATGTCCTCAGCATGGCCAGGACATGGCATGGACACCTCTGCCCCACAACTGTGAGACCCTTGAAGCTTTGGTGCTGTCCATTTTGTTACAGAGCAGGGATGTTGGACTCCAGCTCCCCACAGCCATAGCCAGCGGGACCAATGGCCAAGAATGCTGGGAGTTGCAGCCCAGCGACCACGGGAGGATTCCCCAGTCCTATGGTGGAGCCTGGCTCCCCTTCAAAGCATCACTCTCTGTGACATAAGAGCAACTCCAGTCCTTAGGCAGCCGATTGTTCAGAGAAAACTGACTCCTGATCGAGACCATTCAGATAGTTTGCTAGTCATACCACAAATGGTGAAAGAAGTACTCATGCAAATTCAGACGTGTTAATGTGTCAAAGGCCCTTGATGAGTCTCTGCATGCTGGCTCCTGTCACTGTGGCTCATTTGTTGTCAAATGAAAAGCATTTATTGCACACCCAAAGCCTTATGGCGGGCTCTGTCCATCTCTTCTCTCAAATGCTATGTCTGAATTCAATCCTTCTGTGGTGACTTTCCATGAAGAGGTACTCCTTCTTATACAGAAGGTCAGTATTCAGGCTTCTGGTACTGCTCTGCTTAAAAGAATTAAATATATGATGAGAAGCAGAGAGCACAGCCAACAAGAGAACTTCTCCCACGAAAAATGCAGTCTTTTTCTAATGTACTAATGTATAATAAGGTAAACCCTCATGTGCTAAGCAGAACCTTTGTGATGTTAATTTATTATGTTTGATTTTGGTATGGAAATTTGTTCCTATATGTTTACCGCTAGATATCCTTTCGACTTTTACTTTATTTGGCATCTGTTATTATACTTGCTATGTTGTAAACAAATAAGAGAAATGAAAGAATGAAATTTATCTTATGGGAGCTAGTGGCTCTTAGGAACATTTTCTAGGGTGCTTTGGAGTTTTTAACAGGCCAAATGAAGCCTATGATCATGGAGGTCCCTATTCTGTACCTTTCTGTTTTTTGCGCCCCACTGACTTCCAGGCAGGACTTCTGGACTACTGCAGTGCTGCACATATGGAGCTGCCTTGACAATTGTTCAGAAGCAGCAACTGGCCTGATTTGTAAATGTGTACAGTTCTGGTGGGTGTGTCATGTGTTAGCGGAGGGACAGTACCTTTGGTTGGGAACATGTCCTGCTCCTTCTGAGGTACTTTGTCCACCTTTGGTCCTCACCCTGCACTCAGCTCTCACCTGTGGCTCCTAGAAGCTGTCAGCATGCAACAGTGGCCACAATCCCAGGAATGGCTTTGACTGGACAGTTCAACCAGGTGTGGGTAGCTAATGGGACTCAAACCCTCAGAGAGTTGTGTCTTCCCCTGCATGCGAAGACAGGCCTTGGCAGATGGAGTGGATGAGTCCAAGGGTGCGCCCAACGGTTAAGAAGGCAGTTTCTGCCCGTGCTATAAAGGGATGTGAGGGGCAGATGGGGCTTGTCCGCCTAGGGAGCCCATCTAGGAGAAGGGAAACTCTGATCCTAAAGCTCTGCTGCCTTGTGGAATATCTTCAGAAGAAGAAAAGGCTAAGGAGTAAACCCTACACAAATTCGGAGTGGAGTCCCTAAGACGGTTGGATGGCGCCTTGCCTGCCTCCTTCCAGCAACTCCTGCAGCCAAGCTGGTGCCCAACGTCTTGCTCTGCTTTCCTTTGGACCACATCAGTGAGGCCGAGAGACAAGGGGTCTTGTTCTCTGGGAAGCCCAGGACATCCCTGCACACTGCCCAGGTTTGTATCCTGGAGAGGTCTCTTGGTTGCTGCTAGTGTGGTTGGGCTTTACCCGCAAATGCCAACAGTTCTGGTGGCAGTTACTAAAAAAGGCTATTGGAGAGAAGTGGACAATGCAAAGCAGAGCAACCAATATGATGGGGGTCTAGAGCAACTCCTGTATGAGGAAAGGTCACAATCATTTGTGGCTTTTTAGTTTAGGAAGAAAAGGTGAAGCAGGTCGGGGGCACGATAATAGTTTATAAAAGCATGTCTGTTGTGGAGAAACTGACGGGAGAGACGTTTTTCACTCTTTCTCATTAATACTAGAACCAGGGATTGTCCACCAAAGCTAAATGGTGAGAGATTTGGGACAGACGGAAATAAGCACTTCTGAACAGAGAAAATAGTTAAACTCTAGAACTCACTGCCACAAGACATGGCGATGGCTGCCAACCTGGGTGCACAGTAATCCAGACAAAGTTAGGAAACCCAGAACAATGAAGGATCAACTGGGGTTACCTCCAAATCATACGCTTAAAGAACATTTACAGGCATGGAGCATCCTGGGAACTGTAGTTTGTTATGGGTGCTGGAAACTGCAGCTCTGTGAGATCAGCACCCTTGATAAACTATAAACTACAGTTCCCAAGCTTCTCCGTGCCTGTTAAAAGTAGTATAATAATGCTTTACATGTATGCTGTATTGAGTTGTGGACCATACGATGTCAAACAGGAAAGCCATTGTTCATTTCTGAATCTCTCAAACATTTCTATTGTATTGGGGCAACCCAGTCAGATGTGCAGGATATAAATAATAAAATTATTATTATTAAAATAAAATATTTTTTTTTAATGTATTGAGTGATTGTATGGGCTGAGTGCTTTGCTAATTCAGGTTGAAATTTAAATGAGGAGGACATTGGAAGCATCCCTGGTCAAGCCCTGTTTTCAGGCTGTGCATGGAGCCGAGATGCCCCCGTCACAGTCAAGGACATGAATCATGTTCTCTGAAGCGGACTTAGCAGCTGCCTGAGGGTACAGGACCTGTCATTAACAATGCGCCCAGATCTTCTGCTCCCTTTGCCCACACTCCTAGACCAGTGGAAATTCCTCTCTGCCTAGTCCTAAAAGAGGCACTTCTTTTGACTGCAGGGGAAAAGATCGATGCCGCCATTTTGTCATCAGTTGTCAACGGAATGGATGTTATGTCATATCAGGGGACACCCAGACCCATCCAAGCCTTGCGGAGCTCATAAGCTACTACCAGACTTCCAAGATAGAGCCTTTCGGAGAAAATCTGACTATGGCCTGTCCAAATGTGAGCCAAGCATTAGAGACTTTGTTTCAAAAATATAATCCTTCCTATAGTCATCATGTGAACTGAATTGCTGATCTGAGCATTACATTTTGCCAAAAGCAACCACAGATAGAGTCATCCTGTTGCTTTTAGTCAAGTACAGCAATGTGATCAGCAATCCAGTTCATCTGGACATGATGGTACCCTAAAATTGGATAAGCACCTCTTTATGTGCCCAGATGTTTCAACACGTTTTATAGCCTATTTTAACTTTCTGATATAATTTGCAGGATTTTGTTGGGTTTTATTGGGGGGTTGGGGGTGCATTTTCATGCTTGATCTTCTGTGTTGTTTTTATGTTTTATTATAACTTTGTTGGGGACGCGGGTGGCGCTGTGGGTTAAACCACAGAGCCTAGGACCTGCCGATCGAAAGGTCGGCGGTTCGAATCCCCGCGGCGGGGTGAGCTTCCGTCGTTCGGTCCCAGCTCCTGCCTACCTAGCAGTTCGAAAGCACCCCTAAGTACAAGTAGATAAATAGGGACTGCTTTCTAGCGGGAAGGTAAACGGCATTTCCGTGTGCGGCGCTGGTGCTGGCTCGCCAGACGCAGCTTAGTCACGCTGGCCACGTGATCCGGAAGTGTCTTCGGACAGCGCCGGCTCCCGGCCTCTTGAGCGAGATGAGCGCGCAACCCTAGAGTCGGTCACGACTGACCCATACGGGCAGGGGTACCTTTACCTTTTTATAACTTTGTTATTGGAGTTTGATCCTGAAGGTTGGACTAGAAAACACAAGTCTAGGGCATAGTCTCCAACTGCCCTCAAAATGCTGGGACCATCACAAAAACCCTTAAACCATCACGGCTTCTCACTTTCTCATACAGAGTCCCAAATTCCCATCTTCATAGAGATACACTAACCAATGGTTAGTGTATCTCTATGAAGCAAATGGCTTGGTGTTGGGGGAAGCAGAGGTAGAGAGAGTTGCCAAGTGAGGCCTTCTCCTCCTCTGCCGCCGCCACCGCCACCTCCTCTGCCCAAGTTGGAGAAGGTGGGTGGAGGGAAAGAGGGGGAAAGTCTTGCACCAGGCCCGGGGGAAGAGAAAGAGGGAGTGGCACAAGGGGGGCACCACTGCTGACACTGCCAGTGCCACCGTGGGAAGCTTTGACTCTCCGGCCTGGCAGCCACCCATCCAGCTGCCATGCTGAATAAAAACAATAAGGAGACCCTGAGAAGGAGCAGGCCCTGGGGGTATTGGGGTGGTTGGGAAGGCTGTAGCTGGCAGGGTGCAGGCAGGCCGGGGGGCTGTAGTTTGAGGGGTGTGGGGTGGACAAGGAGGTTATGGGGGTCAAGGGACACTGGGCTTTGTATTCTTTCAACTGCAGGGATGCTCCAGGAAAGGATTCATTTAACTTCTACAGCTGCCTGAAAACTCTATGTGTTAACATTTAAGGCTGGGAAAATGAAAAGTTGAGAAAAACTGAAAGTGACATATTCCTTGGAGCAAAGGTCCATCTAATTCAGCATTCCATTTTTCCTCCAAATCCTCTTGCAAATCTAACTACTGTTATCCCCCTTTCTATTTCTTTTCCATACCCTGATAGCAAGAGGAAAGAAGCATCTATGATGAAATCTCTGTGCATCAGCCAAGAGCTTTCCGGCAAAGCTCTGCAAGCACCACTTCGGAGCTGACCAGAGAAGTGTCTGGCAGCTCACCAGCCCCCAGGCCAGCAAAAGAAGACAGCAGCCCCCAGTCAGTGACACCCAGGAAAAAGCTTCAGGAGCAGCAGGAGTCTTTGTCAAGGGAGAACCGGAAGCTGAGCCCAGAGGTAGATTTTTCTTGAGGAAAAAGCTCTGAGTGGCTACTGTTAGAAAGATGCTGGCAGTGGTTTTCAGAAGTTTAAATGGCTTTAAACAGACCAATTACTAAAAGAGGCAAACCCTCGCTCTACTTAAAAGTTGGAAGAGGAAGGTCTTCAGTAGGTGCCGAAAAGGTAAGAGAGACAGTGCCTAATATTCAAGGGGAGGAAATTCCAAAGAGGAGGTGCGACCACACAAAAGGCCTGGTTCCTATGTTGCGCAGAATGGACCTTCTGGTAAGATGGCATCTGCTGGTCACCCTCACCTGAAGAGCCTAGTGATCAACTAGGTATAGAAGGGGTGAGACCATCTTTCAGGTATCCTGATCCCAAGCTCTATAGGGCTTCACACACCAAAACCAGGAACATAGCCAGCAGCCAGTGAAATTCTTTATGTAGGTTCACCTTGAAATGTGAACTGAATCAAACTTCTTTCTCCACCCCTACTGACTACGAGGCAGGATGGCTGTGTTGTACCTCTACTGGGGGGGGGGCGTGATATGCCTCCAAATGCTGGTTGCTGGAAATCAGAAGTGGAGAGCTGTGCTCAGGTCCTGCCTCAGGGCTTCCCATAGGCATCCAGTTGGCCACTGTGGGAACAGGATGCTGGAATGGATAAGCCAATGGCCTGACTCACTAGAGCTCTTTTTGATGTTCTTTGAAAAGATCACTGTCCTCTCTCATCTTGAAATCCTTGTTTAAAAACTGGACATTAATCTCAGCCATTTCTTCTTGCTTTCCTGCCCCTTTCCATCTCAGCAGGACCCCGAAGCAGCCCCACTGGTGCCAGACAAGAGCTGCTTGCTAATAGCAAAAACCTTTGAGGAAGACTTTGGAACCGAAGGAAGCATTGCTTATTCAGCAGTGAAGAAACACCCGTTAGACAACAGGAGCCTGGAGGTGCCAAAAGACATGTGCAAAGTGTTGGTGGACAGTTTGCCAAAGCCTGAAGAACCCGGCCAAGTTAGTGCCTCTCCCTACAAGAAAAAAACAAGTACCGTGTTTGCATTGACTAAGCAATCTGATAGTCTATATGGCAAAAAAGTCACAGAAAACTCCCATCCAGAAACTACTTACTCCATAATTAGCCGAGACCAAGACAAGAGCTGTTTGGCATTCCCTGCCCCCACCAGTGGTCCATCCTCTGTTGCTACACCCAAGAAAGCAATGCTAAATCCTCCTGCTTCAGCTCCTCCCAAGCTGTCTCCTAAGTTACCTAATAAGCCTGTGACCTCCTCAGAACTCTGGGGGTCGCAGTCTCCATTTGCAGCCTATGCCAGCTCCCTTGTGTTCGAGAAAGAGCCTCAGGAACCAAACCACCCCCAGAGTTTGCCAGATTTGCCAAGGGGAAACATGCATGGGCAGATTATTAAGATGAAACACCCTAAATCCACAGCACCCCTCCATGGTGATGATCTTGATGAGGCAAGCAATACTTATGAACAGATTCCTTTTACTTGGTCAAAGGGCATCACCCATGACCCCAATTCAAAAAAGCTTCTCCAGTCTTCACTAATACAGCCCAAAGAGACTTATGATCAAATCTCTGTGAAGACTGGGAGATCCTCTAAGGCACAGGTCTATACTGTGAATCCATGCAAAAAGAGCCCTGATCCATTCTCCAAAGCCTTTTCCTCAAAAAGGAATGTCTTCACTGCAGAGAACACCTATGAACAAATTCACTTCAGTCCTGGAAAAGAAGCAGAATGCAAGGCAAGCCAAAAGGTAAACTCTACTCAGCTTGCATAAAATAGCTCCGCTCATCCAAACCCAGCACCAATCCAAATCAGATCCTGTTGCACTTGCACCCCTTTGGTGTCACCCGGGATGGAACAGGGCCCAATCCTTCCCCCAGATCCCAACATGTGCCCACTTCCCTTATCTGTTTTTGCTGCTCCAGTGGTGGCAGCAGAGTGTTGGAATAGAAGTTTTTCCTGCTCTCCATTCCCGCCCCATGCCTTTCTGGTGCCCAGCACACTGCTTCAGCTGCAAATTAGGCACCTGGCTGGGAAATGCAGTTAGCAAGTCAGAAACGCTGAGAAATTCATACTTCCCAGTGCTCCTGGTGTCTGGGTCACAGCATAGCAGCATGCAAGGCAAAAGGGAGCAGGGAAAGAGTTTTGCGTTAGCTCAGTTGGATAGTTTGTGGTGCTGATAACACCAAAATTGCTGGTTTGATCTCCTTATGAGTCAGTTGCATATTTTTGCAATGCAGGGACTTCGACTACATGATCCTTGGGGTCCCTTCCAACTCCACAATTCCATGATTCTATGATTCCGTCCCTCCCATGATGCCCCTGATGGAACAGCAGTGAAGAGGAGGGGGTGTTCTGAAGGAGGTGTGGCAGGTGGGAAGTGGGGAAAGAGCCCTGATTTCTTCCCCAGCTCAGATTAAAATCCAAGCTGAAGATGAACTTTCCAGGGTGCAAAGCTTGCCTTTTCAATTACCCTCGTGCAGAACTGCTCGGTAGACTACCTAAAAATCTCTCTCTGCCTTCCTTTTGAAATAAACCTTCATGTAATTCATTTCCCTACCAGAGTGATAAGCCCAGAAGATTCCTGTTTGCAGAAAAGAAGACTAAATTCTGAGCACTGTGCTTGAACTGTCGCTCTGAGCCTCAACCTGTACTAAAGATCACTAAATGAGAACCAGCAGCAGCTTGGCTTCCTAACAGTCTTCTTCCGCTGTGTTACGAAACCTCATTGTTTCCTACTCTGGGCTGCAATGGTTGCATTTTTACAGAAGTCCCTTTTCCCATCACAAGGCATGCATGCTTTTCTAGAACGTCCTATCTGCTGCGTCAGACGGTTCTGCTGACATATAAGTATCAGGTCTGATGTTTAGAGATATCCTTAGCAGCAAAAACCATATTTACCTATTTATTTGAAGTGGCTCTTCACCTTGGCCGTGGGTTGGCAAACTATGGTCCGCGGGCCGGATCAGGCCCAATTGCTTTCTAGATCCGGCGCGCGGACGGTGCGGGATCCAGGCAGCCGGCATAGTGTGCGCATGCACAATGGTTTTTGTGACTCAGCCAGGTTTGGGGGTCCAAAGTGAGGCGGGTGGCTGCTGAAGACAAGCCCCTTCTCCGCCCGTCGCCCGCGCAGCAATCTTTTCTTCCGGGGTGGGGGAGAGGGAAAAGGAGCCCCGTTTGGATTTCAGGAAGGGCAGTTGCGGCGGCAGGGGCTCAGAGGCGCCTGGGGAGCGACGCCCGCCGGAGTCTGTGGCAGCGGTGCTCCCCGCGGGAGGAAGCCTGGGCGGCTGCACTCCAGTGCAGCTTTGCGCTCTGCTGGGGAGGCCGCTCATGAGCTACACGGCGCGAGCCAAGGAAAGGTAAATCGCCGCCGCCGCCGCCGCCTCATCTTCCCTCACGTGGGGAAAAGAAGGTTTTTGCTTGAGCGGCGCCGGCCTGACTTAGCGTGGCCAACGGCTTGTCCCTTCACCCACGCATGCGCACGCGCTCTCCAGGGCTGACAGGAATGGCACGCTTACCTCAGCCCCCCACCCACACCCACCCCACCTTACGAGAGAAATAAGAACTGTCAATGTATAAAATGCAAAGGAAGCAGCGTGGGTGTATGAGGGAACACCCCCCCCAAAAAAGTCACATTTGGGCAACGTTGGGGCTGGTCCCAATAAGGGGTTTTGCCAAAAATGTGGGTCATAATCATGGCAACATACAGTCCGGCCCCCCACAAGGTCTGAGGGACAATGGACCGGCCCCCCGCTGAAAAAGTTTGCTGACCCCTGACCTTGACAGAAGTCAAGGCCTGAGAGGCTCTGGCACTTTCCCCCCTTTGAAATGTTTCAAAAGCACCATTGTAAAGCCCATCACAAGCCCCCCTTTCTCCTCCTTTCAGTGTCCCCTCATTTGCTTAGTTTTGCCCTAGAGCAGAGAGGTTTTTATGCCAAGAGCCAAGTTCCCTCATGCACAACCTTCCAGGGGCCACATGGACATCCTAAATGAATAAAAGCATAAATTCTAAAACTAAAGAAAAACAGTTGGGGGTCATTTAACAAAGTTCTGTTTTGGGTGGTGTATTTTGCTTATGAAAGAACATGTATATAGAAAAGTAACAGGAAGAGTCTCACCAGGAGACAACTCCTATAATGACTTTTGTCAAGCTGGTGCCCATGGAATGCTTTTGGGCTACAACTCCCATCAGCCGCAGCCAGCACTGTGACACAGCACCCAACTGCCCCGCTTTGAGCAGGAGACCCCAAATTCACAGACCGGGGATATCACAGGACTATGGGGATTTTAGGAGCTACGCGGGTGGCGCTGTGGTCTAAACCATAGAGCCTAGGGCTTCCCGATCAGAAGGTCAGCAGTTCGAATCCCCACGACGGGGTGAGCTCCCGTTGCTCGGTCCCTGCTCCTGCCAACCTAGCAGTTCAAAAGCACGTCAAAGTGCAAGTAGATAAATAGGTACTGCTCAGGCGGGAAGGTAAACGGCGTTTCCATGTGCTGCTCTGGTTTCGCCAGAAGCAGCTTAGTCATGCTGGCCACATGACCCGGAAAAACTGTCTGCGGACAAATGCCGGCTCCCTCAGCCAGTATAGCAAGATGAGCACCGCAACCCAGAGTCGTCCGCGACTGGACTTAACTGTTAGGAGTCCTTTACCTTTTTATGGGGATTTTCAGTACACCTTTTGGTCCATATAACTCTCTCCCCTAGGAATGGGGAATCTGTGTTTCTCCCTTTGCAATTGGACCACAACTCCCATCATCCCTTCCTCTTCGCCATGCTGGCTGGGGCTGGTAGGACTGAAGTCAAGCAGGGCACCTTGCTGGGAATGGCTGCTGTAGTAGCACTATCAGACAGACAGACAGACAGAGTGAAATCTCTCTAGCCACTGTCATCACTGGGATGCAATGGGGGTGATGGGATTTGGAGCCCAACAGCATCTGGAATCACCCTAAGCACCCACGATAATGGGTGGGGGAGGGTCCAATACTCAAAATTACTTTGCTGTTACTTTTTGTTTCGGGGTTGACACACTATCCTCAAACTGTATCTATATTAAAATCTTGGATACCTAAACAAAACATTTCCTTTTGGGTGCTTCTGTTCAGTGCTCCACTCACCCAATTCCACCTTCCCCTGGCCCTCCTCCCCAGTTTCTCATCCTGTCCCTCTGTAATATTTTCAATCAGTATTTCATGGTCCCTGAGTGCACTCGGTTCTCCTTGCTCTGTTTCTGAAGTCTTCCCTTCCCCATCTTGGGGCTCCATCTGCAGCTCAATGACAGAACATCTGCTTTACATGCAGACGGCCCCAGGTTCCACCTGGAGACTTTGGCCTCGCAAGTTTCAGCAGTGCCCTCTGCAATGCTAATATTTGGTCCCCTCCCCCGCCTCTCATGCTCAGTTTGACATCATTGTTGTGGTTCCCCCCCCCCCCATGGCAGTGTGCCCAGTGTGGCAGAAGCAGTCGCACTATCCTAAAACTGCCTCTGCTGGGAGGCAGCCATGTCTGGAATCCTGGGATGATGGTGTGACTCCATATAAGGCAACTTTCTACATTGGATGAACTGTTTCCTTGTGGGCAGCCGTCACTTTTCCCCTCAGGAAGATCATCGGAAGGCCTTGGGCTGGTCCTGGTTAATTCCCACATGCTGTGGCAAGTTTATTTGCCCCCTCTCTCTAGCAGCCATTAGGAGAAAGCATGAAAATTCACAATGCGATGGGACGGTGTCATGATAGCAAGAGAGAACTTGCTGGTCACATGTGAAATGGTCATAGGTGCCCTGGCCCTCTGTCCAGAGAGGCCTCCAGAATTGTCTTTATTTCTCCCCTGGTTTGGGAGTTCTGAATTACCTGGTCTTCTTTCCAAAGCAGAATGGATGCATTGATCCTCCTCCATCCCTTTTGGACAAGTTTCTCTTCAGAATTCAGAGTGAATTCAGTCCTTTTTAAAATCCTACCCCGTCCACATCACCAATGCACATGCAGACAATGATTTTTTTAAAACCCACAGAAGCATATCTACAAGCAATTGTAGTGTGATTTGTACACCTGTTTTGGTGTGATGATTTGTATAATCCACAGCAGCTGGTATTCAGATGCATATGCCTTTGACGGTAGAGGCAGAGCAGAGCCATTGTGGAGTGCTTTTTTGTGCAGCGTTTTAGCAAGACATGCATCAGTGTAACAAAGGGTGGGAACAATGCAAAGGAACCTAATAAAATGCTGCTTAACACACATGGCAGTGTGGTGCAGTGGTTAAAGTGTTGGACTAAGACCAGGGAGAGACCAGGGTTCAAATCTCCACTCAGCCACAAAACTCATGGGGTAACCTTGGGCCAGTCACTACCTCTCTGCCTAACCTACCTCACAGAATAAGAAGAAGAAGTGTTTTCTTGAAAACACTGACATTTTGGATCTAGAAGGCTTTAACAATGTATTTGGATGGCATGCATATCTGTGGTATGACAAGGTCAAAGCACATAAAGCATTTAAAAACCATATTGTTAGGAAAGCATTGTTTAATGTTTGGATAAGATACAAGGATTTATTGGAAAATAAAACTCCAAGGTGGCTGTCACCGATGGAAGCGAAAGCCTTGAAAAAGCTCAATATGGAGGTCAATTGGCCGAAATATTGGGAAATTTTGGAACAAGATGGAGACAGATTGAAACTGCAGAGTTTTGAAAAACTAAAAAACAAAGTGCGAGACTGGCTTCATTATTATCAGATAATGGAGGCATACAATTTGGATAAGAAAATCGGCTTCCAGGTGGAAAAATCAAAATTAGAAACAGAATTGTTAGAACCCAAAACTAAAATTTTGTCAAAGATGTATAACTTGCTGTTGAAATGGAACACTCAGGATGAAACGGTGAAATCTGCTATGATTAAATGGGCACAAGACGTTGGACATAATATTATGTTTGCTGACTGGGAACAGTTGTGGACCACAGGTATGAAATTTACGGCATGTAATGCCTTAAGAGAAAATATTATGAAAATGATATACAGGTGGTACATAACCCCAGTCAAGCTTGCAAAAATCTACCATTTGCCTGATAATAAATGTTGGAAATGTAAAGAAACTGAAGGTACATTTTTTCACCTTTGGTGGACGTGCCCAAAGATTAAGGCTTTCTGGGAGGTGATATATAATGAACTAAAAAAGGTATTTAAATATACCTTCTTGAAGAAACCAGAAGCCTTTCTCCTGGGCATAGTCGGCCAATCAGTGTTAAAAAAGGACAGAACTTTCTTTATGTATGCTACAACAGCAGCAAGAATACTCATTGCAAAGTATTGGAAGACACAAGATCTACCCACACTGGAGGAATGGCAGATGAAAATGATGGACTACATGGAATTGGCGGAAATGACTGGTAGAATCCGTGACCAGGGAGAAGAGTTGGTGGAAGAAGATTGGAAGAAATTCAAAGACTATTTACAGAAATATTGCAAAATTAATGAATGTTAGAATGATGTTGGATTGAAGTTAAGGGGTTTCTAGCTGTACAGGCCAAAATAATATGGAAAAATTGGTTTTTAATATGTAAAATGTAAAATTTAAAGTTATATTATATCAAGATTAAAGATTAGGATTAAAAGGGAGGGAAAGGAATTGTTGGATTAACATATTTAATTAGAATACAAAAGAGGGAGGTAAGAGGAGGTCCGGGAAACAAGTAAATGTAAAAGAAGTGAGGAAAAGATGAAATTGTTTTTAATTGTTTTTTTCTCTTTTTACTTTGTATTTTTTCTTTTCATTGTTAATTTTTTCTTTACTAATGTGGTTTTCTTTCTGTGAAACTTTAATAAATATTATTTAAAAAAAAAAACCAGAATAATAATAAGAAGAAGAGTTTGGATTTGATATCCCGCCTTTCACTCCCCTTCAGGAGTCTCAAAGCGGCTGACATTCTCCTTTCCCTTCCTCCCCCACAACAAACACTCTGTGAGGTGAGTGGGGCTGAGAGACTTCAGAGAAGTGTGACTGGCCCAAGGTCACCCAGCAGCTGCATGTGGAGGAGCGGAGACGCGAACCCGGTTCCCCAGATTATGAGACTACCGCTCTTAACCACTACACCATCCTGGCACCATACAGGGGTGTTGTGGGGAATAAATGAGGAGGGAAAGAACCATCTACACTACCTTGAGCTCCTTGAATAAAAAATGTGTGATATAAATTCAATGAATGAATATTAAAGCTCCTATTCCAGAACTAATTTCAGAAATCATTCTCGTTATACCAGGCCAAAAAACCACCAAGAAGAATAAAATCAGGAGTAGTTTAATCATGGACAACTTGGATACAGAAGCCACAAATATGTATCAGAGCCCTTCTATAAGACTGTTAGAGAACAGTTATTGTACATGTGTGATTGTCATCCTGCCCCAGTTTTCAGCCAAGACTGGGCATGAAAAGAAAAGGAAGGAAGCTGGTTTTGTAGAGAGGGTATGAGAGCCAAGAGTCAGGGGTTGCTGTCATGCATTTGAGGAGGAAGATTGCATAGCTGGCTTTCTTTAAAAAGCAGGAGATGTCCTTATTCTTGGTGATGTACTTCTTCTTTACTTTTTCATGAGTATGTTCTTGGCTTGATCTTGTGTGTGTGGTTGTTGTTGTTTTGCAATATGTCAGAAATATTGAATTTAATATGAAACTAAATGAGACCCTCATTGGATGCCAGCAACATGATTCAAAAAGAGTCCATTTGAAGAAGAATTGTTTGCTAATATATGACACTTTTTTTAAAAAAAAGATAAATGTTTCAAGTTTCTTCAGGATGTGAGCATCCATACAATACTGGTTGCTTAAGCACCTAAAGCCAGCCCAGTGGCTCCCTGGGCACAGACACCCATCTTCCATGATCAGGGATGCAGCCACATCCATCTGTGTCAGGTGACAGCTCCGGACAGACGGTGCTACGCAACGGTGGAGACATCTCCTGTAAGGCCGGTTTTTATGTTTATCCATTACCTTCTGGGAGTCTCTGCTAGATCGCTCTTTCCTTTTTGCTTGGAGGGACAACAATATCAAATCTTTACAAATATAAAAATTGCAGGGAGACACACAGAGCAGCATCTGGTCTGGTTAAAACAATGTGGCCACCCCACAACTTTTCATCTGCCTGCCACATCACTGGCCAACGGTGAAGGTGGGGGGAGCCAAATGTCTCCATAGGTTCATTCCAGAGAAACAGCTTCTTCTCTTCATTACTGTGAAACTCTGAGATTTGTTCACTCCTCTGTTACAGAATTCAGAGGAGGAGGCTGACATGTAGGCCCCCTTCCCCTGCAAACACATGCAGTGCTTGAGATTCAGAGAGGCAGGACAGGCGTCAAATTATTCCCAGCAGCTCAGCCCAACATTTTCAGATTCGTATATGGAAGGTGCTGCAGAGACATAAACAAGATTCAAGGTAACAGCAGAGCAGAAGCATCGCTTTGGAAGAGCTGACAAAGGTGAGATATAAATGCAGTAAATAAATGAAGTACAGACAAAACTCAGGTGTGTGTGTAGTGGATTAAATATTTTGTCACAAATATCTGAACAGTGGGCTCACATCTTGGAGCCCCCCCTTCAAATACTTGCAACACCCCTGGGCAAACAGTGCCTTGAATTGTACAGTGGTACCTTGGGTTAAGTACTTAATTCGTTCTGGAGGTCTGTACTTAACCTGAAACTGTTCTTAACCTGAAGCACCACTTTAGCTAATGGGGCCTCCTGCTGCCGCCGCGCCACCAGAGCATACTTTCTGTTCTCATCCTGAAGCAAAGTTCTTAACCTGAAGCACTATTTCTGGGTTAGCGGAGTCTGTAACCTGAAGTGTATGTGGCCTGAAGCGTATGTAACCCGAGGTACCGCTGTACATGAAAGCAAACTGGAGACTGGTAAAGATCATAGAACCATAGAATTCTGTTGTTGTTTGAATTTATATACCGCCCTATACCTGGAGGTCTGAGGGTGGTTCACAGAATTCTAGAATTCTAGAGTTGGAAGGGACCCCGAGGATCATCTAGCCCACCCCAGCTGTACCAGGTGGGAATTGAACCTGCAACCTTGGCGTTATCAGAGGAGCTGGTGTCAGTCAGTAACTTGGCTGTGCCACTTTCTGCACTGGCTAAAATAGCTTCCAAGGGCAACCACATAGCCATGCAATGCAGTAATCAAGCCAGGTTGCTATCAGGGGCTCAGATAACCCTGGGCAAGGCACTGTCGGTCTCTGTTGAAGCTATTGCTGCACCACCTGTACCAATCCATACAGATCTGTTTTTTAAAAAATAAAAAGGAGTTTTAGCTTCCACAATGATTTATAAAACAATTTCCTGTGGGAAATGTAACCAGTCTTGTAGAACAGAACACTTAAGCCATGGCCAGCTCTGAGTGCTAATGGGTCCATTAAAATACAAGCAGCCTCAAAATGATAACATTTTTTTAAAGTGAAATAAACCTACAGGGATCAAATTTTCTGAACCAGCCACTGCCTCAGTCATTTACAACTTATTCCTACTTCTGGACTCTGTCCAGCACAGACAATTTCCTCTGTCCTGGCCAGCTATTAGAGCAGAGGGATGGGTTGTCGCTGGAGTTTTTTTTAGTTTTCCTCTTCCGCGCTTATAGGGAAGGGCTGCAGCTCCAGGGGTGCAGCATCTGCTTTGCATGCAGAAGGTCTCGGGTTCAATCCCTGGACTTTAAACGTCTCCCATCTGAAACCTTGGAGAACTGCTGCCAGTCTGGGGAGGTCATATGGAGCTAGACGGACCAATTGTTTCATTGTTGTTTTATAGTTCCTGTGGCCTGTTGTCCACTGTGGATATGGCCAAAATCTGGATTTCCTGCATTGAGCTGGGTTGGGGGTGAACTAGATGACTTACCAGATCCCTCCAGCACTTCTATGCATATCTGCTTTTGCAAAACAAAAGAAAACAAAAAAGATTTCAAAGAGTGAAATCCTTTCGAAAATATGCACGTAAGAACTTGGAACAGAGAGGCAATCATGATCTGGTAAGTTCCCTGTGCAGTATAAACAAAGGCAGCCCAGATGTACTGAGATGAAGCTGACTAATATTACAAGGAGTAATGAAAGTAACAATATACAGAAGCAGCAGGACAGTAACTCACAGATACTGGGTTCCTCTGGCGCCAACTCTTCCTCTTTTATGGAGTAATTTAAAACCCTCTGGGACTGCTGTCATTCTCAGGGATAGCGTGCACTTAGGGGGGAGGGATTATAAAGGCCAGTCCAATATTTTGGATGCAAAAGACCAACATATCCACAAAATACATTTAAAGCACATTTAACACGGCTCCCCCACCACAGAGAAAGGTTCTTGGGAAGTGTAGTTTACCCCTCACTGGGTTACAATTCCCAGCATCCTTAGCAAGCTACAGTTCCCAGGATTCTTTGGGAGAGAGCATGTGCTTTAAAAGTGTGTTTAGAATGATTTGATCAACTCTGCCTAGTCAAGCTATCTGTCCAGATTGCGACCCAGAGCCCCTGTGCCAGAAGGCCTACATTTCACAAGCAGCTGGGGGGGGGTCAGCAGGTGTTTGGACAGCGCCTCTTTAAAGTGCAGAAGGGGGTTGGCAGGAGGCTCGCAGGATTGAATCCATGTACCCCAAATGTCTCTGCACACAGAGGAGGCCAATCTAGAACTCTTCACCCTGCCATTTACAGGAATTATCTGCCGTTTCCAAAGTTCAATGGTGAGTGTGGAGCCTTATGTCGTCAAACCAACATTCTTGCATGTAATGCAATGGTTTCATCTTTTTATAATTGTACATTATACTATTGTAACCCATCCTAGGACCTCTAGATAGATAATGACAGGAAGACAGAGAGAAGGCAACAATGAATTTAACACAATGAAGTTAGAGTGCTTTCTCCTCCACCCCAATCCTCATCCCATCTCCTTCCATGACTATTTGTTTAATTTACATAGTGCCTTCTGGGCATTGCATCGAGGAAGTTCATTGTTTTAAAGAAAGTCCAGCCATTTAATTTAATTTAATAAACATGAATGATGCAAAGCAAGCGAAAGGGGAAGAATCAAATGAGCAAGTTTGGTGATCAGGGACACTGCATGAGACAGTTCTGGAAAAGGGCAATTAGTCCCAGCTAGATGGGTGGAGGAATCCTCACAGGCTCAAATTAGAGTCAATAATCTTAAGGCTGATCAACCAATAGTTTGATTCAACATAAGGTGCCTTCCTATGATTGGTAGGCCTGTATTTCAATCCCAAAGCCCCCTGGAACTGTAGTTCAGTGGAAAGTTGAGTGAATTCCAGAAAGAAGCCTTGCAGCCCCCCAACAAATTAAAAAAAATATTTGTGGTTCTTTGGGTGAATTAAGTTAAAATTTATCAACGTAGATGTGCTACAACTTTCTTGTTTAGTAATGAGCCTAGTTGTTACCACTTAAAAGCAAGTCAAATCAAATATACAAGGGAGCTTTCTTCTTAAAAAAAAAAGTATCATAATCTGATTGGTGGTTCTGTTTAATCATACAGTTAGAATATTTAACTTTTATTTTATATGAATATCTTTCTGTTTTTAGTGTATATTCAATGTATGTTACGTAACTCCTAAAATAAGTATCTGTTCCGGTAATGCTGACTATTTCAGTTCCAAAAAGGGAGAGAAGGTGGTATTTGAACCACAGCATTTGATTCATCAATCCTAATTTAATTAATTTTTTTCAACCCAATACACCACTTAAGCAGTAGGAACTGTTTGGGAAAAGGCTGTGCTGAAACTCTGAATCTTGTTATACCCGTAATTGAATTCCCCCATTAAGCAAATCCCAAATAAGAAAGAACCCAAACTCCGGTCTTTTGCTACTACCTCTGGAGCAGTCCTTTCTAGTGGGTGGGTGTGGGTGTGCGCAGGCATGTGCTGCTGCCCCATTGCAGTGATGCTAAATTCCTGGATTCCTTACCTTCACCTCGCAGGAGTAAAACCCTATCCTCAAAAGGAACTTGCAAGTTCCATCTGGAGATATCTGAGTGGTGGCTTTATCCTTTTCCTGTCTCTAGAGTGTTGTGGGGCAGAATGCAGCCAATGGTCTGTAGCCACCATTCTGTGTCCACTCGTGCAAGAACACTAGCAGATGGGTGAGTGTTAATGTTGTGCAAAGAGGAATTCAGTACAGCCGTTGCATTAGGTTAAACCCATTGAACAACCCTTTTCATGATCTATGGCACCACAAAATTGCCAGCAACTTGCCTACGGTAGGTGTTCTCTTGCTCAGCTACATTCCACTGGTGCAAAGCATTTCACCGACACAGTAAGTACAACTGCTAAGTGATTTTAACTTGGCGCTACATTGGCTACAACCCAGTATCTTCAGGATCCTGACTGCACCTTCCTTTATGCTCTGCTCCTCCTCTCCACACATCTGCAAACAACGCTACAGAAGCAATGCCCTCATCCCATCCTGAAAGGAAAGCCTGCTCCCATTTGAATCATGGGGAAAGCTGTGGAAAGAAAATTTAAAATTCACGGCATGTAGTTCGCTAAAAGAAAACTATATGAAAATGATGTATAGATGGTATTTAACACCTGTAAAACTTGCTAAGATGTATAAAAACTCATCTAACATGTTGGAAATGTAAAGAAAAAGAAGGTACGTTTTTTCATATGTGGTGGACATGCAAAAAGGTAAAAGGCTTCTGGGAAATGATATACAATGAAATGAAAAAAATGTTTAAAAATATTAGGAGATGAAGTGCCAAAGAAGCAAAAGAGACTGTTTACGTAGGCAACCACAGCTGCCAGAATGCTACTTGCCCAGAAGTGGAAAGAAGAGGACGTCCCAATGAAAGAAGAATGGAAGACTAAGATGATAGACTATACCGAAATGGCAAAATTACCGGTAACCGTGAAGATCAGGCACCAAGATGAAGGAAAATTTAATCAAGAATGGGGGGAAACTATAGAGTATTTTAAAGAACACTGTAAAAATGTTGAAACATTAGCAGGGTGGTTGTAGCATTTATGAACTAAAGGTAAAATTAGGATGTGAAAATGAATTTGAAATTAAGTGAAGAAAAATAGTTATATGCAAAGAGAATAAAGGGGGGAATGGAAACTGGTGGGTGAGGGGAAGTCAATCAGTTCTGGGAGCATTGCAAATGCTTATACATGTACCTGAGGAAATCAGGTGCTTTGGAAATCATGTTTTCAAAATCAGAAAATCCAAGCTTGCCATCACCGTCCATATCCGCTTCGTCGATCACTTTTTCGCAGACCAGGCTCACCTCTTCCTCTGTCAGCTCTTCTTTTGTCAAATTGTTGAGGGTTTTTTCCAGATCAGATTTACAAATGAAGTTGTCTGTGTTAAAATCTGGGCAAGCAAAGATGGGAGAAAACAGGTGGTCAACATGCCTCTTCTCCAAGGACACCGTAAGCCCAAAGGGAACCCCTGGATGGCAGGTGACTAAAGGATGTGTGAACGTTATCTCAGTCAGGAATATCAGAAGAGCTGGACTGAACCATTCATCCAGAATCCTGCCAACAAGATACCTCTGAAAATCCCACCAATGGGGACTGTTTGTCCCCCAGCAACTGGAATTGAGAAGTGGGCATGAAGGTCCCACTCTTAGCCATCACGATTCATGGGTCACATCCAGATCATAATTCAAATCAAATTTAAAGCACATGCGCTTGGGAACCATAGTTTGCCCCCTCACAGCTACAGTTCCCAGGATGCCTGGAGGAAGCCGTGTGCATTCAATGTATCTTGTGGCTGTGGCCACAGTTCAGAGCTGAGGAGAGACCATGACTTCACCTGCTTCCTGCCCCTGTTCACGGCTCCTCATCTGCTTCATGGCCAGGGGAAGGCTCAGGTCTGTGGCCCAGAAGGCTTTACAGCATGGGCAGGGGGGTTCCACAGAGTTTAGAGCTACAGGGGCGACTTTTCCAAGTAACCATTAAGTGATCATTACAGTCCTCCCCAGTTCCACTTTACAAAACAGCAGGCCAAGGGGGCGAATTCGGCAGGTGTTGGCTGCTCTACACCAGGTGCTTGCCCATTAATCTTGCAAATGCATAAGAGAATGGCAATTAAAAGGCCATTGCATTGATTTGTTTTATTGTCTTTGGCCCAAGAAGCAGGATTAGCATCAGCCCTATTTAATTATAGAGCTGCAGAATGACATTTAGCATGTTGGGTAATTGTCAGTAAAACAGTCGGCATGGATTTATTTGCAAAAGCTCTGGCATCTGGTAGGTCATTCTGAAATAAAGAAAATAAATCAGAAAGCGTTTTTTAAAAAATATTGGGCCCCCACCTCACCCAAAAAACGCTTTGGTGAAATTTAAAAGCAGCTGTTATACTAAATCAATTATATGCTTCTGAGAATGTTGCTTCTCAGAAGCCCAAGGTTTTTTTTTAAAAAAAAAAATTGCAGTTGTTCCATAAGGCAAGAGTGAATGCACCATTTCCAACTACACAGCACCCCCAGGAAGCTGAGGGAATCATAGAGTTGGAAGGGACCCTTGAGGGTCATCTAGTCCAACCCCTGCCATGCAGTTTACCCATGAGATCGCCTTACTTCACATATGCCCCTTCAGCTGCTTCAATCTGTAGAACTGCCAGAGGTGTCGCATAATATTCATTCCGCATTGTAAAAAAATCTGTATCTTAGTGTGGCAGAACCTATACTTTGGAACTCCCTGTCTATTGACCTCAGCCTTCACTGAACTCTTTCTGCGCCTGCTAAAATCTTTTTGTGTAGACAAGCCTACGCTGATATGTAGAACTTTGTTGTGTGTTTTAATCTGTTTCTAATTTATCACCTATTTATTTATTACATTTTTATTTACAATTAAGCAATGTATAAATTTTATTAAATATAAATCTGAAATGGACCAAAACAAAATTCCCTTCCCTTCTGGTCGATGTTCTAACCCAATGCCAATTCCTCTCCTTACCATAGACCTTGAAGGCGTAGATTGCTTTTAGCTCTCGAGGGGCCGTTTCGCTGAGTACAGAGAACATGTCAACAAAGTCATTGAAGCTGAGGCTCCCCTCGTCATCGTCAGAAAAGGAGTGGACAATCCTCTCCCGGAAGGGGTTCTCCTGCAGAAAGACAGAATGCATGAGCAACTTGCAGATTTGCTTCTCTTTTAAAAAGAAACCCAAAAAGGCAGCACTTTAGCTGAAACACTCCTTTAAAAGTCTCTCTGTATCACCCAAAACAAGTGTACAACCAGGGCTTTTTTCCCAGGGGTCACTCAAGGGTACGCAGTAGCAGCACTTCTTTTTTGTTGTTAAAAAGTGCGCCACTTACGGTTACAACTTCATGCTGAGTACTGGGACCTATTTTTCTAGGGGGAAAAACACTGTGTACAACCTAATACAAAATCCCAATTATAAGTAAGAACTCTGAATCCCCACAAGAGATCACTGGTGAAAAGTCCATTTCAACGCTGAGTTTTTCTCAAGCTCCTGCAAATCATTGGTGCTTTTCAACTCCTGAGGAATGACTAGTTGCTCCCAACTACTCGAAAGTATAGACTCTCTGTCTCCCAACCCTCGGCTTGTCTTGGGAGGTGACTTCAGTGCCCAGATTGGCCTTGTTTCCCCACAAAATACAATATTATCTGGACTAAACTTGGAGGACAAACCCGAAATCTGTTAGAGGGCAGCAATGGACACCACCTCTAACCACACTGGGAAATATCTTTGTGAACTTATAATTAAGCATAACCTTTTGTTATGCAATGGGCATGGTCAAGGGGATCAAGAGGGTTATTTTACTTTTTAAAAAAAAAAAAAAAATTTATTAAGTTTTCCATTTAACAATCCAATCATATCACATTAGTTAATCCGAATTATACCAATACATATCATAAAATCCAAATATTTTGCCGAATTTTTAAATTTTTTGTTGGGGGTACCCATGCTTCGAGTTCAGTAAGGATCCAATCATCTTATATTTCTGCTGCTTTAATGTTCACAAGTCCCATCTTCCAATCTTCTTGTTGTTATCGTTTTTCTTCTTAATAACCTCTGAGTTGTTTCCACAGGCGAGTTGAAGCAAGCATTATTATGTTTCTGTGTGGACTTTCACGCTGATCCAAAAGTCCTATTTTGGCAGGTGCCATTTTGACAGTTCCAATGAAATAAAGTCTAAGCGTCTGCTCATTAATTTTCCCGGACCAGTTGCTCCATAAATCAGCCTTTCCAGGGGAGTTTTTGCCAAATCAGACGTACAATCCAAACATGATAACAGAACAGTGGCTCGCCTCCCCCTTTGACTGTAAATCGAGGGTTATTTTACTTTTATCTCCCCCAGAGGCTTTACTAGCACCATAGATTATATCCTAACATCCAATAATGTGCCAATTGACTGAGACACCTTTAGGATAATTCCCAGAGCTGAAAGTGACCACTTTCCTCTTGAGTTATCTCTGACATCATTTGTTTCTCCTGCCTTTCCTAAATTATTGGATGAAACGGAATATCTGATACTTGGAAAGAGGAGGTTAAAATGGAATGCACAGGTCCAAGAAAAAATGATTCAGATCCTGGATTTCATGAATTTGCTTTATTAAAGGGGGAAATGTTGTTAGAAACAGGAAACATAATCAGACTTTATTAGAACATAATCAGACTTTATTAGAACATAATCAACCAAATGCGCCCACTGATGTCCACACCTAGTGAGTAAAAAATAAAAAGTTTCAAAGACAGACTTGGTTTGATAAGGAATGTCAGAATAGCAAAAAATGCCTATCTTAGAAAATTGAAGTTAAAACATGACAAGCACAATCTTGCTCTACAAGCTGAGGTAGCCCAATTATGATACAATTATAAATTATTACTTAAAAACAAGAAACAAATATATTATGAGTAACAGTGGAAAGCATTGGGAGATGCAGCACTTCAAAAGAACTCACAAAAATTTTGGCATCTCGTTGCCCAAGGTACAAATGGGCTGGGCTACTCGTTAGAAGTATCTGTTCAAGGAAAGGATTGGGTGACATATTTTACAGGAATATACAGCCCCCGCTCTGACTCATCCTCACAAGTTTACTATACTCAGTTATTAGAACTGCCAGAATGGCCAGACGTCACACCCAATCAGATTAATCGTAAGCCAACTAGCCAATAAAGCTCCAGGAGAAGACATGGTCCCAATGGAGATCTATAAGATATGACCGGATTTCTGGTCACCCATTTTTGCAAAACTGTTTTCATACATTAACAGCTCAGGTCGCATACCAGAAGGGTGGAAGCTGAGTATAATTGCCCCAATATATAAGGAGAAGAAGAAGAGTTTGGATTTGATATCCCGCCTTTCACTCCCTTTAAGGAGTCTCAAAGCGGCTCACATTCTCCTTTCCCTTCCTCCCCCACAACAAACACTCTGTGAGATAAGTGAGGCTGAGAGACTTCAGAGAAGTGTGACTAGCCTAAGGTCACCCAGCAGCTGCATGTGGAGGAGCGGAGACGCGAACCCAGTTCCCCAGATTACGAGACTACCACTCTTAACCACTACACCACACTGGCTGGTGGTGATAAGAAAAATCCTGCCAATTATAGACCCATTAGTTTGTTAGATGTAGCCTCTAAACTATATGCCAGGCTCCTTCTTGGGAGACTGGAAGAATGGGCAGATACAAATAAGGTGATATCTGAAGCCCAGGCAGGTTTCCAAAGAGGGAAATCCACATAGGACCAGTGCTTTCTGCTATGTAAATACATCCATAATTTGAAGCAAAAACTATATGTTGCTTTTATCGATCTAAAGTCAGCTTTCGATACGGTTCCTAGACATGCATTGTGGCAGAAATTAGAAAAGACAAATATAGACCGTCATCTATTATTTCTCATCAAAACATTATATACTGACACATCAATACAAGTAAAGATGGATCTGGCTGGCCATCTTACTACTAGAATTAAGACCATTACTGGAGTCAAACAGGGATGCATTTTGGTGCCTTTCTTGTTTAATTTTTATATTAATGACATGGTTAAAGAACTGGAGGGCCTACGGTTTGCCCCTGTCACAATTCTTGACCAAAAATTCTCAGTCTTAATATATGCTGATGACCTAGTACTTGTATCTAGAACCCAGGTAGGCCTGAGACGGCTGCTTGCGAAATTAAGTTCATATTGCACGAGGAATGCTTTATCTATAAAATGCGATAAGACACAGGTCATTGTATTTGGGAAGCGCCTTAAAAAGCATGTTTGGTACCTGGATGAACACATCATAAACCAAGTAAATACGTTTAAATATCCGGGATTTGTTTATTCAGAAGCAGCATCTTGGAATATACAGCTCTCCAATATTAAATTTGCAAGCCTTTAAATCAGCAAAAGCTATTTTGAAATTCGCTGTTTGTAAAGGTGGAAATCTGCTTAACCCAGCTCTATCTGTGTATAAAGCCAAATCAATGGCCCAGATTTTATATGGTGCAGAGGTTTGGGGTACCTCAAAGGTCTCTGGTTTGGAACCCCCACAGAATTATTTTTAAGAGTCCTTTTAGGTTTACCCAGAGACATGCAATCTGCCATGGTCAGGTTGGAGACTCGCATGTTGAGCATACAGAGCCAAATAAATAAAAGAATCCTCTGCTACTGGTTTAGAATTCAACAGATGGACAACACTAGGCTACCAAAAAAATGCCCGATTGAGCTCTCAAATGGATTACCCCTTAAAAACTGGGTACATCACGCTGCCCAACTGATGGGCAAATATGACCTCTCAGTGACTGAGATCAAAGAACTTCCCTTATATTCCCAGAAAAACATTTTTAAATGAACAACCTAATTAATTAAAAACAACCTAAACTCTATGTACACATCCACATGCACCCCATTATATTTTAAACTTAGAGAGGCCCATGAACAAACACCTTATTTCAATGAACTGACTTTTGTACAACTTCGGAAAGCTTTTACAGAGTTACGATTAAATACAATAAACTCTGCTTATAGAGATGGGAGACACAGAGGCATACCAACAAACAAACGTGTTTGCATTAGGGGATGTCCTGAAGTAGAGGACCTTATGCATTATATCTTGCGCTGCCCCTTATATAATGAAGCAAGAGAATGATTTTTAGCACCTATATTGACAAGCTCCCCTGGCTAGAACCCCTCTGACATGATTTTATATCTGCTCGCAGACATAGATAAGTATGTGACCTGGCCTGTAGCACTCTTTGCAATCGCCGCTAGGAAAATTAGAGCAAATTATATAGCCAAGATAGCCACCAACTGTAAAGGAGATGAATTTATTTGACCCTACCTACAATTTATTTGACCCTACAAGCTAAAGGGACGCAGGTCATGCTGTGGGTTAAACCACAGAGCCTAGGACTTGCCGATCAGCGGTTCGAATCCCCGCGATGGGGTGAGCTCCCGTTTTCTCAGTCCCAGCTCCTGCCAACCTAGCAGTTCAAAAGCACGTCAAAGTGCAAGTAGATAAATAAGTGCAACTCCGGCGGGAAGGTACACGGCATTTCCATGCACTGCTCTGGTTCGCTAGAAGCGGCTTAGTCATGCTGGCCACATGACCCAGAAGCTGTACGCCGGCTCCCTCGGCCAGTAAAGCGAGATAAGCGCCGCAACCCCAGAGTCGGCCACGACTGGACCTAATGGTCAGGGGTCCCTTTACATCAAGATATATTCTATCTTTATCACCAAACTCCAAATATAATTGCATACTGTATTAATTAACATTATTTTTAATATATTAGTGGACATGTGGTGATTTTAGCCTATAAATTTGTTCAAAGTCTTAACCTGTATATTAAGGTACTTCTATAGCTCTGTTTAGAGTAGGTAATGTTTTGATAATATAAATGTTTTAAGTTTTTTGTATTAATTCAGCATATTTCCTTTTAACTGTTGAATGATTCTGTGTACATTGCAGTATCCTTTGGCTATGTGCAATAAAACTGACTGACTGACTAGTTGCACAGGTAAAGCTGCAAATGTCAGATGGCTGGAGCCTCTAGGTTAACCGGTGGAAAAGAAGCATGAAAGTAGAGCTGCAAGAATGGATAAGCTTTTCCAGGCTGGGGGCTTGAGGTTCCTACCCATGTCCCAGGGCTTCCCCTTCAAGACTTCCCAAGTGGTAGGACCAGGAGCAGCCTGCTAGTGGCACAGGTGCCCCGGGTGAAAGCCCAGTGGTTCATGGGAGATGTACTTTTCAGCACAGCAGGGCAGGGACAGACTTCATTCTCCCCAGGCAACTCCATCCCTACTCTTACTACCACCCAGGACATCAGGAAGGGAAACAGTGTTTTGGCAAGTAGAGGGGCTGGGAAGGAGTTTGTTCAGAGGGCTAGAGAAAGCAGGCAGGGAGGGCAGCGGGGAGCCGGGATTTTGTGAAGCCTGTCTCGCCAAAGCTTACATCCCAGCCCAAGTTGGAAAAGCAGTGTATCATGGGAAGCTGCCTTCTGCTGACTCAGATAGTTTGCACATCACTCTCAGTCCCGTCTGCACTGATGGCCACAGTTTTCCAAGGTTTCAGGAAGAAATCTCCTAGTCCTACCTGGAGAAGTTAGGAATTCAACTGCAGACCTTTGGCCTGCAAAGTCTGTCTCTCTCTCTCCTTCTCCTAGATGGGCTCCCTTCCCAGGTGGATGAGCCCCATCTGCCCCTCACTTCCCTCCACAGCACGGGCAGAAACTGCCTTCTTGACAGTTGGACCCACTCTTGGTCTCATCTACTCAGTCCGCCAGTTCCAGCTACACAGGAAGCTCCCTTATACAAAGTCAGGCCATTGGGCCATCTCCTTCAACACTGTTTACACTGACCGGGAGCAGCTCTTTTGGGTTTTAGGAAGGATATTTCCCAGCCCCTACCTGGAGATGCCTTGCACATGCCAAGAATGTTCCATACTCCTTCCTCTAAAGTGATGCCAATGTGGCCACACAAGGCACATTTCTTTTCTTGTAGTCCCTGTACACAAGTCCCCTGCCAGTCCACCGGGAGGATGGGCCAGGCTGGGACGAAACAGTAAGACATGCCTTTCCATTGCAAAAACCAGAGCAGAGCCATTTGCCGTCTCCCCCCATGCCCAGGTTGGAACGTGAGCAGCAGCCGTCTGAAGAGTTATTATCTGCACCCAGACATAACATCCTGGGCAAACCAGGACTTCAGCAGCCTCTCTCTCCTTTCCACGCCCCTGCATTACCACCAACTGGTTTTTCTTACAACTGAGTATATTGCCACAGGATCCAGTTACGGTGATGGCAGTTTGCAAAGTGATGAATTAAGGACACTCAGAAGCAGGTAATGAACCTAAATCGTACCGCAGGGCTGCACTCTTATACCAGGGCCGCCCATGTGGTCTGCCAACAAATGTTATCTGGCCCTCAGGTGACCCTACCTAATTTTAATTGAAGTGCAGAGAAAAAATGCCCACAATTTCATTCATTTGGGGGAATCCCCCCCCAAAAAAAGTTGAAAGAGTTGGAGAATATTGGGGTGCTCCAATGCATGCAGTGGCTACTCAAGAGGTCTGGATCATACAGTCAGGAACACCTGTATCCTCCTCTCCTGGGCCAAATTCCTCCCCTTCAGAGGGTGATGCCATGGATTCTGAGGAGCTGATGGAGTGGGATGGGGGAAGCAACACTCATGTCTGCTTGTGTGAGTTGCCAACCTGAGCTCCACTTCAAGGTGCAACCCTGAACTTGAACTCCTGCTGAAAACCCTCAACTGGCTGCAACCTCCACCTGGAACCCACCAGTGTGTGGGCCACTGGCTGAGTTCCTGAGCCAGGAAGACTCATCTAGACATACTGAGAAATGCAAGTAAACACTGTCTTCCAAATGGGGATGGACACGTGGCAGGTACCATGCCATTCATCATGCCAGGAGTTAGGCCACTCTTCTTCAGCCTGCAATAAATCATGGAAACCCTGAGTCCACCTTCCATGTGAAGACACAGGTTCATACAAGCAGCACCTCCATGACATGCTGGCTTAAGCAGGTGACCACCACCTTGCTTAATAATAATAATAATAATAATAATAATAATAATAATAATAATTTGTAGCCCATCCATCTGACTGGGTTGCCCTTCCACAGGAGGCTGTTCCACAGGGTGGGCGCCACTACCAAGAAGGCCCTCTGCCTGCTTCCCTGCAACCTCACTTCTTGCAGTGAGGGAACCGCCAGAAGATCCTTGGAGGTGGACCTCAGTGTCTAGGCTCCATATTGTATGTTGTGATCTCCCATTTTGCAATCTGATGAATTGGTACCTTTTTCTCCCCTCCACCTTCCTTTGTTCTATACTGAGCATACAAATATATCATATGGCAACTGATCATCCCAAAGCTTCCTTCAAAATGTGAAGCGTTAAAATTAACTCATCTGTTGACTCAACCCAAGAATTTAGACTCCTGTATATAATGTCTTGAGTGGTCGATCACCCTGTGCATATATGAAGTTACAAGGCCATGGATATGATGTAAAGTAATCCTCAAGGTTGTGAGCAGGTCAAAGCAACCAAGCTGCAATGGCTCGAGAACAGACTCTGGATGAAGTCATGGATTGCCCTGGGAATCTATGGAAGAAGGGAGGCAGGGGGAGGTGGTATACCTATATAGCCAAATATGAAAACATTTTTAAAAAGAAAGAAGCTGAATTTACATGGAAGTGATGAACCGATCTAAGCAAAGAAACGAAGCTCACAAGAAGTGCCTGGCTCTTGAGTCAGGCCAAAGGCCTGTCTAGTCCCTCATGCAGTTTTCACAGTTGTCAACCAGGTGGCCCTGAGAAGCCTACAAACAGGACCTGAGGACAACAGCCCTCTCCCCATTGGTAACTCCCAGGAAGAATGGAGGAATGGAGATAGTGCGGTGAGGAGGAGGCACAGCACATTTCCCCCCTCAAAAAGTTGGGCACCAGTTTGTTAAGGTTTGCTGGGGGTTGTAATTCTGTGAAGGTGAAAACTGCAGTGCCTGGAATTTTTTGAGAGAAAGAATCTGTTTCAAATCTGCTTTAAATGTATGGTGTGTACGCAGCCTTACAGTCAAAGTCAGTCCCCCCAGTCAAAGATTTTGTGGGGTTGGGCTGCAGAAGAATGGCAGACTGGAGACATGAAAAGTAATACCTTTAGCTCTGGCATGTTCACTATAAGCTGCATAGGTAGTTTAACATCTGGATTCTTCGTATAGTCCATAGGTACCATGTTTGGTGCCAGTTCGTGGTAGCGGCCGTGCAACCTGTAAACAAGCACACAGACACAAACAGAACAACACACAGAAGAGGCTGTAAGGAACTGTTTCCATTCCACAGTGCAGACAGACTCAGGCAGACATGCTGCTCTGAAGCCCTCTTTTATTGCAAACAAAATAGGCTGGGGATTGAGCTGCTGAGTCTTCCTCTCAAAGCAATTTCAGCTTAGCCCAAGACCAGGCATGCATGTTATACTGATCATCTCTGCAGAAGGTCTGATTGTTGAACTAGAGCAACGCTAGCAATGCATCCTCAAGAAGTCCCCACTAGGAAAATGTACTAATAGCACTGCTTATTCTTCCAAGAGATGCTCACTTTTCTTGCAACCAAATCAGAAATAAGTTGCTGATTAATGGCACCACATATCTCTAGGGGGGTTGCTGCTTTGGGGGGGGGGGGAATTACTGTTTAATAGACCATGAGACAATTTCAGACCATGGTTTAGAACCTGCAAGACGATAGGCAGGAGTCTTGAAACAGTACACCTTCCTTTCCCCTTTTCCATAATTTGAATTCCTATTTGGGTCAGGAACAATTTGAGACACATTCTTTAAAGAGAAACTTTCAAGTCTAGCCTTTCGTTGTTATTGGCAAATAAATTTCTGGCAATCTGCAGATACCCCAATTGTGGTTTGTTCCAATTCCACACTAAACTGTGGAAAAGGAGTGGGACAAAGGGAAGTGTGGAGGAGCCCTGAGTGCAGATGACCCCTCAACCAGACAAGGGTGTCCCCTGTCCCTATTACTATTTATCTTGGTGTTGGAAATTCTGAATAGGAAAACAAGGAATGATTAAGTTATAAGAGGTATAGTATTAGGGAAAAAATCTTATAAATTGAGAGCTTACGCCGATGACCTTATCATTACTATGGAAAATCCCAAAGAAAGTTTACCAAAAGTGATTGAGGTGATAAAAGAATTTGGACAGGTGGCCGGTTTTAAAATTAACTGTAAAAAAAAAAAAAAAGTTAGTTAAAAATATAGGGCCGGAGGAAAAAAACGAATTTCAAAAAATTACTGGATTAGAGGTGAAGAAGAAAGTCAAGTACTTAGGGATTTGGCTAATGGCAAAGAATATCAACCTATATCAGGATAATTCTGTAAAAACTTGGAATGAGATAAAAAGAAATTTGGAAATTTGGGGTGGACTACAGCTTTCTTTTTGGGGAAGAATCTCCACAATTAAAATGAATGTCCTTCCGAAAATGATTTTTTCCCTCCAGACTATTCCAGTGTTAGGGGGAATGCGCTGCTTTAAGGACTGGCAAAGAGACATTTCAAAATTCACACGGCAAGGGAAAAGACCTAGGATTAAGCATGAGCTATTAACTGATGTTAAGGAGAGAGGGGTTTTTTCCTTGCCTGATCACAAATTGTATCACAATGCAGCATGCCTATCTTGGATCCGTGAATGGGTAGTACTGCAAAACACAGACCTGTTGGACATAGAGGGGTTTGACCGCCATTATGGTTGGCACACATACTTGGCTTATGACAAGGTAAAAGTCCACAAGGGTTTCTTGAATCATATGATAAGAAAACCCCTTTACAAAGTATGGACTAAATATAAAGATTTACTCGAACTGAAAACCCCTTGGTAGCTTTCCCCTATAGAAGCTTTTGCAGTTAGGAAAAAAAAATATGAAAAAGAACTGGGCAACTTATAAAGCCTTGCTGGAAGAAAAAATTAATAAATAAAGCCTAAAGAAATTTGAGGAGATCCGAACACAACTAACTGATTGGCTCCAATATTCTCAACGTAATGAAATATTTAGAAAAGACAAACAAAGGGGTTTTGCAGCAGAGTTATCAAGATAAGAGAAAGATTTAATCCAATTGAAATAAAAACTTTTATCCAAGATGTATAAACTCCTCGATTGGAAAGTCAAGGAGGAGGAGGTAAAATCAGTTATGGTTCGATTGGCCCAGGATTTTGGCTATAATATCCAAATGGATGTGTGGAAAAGACTCTGGAAGGTAGACACAAAATTCACTGCATGTTATAATCTGAAAGAAAATCTGATGAAAATGTTTTACCGATGGTACCTGACTCCAGCCAAATTAGCCAAAATGTATTAAAAAAATTGAATGTTTGCTGGAGGTTTAAGTCAGAAGGTACAATGCTACATATGTGGTGGAACTGTGTGAAAGTTAGAGAATTCTGGGACATTATATATAATGAACTTTTAAAAAAATCTTTAAATGTTCATTCAAAAAAAAAACCCAGAAACCTTCCTGTTAGGAATCATGTATAATGAGATCCCCCAAAAAATCAGAAGAATTTTCATGTATGCAACAACGGCAGCTAGAATTTTGATAGCAAAAAATTAGAAAGGAGAAGTGACACCCACCAAATTAGACTGGCAGGTGAGGATGATAGAATATATAGAACTAGCCAAAATGGCAGGAAGTTTAAGAGAAGATTCAAAACAAAGATTAAATAAAGAATGGTATGTCTTTAAAGAATATTTACAGATACATTGTAAAAATGTAAACGCTTTGATGAGTCTAGACTGAACCTTGCAGGACAATATGGAACACTAATAAATAAAGTGATAATTAAAATTAAGAAATGATAATACAAAGCGTGAAATTGAAAATGAAGCCTAGAAAACATTGCGGAATGAATGGAAATCAAAGGAACAAGTGATTTTTTTGGGAGGGGGGGTTGTTCTTTGGTATTGTTACTGCATTGTTTTGTTTTGTTTTGATTGTTCGTTTGTTTTTAAAGTATTGTTTCGATAATGTACCGTATTTTTTGCTCCATAAGACGCACTTTTTTCTTCCTAAAAAGTAAGGGAAAATGTCTGTGTGTCTTATGGAGCGAATGTGTGGTCCCTGGAGCCGAATTGCCCAGGGGCAAAAAGCAGATGGTGCTTTCTTCTTCTTCTTCTTCTTCTTCTTCTTCTTCTTCTTCTTTTTTTGAAAGAGGGAAGTGAATGTTGAAACAAAGCTGCTGATCGTTTGCTGATCAGGGAGAGAGATAAGGGACGCTAGAGATAAAGGAGTCTGCCTGGGAGGGGGGAGGTAAGGACAGCAAACTTGCAAAGTGGGGAAACAGGAAGACTAAAGCAATAAGGAGAGAAATTAGAAGAAAAGGGGGAGCAAAAAACTGCTCCAGCTATGGAAAAGACCCTAAGGCAAACAAGAGGGAAGGGAGGGTTGAAAGGAAACAGCTAATCGGCGGGAGCAGAAGAGAGATAAGGGATGCTAGCGGAGGCTGCCTGGGAGGGGGGAGGTAAAAACCCACGGATCCTCAGGATTTTTACATTGGGTCACCTCAAATTCACCATCAGATCACATAACATGTCCATGGCTACAGCCTGCACCAAAAAAATCACGCACCCACTGTTGCCTGGGGCCGCAATGGAGCAAAAACGTGGTTACAAAGTATGGATCCACATGGATGCTCAGGATTTTTGCATTAGGTCACCCCAAATTCACCATCAGATCACATGGCCACAGCATGAACCACAAAAATCATACATCTACTGTTTCATTCAGAATATTTTTTTTCTTGTCTTCCTCCTCTAAAAACTAGGTGCATCTTATGGTCAGCGAAAAATACAGTGTTAGAGAGAGAGAGAGAGAGAAGATGATCCCTCTGCCTACCCAGACAGGAAGTCCCTATCCCACTGTCAGTAGCTAACTTAAGTTCCATTCTGCGTCTTGATTGGTTGCTAGTCTTTCCAGCTCTCACTGGTTGCCGGGGAACCAGAGGTGGACCCAGGGCCTGCTCATCTCAGCTAGTGCATATTGGGACTGGTAGGGTGACAGGCAGGGAGACCAACAGCAGGTGGCGCCAGAGCCAATGCAGGTGAAGCCAGCACCTGACGGGTTGTAAGAAACAAGTCAGGCTGGTGGGGAGATGGCTGCAGTTGGCAGGGCAGTGCCCTCTTTGCTAGGCTGTAAGGCCAACTCTAGCCGGCTGTGCAGACCTCTGCCACCTTTGTGACAAGAACTTCCCAGGAGGCAAACTGCTGGGAATGGAAGATAAAAGCTGGTAATAGCTCATTGATTAGGAAGGCTTGAGTGGCCATTAGGCCATGAGAGATTCTGAGCATCTCATTATGTCTCCTCCACAACAATGCCAGTCGATTCTGGCCTGCAGAAGAGATTGCAAACCAGGAATGTGCATGGACAGGGGCGGGGTACATATCTCACCATTTCCAGAGCCTCGGATTTGAGGAGGATCCTTTCCTTCCCCCTGATGCACCCCCACCAAAAAAGGAAACATCAAACCCTGAGACGTGAACCAAACAGTGTTTATGAGATTTAGTAGAAAACTGCTCCAGCATACATTTTGCGGTGCTCGATGCATTTTCTGCCACTGTTTTCCTCACTGGTGATGGGATTTTCTCATTTTCAATGAGAACATATAGTCTTACATTCCTAAAATGTGCCTGAGGCCCTCTTTCTCCCACCCAATACTGCTGAACAGCCATGCTGTGCCAAGAAACAGAGGGGACATTTATCATATGTGGTGGTCATGCAGAGCAACTAAAGAATCTGGTGAGATTATTTATAATGTGATAAAAAAATGTTTAAAAGTTCATTCCCAAAAAGACCAGAGGCGTTTCTCTTAGGAATAATTGAGTCAGATGTTCCTAAGAACTACTGTATAAGAATTTATTTCACTATGCAACAACTGCAACTCGAATTGTATATGCCCAAAAGTAGAGGGAGGGAGCAGTCCCAATGAGAGAGGAATGCTGAAAACGATGAGTTGGTGAGTCTAACCAGCAGAATAAGAGAGCAAGATAAAAGAGTATTTAAAGAGGATTAGAAAAATGTTTGTAGAATATATGAAGAACTACTGTAAACAGGTAAAAACGTTAGCAGGTTTAGAATAAATTCAGCAGTACAAAATATGCAGAAATGAAACGAGAAACGAGACAATACGGAGTAATAATCATATGCAGTAGTAAAAGATATTAGAACCCACGGAAAGGAGGAAGGGAAGTCAATGTTCATTTTTTAAAAAGATTGCAAGGTTATATTAAAATTGTAATGATGTAACAATATAAATAAAAAAATAAAAATTTAAAAAACAAGAACACCACCACTGTGGGAAGTATCCTGATATTGTAAGGTTATTACTGATTTTTTTTTTTATTTTACTTGTAAGCTGCTTCAGAAGAATTTGCTACCTTCTAAAAGTGGGATAATGGTGCTGATAAGAAATTTTATTTACACATTTTTTTCAAATTCAGAAGTGATGGATTTCAATTTTCTCTGCATATTAGTTTGTAAGATTTTTCTCTTCCCACTCCACAAATTTAGGACACATGAGCAGAATCCTTTTGACTTTCTGAAATCCCAAAGTCCTTCTGGAATTCAACTGGAGCAGAAGCAAAGGGATGCCAGGAACTCGGAGCAATGATGAGGTGAAGCTGAGGGATTCCACTCAGACCTATCCAATCCCTGCTCTGTCCAGACGAGCAGCTTTGAATGTGAGGGGAGAAGGGGCCAGGTGAGGTGGAGACACAGAAACTGGGCAGCTATCAGGATAAATATCACATTCAGCCAATGGGCCATGTTCAGTCAGCAATTTGCCAGCTGACTGAACATTCCATTTTCATTTGTGATGCTTCTGCAGGAGAGCAAAAAGCATTCCTGGGCACCTGGATTTGCTGAATTGGGTTTCTTGTCCTGAAGCCTAAAGGGAGAATTTTTTTTAAGAAAACAGATGGGCTGGGAAATGAGTAGGCATTATTGGGGGGGGGGAGACATGTGATGGAGAGAAATGATGGCTTGTGGGTTTTCTTTTTTATTTTATTTTTTTAATTATGGGCTGAAACTTTGGACACCACAGCAACTCAAGTTAACTCTGCCCACTTTGCATACAGAAGGGTCTCAAGCTGAATGTCTGGCATCTCCAGTTAAAGAACTGGGTCTCAGGGCTGGGAAAGGAGGTTTGCCAGAGACCGGGTGCCAGCTGGATCAGACCAGCCTTCCCCAGGGCTCAGTGGTAGAGCATCTGCCTTGCAAGCAGAAGGTCCCGGGTTCAACCTCCACCCCTCCATGCAAGGTACAGAGGGACTCCTACCAGAATCCTTGGAGAGCTGCTGCCAGTCAGTGTAGAGAAATACTAGGCTAGAGGGGCAGGAGGGGAGCCCCAAGAAGCCTCTGGCTGGTGAGGAGACCCCTCCCCCCCCCAGCCTGAAGAGGTCCCTTCAGAGCTTCCTCGGAAACTCCTGTGATGGACAGCAATCAGGCTTGGCTCTTCTCAAGATATCCCTGGGACACCAAAAACCATAAATAACACAGAAATGGGGGAAAGGCTATGGCCAGACAATAGCTGATGTCATAAAATTTACCTGTGTCCAGGGGCGTAGGAAGGGGGCGGGGGAGGGGCGCCCCGGGTGCCATCATGGAGAGGGTGACAAATGATCAAGGAACAATTACTGCCCTACTAGGGTGGTTCATAAAAAACTTTTTTTAAAAAAAGTGCCTGCTCCAAAGGTCTTATCTTAGCACACTAGGGATTATATAGCTATATGTGAAATTCCATGCATATCAGTTAATAACTCGACCCTCCTCCACGAAAATAGCTGTTTACTTGGTTGTTTCCCTGTCATGAAGGCTAAAATTTCCCTTCAGTGGAGCAGGGTCAAGATATTAACTGATATGCAAGAAATTATATAGCTATATAATCCCTAGTTTAGTAAAATAAGACCTTTGGAGCAGGCATTTTTTTAAAAAAGTTTTTTATGACCCGTCCTACTGCCCCACCCTCCGCTTGGCTTCCCAGGTCCTGCAAAGTCGGCCTGGGGAAGAAAATGAGACTCCGCCGAGTAGACCAGGCCTGGCCTTGCCTTCGCCCCGCCCCCTGCACACAGCCGATTGGCCAGCTGGGTTGGGGGCGGGGCGAAGGTAAGGCAAGGCCTGGTCTACTCGGCCTCCTTTTCTTCCCTAGGCCGACTTTCTGGGCTGCTGAGGAGGCCTGTCCTGCGCACCCCCTTCGGGCCCAAACCCCTCTCCGAAAAACCTTTGCTGCCCCCCAAAGTGGAGCGTGTGGGACAATGGCAGCGCTGCCGCCCCGCTTTGCCCGCGTGTGGCGCCGGGAGGAGCAGCTCGGCAGGCCGGCCTCCCCTTTGCCCCCAGCCTCCCCTGCGTGAAGCCAGGACCCCCCCCCCCCCAAAAAAGCAGTTGTGTAATTAAAAGAAGATGAGAAAAAGCAGCAAAGCTATTCTGTGGCTAATTAGGGTCTATTAATGAAGTTCACACTTTTGACAACCAGTCTGATACTTTTGCAGAAAAATATTCCTAGACGCAAGACTTTTATTTTTTATTTCTTAAGCCCTTTCAGTCTCCTATCTCAAGGCTAAGTACAGCAAACTGTACATTCCCACCCCTCTCCCCAAGGCTGGATTTTATTCACTTTTGTGTGCTGGTGTATCTGTGTCTCCCTTGTATCTATTAGGGACTGTTCTCTTGCCTTTCCTTTGATATCTATGCTACTGATTACTTCTGCTGTTTTAATTTTAGAGAAAGTGTTTAATTTAAAAAGGATCTGAACTATAGAATAACAGTGGTAACAATACATTGAAGACAAGTTAATCTTTTGGGGAGGGTGGTCCCAGAGCCCTAGCGCCCCCACCCCAAAGAGGATCAAATGGGCTGACTTTGGCACTCTTTTGTCCTCCCCTCCCCCAAGGTCTTTCTCTCCATCTGCGCTGGCTCCCTGCCTGTTACGTTACATGCGGGGAAACCCATGTGGGGTTCCTCTCTGTGTAAAGCCTAAACACAATCCATCCTGTAGATTTAAGTATCTGTCCACAGTCGGCTACTTTTTATCAGAGGCGCAGAATCCATATTCCTTTGTAAGAAAATATGAAATAACGTAAAACCATTTTTGAAGGCAAAAAAAAAATTTAAAAATCAACGGGTAGGGGGGTGACAAGAAATTTTCTGCACCAGGTACCACCTGACCTTCCTACGCCTCTGCCTGTGGCCTTCCAAAAAATCCAAAGCTGAAGCAATTCTCCTTAGGAGTAATTTCATGTTGTGACAGACAGACCCAGAACCAATTAGCTGGCTCAGTGGAAAGCAACACGGCCCCCTCCGTGAATCCGTAGGCGGGAGGGTGTTGCATCTCTCAGAGGCCAAGTCCCGAGGTGCTATGTGCTCCCATGGATGTTGTGCCACATACACTTTCAGAGATCCATGCTCCATCTGGGATGCCTGCTGAGCTACCCTGAAAAGCCTGCTTTTTATCTCCATCTATTGCCAGTTACTAATGGGATCTTGGAGCACATTTCTTTCTTTCTTTCTTGCTGTGGACAAGCATCAATCATATTCCCTCATTAAAGGTTTTCTTCAAATTATCATTGAAAGAAGAAGGAGACAGGCAAAAATCCATTAGCCGGGAGAGGCTCCCAGATTTAATTATTCCACTCTCTTGAACATTTTTACAGGAAGGAGAAGGTGGAACTGGGCCATGGAGCCTGACCCTAGGTCCTTTGGGAAAGGGCAACGTGGGGAGTTGTCATCTTGGAATGAAAGTCCACCCCTGGCTACTCATCACGGCTGCAGTTAATCTCAAGATTTTGAATACCAGTAGATGATGAGCAGCCATGAAAGAGAGAAGTTGTTCAGGGTGCAGAACCTCCTTCAGTCCAAGGGCCACATTTCCACATGGGAAAGTTTTCAGGGGCCAGAGGCAAAAGCAGACAGAGCAATGGGTGCAACTCTCACCTTTGCACGGGAGGCTGCATGCCAGCCACACAAAAGCCAGAGGTTCAGAAGAGCATTAAGAGCTCTGCTGGATCAGGCCAATAGCCCATCTACTCCAACCTCCTGTTCTCAAAGTGACTACCCAGATGCCTGTAGGAAACTCGCAAGCGGGATCCCATCCCAGTGTGAGAATACTCCCCCCCCCCCATGGTTTCCAGCAACTGGCATTCAAAAGCAGGGCAGAGAAATAAAAGCATACACGCACCACACACAGCCTCTTTAAAATGATGAATTAGGTTAATCTCACACCTGCCAAACAAAGAATGAAATTCTAGCACTCTTTCAAAGAGACTTGGCAGGGGAATGGAAGCATCTTTTGGAGGCAAAGAAAACTTTGGAGAAACAAGAGGTCCGGTTTCAACAGAACACCAGTTTGGGAAGGATGGGGGGTTTGGCTGAGCCATGCAAAGATACAGCATACCTAGCAGACAGAAAATGTTGGCTGTTCCTAAGGGGAAATATTTGTGAGGAAGGGTCAGCCAGGCAGGGCATCAATAAACCAACGGAGACTGTACCCATTAGCACAGTTCCCTTATTCCACCCTCCAGTGCCTGCCTGACACATTCTTTTCTCCTCAGACTATTATGTTCTTTGTGGGAACTGAAAGTCCTGCAGCCTTGGCTGGACAGAGAATTATCATTCATTTTTATTTTACCTTTTAGGTACACTGAACACAGAAGTGACACTTGTTTTTGCTGAAATGAATACATATAATTCTAGGGAGGGTCTACACTAGCTGGCACTGCTGTAAGTGCCACATAAAACCCTTCTGCACCTGCAAGAAATTGATCTCTGGGTGTGGCAGCACCTACTCTGTGGAACTCCCTGCCCATTGACATCAGGCAAGTGCCTTCACTGTACTTTTTTCAGTGTCTGCTGAAAACATTTGTGATGAGACCAGCCTGAAAGCATGAAGACATGACAATTCTTCTGGTATGGGAAACATCTGTAAAAGGGAGCAGAGACTCCTTGTCTGGGTCATCATCATCTGAGCATGTTCATTGATCGGCATCTCAGGAGGCTCTCAGCTAGGAGGGCAGGAGCAACCCTGGCCTGAGTTCTTGGACAGCAGCTGACAGCCAGAGTAGACAACACTGGGCTAAATGGTAGGAAAGCCAGACAGTGCCTGGAAGCAGGACAATCACTCCGTTGTAGAAAGTGTGGTTTGTCTGGTCCCTGCTTCATAGATCCCTGGAATCTCCACAATAGATAAGGCAGGAGGTGATAGGAAAGACCTCTGCCAGAGCCCTGGAAAGGGCACAGCTAGCTGGGCCTCATCCACTCTTAGCTTTGCTCCGTGTTTCTAGGCACACGCCCAGGCTTTCCAGGTCCGTCTCCAAGCAGGGTGTTTGTTTGTCCCAGCATTTCCCCAGAAAAACCCACATTTTACCGCTGAATTGGAGCAACCAGCTATCAGGTTCTGAGAATTGCTGCCTGCTCCAATTCAGCGGCAAAACACAGGTTTTCCAAGGGAAAGCACCAGGACAAAGCAAAGCGCTCAGAGCTGGGCCTGGGAAGCCTGGATGGACTTGTGCCTAGAGGGCCCCCAGCAAAGGCCTGTGCAGATGAGTCCTCAGCAGAGACAACGATGGTCCAGATCAGGCAGACAAAGTCGGTGGCCGCCAGATGGTGCCAGGCAGCAGCTTGCCCTCACTGGGATCATCTTCTCCCTCTTAAACCAAACCGATAAGAACGCAAGAACATGCAAACAGCCTGCTAGATCAGGCCTAGGACCCATCTAACCCAGCATCCCGTTCTCACAGTGGCAGATATCTGTGGGAAACTGGCAAGCACAAAAGCCCTCTCCCTGCAGTTTCTCGCAACTGGTATTCAAAGGCATCGCTGCAGAGGCAGAGCATGGCCATCCTGGCTAGCAGACATCCATAGCCCTCTCCTCCGTCATGAATTGGTGCAATCCTCTTTAAAGCCATCCAGGTTGGTGGCCATGGCTGCCTCCTGTGGCAGGGAGTTTCATAGTTTAACTGGACTGCATGAAGAAGTCCTTTCTTTTATCTTGCTTCACTTGGGTGGTTTCTATATCACCAAGCATTACATCTCAGTACACAAACCCTTTCTTCTAAAAAGGAATCTGAACTTCCTGAATTCCTTCCACTGGGAATGATGTGAGCACCACCACCAGCCCCAGCACAAATTAGCAGAGCAGAAGGAAGTGTGATCTGCTTACCGAAGGATTTCCTTTCGTGTGAAGAAAGTGCAATCCTGCAAATGAGACAAAAAGAGAAAGGAAACATGGTGTTTTCATTGGGAAGGTGGTAAGAAAAGTATTGACTGATTTGAGAGGGTGGTGGTGATAATTTCATTTATGAATCGCTTCCTGTGTGGCATCCAAAAACAGCTGGCATATAGAAAACATTTAAAACAATGGAATCTGTAAGAACAATTAGAAAACAATTACATATAGAGAAACAACTTAAAACAACAACAGCACAATTATGTTCTGTGTTTAAGAAAATGCTTTATTCTCTTGCTAACTATGCTGTTTTAAATGTGTATTCTACATTTGACCTCCTTTAGTAATGTCTTATTTTGAAAACTTTAAGATAATAAAAAAGGTTTGCTGCATAAAATGTCTTGTTTTGAAATCTTTAAGATAAAAAAGATAATGGAGCAAGCTTTTTCCAGCTCTGAAGGGCAGGAGTCAAACAAGACAGGAGATTTCGACTAAACATCAGGAAGGACTTTCTGACAGTAATTGCTGTTCAGCAATGGAATGGTCTCCTTCGGGAGGTTGTGGACTCTCCTTCCTTGGAGGTTTTTAAGCAGAGGTTGGGTGGCCATCTGCCAGGGATGCTTTCTGGCGAGAGGACCCTTGGGGGTCTCTTCAATCTCTATAATTCTATGATTCTATGATTTTACAATATTTTACTTTTTTGTTAATTATGTTGCTTTGAGTTTATATTTCATGTTTGATCTTCTTCTGTAATGTTTAATTCTAAAAATTTGATGTTTTAATGTTGATTGCAAACTACTTTGAGGTACAGTGGTGCCCCGCAAGACGAATGCCTCGCAAGACGGAAAACCCGCTAGACGAAAGGGTTTTCCGTTTTTGAGTTGCTTCGCAGGACGAATTTCCCTATGGGCTTGCTTTGCAAGACGAAAATGTCTTGCGAATCTTGAGATTTTTTTTTCGCTTTCCCCCCCCTTTATCTAATCTGCTAAACCTTTAATAGCCTTTAATAGCCTTTTAGCAGCTAATCCGCTAAGCCTTTAAGCCTTTAATAGCCGCTAAACCGCTAATAGCGCTAATCCGTTAAGCCGCTAATAGGGTTGCTTCGCAAGACGAAAAAACCGCTAGACGAAGACTCTCGCGGAACGGATTAATTTCGTCTTGCGAGGCACCACTGTATTAATGTTAAAAATATAAAGTGGTATAGAAATAAAATGAATAAGAATAAGAAATAATAATTAAATAAAAACAGCAGGGATAAAGCTCTCTATTTAGAAGAAGAACTTATTCAGTAGTTGCCAAAAAGACAAGACTCTAAGAACATGAGCAGAGCATCTGCTGGATCTGGCTGTTAGTTTCTGTTTGCCACTGTGCAGTGCTTTGAGTCACAAGACTCTGTTTACATTCCAGAGACATTCCAGGCTGTTGGAAGTCTCACAGGAGACGGGAGATGGATGTGACGTTACTGGTTTCCTGTTCCTTTTTTTTTTTTTCAATTGCTCTCTGCTTTCACAGAGAGAGGATGTGTTTTCTGTCTGCATAGCTAGGAAAATAAAACTCTTTGCAATGTAGCCATAAATCTCATCACTTCCGCATGCTGCTTTGATTCTCTGAGTAATGGGGAATGTGCCTGGAGCCTTATCAAAGGCTCAGGTCGTTAATCACGTCGGAGGCGATTCTGGAGGAGCTCGGCCAATCGCAGGTTCCAACATTTTTGGTTATGGGCCCAGAAGAACGGAATGCAGCTTATCTTCTCTGCATGTCAAGAAGATTGATGAGAGGTATGTGCTCTTGCCCCGGGAAGCCTGCCAGTCCTTTTGAACTTCTAGCCAAAGCACTGACCAATTGTGGCAGAAGCTCAGGGGCATGCAAATGCCTCAAGAAGGGTGCTTTTGGAATGCAGCTGCTTGTAAACAGACAGAGCCTGCTTCAAAATGACACAGAAGGCTAATGCCAGAATAATGGAGGCCCTTCAAAATGCAATGGCAATTCCGAAGCTCACAAAGAGGAATTATCAGGACTGGGTGCAGTATGCAGAAGCTCTGCTAAGAAAAGAGGGTCTATTTAATGTGATAACAGACGCCCCACCCCCCAGCTCCAGTTACCGAAGCATGGGAGGCTAAGGATTCCAAAGCAAGGGGAACTCTGACGCTGATTGTGTCCCCTGAAGAGCTATGTCTTTTGCGTGACAAGGCCTCAGCCAGAGAGATGTGGGACAGTCTCCAACAGTCACATTTAAGAACAGAGGTGGGAGCTTCTTTGTACTTTTATGCCAGGTTGCATGATATGACACTTGTTGATGGAGCAGATGTACATGCTCACCTCATGGAAATACAGAATCTCAGGCATGAGTTGCAACAGTGTGGAATCACCTTCCCAGAGGCTGTGTATTCCTTCATGATTCTACATTCTTTGGGTTCAAGCTGGGAAGTGATTGCCAGCCAGCTTGCTGTTTTGCCTACTGCTCAGCTAACAGTAGCGCATATTACTGCTGTGGTGTTGAATGAAGCGGATCAGCATAGTGCTAGCTGTATCATCAAGGGGGAGTCCTCACAGACGTCATCCCAGAATGCAGTGCAACCACTAGATGGTGCCAAAGCTTTGAAGTCAGTGAAATGCTACTCATGTGGACGTCTTGGCCACATGAAGAGGGAGTACAAACATCCCAAGGCCAAGACAACAGAGCAGCGCAGCGAAAGCTCAACGCGTGGAAAAGGCAAAGGCAAAGGGCCAATGTCCAGGACAACGCAACACAAGGCTATGGTCTCACGCTTCACTCCAAAGGTCCAGAAGACGTCTAGATCTTTCTTCATCGTTGACTCGGGAGCGACCCGGCACGTCTGCAAAGACAAACACCTGTTCGTGTCCTTTACTCCGCAGGAAGGTGCTATTCACCAAGCGGATGACCACACGATCTCCAGTCAAGGCTATGGAACGGTTGTTCTTCAGAGCTTGGGTGCATCAATACGCAACATTCTTTTTGTTCCGGATGCTGCACACAGAGCTTTCCAATCCTTAACAGTAGGATTGTTGACTTGTCTGCTTAGCAAATTCATGCTAACTACAGTGTCAGGTCTTGAACATCTGGCAATGAAGTTTAGTTTGCCTAGCACACTTCTGTACAGTGTAGTGTCAGAAAATGCTTCTTCAGTATCATCTACCTGATAACCTGTTGTCATTGGGGTGTCTACAGGGTTAGCATCCATCAGGCTTAGTTTGGTTAACACATCAGCAATTTTCTGTGACTGGTGTACTAAAATAATGTTGTTGTTTAGTTGTTTAGTCGTGTCCGACTCTTCATGACCCCATGGACCAGAGCACGCCAGGCACTCCTGTCTTCCGCTGCCTCCCGCAGTTTGGTCAGACTCATGTTTGTAGCTTCGAGAACACTGTCTAACCATCTCATCCTCTGTCGTCCCCTTCTTCTTGTGCCCTCAATCTTTCCCAACATCAGGGTCTTTTCAAGGGAGTCTTCTCTTCTCATGAGGTGGCCAAAGTATTGGAGCCTCAGCTTCACGATCTGTCCTTCCAGTGAGCACTCAGGGCTGATTTCCTTAAGAACGCTATTTGAAAGGCACTATGCATTACAGACAGAGATTTAACAATCAGAAGTCTGATGGTCTTGAGATATTTGCTGATGCGAGTTTTGGAAGTGATACTACAGACAGGAAAAGCATGTCTGGAGTTTGCTATATGTACAACCAGGGTCTATTTGATTGGTCGTGCAAGAAGCAAACAACAGTAAGCTTAAGTTCTTGTGAAGCTGAACTGAATGCACTGTCTTATTCACTTGTGGATTGTGAATGGTTGTTACAATTGTTTAAAGTCATGAGAATTCCTGTAAAGTGTCCAATCCAGGTTTATCAGGACAACAAAGCATGTTTGGCTTTGCTGACTTCTGAAGGTTGTAAGCAAAGCACAAAGCACTTGCAATTGAAGCTGCAACATGCTAGAGATTGTGTTCAGAAAGGACTCGTAACGGTGTCCTACATGCCAGGTAATGAAATTCATGCTGATTTATTGTCCAAGGATGTTTCGAAGGATCAACACTGTACCTATGTACAGAAATTGGGTTTGTACTGAGATTGTACTAACACACTGCCCAGTGATGTTCACAGAAAGGGGGAGGATGTTAGTTTCTGTTTGCCACTGTGCAGTGCTTTGAGTCACAAGACTCTGTTTACATTCCAGAGACATTCCAGGCTGTTGGAAGTCTCACGGGAGACGGGAGATGGACATGATGTTACTGTTTCCTGTTCCTTTGTTTGTTTCAGTTGCTCTCTGCTTTCACAGAGAGAGGATGTGTTTTCTGTCTGCGTAGTTAGGAAAATAAAACTCTTTGCAATGTAGCCATAAATCTCATCACTTCCACATGCTGCTTTGATTCTCTGCATAATGGAATGTGCCTTATCAAAGGCTCAGGTCGTTAATCACGTCAGAGGCGATTCCGGAGGAGCTTGGCCGATCGCAGGTTCCGACATTGGCCAGGGGCCCATCCGGTCCTGCATCCTCTTCTCACAGTGGCCAACCAGGTGCCCCCGGGGGAAACCCGCAAGCAGGATGCCAGCCCAAGAGCCCCCTCCTGTCCCGCCAACAGCCTCTTCCGCCATGAAAGCCTCCCATCCTCTTTTAAAGCCATCCAATGCCTCCTGGAGGAGCAAGTGGCATAGTTTGTCTGTGTGTCGGTGGGGAAAGTACTGCACTTTCTCTGTCCTGAATCTTCCAGCGTTCAGCCTCATTGGGTGTCCATGAGTCTGAGTATTATGAGAGACGGAGAAAACCTTTTCTCCACCTACTTTCTCCATTTATATACTTCTATCATGTTGCCCTGTCTGAGGGTTTTACCTTTACACCTGGCAAAGTAGCCAAGGAGGGGTGGGGGTTGCTTGCTTCTTTGCTGCAAACATTTCTCCATCTCTCTTCAGCCTCCCTGGCTGCCGGCACTTCCTGGGCTGAAAAGGCCCCATGGGAGGAGTCTTGAACTGAAGTGCAAGAAGCCAGGAAGGCTGCAATAGTCGGAGCGCCAGTGAGATGCTTTACAGAATGAAAGCAAGAGCAATCACAAATACTGCTTTGAGGGGGTTTTTTCCAATCAAGTTGTATATAAATTTTATGAACTAAATAAAAAAGGTTAAAAAAAACATAATCACCACCCCCAGTCAGCTTAAAAGTTAGGTAAGCAAGACCAAAAAAGAGCCCCTGCACTTCACTCATGAGAGTGAATTATTTTATTTTATTTTATTTTATTATTTTATTTTATTGATAGAAGAAAGGTCCACCATCCGAAATCCTGGAGAGCCACTGCTGCCAGTCAGTGTGGTCAGTACTGAGCTCTGTGGTCTGACTCAGTATGAGGCAGGCGCCTGTGTTCCTCTCCGGTGCCAAGGGTGCAAGAGGTGCTCTTACAGACCCCCAAACACACAATCAGGATGCCCCAATAAACTAGTTTAATTCTGACTAGCTAAACATGTTCTAATTTGCCAGCCCTAACTAACCATAAGAAAGGAAAGAAGCTGAACCAGCAGACCTGGGCTGGGCCAAACTGGTTTGGGTTTCAAGGCCCTCTCTGTGCCTAGTGGAGCATCAATTATTAAGCCCTCCCCCCCCAAGTGATCCGAAAGTGAGGCTCTTTCCTGGGCTTGTATTACGTGGCACAGGGGGAGGGGGGAGCAGGCACCTGGTCGGTGATGTCACCTGGTCTGAATCGGCACAAAGGGAAATAAGAGCTGCCAGGGCCACGTCTGCCTTCATCCCAGAATGTGCAAAACACCTCACTTTTTCAGAGCTATCACTTCAGGGAGTTCCATTTCAAAAGGCTGGCGCAAGGTAACAAAGAGAAGTGGGTTAACTCTTGCAAAAGCAACCTGCTGTGTAATTATATCGGCCTGGAGAAGCAGCCAAGGCCAGTACTTAACAAGAAAGGGAGTGGAATGTCATCCAAATGTCCAAGTCAGCAAGGAAGAAGACGAGCGGCACTGAGCTCAATCAGGGATAATAATAATACTGCACTGCTGCTGGGGAGGAGTATTGTGATGCCCCATATAGGCCAATTCAACGCTCCCATCTGCGGAACTGGCTCTGTTGCAGACGCCACTTATCATCATCTGTTCCACATTGGTAGGAAAGAGATCCCTGATTGTGGCAGCTCCTACACTTTGGAACTCCCTGCTCACTGACATCAGGAGGTGCCTTCCCTGCACTCTTTTCGGTGTCTGCTGAAAAAACATTGTATAGACTAGCCTACCCACATGTTTAGCAAGTTAGAAAATTCTTAGCCTACTTTCCCCCCAAAAGTCATAAATTATTATTAATTCTTTTTTATTGATAATTTTATTGCTATATATTTTAGGGAAACCACTTTGAGGGGGTTTTTGGGAAGGTTACAGTCAAGCGGTGAATTTAAAACATACGTTCTTCCAGTGTCCTACATTGGTAAATTTTTGGCAGAGAATAGAAATGACTGACTGTATAGAAAACTCTTAAATTTGCAGAGCAAAATATACTTTTGAATTATATATCCAATACAAAGGGACAATATGAATGGACTCTCCGTGCCCTTACTATGGCAAAAATACAGGTATTGATGAACTGGAAGAATAAAAATGAGGTTCTGTTCAACGAATGGAAAAAAGATATGTATAAACTTGCAACACATGAACAAGTTGCGTACAAACATAGACTTGCTGTGGACAAATTTTACGATATTTGGAAATCATTTTTATAAACACTGTATTAGGTTAGGTTTAAGATAAGCACAATAACAATCTTGTAATGTTTATGTTTTTTGTTTGTTTTTTACATGGGTGCTATTTTATTATATTACTATTCATGTCTTATTTTACCTTGCACAGTTGTAATTTTATACTTATTTTTCAATAAAGAAAATCTATCTAACTATCCATCAAACCTTGGATTTATTTTATAAAATAAATCCTCATCACAGGCTGGCTAGCCCAACATTCTGACAGTGGTCTGCTGAAAGCCTCTGAGTGCTCAGAAGCAAAACAGGAACTGCCTTGACTTTTCTGTGAACCACCCTTAGACCTCCAGGTATAGGGCAGTATAATAATGATGATGATGACGATGATGATGATGATGATGATGATGCCTTTCCCCACTACTGTGCAAGGATAGGAAAACACAAGAGCCCTGAAAATGCTTCTTCTTCCCAGAGCTGCTTCTTAGGGCGGATATGGCAGAAGGCAGGGAGACAGACAGAAAGGGAAATTCTACCCTTGTCCCTGCTGTTAGGATGGCAAGACAGAATAAGGAGGGAGTAGACAGCCTGGAGGTCGTCTGGAGGAATGAAGAGGGAGCTTGGTGGGGCAGTGCCCCATTGGCCCATACAGAGCAGCCTCCACTGATTCTTCCAAATGACCTTCAGTCCCAGAGGGCCATGTTCCCGCCACAGGCCACCCTCCAGGGGCCAGGGGGTCTCTTCCAAGTAGGCGTGGTCAGGGGCAAGAGGAGTCAGAGATTTCTGTGCCTGCCCCAGCTCTTTCCTCTCCACAGGCAGGAAAGCGGCAGAGTCACACTTCAAGGATACATTCCAGCCTGTCCAGGAGGCAAATGAAGGGCTGCTGGGGGGGGGGGGCTCCCAAAGGGCCTGAGCTTCTGATCTGACCCCTGCACTCACATCTGGCCCCCTCTGTTTTGCAGAGACATTTTGCCTTGAAAAGTGGTGAGTCGTCAAATCTCTAAATAAATATGTAAGCTGCCATGGACTAGCAGCTTTAAACCGAAATCTGTTTTCTGTGAATTTGTCCAGACAGTTTACCACAAACAACTTAGGTTTTTATGTAAAATCATCTTGTATACAAACAGAGAACTTATTTTCTGAGTGCCAGTCCTTTCCTAGGAATAAAGTCACCAGCCACACTCAGAAAGGGGGCTTTAAAAGACTTGCAGTGAAACACCAAGTTATGCAGAAGTACAATAAAAAAATGGGAGGTGGGCTAAGACCCCTTGGCTAGGGCATGAAACAAAAATAGCCCAGTGAGAACTGGGCACTGTTAAGCAGGCATGGAAAACCAAGGACAGGGGGGATGGAATAAAGCATCACAGAGTATCCAGCATGGATGACTGGCCCCCTAAACTGGAGCACTCCACACTATAACATTTTGCTGCAGACCTCACTTGTTAGATTGCTAAAAGCCACTAGAAATGTGTTTAGAACCATTGGACGTGCCAGACAATAAAGCAGCCTTCATCTGCTTCCTCAAAGTCACCAGACACTTGGCACAGGTAGTGAAAGGGGGGAGCTTCACAACTGCAGTGCCACCACAAATAAGGCCCTATCTTCATTAGCCACCCCCAATTTCAGAGGCATACAAGGCACCATTGGTGTGCACGGTTGTTGTTTTTTGTTGTTGTTGTTTAGTCGTTTAGTCGTGTCCGACTCTTCGTGACCCCATGGACCAGAGCACGCCAGGCACTTCTGTCTTCCACTGCCTCCCGCAGTTTGGTCAAACTCATGCTGGTAGCTTCGAGAACACTGTCCAACCATCTCGTCCTCTGTCGTCCCCTTCTCCTTCTGCCCTCAATCTTTCCCAACATCAGGGTCTTTTCCAGGGAGTCTTCTCTTCTCATGAGGTGGCCAAAGTATTGGAGCCTCAGCTTCACAATCTTTCCTTCCAGTGAGCACTCAGGGCTGATTTCCTTCAGAATGGAGAGTTTTGATCTTCTTGCAGTCCATGGGACTCTCAAGAGTCTCCTCCAGCACCATAATTCAAAAGCATCAATTCTTCGGCGATCAGCCTTCTTTATGGTCCAGCTTTCACTTCCATACATCACTACTGGGCAAACCATAGCTTTTACTATGTAACAATGAAAAGGTCCCTGCCCCGAGGAATGTGCAATATAAAAATTGGCACAGGGGAGGCAGTAGAGCAGTGGCCAAGCTGGCTGGGAATGATGGGATACTGTATGGTGTCCAACAACTTCTGGAAGTCACAAATTCTCCATCCTTGCAGGACAGAAATAGGAGGGAGAGAGGGGCAAATAAACAAGGAGGGAACAAGGGATATTTAGCAGTGATTGCTCACGCTTTGCCTCCAGACTCTTTCATGGGCAGCCCAAACCACCTGCCTGTTTCTTTGCTTCCTTGCTTTAATCTACATGATGTTTTAACCACCCTGTTCATCAAGAAAAGTCCCAGGGCAGTTTGCACATCTGTCCAGTTAAAGCAGCACACAATAAAACAGTTTGACTGCAATTCTCTGCAGCTTTCAAGTTGTAGCCTGAAATTATTTTACGTTATTTATTCTATCTAGGTCATCATGTTTTACAAGCCAGCTCAATAAATATTAAATATCAGGTTTAAGATGTCAAGTTGTAGCCAACTCAGTCCTATACAGAGTACACCCATTGAAATTAATGGCATACATGAGCCATGCTTGTTAACTTCGGTGGGTCTACTCTAAGTAAGACTAGAATTGGATCCAAGCCATTATCTAGAAAATATCCTGCTGTTTTAAACAAATCTTTGGCCAATTCCACCAGGCAAACACAAAGCCAACTTTACCTTCCAATTTATTTTTTATTTATTTTTGTAGCAGCTGGAGCTCTGGCAATTGAATTCCAATTCAATTAAAATGTTTTGGCCTGCCTGGAGAAAGATGGAGATGAATCATCCACATCTGATCAGGCAGCTTCCCTAGGCTAGAAAATTGCACCAGCGTTGAGAATGACTTAATGAACACATTAGACTTTCTTCCTCTGTCAGGGAAGAAGTGGATGGAGTTAATTCAAAACACATGGTTTTGCAATCTGTCCAGAGGGTTGATTGATTGATGGATTGCATTTATATCTCATCTTCCCTCCAAGGAGCACAAGGTGGCTTACAGAGTTCTCCTCCTCCCCATTTTTCCTCCCCAAAACCCTGTGAGGTAGGTTAGGCTTAAGGTGAGTGGCTGGCCCCCAAGGTCACCCAGTCAGGGGCATAGGAAGGGGGATGCAGGGGCTGTGGTGTGTCCCGGGTGCCACCCTGACGGGGGGTGACAAAATGGCCGGCGGTACTCACTGCAGGGCCTGCAGTGCGCACAAGCCATGCATCTTGGCGCCCACAGGCTCCGCGCTGTCCGCCAGCTGCTGTAGGGCGGCTGAGGCCCCACGGCACGCTCCATCCCTCCCTATGCCATCCCTATAGGGACGGGATGGGGCATGTGGCGCCCATAGGGATGCCCCAGGTGGCTGAGAGTCTTCCTCTGCCGCTGCACCCAGTGAGCTTCAAGGCCAAGTGGGAATTCAAACCCTTGTCTCTCCCAGATCATAGTCTGAGTCTCTAACCACTACACTACTTTGGCTCTATTGATATGATATAATTTAATATATTTGATTTAATATATTAGCTATATTAAATCCTGGGAAGGGGGAATCCTATTCCATATCGAAACACGATGTTTGCACAAACAGTTGGTTGAAAATGTCCCTGTGGATACCCTTATTATGGTTTAATTTAAGAACATTCCTGTCCATCCAGACCCTGGGTGGCTGAAAGATAATGTTCCTTGGATCATTTATATTATTTAGCTGTGAATATATCCAGTTGTTTTTAAAGTTTGGGTAGTTGTTTGCAGCCCTGAACTCCTTTAAGAGGAAGAGCAGGATTATTATTATTATTATTATTACTACTGCTGTTATTATTATTGCTATTTCACAATGTGGATGTGTGAGAGGTGAGTGCTGCCAAAGCCAGCATAGATAAAACTCCAGGCTCGCTCCCAGTTGCTGTCTTTTAGATTTATTTACAAAGATCAAAAGAAAGTTTCCAGAGCTTCAAAGCATGTCTGACCCTGTCGGCTAAGATTTCTCGTATGTTTTTTTTTTTACTTTTTCTTCCCCAGCAGGCTAGTCAGCGGAAACCCCGCCTCTGATTTCCTCTGTTCAAAGAATAACTAGTTCCGGGCTCAGCCTCCCCCCTCCCTGCCTCTTCTTCGCTGTCGGACGACAGGCTACTAATTATCTCTTTAGGCTCTCTATAAGTGCTGGTCTCTCCCCTTAGCTCTTTTGCCGTTTGCATCTCCCTGACAGGATGTACAAAGTGGCTTATGCATTCCTTATTTATTTATTTATTTATTTATTTGAATGGATGGACTTTGCTGGCAGTATAGTCTGGGTACTTCTAGAAAATCTGTATCTATAGTCCTGCTTAGGTTACCAGCCTGGGGATTTTGGAGTTACTTTTATTTGAAATTGCATTTGTTATACATTATTTATAATCCATATAAGCTGATGTTTCTGTGCCTCTCTGTTTTATCCACAAATCCACCCAGAGGCCCTCTTTGGTCCTTAACACATTTTGTCTCCAAATAAGGCCCTCGCATAAACCTGAAGCTCCACCCAACCTGACCCTTTATAACCCTTTATAACAGAGTTAACTCCTGGTCAGCTGATGGGCCATTGATGCCCTTGTAGGTCAAGTGTTATGTATCCAAAAGAATGAGCAGTCTTTGTTTAATCTCCCTCCATCTTATTGGGTCAGTGAAGACAACCAGCTCTGCTCGAATGTAATGCACTCAAGATACTGTATAGTGAAGGTCTCTGCTCCCTGTTTAAAACCACGTTGCAACAACTACAACCAGAAATCAGAAACTATTTATACAGTGGTACCTCTGGTAACGAACGTCATTCGTTCCGGAGGTCCGTTCTTAAGCTGAAACCGTTCTTATACTGAGGCACGCTTTCGCTAATGCGGCCTCCCGCTGCACGTGCACCTCCGGCGCACGATTTCCGTTTGCATCCTGGGGCAAAGTTTGCAACCAGCAGCAGCTACTTCCGGGTTAGCAGAGATCGTAACTCGAAACATTCATAACCAGGGGTACCACTGTATTCTCTGGGGGTAAGAAACTGGCAGCCAAGGAGGCTGAATCCCTTTCACACCTGTCCCAACCATGGTCACACACCCATTATTTACCTGCTCAGCTTAAAATAATAATAAAGGGGCAAGGTTCTAGCCCTCATGTTTAAAGAGGAAGACAAGGCCTACTGAGAACATTCACACGGGATCGGCTAACTTGCCAGACTTGCTCAGGTGTTCCTGGAAGCAGAGGCCCGTGGGTCCACATTCACTTCATGTTTCCATTCACTGCATTTCTGCTGTAAAGTCTCATAGGGATCTCATGCGAGGAAGAGGTGCAAGATTTGCATGCACTCAACTGATAGACCACCTTCTACTGAATCTGCTGAAATGCTGAGCGCACTCTCGGAGGCTCTCCTCTGAAATCCCCCCCCCACCTGAAACCAAGTGAACGCACTGGAGGCTGAGGAAGTGCAGGGAGGCAAGCTGCAAATTGTACTGGTGAACTGTGATGAAATAACGGGGGCCAGGTATGAGTGATATCAGGTGGGTGTCTTCCCGGTACTCTCTTAGGCAGCACCTGCTAAAAATATCTAGAACACTGATATGTTCTTGGTTATTGCTAGTTTTAATTCTCTGAATGCTTTAATTGCTTTTACTAATAATTTTATTCATAGAATCATAGAATTATAGATGGAAGGGATCCTTTGATCATCTAGTCAAACCCCTCAAATTGTTATAGTTTTATTCTATTTGTAAACTGCTTTGAGGGATTTTTTTCTACAGTCAAGTGGCATATAAATTTTATGAAATGAATAAAAATAATTAAATGTGAGAATATTATGCCACTGCTTTTTCATAACTGGCAGAAGGCCAAGTCCTGTCTGGTTAACGTATTAAAGTTATTTGAGTGTCAGCAAGCACAGAATGGCCAGTTGATGCTGTATGCCTGGACTTCCAATAAGCTTTTGATATTGGGACTGGGACTGTCTACTAACATTTTATTGACGGGTCAAAAAAGCTTTTGATGAATTACTTGTCTCCCCAGACTCCTGAGCCAGCTTGGTAGGAATGGAATTAGAGGAGAGTTTCTCTTACAGAACAAAAGATGGCTTGAAACAGGAATGGAGAGCAGGAATAAACAAGCTATTCTCCTGATTGGGGGGGGGGAATGGATATTGCCCCCCCCAGGAGTGAGCAGTGAAGGAGCCAGGTTTGCTGAGGGTGCCAAATTGTTCAAAGGGATTCAACCAAAAGGGAATTGCGGGGAGTTCTAAAAGGGTCTCTGCAAAACGAGTGGAACTGGCAGGTGAAACTCAGTGTGAGTGCGAGCAGAGTGATGTGCATTGTTGCCCCCTACCCCCCCCCCCCGTTCAGCAAGAGAGGGGGGGGTTGTGAAATCTGGGGTGCCATTAAGAAGCCATGGAGGGCAGCAGGGGGAGACAGATTTAATCCACAGGGTGCAACCTACCGTGACATTTGGTTGGACTTCCACAGCAGAGCTTCCTGATGGATTCTCCCCTGTGTCAAAGAATGCTAAGAGGCAGGATGACGCCCCCTCCCCCAAGTCTATGGGTAACATGGGGAAGAGCCACATGGGGGAGACCAACTGCAGAGCACAAATTTGATTCAACCCTAAAGCCTTGTGTTCATAAACTAAAAATTGTAGGATGTATATATCACTTTTCAGGCAGGCCTCACAAAGCAGTTTACATAAGATTATTCCAGTCATAACATTCATTACAAAAAAGTTACACTACATAATAGAAAAGAAAAGTTGTTTGTTTAGAAAATGCTGCTACTGCTTTAAAAAAGGGTTAGACACATCTGGACTGGTCTGATTCTGTATAGGCAGGTCTTTCCTTGAGGGACAGAGCTCTCCTGTGACTCTGAGCAGGCAGACTTTTCTCGCTTCAATCCTGGTGTTTCCATGGGGGGATGGAAGTGCCCCTTTCCCACAGTCCTAGAGAACCACAGCCAGTCAGTCCAGAAAACCCTGAGCTAGGTACACAAATGGTCTGACTAAGGAAATGGGAGCTTTCTATTCATCTCACAGGGATGTGTAATGATAAAGGGGGGGAGGGATGTACATCCATGCCCTGGAGCTCTTTGCAGGAAAAGTAGAATATAAATGATATGACTATAAAGGAGCACTGCCATGGAGCTATCACCTCTCTGTAAATTGCTAGCTCTCTTGGGCTGTCATCATAGACAGGTGAAAGTTGCATTGGACTTCATGAGGCTCTTTTTTCTCTTACCAAACATACAGTGGTACCTCGGGTTATATATGCTTCAGGTTACATATGCTTCAGGTTACAGACTCTGCTAACCCAGAAATAGTGCTTCAGGTTAAGAACTTTGCTTCAGGATGAGAACAGAAATCGTGCTCCAGCGGCGCGGCAGCAGCGGGAGGCCCCATTAGCTAAAGTGGTGCTTCAGGTTAAGAACAGTTTCAGGTTAAGTACGGACCTCCGGAACGAATTAAGTACTTAACCCGAGGTACCACTGTATACAGAATTACACTGTTACACTGCAGTTAAAACAAATGTAGCCCCAAGACCATGGGTTGGCAAACTATGGTCCGCGGGCCGGATCAGGCCCAATTGCTTTCTAGATCCGGCGCGCGGACGGTGCGGGATCCAGGCAGCCGGCATAGTGTGCGCATGCACAATGGTTTTTGTGACTCAGCCAGGTTTGGGGGTCCAAAGTGAGGCGGGTGGCTGCTGAAGACAAGCCCCTTCTCCGCCCGTCGCCCGCGCAGCAATCTTTTCTTCCGGGGTGGGGGAGAGGGAAAAGGAGCCCCCGTTTGGATTTCAGGAAGGGCAGTTGCGGCGGCAGGGGCTCAGAGGCGCCTGGGGAGCGACGCCCGCCGGAGTCTGTGGCAGCGGTGCTCCCCGCGGGAGGAAGCCTGGGCGGCTGCACTCCAGTGCAGCTTTGCGCTCTGCTGGGGAGGCCGCTCATGAGCTACACGGCGCGAGCCAAGGAAAGGTAAATCGCCGCCGCCGCCGCCGCCTCATCTTCCCTCACGTGGGGAAAAGAAGGTTTTTGCTTGAGCGGCGCCGGCCTGACTTAGCGTGGCCAACGGCTTGTCCCTTCACCCACGCATGCGCACGCGCTCTCCAGGGCTGACAGGAATGGCACGCTTACCTCAGCCCCCCACCCACACCCGCCCCACCTTACGAGAGAAATAAGAACTGTCAATGTATAAAATGCAAAGGAAGCAGCGTGGGTGTATGAGGGAACACCCCCCCAAAAAAAGTCACATTTGGGCAACGTTGGGGCTGGTCCCAATAAGGGGTTTTGCCAAAAATGTGGGTCATAATCATGGCAACATACAGTCCGGCCCCCCACAAGGTCTGAGGGACAATGGACCGGCCCCCCGCTGAAAAAGTTTGCTGACCCCTGCCCAAGACCAACTCAAAAGCATCCAGTATTTTGTGCACTGGGGGCGGGGGGGAGAGGATTGCCACCTTGGGGAGGTGCTCCCTGGATTTTCTGTCTCTGGCAAGAGAATCTATACAGAGCAGCAGGGCGACATCCCCGTCCCCTGCAAGGCAAGTGCCGCTCACCTGGTAGGCATCCAGCTGTTCATCTGTAAATATCGTCTGCTTATTGCCCATCTTAAAGGGGGACTCCTCTCCGCACGCACAGGTATCCCATGGCAAGAGTCAGGAGTTCTCTGTCCTGCAGGCATGGAGAGCAGACGTGCAACTGGAGGAGCGAGTGGAAGAGAATCCCCGCGCCCGCATCGGGGAGGCTCCCGGCTGCCGTCTGGGCAGCAGCAACCAGCAAAGGCAGGAGGCAGGGGGTTAAAATCCCACGCGAATATCGCCCCCGAAGGCTGCCTCCTTCACTGCCCTACGTTTTCCTCGGGTGCAACGGAAGGGTTTCTCCGAAGGGCGAAAATCTGATGCGGAGCTTCCAGGGTCTGGAGAAACCATCTCGGCTGCCTCTGATCTCCAGCGCCCCCGGCGAAAGACCCCTCCCTCCTCTCTGCAGCTTCGCGGTGCGGGAAGGTTCTCCACCACTAGGTGGCAGCCAAGAGACTCGCCTCCGCCCAACCTGCTTAGGGCCGAGGAAGATCGCGCAGCGGGGAGCGGGCTGACTTCGGAGTGTCACAGAACTCTTCTTCAGGCGTGATGCTAACCGCACTCGCCAAAAGGGCGGGGCAGAAGAAGCTGCTGCTTGTAGAGTACCCACCTGAAACAGGTTGTAGGGCAAGGATGGCCAGTGGGATGCTCTTCATGGGATGATGGACTACAACTCCCCTCATCCTGGCTAATGGGCCGTGGTGGCTGGGGCTGGTGGGAATTGCAGCCCAACAGCACCTGGGGGCACCACCTTGGCCCCACCCCTACTGAGACTAGCTTGTCCTCCCTGCAAAAAAGAGGGTGGGCTGTGATGTGCCTTCCTCATGCTGTTGTAGCATGTAAGTATTCCCCTCTACAGCTAATAACAGTGCCAGGCAAGGCCTCTTCCCTGCTTCCTCCTATTACCAAAAAAGAAAATGACTTTGGGTGCACCAGACATTGGCTGTGTAGGCACCCTATATTTCATGCACACAACCTCCACCAAAGAATCCTGGGAACTGTAGTTTGCCAAGTGTGCTGGGGATTGTAGCTCTGTGAGGTGTAAACTACAGTTGTCAGGATTCTTTGGAGGAAGTCCTGTGATTTAAATGTACAGCATGTGTGCAGACATGGAACATGTAGTTTGCTCTGAGCACATCAGATTTTTCAAGCTCCCTGCCTGTGTTCAATGAGTTCAGACATATGAAAGAAAGAAAAGGGAAACACTGATATAGTTTAAAGAAAGTAAATCTGTTCCCACTGTAAAATCCTAGTTGATCAATAGAATTACACAGGCAAACATTTAGATCCCTTTAATCATGAGATTACCTCTGTAGCAATAAGCTTGTAGCTTTAAAAATAGTGTGTCCTTGTTTGCTCCTGTCTTAGGGTGGAGAAAGGACAGGCAAGATCCAGCCAGGGACTCTGGATCCTTTCAAGAAATCGATGGGAAGGAGAAGCAACTGAATATGACATTGTGATTGCCCACCATACTTAAAAACAGAACTTGGGTCTTATATCATCTTAAAAAACTAACCAAGTTATTGCAGCATACACCAAGGATCTTTTTCTGCTTGAAGGCCACATGCTGGCAGTGGGCAGGGTCACTGGATGTGGCTCTTCCCTTTCCACACTGTGAGGGGTCATCTGTTGTTGTTTAGTCATTTAGTCGTGTCCGACTCTTCGTGACCCCCCGGACCAGAGCACGCCAGGCCCTCCTGTCTTCCACTGCCTCCCGCAGTTTGGTCAAACTCATGCTGGTAGCTTCAAAAACACTATCCAACCATCTCGTCCTCTGTCGTCCCCTTCTCCTTGTGCCCTCCATCTTTCCCAACATCAGGGTCTTTTCCAGGGAGTCTTCTCTTCTCATGAGGTGGCCAAAGTATTGGAGCCTCAGCTTCAGGATCTTTCCTTCCAGTGAGCACTCAGTGCTGATTTCCTTAAGAATGGATCAGTTTGATCTTCTTGCCGTCCATGGGACTCTCAAGAGTCTCCTCCAGCATCATAATTCAAAAGCATCCATTCTTCGGCGATCAGCCTTCTTTATGGTCCAGCTCTCACTTCCATACATCACTACTGGGCAAACCATAGCTTTAACTATAGAGACCTTTGTTGGCAAGGTGATGTCTCTGCTTTTTAAGATGCTATCAACTACAGTGTTTCAATTGCCATCACCCTCAACAAACTACATTTCCCAGGATTCTTTGGGGGAAGCCATGTGCCACCAGGGTGCTTTCTTTGCCCACCTATCCCCAAGGCATGTTTATGCAGAAGTGAAGACTCTCTGAGGTCACACTTACTCCCAAGTTAGTGGGCCTGAGACTTCAGCCTGACAACCCCAAAGGATGTTTGACCATTGCTCCCATTGGCTGTTTTGCAATATTTATCCAAGCGAGATAAACTTGCCATGTGACATCAGCACATTTCTGTGGGTGCTGCTGTGTTATCAGCTCCACCATCTTTCATCATGGGTGTTGCTTCAGCTTCACTTTGTTTTGAATTGTTTGCAAATGGCCAACCAATTGCCCAAAGATTGCATGGCCAAATAAAAATTTATCACAGGCAAACAAAGGTTTTGCAGATAAAGCCTTGGATCAACATTGTTGAAAGCGTACAGGACTAGGAACCAAGCACCTTTCTGCATGTGTTCCTTTGTTTGCATCAGGGATGGGGAACGTGCTGCTGCTGCTGATTTACAGTTCCCCTCCTTAGCCATTCTGGATGTTGCTGATGGGATATACCTGAAGGAGTGTCTCCACCCCACCCCCATTGATCTGCCTGGACACTGAGGTCCAGCGCCGAGGGCCTTCTGGCGGTTCCCTCACTGCAAGAAGCCAAGTTACAGGGAGATGGCCTTCTTGGTAGTGGCACCTGCCCTGTGGAACGCCCTCCCTCCAGATGTCAAAGAGAAGAACAACTACCAGAAGACATCTGAAGGCAGCCCTGTTTAGGGAAGCTTTTAATGTTTAACAGACCACTGTATTTTAATATTTTGTTGGAAGCCACCCAGAGTGGCTGGGGAAACCCAGCCAGATGGGCGGGATATAAATTGTTGTTGTTGTTGTTTGGGAGTCCAACATCTGGAGGGCAACAGGTGGGGGAATCTGCATTAAACAGTTTCTCTCCCATCAGCAAGACTCCTGACCACAGCAACCCTGCCTTGTCTGGATCTGTGTTGAGTGTGCTCATTGCCACTCCCCCAATCCATTCCTAAACTGATGTCCAACACTGACTGGTCTTCCCCAGCCAGAGGCCCTCCACATGCTGCTGGACAACAAGTCCCATCATCTCTGACCATTAAGACTGGACTGATGGAAACACAGGTTCTTCACCTTTGGGTTGCAGGCACTCCCCCCCCCCCCGGAACAGAGATAATCTTTTTTCCCCTGGGGAAAATAACATTCCGTTGACTCTTTTTGCAGAGGGCATGTTCAAATTTCATTTGCATAACCTCCCAGTGTTGTCATAAATCTTCAGCTCCTTCCTCAGGGCCTCTAAAACACAATGATTTGTGGACATCCAATTAAGCAGAAGGTTGGGAGGTTTGTGCAGTGCAAAGTTAAAACTTTCCCATGGAGGAAAGTGCTAGAGATGGCTATAGGAGAGGGAGGGAGGGAGGGAGGGAGGGACTGATTGACTGGGTTTCCCCAGCCACTCTAGGCAGCTCCCAACAGAATATTAAAAACATGATAAAACATCAAACATTAAAAACTTCCCTAAACAGGGCTGCCTTCAGATGTCTTCTAAAAGTCAGATTGTTGTTTATTTCCTTGAGATCTGATGGGAGGGCGTTCCACAGGGCGGGCACCACTACCAAGAAGGTCGTCCCTGGTTCCCTATACAGGGGTACCTCTGGTTACGTACTTAATTCGTTCCAGAGGTCCGTTCTTAACCTGAAACTGTTTTTAACCTGAAGCACCACTTTAGCTAATGGGGCCTCCTGCTGCTGCCATGCCACCGCCGCACGATTTCTGTTCTCATCCTGAAGCAAAGTTCTTAACCCGAGGTAATATTTCTGGGTTAGCGGAGTCTGTAACCTGAAGCGTATGTAACCTGAAGCGTATGTAGCCCGAGGTACCACTGTAGCTTCACTTCTCACAGTGAGGGAACTGCCAGAAGACCCTCAGAGGAGGACCTCGGTGTCTGGGCTGAATGATGGGGGTGGAGGTGCTCTTTCAGATCTATAGGGCCAAGGCCATTTAAGGCTTTAAAGGTCAACACCAACACTTTGAACTGTGCTCGGAAACACACTGGGAGCCAATGAAGATCCTTTAGGACTGGTGTTACATGGCCTTGGCGGCCGCTCCCAGCCACCGGTTACTCAGAGGGTGTCAGTCCTCAGAGGTTTATCTATTCAACAGGCTCAAAAAGTCGCTGACTTGCTAAGCTGTTCAGCTGTGTTCTTTGCCATCTGTCTGAGGACAGAAACAGCCATATATTGCACGGGGCTGGGCCCAGCTGCTTGGCTGCTTGCGGTGAAGGTCAAGTGGGTGCCGCTGCCACCCAATTTGACCCACACAAGCCAACCAGGCTGGCAGCTGTATCTTACTTCACCACCCACAACCGTGTCCCCCACCACACATAAGAGCAGGAGAACACAGATCAGACACATGGTGCACACAGCTCTGTGCTTCAACATCTCACATGGTTTTAACTGTGAAGACGCAGCACACAAATAAAATGATACACCTGTGGCCTGAAGCCAATGATAGGGCTGGCCCCAGTATTGCATGTTGCAAACCTGAAGTGCAGCCACCTCCACTCACTTGAAGGGGGCTTCAGTTTCAAGTGGGCATTAGATTGCAGCCATGGATCTGAAGTGTGATTATGCAGAGCAAGTCCTGTGGCTTTCGATGGAGCTCACTCTTGTAAGCATGCATAGAATGTAGGCATAGAGCCCAGTGGAATGAGATCAGAGGCCTGTCCAGTCTGGCATTCGGTTCTCACAGCCACCAACCAGACATCTGGCTCAACATGGGTTCAGATCCGGCCCATGAGGCCATTATCCTCAAACCACAGCCTCCTATCGCACACCTGGCATTGCATGTGGCACAAGGTTGCGGCAGGTGGAGACATCAGGTGTGGAGAGGTAAAGTGCTCTCTTGATTGGCATTGACAAAGGAAAGTAGGATCTGGCCCCACCACATCTGCTGGTGGGCAGCCTCAGGGACCTTAAAGCAAGCCACTCTTTGCAAGCCACTCTGGGCCCTTTGAAGCTCTTGCTTTGGGACTTCAGTGCACTCAGTCATCTGATATTAACATCAGGTGTTTGACAGGTGGGGAGTCCTTCTCCCCTGCCAATTCTGCCCACTGCACCTTCCCCATTGTGGGAAATATGCATCAAGGCATATTGCCTCCAGCCATGGAAGCATAACATGTAGCCATTGTGCCTGGACACAGGATATAGTACCATGTTTATTCAGCAATAACTGCTACTGAATTCCCAAGTAAGCGAGCACACAATGTGGCAGTTGGGCATCTTTCCTAAAAAAGTAAGTTTTCTCAATGCACATCAGGATATAGCAACTCTGTGGAACAGGCCAGTTGGAAGTAAGCACCATTCAGGGAGACTTTACGCATTTTAATAGAGTAACAACCCTATTACAAGAAATGTTGATTAAGCATATGGATTTTAGATGGCAAATTGATCTGTCAATTACATTTGCAAGTGATGAAAACAATATTTCGGAGGCCTTTGTTTTTTAGATGATTCTCACGTGCACACTACAAGCATGCTGAAGTTAGAAGACATTCCCTCCTCAGCGAGAGAAACCAGAGGCGGCTGCCTCCTCCGCTGCGCTTTCAACCAAGAGTACGGTATTTAAAAAATAATACTCTTGAAATAAACCAAGGCAAGCCCATTGGCCGGCTGCTCCAGCAGGGATCTCCTGGCGCTCCCGGGAGGTCACGGGCGGAGCGCCCCCCCCCTGGCCCGCAGCGCCCCCTAGCGGGCCGAGGCGAGTGGGCGGAGTCCGTCGCCCGGTGGCCCCGCCCCGCCCCACGCCGGCCAGTGAGGAAGCGCGGAGGCGTGCCCGCCAGAAGCCCCGCCTTGCCCGGCGGCTCCCGGCCAACCAGCTGCCACATCCGGGCGAGCGCGAGGTTGAGCGGGCAGAGGCCGTCGAGGAGGCCGCGGCTTCTTCTGCTGTCGCGGAGCGAAAGAGGCGCCTCGAAGGGAAGAGGAGAAGGAGCCGCCGCCGCCGCCGCCGCTGCCATGGCCTGGTGGGCGCCGAAGGTGAGGCGAGAGGGGCTGGCGCGAGGCCGAGGCTGCTTCTCTCCCCTCAGGCCGCCCCGCCCGGCGCCCCTCCCTCTCGCGTGACCTTGCGTGACCTTGCCGGGGGGGGGGGCCTCTCCGCGCCTCCCCTGGAAGGCTCTGCTCCCCGCTCCGCCCACTGGGCCTGCTGGCCGGGAGGGCGCGGGCGGAGGAGGCTGCCCGGCCCGGGGCGCCGGCGCTGGTCTTTGCTTGACCCGGCAGCTTCCCACCCCGAATTGCCCACAAAGGACATTTGTTTATTGCTATTAATTAGTCATTGGTTAGTGTTGGGTGCTAATAACCACATGTCATTGCATTTTGTTCATGGCAGTTGAATCACGACAGGAAAGTGAAGGAAGGAAAGGGCAAGTAACTGAGGAAGGGGACGAAGGAGGACGCGCTCTTGAAGCAGAAGAGAGGCCATGGGGGCTTCTCCTCGGGGCATCTGTTCGGTTACTGCGAGCTGGCCCAGTGGTGAAGGGTTGGACTCTGACCCTGGAGGGACCAGAGTTCAAATCCTTAGCCATGAAACTCACTGGGTGACCTTGGGCCTGCCCCTTGTCTCTTGGCCCAGCCTCCCTCACAGGGTTGTGAAGATAAAATTTGGAAGGGAGAACCATGTACTGCACCTTGAGCTCCTTGGAAGGAAAGGTGACATATAAATGTGATAAATATGTAAACAGGATTCTGGGCTAGTTTCTGTTTCACACAGTGCCCAACCAGGTACCTCTGGGATGCTCAGAAGCAGGGTTGGAAGGCAACTCAGTGGTGTTATTGTACTATTTTGTTAGTGTGGGAAGAGAGTCACGGATAAAACTGAGTAAATTTCTTTCACCTCTCATTCACATGTGGATAAATGACTGGAAAGGGGAGGGATGGCAGTCATCTTTCTTGGTATATTTTGGTTTTTTAAGTGACTGATAGTATTTTTTTCCTCAAATCTAAGCTTCAACCCGTTTTCATCCCATCCTTTATTGGAGGTATTATTCCATTGGATTTCCTCACACACTTAGTTGGCTTGCTTTCTTCTAATTAAAATGCCTTTGTTACTCTTTCCCAAGGGCTTGAAGTGTGTTAGCAATAGTATTCAAATTTTAAAATAATTGCAGCAACTCTGTGAAAGAGTGAGTTGGGTAGACTGGCAATGCACTTTAAAGTGTTTGGTTACTTTGTGGAGTGTTCCCTGTCAAGCTCAGAAGCACTTTTGTGAAGGGGATATTCTGTTTATTGTCATGGCTTTGCATCCTTTATCAGCAGAAGATTGCTTTTGCTGAATATGTCAAAGGAGCTGTGTTACTAAAGAGCAATGTGATAGTTCCAGATGCTTCATCACCCCTGTTTTCTCTGTATGATGCTCACTATCATGCAAAGAGAAGAAAAGTCCAAAGTGCTGGTGCAAAAATGCCCATGAGAGATGGTCAGAGTTTGTTAATAAGCTTTGCAGCTGAGTGTGTGACTTGAACTTTGAGGCTTATTCCCATACAGAGCTGGTTGCAGCAGTGTGAATCCTAAATCTGAATAAGGGGTGAGAACACTTTGCTCCATGAGGGAAAGCACTCTGCTTGCTGCCAAAATCTAGCCTGCCAGTTGTAGTCTATAGGTCATACTGGTTCCTGTCAGATGGGGAGGAAAACAGGAGAGAGGGCAGTTTGGGCTGTGGGAATTGAATGTTTCCGAATCAGGTTTGAGCAAATGTGATAGTTACTGTGATCTGTGTATGCACCCAGCCAGGTGTGGCAACAAACGTGTCATATTCCAGACTACTATGGAACATTATGTTGGCTGTCCTTTCCTCAAATGGGTGAAGAGGTTTTTCCTGTGCTGCTCTTGTCCATTAGGGAGAATGGTTGAGCGCTTGGATTATGCAGGGTCAGTGGAGCATGTTGCTACTTGTGCTTGTCAAGATTAAATGTGACATGGCCTCTTGTCCTCAAGTAATCTTGACAATTTTCTGGCTTGCTGAAGTGATACAAAAAGAATGGGCTTGGTAAAAATTGATATTCTACTCTGACTTCTCTTTTGGAGCTGGTGAATTTGGCTGGTCATACTGCAGCATCTTTCAATCTCAGAATATGTAGTGATGGTATTCTATCAGATATGTAAGAGGTGACATTGTAGGTCTGTTGCTGCATATGGTGCAATTCATGTCCTTCCATAGTGTCTAGTTAAATATGTTTTGCAGATTTTCATGCTACTTCATATTGCAGCTCTCTGTAGCACATCACTGCAACAGACTCTGTATTTGATGTGATTGTTGTGGGTGCAATAAGCTTTCCTCATCACAATTTCAAGAGTACTTATGGAATTGTATTTGCAATTATGGTTGTGTTGAGAAAAGAGAGATGTATATGTAGATGAGTACCCACTTGACTCTTGAAAGGAAGGAGACATTGGGCTTCAGGAGTGGAAAACTTCATAGACAGCAATCCTCCTGCAGTTTGCTCCAGTCAATTTCTCATCTTCTTTGACACCTATGAGATCAGGGGGGAAATCACAGTTAGGAACTCTTGTAAGATAAAAAGTTCTTTCTTTTCTTGTAGGCCATCTTATAATAGGTGCATTGCAATCATACACGCAAACCATTTTATGGAGTACAGCGGTACCTCGGTTTTAGAGCAATCCACTTTAAGAACTATTTGATTTTCAAACTCTGTAAAACCGGAAATAGTGTCTTGTTTTGAGAACTTTACCTTGGTCTAGGAACCGAATCCCATCGATGGAAGGGCACCGGTGGCAGGACGCCTCGTTAGGGAAAACGTGCCTAGGTTTAAGAACTGTTTTTGTTTAAGAACAGGCTTCCGGAACGGATTAAGTTCGTAAACCGAGGTGCCACTGTAAAAGTCTTTTCACTCCTGACTTAGAATACAGCCATACTGAATTATTATTTTTTAATTGCCCGGATTGTGTAACATATTGGCATTTCTGCTTTTGTCACATTTCTACAGGTCTTTCGTCTACTAGGGGCTTTCAAAGGCCAAAAACAGGTGACCAGAAGTTTTGGTAGTTCTGTGAGTATAATAGTATAACTTTTTCTTTTCTTTTTGAGAAGCTTCTCAATAAAAGTGCTAAATACCAAGATAAAACCAAGCTTGTGGAATTTCTCTGCCAGTGTAGCCTAATTCTGTTCCAATACACTTCAGTGCAGTACCACATTTCAGTCTAACTTGACTAAATAGATCTCTGTGTGGTCACACATTTGGAGGAAACCCTGTTGAATAGTGGCAAAAAACCAAATCCCAACCCAAGCCTTGGTTTTTATCACGAGTCTAAGTCTACAAAGAAAATAATAGTTTGTATTTAATGCTTCTCGGTTGGAAAATTTCAAAGTGGTGGAGGACAGACAGTTGAGAACCTTCTTATCTTTGGCACCATTGTTTTGAATATTTTCCCCTGCAGGCAGTAGACCTATTCATTTTTGCTATCTAGAGTAGATTTCTCTGCAGCTTAAATCCTTAATTATTTTAGAATGATTCCTCAACAGTGATGATATTCAGAACTGTTTCATTGGTTTATTTCAACGATTTTTATAGTGCTTAATTACAGTTGTCACATATGCTTCTATTAGCATAGTGTGAGCTGCCTTTTGCAAATCTTCCATATTTCTTCAAGCTTGTCCATGACTTTATTTTGAGCGTGTTTATTTTGTTTTTAACCTTGCTGCAAACATATGCTTGATGTATATACTTGATGCATATGTAATAATAATAAAAATCAGCAGGAGTAGGATCTTGAAAACTGAATAAATTGGAGACATTATGCAGTTCATCAAGGAACTGTAGTCTATCTTAACTCATTTATTATCCAGTTTTTTGAGATGGCAGCTCAAAGCGACTTACAATATTTAAAGCAAAAAGCAAACACATACATACATTTAAAACCAGCAATTTAAGAAGTCTAAAAGACTTAAAAAAAAAAAAAATCAAACATCCCACCTCTGCAAGAAGACCATAGATAGTTAAAAGCCAGAGGCCTGAAGAAAGGAACCTAAAGCGATATAACGACAGTGCCTGGTGATCCTCCTTGGTTCCCTCCCAAGTGTTTGTCACATTCACACTTTAGGTACTGTATTTTTCGCTCTATAAGACGCACTTTTTCCCTTCTAAAAAGTAAGGGAAAATGTGTGTGCGTCTTATGGAGCAAATGCAGGCTGCGCGGCTAAGCCCAAAGCCAGAACAGAGAGACGGAGCGCTAGCTTGGGGTTAGCTGCGCAAAGCCTCCACAGGGCAGTGGGGTGCCTTCACCCCGCTGCCCTGCGGAGACTTCACAGGCTGTCCCTGAAGCCAGCACAGCAAGAGGCTATCCCAGAAGCCAGATCCCTCTTGCTGTTCTGGCTTCTGGGGTTCAGAATTTTTTTTCTTCCTGTTTCCTCCCCCCCCAAACTAGGTGCATCTTATCGTCCGGTGCGTCCTATAGAGCGAAAAATATGGTACCCATATTAAAATATCTCACATGTACATCTTGATGGGGAGTAAGGGAACCCTCATAGTAGCATTTAGTGTTTCATAGGCAAAGAGAACTTCAAAAAATTATTGGCTGACAGTGGTAATGCTGTAATAACCAAGTGTCAGTGGAGAATGAGGAAATCTGGAGGATTGTAACTTGTGTAACTGTAAAAGGATTAGCGTTAAACGAATAAATCTCAGGCAAGCAGAACTGTCACTTTCATCTGAGTATCATATTCCACTTTATTTTCAGTCGTGTGCCTTGCTGCGTAGTGATGCTGTTCTGAAAGCTTAGTATGCACTGTTGTTGCTTCTCTGCCGGTTGCTGCTTGAGAGGGTTGCCCTTGCTCTTGCTCTTTCTATTTCTGTTAGAATAAAAAGAAGAAACTTAAAACCATGCAAACCTCAAGTGGCATACAGATTTCTGTCAATCTGTGTTTAATCATGGTATGTGGTGCCTTTTTTTTTTTTTTTTAAACATCTAGGTTCAGACAGTAACTTTGATCCCAGGAGATGGCATTGGACCAGAAATATCTGCTGCTGTTGTGGAGATTTTCGCAGCTGCTAAAGTAAGTTACTCTTTGACTGCACGTCTTAGGTTCAGTTGGACACCATTGGGATTTGTTCACTTTTGGTATAAGTTAATGAAAGTTCAGTTGAAGGAGAGGTTCAAAAGAGCAAGGGTCTCTTGCTTTGAGAAGCAATCTGCTTGTTTGGGAACCATTGTTTTTCTTTTTAGGATAGAGCAGTAGCTTTCAGAGCAACAAATGCCTTGGCTGTGGTGTCTCTGCGCATAACAGCAGGAGACTTTGATGTGATAGGCTATTCTTGTAATCAAATGAGAGCTCCAAGCCAAGTCACATAAGCTGCTTGCAGAAAAGGATATTCCCCAGGTGACTGTCATCTAAGAAAGCTGAGAGAGACTCCACCAACTGGAACACTTAAATTTAGATTAGTCTACTGCTATATCAGAAGTCTTGGATTGGTTCCAAGCCCTTGTGAACATTGCCTAACAAAACCTCTCAGAACCAGAGATGTTATTTAGTTCCAGTGTGTTTTGGGAAACATTTCTTTTGCTCCTCCATGGACCACCTGACTACAACTCCCATCAGTCATTCCTAACCAATGGCCATGCTGATGTGAGTAGGGATCCAGCAACACAGGGATAGTCAAAAGTTTCCAATCCCTACCGTAAGATGTTGGAGACCTGATTTGATTTGCTTATTTGACTTGCCTTTAGTAAAGACCATTTAGTTTTAGTAAAGACCTAAGAAGTCCCCACTCCACCCTGTAGCCAATAGTAGTGGAAGTAGGTGGGGCATGGGATCGGGAATCACTAAAGTGTATTTGGTGAAAATACTTTGTAAATTAGAATCCAGTCACTTAGACTTAAAGGGGTAGGGAATGAAGGCAATGAAGACCGAATGAAGGCCAACATTTTGTCCATTCCTGTTCCCTAATTCAACTTGCATTGTTTCATTTTATTATGTTACCAATTTTCTAAAAAACAATGAATTTCTAAAAATGGGTAAAAAATCCACCAGAAAATTTTCAGCTTTGCTGACATGAACCCACTCATGTTCAAATTCTCAAACATTAATTGACATATATACAAGATTCCTGTAGGGTTCGGTACAATAAAATTGCTCATCAAAACCTGCAACTAACACTTATGATAATGTTGTATAACATTCACAAATCCTCATAGCATGTTTCAGAAACCTGGCTGCTATCTGCATCTTATCCCCAACCTGAGTAAGCATAAGGAAGCTACCTAACATTTGTCTGAATGCCACTCCCTACTAGCAATCAACTGAATAATAAACTTAGATTGAATTGTCTGATGCCAGGGACAGGACAGAAGAACATATGCGATGGTTTCTATTTGCCTTTGTCCACAGGGGCAAATGGCATTCTGCAAATGGCATTTTCTAGAGTCTCCTCTGTAGTATTGCCAAAGGTAGCACATTCAGTCTGACTGGGATGTACACCCTGCGTAAGGGTGGATTTGATTTAAATCACTAGTCAGTAAGACTTGATTTAAATCACTAGTCAGTAAGACTTGATTTAATTTTTTTTTTTTTTTACAGAAAGACTCATTCTTGCTGGTATAATCTTAATATTTACAACCAGATGAAGGTTTCATTTTTGGAATAATAAATTTTCAGAGTAGTTTTTACAGTTATATAAAAAATTACTATAATGTAACTTAAATAGACAACTATATTTAGAAAGAGGGGCGCTGGTGGCGCTGTGAGTAAAACCTCAGCGCCTAGGACTTGCCGATCGCATGGTTGGCGGTTCGAATCCCCGCGGCGGGGTGAGCTCCCGTCGTTCGGTCCCAGCTCCTGCCCACCTAGCAGTTCGAAAGCACCCTTAAGTGCAAGTAGATAAATAGGTACCGCTTTATAGCGGGAAGGTAAACGGCGTTTCCGTGTGCTGCTCTGGTGCCAGTTCACCGGAGCAGCTTCGTCACGCTGGCCACGTGACCCAGAAGTGTCTGCAGACAGCGCTGGCTCCCAGCCTCTAGAGTGAGATGAGCCCACAACCCTAGAGTCTGTCAAGACTGGCCCGTACGGGCAGGGGTACCTTTACCTTTACCTTATATTTAGAAAGATGTTCCCTCCAAAAACATTTTATTTTAAAAATCCAATTTAAATTTTTGAAATCCGATTTAATTTAAAAAACAAAACAAAAAAGCACCATTGATTTTTATCCACCCTGCCCTGCGTTGATTTGGGTTGGTCAAGTGGAAAAGGTAAGTCACCATTGGCTGTCTGCCTCACGTCATCCCCAGACTTACACAGACACTATTCCTGATTTGGCTACTAAGTTCTTGAAATGTGTTGTCTAACAATCTGTGTTTAATTGTCTGAAATGCAGAATTTTCCAGTAAGGAGTACAGGGTGTCTAGTAGGATTCCGGTCTGCTTAATTTTCTTCTCAATTCCTCTCAACCATCATGACAGTTGCTTATTCAGCTAACATGTCTGTAACCAGACTGTTAGGTTCATTTCTAAAGTGCAGCTGCAACCAGAACTTGAATGTTAGCAGCCAGGCTTTTGTTACTAAAAGGCATTGGTTTGTTTCTAGGCATAGGGCAGTGTAGGGGACACGATTTGGTACACCAATTTTTTTTCAAAGGAAAACTGAAGTCTTTCAGTAGCCTGATTGAAGGCATTTATCCCATATGGTAGTTGTGTGCTTAATCTAGCATTGAACACCCTCAGGACTGCTGGAACATACTGGTTCCCTTTGGAATAATAGAAACGAGTGATCACTGACACACTGCTTTTAGCAGCATTAATGGCGGATTCTCTGAGCTACCCAGCCAGCCTTAAAATGAAAATAAACACCTAGATATTTAAACCACTTAACTTGCTTGATGGTGTTTCCTCTTATCACCCACTTATACTCCCATGAGCCCACAATATCCAGAAACAGCAGTTCATAATAATACTTTCATCCTTCCTGCTAGCTTGTATTCCTGTGTAAATATTTCCCATTATCCAACCTGAAAACACTGGCTGTGTTTTCTCTTTTGCAGGGTGTGTCTCTTTTTCAGGGTGTGTTTTGACAAAGTCCCTTTGGCAATTGATCATTTCCCCCCAAAACAGATCAGAAGATAATGTGAAACAATTGTTTTTAGGCACCTGTTCAGTTTGAAGAGAGAAACGTGACAGCAATACAAGGGCCAGGAGGCAAATGGACAATACCTCAAGATGCCAAAGAATCCATGGACAAGAACAAAATAGGACTGAAAGGTATGTTGGAGGTTCCTGTTGACGGGGAGGGGGGGGGGAGAGAAAGAAAGAAATAAAGGCGCATCTTTACTGAACAAACCTGTGTTTAATTTTGTACAGAGTTTTGCTCTATACAAATAAATTTCTTAGTAACGTTCTGAACTTCCTTATTCTATAAGCCCACAAAGCCGTTAATAGTTTGTGTCTAAGGACAGAAGCATCATTATTGGAGAAATGGTGTTGTTGCAGCATGTCATGTTCTCCAGCTCTGTAAAGTGCACAGAGCACCCTAGTTGTGTGTTTACTCAGAAGTAAGTCTGACTATTCAGTGGGGCTTACCCCCAGGTTGTGCAAGTAGGATTGCAGCCTCTCAAGGACAACTTGTATATATTCCTCAAACATTGCATTTGAACTCCATGTAAGTCTTCTTGTAAGACACCAGAATAATACGATCCCTTCACTATGAAAAGAACAACCTCAAAAGTGTTTCCTTCTACTGGTGCTTAATGACTCAGCTCTCTTACATATGGGGCAGCCAGTGCTGTGTAGTAGAAAGTGGACTTCAGCTGGAGAAACCTGTGGCTAAATTCCTATTCAGCCATGAAGCTCACCAGGTGACCTCTAGCCAGAGCCCATCATTATCACTCAACCTAACCTCTTTCAAAGAGTTGTTGATAAATGGGAAAACCCCATGAACTCTGATCTCCTGGAGCAAACAAGATCCACAAATCTAACATACAATTTGTTCTGTTCATGTCAAGCTCCCCTTCTTTCCCCCAGTATGTATAGGAAGTGTCATGAGAAACATTCCCTAAGCCTAATTTTTGATGGGTGTGAAGGTCCAGAGTAGAGATGTGAAGTTTCTGGAAATTTTGAAGCCATAAGGAAAAAACGTTTCAAAAGTAAAGAATGTTAGAGTGATGTTGGACTGAAAATAAGCGGTTTCCAGCTGTACAGGTTAAGGTTAATGATAGATCAAGACTAAAGATTAGGATTAAAGATGTTTAATGAAATGGAAATTTGACAATTAAGATGTAAAATTTTAATGTTATATTACATTAAGACTAAAGATTAGGTTTAAAGAAGTTGAAGTTATATATTTCAATATTATATTAAATTAAAGACTGGGATTAAAAAGTGGAAAAGAAATTGCTGGACAAACAATTTGGATTGGAATACAAAAGAGGGAGGTATGAGGAAGTCCAGAAAATAAGCAAATTTAAAGACGGAAATGGAAAAGAGATATTGTTTTTTTAATTGTTATGTTCTTTTTTTGTTGATTTTTGTCTTTTGTGTTTTTTTTATTTTCTCTTTGAGACTTGTATGGTGTATTTGTGTATTTTTCTTTGATGTTTTTCTTTTCTTTTTTTGGTTGTTTAATTTTTGATTGAAACTTTAATAAAATTATTATTAAAAAAAAAAAAAGGAAAAAACGTTTCCCCCCTGTTTTTTCCCAGAAATAATTGACATTTTGGAAAAATTGAAAAGAAGTTCAGTGTTACAAATTGCATGAAACAGATTGTAGATAAAAGTATTTGCTTGCAATAAAACAGGTAGCCACCCCCTTTCCCTCAAAAGCAACAAAAAAGGCAAGAAACCATAAACATAAAAAACAATCAGATTTGCCTCTTAGCACCAACAGCAAATAAAGTTAAGGTCCACCTCAATATTTAAACTCCCTAGGAGGTCTACCCTTTGAGTACTGCTTTAAAAAGAAGGGGGGGAGACGCAACATATACAGTCACTTTATTCTATCTCATTTTCTGAACTACTGCCATCATTCCTTCTTTGTCATTTTTCTCATGGACTTCAAAAGGGGAGGGGCTGTCCCCCCAAAAAAAACATTTTCTGATTTTTCCCCCAGGCCTTTCCATCTGGGGCAAAGCATAAGGAAGATTTTTTGCATGCCAGGCCCAGAAGTAACCAACATTCAGTTACTGAATAGTATGTTGCACTAAGGCTCAAACTCTGTTTGAAAGGAAAAGGAGTGTGTGTGTTTTTGAATTGAATTTGTTATTATATATTATAAACCGCATGATGGTAAGAGAGCTTTCTAAACAGTTTACAAAAATGTACAACAGAAGATTAAAATGATTGATAAAACACAGTTAGAAGCAGGTATTTAAGAGTATTCAGATGATCAGCAATGGTTAAAAGGAAGTAAATCGCATGCAGCTTCCACGTGTTCAGATGGGCTGCCCTAATGAAAATGTTTTGAGCAGTTGCCGGAAAGAGTACAGTGAGAGAACCTGCCTGGTGTCAGTCGGCAGGGAGCTCCAAAGTGGGGGTGCTGGAAGGCCTGGGGGAAAAATGGGGCAGTTTTTTCAGGTTTTTTCCAAAGCCATTTTTTTCAGGAAAAATGGGGGGGGGGGAGAGAATAGTGTATGGAATATTCAAACTATATCAAACTATTTTTTTCAAATTTTCCGGAAAAAAATGGCTTTGGGAAAAACCGGGGGGAAACCTGGTTTCCCCCCAAATTTTTCTGGTTTTTTTCCAGACCTTCCTATCTCTAGTCCAGAGTGATGATGGAGGAGCCCTTCACTGGGGAAGGGAACCTGTAGCCCTTCACATAACGGCTGAGGAACCACTTCCATCAGGTCCAGCAAGTATGGCCCAAAGGCCAGGGATGATAGGGCTTGTAGTCTAGCAACACCTAACCCCAGCCTCTGCCCGCCCCAGCCCCATTCCATCTTGTTTGAATATTCTTTTTTTTTTAAACCCAGAAAAAGAGGGGAGTCCTAAATAAATATTCTACCTACTTCTGCTTGCTTACATTTTCATGCATACTTCTCCCCAAAATTGCCTCCAAATATTTTCTCAATTCTGATGCTGAATTTTCTTTGTTATGCTAACTGTAAAGGTAACATAGCTCAGTGGTGGAGTGCATCCTGTGCGTGCTGAAGGTGCAAAGTAATTCTTTGCAGCTCTATTTAAAAGAAACACAGCAGGTGACAGAGAAGAGCTCATCCTGAAATCCTGCAGATCTGCTATTTGCTATTGTATACAATGCTAGACAATAGACAAAGTGTGGCCTTCTTTGAAGCAGGTTCCTGTGCAGTTTCCCGAAGGAGAGGAAGATCTGGGACTGCAGGACCTTTCCGTTGCCTCTCCTGAAGAACCAACAATTTCTGACTCCTCTCCAAAATTTTCTGTTCCTGCTGCAAAGTCTCCATTACTAAGAATTAGGGCCTGCTTTCCCCCCCTTCTCCCTCCCAGTCCCTTTTCCTTTTGAGTTGTATCTCTTGGATTGTGGGCCCGAGGACAGGGACTGTATTGTCAGTGATATTTTTAAGCTGGTCTGGGAGCCTTTTTTTTTTTTTGCCAAACAGAATAAAAATGGCAATAATTTATAATCTAGTGACCTCCAAATGTTTTGGACTAACACTTCTGTCATCTCTGGCTGTGCTGACGGGGGCTGATGGGAATTGTAGTCTGAAGCGCCTGGAGGGTGCCGTGTCAGGGAAGGCTGTCCTGCCTGATCCCCACACAGCCGCTTCTCTTACATGTTTTCCTTCAGCAGATTCCAAAAGTTTGAAATCATTCTTGCCTTTTGAAATACTGCAGCTGAGGATGAGGAACTTTCCTGCAGAATATATCCCCATTGTCAGGGAACTGGGGGCTGAGAAGGGGGAAATGCTGGGGAAATACAGAGATAAGCCTCCGATCGTAAGCAGCTGCACCTCATCATAGGGGGAGGATGACGAAGGGTTGTCAGGAAGCAATGAATCAGGGAGGGGGGAGCAATTTCCGGGGTTTAGCTCTTCACGTAAAAGAGAAAGGAAGAGGGGAGGGCTCCAGAAATGGTTATGCTGGAGAAAACGAAAGGAGGGGTCAGTCTCGGCAACTGATACCGAAAGAGCCAGACGTGCTCTGAGAGCTCTGTGGTGTAAATAGTAAAATGGACCTAATAAATCCTGTAAAGCTGGCTGGAGTCCCGGGCTCTTATCTCTTCTAGCACCCACCAATCATCCGTGACACCCATTGTGTAAAATACTGCTTAGTGCTGAGCAGTATGCCATGGCAAGTTGTAGCAAGAGCCTGGCAACAAGGACAGGCGTTCATTATAAGGGAGAATGTCCCCTCCTCCCATCTCAAACCAGAGGGTTTAACTCTGGAGTGGCGGCGAGGAATGCTGTTGCTAAGGAGCAGGCCGTGGTTTGACAATTGTACCTCGTCCATTCCTTTTGTCTGTTTCAGGCCCTTTGAAAACACCCATAGCTGCTGGCCACCCGTCAATGAACCTGCTGCTTCGTAAAACATTTGACCTTTATGCAAACGTCCGCCCTTGTGTATCGATTGAAGGCTACAAAACCCCTTACACAGATGTCGACATAGTCACAATACGAGAGAACACAGAAGGGGAATACAGCGGAATCGAGCACGTGGTATGAGTGCAGAATGCAGCCAGAAGCTAAAAAGCACTTGAACAAATTAGCTTCCTTAACTGCTGTAGAATTTTCTAATGCAGTATTCTGCGGGCTGGATGATTCACCAGACCAGCCCTGCCGGACCTATACAGAATTACTTTCTTAGGAGTCTGCTTTTGACTACCCATGTAACCGTTTTGTGTCTTTCAGATTGTTGATGGTGTTGTACAGAGTATCAAGCTCATCACAGAAGATGCCAGCAAACGCATTGCTGATTTTGCCTTTGAGTATGCCAGAAATAATCAAAGAAGCAAAGTTACAGCTGTGCACAAAGCAAACATTATGTACGTGACCATGATGGTAACCCAGTTCTAATGTGCAAAAGTCATGCTGCTTTCTTTAAGGGACGAGCGTGTGTCGGTTTGCTGCCTCCTGTTGCTGCCGGAAGAGGATGCCATACATTTGATGGAGCCTTCTTTTGGCAGTCAGGCCTTTGTCAAAGTTTAAACTCAATTCCCTTGCTCTACTTTAAAAAAAACAGTTTATATGTTAACTCACTAAAAAATAGTTCTTCACGTGTTTATGAAATTATTAGCCACTCTCTCCGTCAAAACCATGGAGGAGAGTGGGAAGATAACCTGCTGCTCCCGGCCTCCCCACATCCAGAAGCTGAGTACGGAGTTGTGTGCATGTGTGGGAATGGTGTTGGGCAGAGTCTGGTGGCTTTAAAAGAGGATTAGACAAATTCGTGGAGGCAAAGGCTGGGACTGGCTATTAGGCACAATGGCTATGCTCTCCCTCCATTATCTGATACATTAATGCGGTTGAATAGTGGTTGCCGGAAACCCCAGGAGGGGAAGGGGCTCGTGTGCCCCTGATCCCACTTGCTGGTTTCCCATGGGGGCATCTGGCTGGCCCCTGTGAAAACAGGAGGCTGGACTAGATGAGCCCCCTTTGCCCTGAGCTCTCAGGCACTTCTTACGTTCTTAATTTCTGATCGCATTGAAGAGCCTTTTTTGGCTGAAGAGAGGGATAAAAATGCTCTAAATAAATAACAGCCAGGTTCTCATCTTCCACTGGGGCCATCAGAAGGGCTCCTGTTTCTCTCTCTCCCCAGTTTAGTCTGCTCTATATTAGAATGTAAGAATAGCACTCTTGTTTAGAAACCTTCACTCCTAAATTCCATTCGGTTAGAAAACCTTTTTCCCCATAGCCCAGTATGTTTTATTAGATGAAAATAATTCACCTCTTTTTCCTGTTTTTGGCAGATGGTGCATACTAGAGGTAATTATGAAAGTAAGCCTTAACTAAAAAAAGGTTTTGCATAGAAAAAAGCTAATTTTGTATTAATAAGGATGTTTCAGTAATCCAGGATAGCACAATTAAATTTTGCAACATTTGTCTAAAACTGTAACTGAGAATAACCTAAACCTGATGCTGCTGCATGAATACTGTGATCGAATTTGTATTCAAATCTGCACCTAGGGTGGAAAAAGAAATTTTTGCCAAACGTTTGGTACAATACAGTGTTGCTGTATTATTTATAGCTGAGTGTGCCCACTTCCCTTGTCTCCATAACTTGGAATCACAATGCTCCTGAACAAGGAAGGCAGAGCAACTTTTCAGTTTTACCACAGACTTCTTTTTTTAATAGTCTATGGTTAAATACCTTGCTTTGAAAATTTTATGGTGGGTGAGGATATTGACAGTTTGTATTTATGTATCTTAAACACAGTTTTGAAGGCCACTTGAGACCATGGCCAAAGCAGCAATGGCTCACCTGTGTCTCTCTTGGTGATCTTGGACTACCGTTTTCTTCGCCATTGGCCTTGCTGGCTAGGACTGATGGGAGTTGAAGTCCAGCATTATCTGGAGGGCCACAGGTTAGCCATTCTTGCTCTGAAGAGTTTACGTCATGTTACGGTCACGGAACAATCTGACTCAAATAGTACCATAGCATTGTCCCTGGGTGGCATGAAAAAGACCTTCCCTTGTATATCTGGAGGGCCCTTGCCAGCCACCCTAGCGGATCAGCTACAGCAGTAAGTGAAAAATCTCTCTTGGCTGGTCAGATATGTTTTGACCTTTCGTTCTCTTCAGTGGACTTGTCTACCATAATATATACTGAGCGCAGCCAAAAAGAAGAGAAACGTTTTGACCTCGCTGGCTTCCAGAGGGGTGTGTGCGCGCATCATTATGTGTATAGATCTCTGTAACCATTCAAGAGAACAGTATCAAATATAACAATAGCTTGTAAGGTCTCTGTGTAATTTAGTGATTGAGAGAGTTCCGATCGCCGTTCATCCATGAAGCTACTGGGAGACCTTGTGCCAGTCTCAGCCTCACCTGCTGCTCCACAGGTTTATTGGGAGAACAAAACACACGTTTGCTCCCTTAAGCATCTAGGAGGAAAGGCAGGTTATAAATCTTCCTTGAGAAATACAATTTCTGCTTTTAGGGCAGAAAGCATAAAAATAACTTGTTATATCTCCATCTTTCTCATTCTCTTAAAATTTGTGAATTGCTTAAGATTAGAAAGGAATATTACCTTTGAAACATGGATATTTGCTTCTGAACTCAAACTAAACGCCTGGCATGTTACACTATCGTTGCCGTCGACAGGTGCTTTCCCTCTCTACTACTGTCCCCTCCCCCATGTCTGAATGCAACATTAATCTGGTACGCACATCTAGGACCCTAAAATGCGGCTTTTTTTCCCTTGATGCACAGGCGAATGTCTGACGGGTTGTTCCTGAAAAAATGCAGGGAAGCAGCAGAAAACTGTAAAGACATTAAGTTTAATGAAATGTATCTCGACACTGTGTGTCTGAATGTGAGTATATAGCAAACTCATGATTAAGGTGCTTCATAGTTGCTATTTTCCTCCTAAAAACAGCAGCTTATTTCTTGTCCCTTAGATGGTGCAGGATCCATCTCAGTTTGATGTCCTTGTAATGCCAAACTTGTATGGTGACATCCTTAGGTAAGGAGACTTGAGCTAGTGTGAAGGATTTTATGTACGTATTTATTTATAAGATGATTATAAACTGCTTTTCAACACAAGCTCTCAAAGTGGTGTGCAAATAATGAACAAATCTCTGAAAAGCAGCCATAAAACTAGGCCTTATTTCTTGCAGAAGCCAATTTTGGCCTGCTGCATAAAATGGAACTTGAAGCATGTTAACTCAGAAAGTGCCCACTGCAAGTGCCCAAGGGGCATTTGTGCCTTGCTTCACCTGGTTTGCCAGCTACAGCTCTTCCTGGATCAGAATAGCCTGGCTTCTCAGACACACACTAGTTATATCCTGGGTAGATTTCTGAAATGTGTTGTGCTCAGGGCTAATCTTCAAGATGTTCTGGAAGCTGCAGCTGGTGCAGAATGCTGCTGGCCAGCAGGGAAGGACCACATCCCTCCAGTTCTTAAAGCACTGCACTGGCTGCTGGTCATCTGTGAGCCCAATTCAGGGTCTTGCTGTTTTACATGTAAAGCCCTAAACCACTTGGGACCCAGTAACTTGGGTGTCTTTTCCCCAGTGCCAACTGATGCCTGCGTTACAATCTGCAGGAGATGCCTTACTCATCCCATCTCTTGGAGTTGTCAGGACAATGTCATGAGGTGGCATTCTCTGTGGTGATGCCCTGCTTATAAAACTTTTCCAGCTGACATCCAGTTTACTCCCACAATAAAAACGTATTAAATGAAGACTAAAGACATCTCATTTGTCCAGGTTTTTGGACCACGATTGGAATTGATTTTTCAGAGGTGATTATAGTTATTTGTCACCACTGATTTTGTGTTGTTGTTTTTTAATTGTATGTTCTATTCATTTAGTCTGTGTTGTTGGCCACCCTGTACTTCTGATTGGAGGAACGGTTTTGGGATACCTAAAAAGTCCATCAGAGTGCATCACTTGCTCACAGCTTCTCTGGGTCTTCCTGTGCTGCAGCTTTCTAAGTTTGTCTGGCCTCCTCCATTCCTCAAGCCATGCTTTGCACTGGCCTGCTCCTATTTGCACCCAGTAAACAGGCTGTGCGTGACTGCACTCTGCCACCAAACACTCCTTTTGTGTTTTAGGTCCTTGTGAAGATCATCATCTGTTTTCCACTAGCTCTGCTTTTTAGCTCCCTTTTTCCCCGAACTTCCCACTGCAAGTATATAATAATTTAAAGAGCCTAAATATACCAACTCAAATATTTATTGTGTGTTTGCATTTTCCTTCCAGTGATTTGTGTGCAGGATTGATTGGAGGTCTTGGAGTAACACCAAGTGGAAACATTGGTGCCAATGGAGTCGCAATCTTTGAATCAGTAAGATTCCTATTCTGAAATAAAATTCTGGAACTTGAACTCTGATTTTTGACATAATTGCTTTCTGGAAAAGCAAATGCCTCTCTCTGCGGGGTTTTAATAAGTTCATAACAGGTCTGTTCAAGTGCATGTAACAAAGAAGCTTGACTTCAGGACTGGATTTCTGCAGTGCGCTCTGAGGGGGGCTTCCCTTGCACTCAATCCAGAAGCTGCAGTTAGTGCAGAACTTCAGCATGGTTGCTCGCTGAAGGGAGAACCTGTCAGCAGGTGACACCTCTGCTCAGAGATCTGCACTAGCTGCCCATTTGCTGCCAAGCCAGGTTCAAAGGGTTACTAATGCTATACAGTTGTACCTTGTTTTGTGTCCGGGATCCGTTCTGGAGCCCTGGCCGCTAGCCAGAAAGGACATAGGGTAAAGCGCCGCCTCTGTGCACGCACACAAAGCGCGATTTAGTGCTTCTGTGCATGTGCGATTGGCAAACCCGGAAGTAACCTGTTCCAGTACTTTCAGGTTTGCCACGGAAGTTCGACGGAATGGATGCTAGACAAGGCGGATGTTCACGGAGGTATAACAGTATAACAGGGTAGGATATGTTTGTTTGCAGGATTGCCTTATCCCATATATGCCCACTCAACTGCTTCAGTCTATTGCAGGTGCTGCATCATGCTTGTTCCTCACTTGTAAGAAATAGATCTGCAAGTCTGGCAACCCGTACGCTTTGGAACTCCCCGCCTGTTGACATCAAGCAGGCGCCTTCACTGTACTCTTTTTAATGCCAGATGAAAACATTTTTGTTTAGACAAGCCTACCCAGATATGTAGAAGTTGCAACTATTTTGTTTCTTTCTAGCAATTGTTTGTTGGAATATTTCTAAATGCTTTTTTTAAACCAATTTAATGTTTTAGTCTATATTTGTGTAAAACACTAAGAGGTTTTTTATTTTATTTTTTTACAATCAAATGGTATACAATTTTTGTCAAATAAGAATTACTGAACGTAGCAATATTTTGAAAAGAGGATCTTCCAAGGCAGCATTTAAGCTGCCTTGGAAGAATTAGGTAGAATTAGGAGTTCAAATTCACTTCTCATACGGAAATATTATTCAATATACAGCTGAGTTTGTTGTTCTTCCAAACAAGGGTGTAGTGTAGTGTTTTGTTTTGTTGTTTTGTTTTGTTTTGTTTTGTTTTGTTTTGTTTTGATGTTGACTAGCATTCACTGTTGGGAAATTGCTTAGAATCTTGGTCACACGCTGGTGTAGCACAGAGGCCAGCTGCATCTGCCACTACCAGCATCACCACTTACCTTGGCAGCAGTAGACATGTGATAATAGACAGGCTTTGTAAAAAGCACCAACTTTCCACTGCTGGTGCAAGATAATCCACTGAATCAATACTTTAGTTTTAGCCAAAGAATCAGGTCAGCATTCTTTATTTTCATAGGTTCATGGAACAGCTCCAGATATTGCTGGAAAGGACTTGGCAAACCCAACAGCACTACTATTGAGTGCAGTGATGATGCTGCGACACATGGGAATGCAAGAATACGCCACGAAAATAGAAGATGCCTGTTTTGATACCATCAAAGATGGAAAGGTATGCCTTGTCAGGGTTCACCTATCACTGGCGATCTCGCAATCCAGTTTCTACAGAATGTGATTCAGATAGGACTAGAGCACACGCTATGCCAGGTTGGAAGAATTTTCTGTTGTCCAGTTCCACTGACACTGAACAAGTCTCCCACTCTCTTCTACCAGGTCTATAAATGCTCTCTTTTGCAGCGCATACACAAAAACTCTACTAGGTCTATAGCGCCACCAGCTCCAATTTGTGTCTCAGTATTTGCTTTAGTTTCTAGCTTATAAACAGTGCTGCTAGCATTATCTGTTAACTGGAGGTTGGCATTTAGTTGGGAGACAATATTTAGCTGTTTGTATCCAGCAACAAGCATGTGTGCTCTGCAAAGAGGAGAAAGGAGTGCTTATCTCTACCTGCAGGGTAGATAGATTCTCTTCTGCGTGAACTAGATTGGTTTCTTATTATTGAATTGAGCAGCGGTGAAAACGGAGAGCTTTCTTATCATCCCAGCGCTATGTGTTAAGTGAGCATATAGGTGCTGAATAAGATTTTGATTAGACGTTCAGAGTGCCTTTGGCACTCAAAATTCATACAGGTGGCACACGGGGGGATACTATAGCACCTGCTATACAAGCAGAAGATCCCAGGTTCAATCCATTGCCTTTCTTGGCTCAACCCAGACTTGTCACAATAATTATGGAGAGGACACAGTCAGATGGAGCAGCTGGCACTTGGCCCTGCTGAGCACAAAACACTTGATGTCCATCCAGTTGAGTTGGGCACCACTTTGCAAAATGTCCAGCCTTTGAGATGATGGTTTGGAAAACCTTCCCTTAATCAAGGACTAGCACAAGTCTTCTAACTTTGGGCACAGAAGGACAACACCACACTATGTGTCCTGATCCTGGAAAAGACTATGTGGCTGTAGTTAGCTAATTACATTTCATTAAACTGAAGCGTTTAAAGTGTCCATTCTTCTTCACCATCTTTTTCCATCTTTCTTTTCAGGTCTTGACCAAAGATTTGGGAGGTAACTCAAAGTGTTCAGAGTTCACAGCAGAGATCTGTCGCAGAGTAAGGGCGATGGAATAAAGCATCTCCATAGCTTGTTGGTTTCAGTTGCCCCTGATGGAAGCTGTTACTAAAACGTGTTAGCTGTCTGCAATTCATTTCCATTTTGTTTGCCTTTCTCTTGAGGAAAGCAAACTGTTAGACGGAGAGCCTCTCTGTTAAATAAATTCAGCCCAAATGGATGCGATTCTTCTTGTGCCTGCTTCTGGTGGACTTTTTCCAAGTGCTTATTTTTATTTATTACATGTCAGACACATTTTTGTAAAGTCAAATTCCTTTTTTTAGCTCATATTGCACGCAATTGGCAACCTTCCATTTTGAGTCCTCCTACTTTTTCAGAAACACTTGATGTATTTAAGTGTGCAGATATGCAAAAGTCTGATTTTATCACTACAACTTTGAAGGAGGCTTGGTTTGTTATCCATTAGGAATGCAGGAGGTGGCACAGCCTTAAAATAGCACAATATATTTTTCTAAAGCAAAGAACAAGAAAGCTTGCTATACAGAGGTACTCCTGGAATCTGTCCTTCAGAAGCATAAATAAAGCCTTGTAACTGTGGAAACATGGGTTTGAGCTGTTATATATAAAATGCAAGGTATCTCTATCCTTCTGGGACTGAAGGGAAAGTGTTAAAAGTAAAAATGACTACTCCTTTTTAGTCTTCTCTGCACATTACTTGCTCCAGCATTCTTCAATGAAGATTAGTTACGCAACTTGATTTTGTCAGCTACAGATTGTGAAGGGAATGTTTAATGCTTTCCTGTCTAGATGGGATACCAAATGTGTAATTTACAGTTACTACTGTATGTACGTAATGGCTTTTATATTGTGCTCAATGATACATACATATATATATGTATGTATCTCTTCAGTTTACCATTAAGTAGGCTGCTTGGTCATTAATTTTTTTTTGAACCAATCAGATGGAGAGATTTTATAGTTAATCCAGGCCAGGAGATAATGGTGCGTGGCTCATAGCTGCTGCTGGAAACAGCGGCTTTGCACCTCCTGGTGACATTTGGTAACACTAAAGTGCATGATGCTGTACCCCTGAGCTGTGCCTTCCCAAAGCAACAACAGATGAAGTGGGGAAATGGGTGGGCAATCTTACAGCATCATTGTGCGTAGATTGTGTTGAGCAGATGTTATCCAGGGGCAAAGGAAGAGAACTTTTCAGGGATGCTGTATTTTGCAACAACTCTTGCTGCAAGTTCATAACATGCCCCTTGCACGTTTTGTTATGGGCATGAATGTTACAAACCTTTTGATCATCTAGAAGTCCCATGCCAGATTCTCTCCATTGTGTCTCTATCCAAGAGGAATAGGAGAACTGTGGCTGGGCCTGCAGCTGGCTGGTGCCACCAGTCTGGCTTTTTCTCCCACACATTAAAGCCGTCGTGCAGAATTGCTTTGCCTTGCCAGTTTCCATGTAGTATCTGCACAACCAGAAGTAGGGATGAGAGTGAGGCCTTGGGAACTTGTCTTTTTTGTGTTTTGCTTCTGCACTGAGAGGTACCTTTCAATATTGTGTATTAATATGGGCTTCTCAAAGAACTTGGGAAACAGAGCTCTTGCTTGATCTGTGTGTGTTATATTTTTGCTGCTTCTGTCTGTCTCTTGGATTGTACTGAGGTTACCATTCGCACACAAAGCAAGGAAAAAATAAAGTCCCTCCCCCCAAGATACGCTGCCTTTGTTTTGGTTCTTAATTAGGTGACTAGTTTTAAGTGCTTTGAATAATCCAGCCTTCAGAGAGCTCATGTCCCTCTGTGGAAGTCCATATTGGCTCTTCTGGAAAAGGCAGCTCTGAGTACATCTTCTTTAAACTGGAAGGCAAAAATTAGTCCCCTTAGTAGCTTTTGCTAGTAACATACAACTGGCTCATTAAAAATATATAATGTGCTAAATAGTGTTGGTGTGAAGAAATGCATTTCAGGTGCCTGAGGTGATAAGCAATAAATGTTGCAATGTCCTCAGTCCAGAATCTACTGGTTTTCATTCATAGTGTAGCAGAGGATGGATTGGTTAATCAGTTTTAAAGCCTTTTGATGGGCAAATAAGTGCCCCAAAGTAACATGGCCATGTTGCTCCTTTGAAGTGTGTAATTTATAATTCAAAAAAATGTACCACAGGCAACATCTCCACATCAATGTTGGCTGCTGCATAATCTAAAAAACAATTGTGCACCAGCCTTCTTGAACCTAGAGCACGATCCAGAATTATTGGACTACAACTTTAATAGTCCCAAAAAAAGTTGGAGGACAACAGGTTGATGAAAGCTGACCTATGCTTCCTTTCCCATCTCCCCAAAGTCTTGCTTCCAGGCATGGCCAGTGGTAGAGGTGAAGAAAGAGGTACAGTCAAACCTAGTTGTTGAATGTAATCCGTTCTGGAAGCCCGTTCGGCTTCCAAAATGTTCAACAACTGAAGCGTGGCTTCCGATTGGCTGCAGGAGCTTCCTGTACTCAAGCGGAAGCCACATCGGATGTTAGGTTTCCAAAAAAGTTTGAAAACCGGAACACTTCCAGGTTTTCAGCATTTGGGAGCCGAAACGTTCCAAAGCAGGCTTTTGGGAACCGAGGTTTGACTATAGTTGAGTGGCCTCTCCACACAGTTTTATGGCGGGTGTATTCTGCAACATCCCAGAATTGGTAGGCCAGCATGCCACTGCTCTGACAGCATCATGAGCACAAATCGTGTTGTTGTTGTAAGTTTGGCCCAACTCATAGTCATGGACATGCCTTAGACCTGGTGTTTACCTCTAGTGACCTGGGTGATCTGACACTAAGTAAAAGTGAAACAAAAGAAGTGCCATGGTCAGATCACTTCCTGGTGCAACTGGACTTCTCCGCGACCCTTCCCCTCTGCAGGGAGGTGGGACCAATTTGGATGGTCCGCCCCCGCCACTTAATGGATCCAAATGCTTTCCAGAGAGTGGTAGGGGATGCTTTATCCCATGTTGATGGCCTTTCAGCTGATTCCCTGGTGGCCTGCTGGAATGCAGAGTTAACCAGGGCTATTCTGTCTGGCTCTGAAGCGCCCTCTCCAATTGCATGGAGCCCGGATAGCCCCGTGGTTTTCTTCGGAGCTGAGGGTGATGAAACAATCGTTGAGACGGCTAGAGCGTTGGTGGCAGAAAACTCATTCCGAATCTGACCAGACACAGGTTAGAGCTCAACGTTGAGCCTACCAAGTGGCGATAGCAACGGCGAAGAAAACTTTCTTCACCGCCTCTATTGCATCTGCAGAAGATAGTAGCAGGAGACTCTTTCAGGTGGTCCGCAATTTAACGGAACCACCTTTACCACCGGGGCCTTGTAAAGACCCCAAGATCTCCTACAACGATTTTGCGAAGTTTTTTGCAGATAAAACCACTCATATTCGGAAGGAGCTAGACACCACCGTGGGAGCAGGGCTGGGGCGGGAGAGTGCTAGAGCTCTCTCTGTCTGGTCAAGTTGTATGGAATCAATTTCAATCCGTTACCCCCGAGGATGTGGACAGGCTGCTCGGACGCGTGAAACTAACCACCTGTCTCCTTGATCCTTGCCCATCCTGGCTAATAAAAGCAAGCCAGGAAGGGCTGGGCGATGGGCTCTGCGGGGTGGTGAATGCTTCCCTCTGTGAGGGAACATTCCCAGATCCGCTGAAAGAGGCGGTCATTAAACCGCTTCTTAAAAAAACATCTTTAGACCCGGCCAGTATGGCTAACTATCACCCAGTCTCAAATCTTCCATTCTTGGGCAAGGTGATTGAGTGTGTGGTTGCTGAACAACTCCAGGCACGCCTGGAGGATGCGGACCATTTGAATCCCTTCCAATCGGGATTCAGGCCTCATCATGGGACTGAAACTGCCTTGGCCATGCTGGTTGATGATCTCCGGCGGGCTAGGGACAAAGGTGAGAGCTGTTTCCTAGTTCTGCTGGATCTCTCAACGGCCTTTGATACAATCAACCATAATATCCTTCTGGACCGTCTAGAGGGGCTGGGAGCTCTTTAAAAAAATAAATAGAGGGGCTGGGAGCTGGGGGCACTGTTATACAGTGGTTCCGCTCCTTCCTCCTGGGCCGTGTTCAGAAAGTGGGGGGGGGGGAATGAGTGTTCAGACCCCTGGGCCCTCACTTGTGGGGTGCCTCAGGGTTCCGTCCTCTCCCCCATGCTTTTTAACATCAATATGAAGCCGCTGGGAGAGATCATCAGGGGGTTTGGACTGGGTGTCCATCAATATGCAGATGATACCCAGCTCTACCTCTCTTTCAAAGCAGAACCAGTGAAGGCGGTGAAGGTCCTGTTTGAGTGCCTGGAGGCGATTGGAGGATGGATGGTGGCTAATGGATTGAAGTTGAATCCTGACAAGACAGAAGTACTGTTTTTGGGGGACAGGGGGCGGGCTGGTGTGGAGGACTCCCTGGTCCTGAATAGGGTAACTGTGCCCCTGAAGGACCAGGTGCGCAGCCTGGGAGTCATTTTGGACTCACAGCTGTCCATGGAGGCGCAGGTCACTTCTGTATCCAGGGCAGCTGTCTACCAACTCCACCTGGTACGCAGGCTGAGACCCTACCTGCCCGCGGACTGTCTCGCCAGAGTGGTGCATGCTCTGGTTATCTCCCGCTTGGACTACTGCAATGCGCTCTACGTGGGGCTACCTTTGAAGGTGACTCGGAAACTACAACTAATCCAGAATGCGGCAACTAGACTGGTGACTGGGGGCGGCCGCCGAGACCTTATAACACCGGTCTTGAAAGACCTACATTGGCTCCCAGTACGTTTCCGAGCACAATTCAAAGTGCTGGTGTTGACCTTTAAAGCCCTAAACGGCCTCGGCCCAGTATACCTGAAGGAGCGTCTCCACCCCCATCGTTTTACCCGGACGCTGAGGTCCAGCGCCGAGGAGCAAAGCTGCAGGGAACCAGGCAGAGGGCCTTCTCGGTAGTGGCGCCCGCCCTGTGGAACGCCCTCCCATCAGATGTCAAAGCGATAAATAACTACCTGACATTCAGAAGACATCTTAAGGCAGCCCTGTTCAGGGAAGTTTTTAATCTGTAATTTTAGTGTATTTTTGGTTTCTATGGAAACCGCCCAGAGTGGCTGGGGAAACCCAGCCAGATGGGTGGGGTACAAATAATAAATTATTATTATTATATTATTATGGGTGTGCAGTAAAAATATCCTTGGTTAGTCCTCCACAGGGGTTCCCTATCCCTGCTCTTGCCTCAACACAAACAATGCAATCCTACATGTTGATTTGGAAATAAGTCCTTTTAAGGAACATAAGGAATATGTTTTGTGTTGTCATGTTCTTTACTACTACAATGAATCAGCATAAATTCAAGAAGTGTTTTTAACCTTTGCATTCAGAAGGTGCTTGGTTCATATCTTCAGCTAAGAGAGACCTGGATTTGCCAGTGCCAGAAAAAGCCTTAACTTGTAAGATTGGGTTAAAAGACCATTGATTTAACTCATAGTTACATCTTGTGCCAATGCCTGTTTTTCATTTGTTGCAAAACTTGAATTCTGTAGTCTGATCTACATAATTTTATTTTAATTTGTTATTCAGATGACAAAAATACAACCTGCACCCATTCAATGAAAGCAGTACTGTGGCATTTAGTACAAATTAGTATGTTTAACTTCATTTGCTAGAAAACATAACTTTAAAAAATATGGTTATGTTTTCAACAGAAATAGTGTTTGAATCTGAATTGTTTCCAGAAGCTATAAATAAAGATGGAAAAATTTAGTTTAGTTCACATTTTAATGTGACCAGACCAAATTAGCGTGTCTCAAAACAATGCAGGAAACAAAAACGCAGCTAACTTTCGAAATTATACTTCTCTGAATTTTGCAGTGCAGTTCTCCAACCAAAGGTATATATCTTATAGGAAAGTGTGCATAAAACTACATATATTGGTCAAAATTAATGTCAAAATGTATTATACTTAGGAAAACTGCATACAAAGTATGTATATTAGGAGAATCCTACTCACTGATTGTGACAGTAAAGAATCAAAATTGTAGGGTTGGAAGGGAAGCTGAGGTCTGTCTAGTCCAACCCCCTGCAATGCAGGAATCTAAACTAAAGCATCCCTGACAGATGGCCATCCAACCTCTGCTTGAAAACCTCCAAGGAAGGAGAGGCCACCACCTCCCAAGGGAGTCTGTTCCACTGTCAGCTCTCATCAGAAAGTTCTTCCTGATGTTCAGTCAGAATCTCCTTTTTTGTAACTTGAAGCCACTGGTTTGGGTTCTACCCTCTGGAGCAGGAATAAACAAGCTTGTTCCATCTTCCATGTGACAGCCCTTGAGATATTTTTAAATGGCTATCATTTCTTCTCTTTGTCTCCTCTTTTCCAAGATAAACATACCCAGCTCCCTCAACCGTTCCTCATAAGGCTTGGTTTCCAGACCCTTGATCATCTTGGTTGCCCTCCTCTGCACATGTTCCAGCTTGTCAGTATTCTTAAATTGTGGTGCCCAGAATTGGAAACAGTATTCCAGGTGTGGTCTGACCAAGGCAGAATTTGTGTATTTGGAGAAATGCACACTAAAATGATGGTGAATTTTAGTGAATGCTTTCTTTAAAGAAACAAACTGATGTTGAAAAGTTGCAAATCCTATTTAAGATTGGACTGAAAATGAGAAATCACAACTGACAGATTGGTCCATCCCTATCAATAACTGAATGAAAATCTATATTCACTGGAATGAATATTGGATTGATCGGCTGGCCATCTGTCATGGATGCTTTAGTTGAGATTGCTGCATTGCAGGGGCTCAACTAGACAACCCTCTGGACCCCTTCCAACACTGATTCTGGGGTGCGTGCTTCTCTCTGGCTTCTGTAGCCTAATTAGCATTTAGAAGTGGAACCCAAAACGTGCACTTGTTAGTATCTGGTGCTCCTCTTCAAAATGGTGGTGGTCTTCAAACAGCTTCCTTGGAAAGATGGTCTTACATATTCTACAGAATGTGCGTTTCTGTTCTATTGGAGCTTGAACAGCAATACTGGACGGCTAACTTTATTTTTTGTAAAAGGAATCAATTTCATCTTTGTACTTCTCAACAACAGTTTGCCGCTTTAATTTCATGGTTGGACCTAAAATGGAAATGAATTGATATTAGCAGTTTGTCATGAGGAAAGTGTGTGTGGAAAAGGTGGATTCTAATCCAGAGGCTTAATGATCCCAGCTGAAGAACTGCATATGACGGATGGAATACACCAGAGATCCTGCAGTTCTACTTTACTGGATACATTTACCAAAGTCAAACCCCAAATTTAGCAGTCTTACTATCCCTCCAAAGAGATATATCTGGAATTTTTAATATAACTGAATTCCAGATTGTAACCCAGCCCTTGGAAAACTTACCAAATTCCCCACCAGAAATGGAAAAATCCTTTTGTAGAACTGCCCACTTCTGAATGCGCTGAACATTGGCCGCTGCCCGTCCGTTGACTCTGTCTATGCCATCTTGGATGGCTCGATAAACAGCCGGATCTCTTGTCCGCACAACCTCAGACACTTGAGTGGCTTTGCTGCCAACTTTCTGACAAAACTCCCTGGCTTCTTGGGTCAGGCTGTCCGTAGGCTCAGAAGTCTCAGGATCCACTGCACACTGGAAATGGGGAAGGAGAGTGTGGTGAAATAAACAGCTTTTTATTATTTGTTAAATTTATATACTACCCTTCATCTGAAGATCACAGGGTGGTTTACAGCATAAAGTGTTCACACAGGTACTTATGTGGCAGTGAGCCTGGTGTGGAAAGGGGACCTGCTAGTACCAAGGAGGCTACCCAGCCTGAACTTCCCTACTGCCGGATCTGGCCAAAGCTCCATCTAGTCCAGAGGGAGGAACCTTTTCCAGCCAGGCACATGCCCTTTCGGGCAGCCTTTGCAGGGGAGAGGACACCTGCCAGTGGCAAAAAGGGAGCAGAGCAGCAAATGTGGATTTGTTTCATTTTTGCTACACACAGAGAGTCTTACATCCAGACAAGCCAGAGGATTTGCATTCAAGGAGACATTTCAGTCAGGCCAAAATACTGGGGGGGAGGCAGAGTCACTGAGAGTTGTGGCTTGGGAAGAGCTGAGGGTTCAATAGTGGAGTCAGGGGGGCACCTCTGTCTTGAGGCTTCTCATCTCAGACCCAGAGCTTCCAGGTCCTGGGACAGTATTGGATTCTCTCTTTGTCAACTCCCAATTAAGGGCCAAGGTAAGCTGGCAGCTCTCAGCCCTTTGGGGCAGCAATTTCCATTGACTCCTAGGAAGAAGCCTCTTCTGAACTTAGCAGTTTTGTTGGATGAGTCAAGTTCTGCTAACAGGAGAAAGGTAGAGAAGCGTCTCTCTGTCCCATTTTCTTTTCCACACTATGCAGTCATCCACAGTATTTAAAATGCAACAATATAAAAGCAGCAAGTAAATGTAAAGTAAAGAGAACTAAAAACTGCAGCAAGCCCCAGAAAGCATCTTGGAATTTAAAGGAATAAAAGCACATGCTTTAAAAAAATGCAGAAACAGAATTTTCAAAGCAGCACAATGAGAGTTAAAAATTTAGAGAACAGAAAGTTCTGGAAAAGATGATGCTGCATGTACCAGCTGAACCATTTTGGGGGCGGCATTTCATAGACCAGGGAGAGCGACACCCTGCCATCGCTGATAGTAGGCAGTCCTGGCTGAGAGGCTGATGGGAGCTGCAATCTGACAACATTGGGGCGGCATCTGGCCAGAGGCGTAGGAAGGTCAGGTGGTAACCAGTGCGGAAAATTTCTTGTCACCCCCCACATTGAATTTTTTTGCCTGCAAAAATGGGTTTACGTTATTTCATATTTTCTTATTCTGGGCCTCTAATAACAAGTAGACGACTGTGGACAGATACTTAAATCTACAGGATGGATTGTGTTTAGGCTTGTGTTATTTTATTTATATTTATTCTTTATTTATTTAATAAAATTTATTTTAAAAAACCTGCAAAGTGGTTTACCAAAACAAAAAACACCACAGCAGTAAAATCAAGAAAAAATAACAATCCTACTTTAGAACATATAAAAGCTAAAATATAAAGATTAAAATTACTTCTACTTCCTAAGCATCTAGGTATGCTTGCCTAAAGAAGAATGCTTTTAGCAGGTGCCTGAAAAGAGTCTAGCAAAGGCACGGGCTTTGTTGCAGTAGGTGGGGAGTTCCAAAGTGCAGGTGCTGTCACAGTAAACAATGCAGTACAGATATTATGTGGAACCTGTAGTAGTGCTTGAAACTACTGAAGGGGAGGTTTTATTTATTGTGATTTCACCATGCTCTATCATCTGAAAAGGAAAACATTGATTTAAAAAACAGGACTGCACAGCAGCAATCTAGTCGCATCCTGATCAGTGGGACTTATTCCTGAGCTGACGGTGCGTAAGATGGGCTGCAATCCTATGCACCCCTTGCATCCAACTTGTACCTAAAACTCTGCACAAGCCTGCGCCAGAGAATTGTAGAGTTGGAAGGGACCCCGAGGGTCATCTAGCCAAACCCCTGGGGATCGCAACTAGACCATGCCTGAGCGATGGCCACCCATCTTCTGTTTTTCCCCTCAGCCATTTTCCAAAAAAAAGTTTTTAATGATCCGCCCTAGTAGGGCAGTAATTGTTCCTTGATAATTTGTCACCCCCCTCCATGATGGCACCCAGGGCGCACCGCCCCCCTTCCTACGCCCCTGCCTCTGGCCTCCCACCCTCCCTTCAGGAGACACCACTGCCATAAGCAGTTTTCAGTGGAGAAGGTGTCCCCCTCCTGCTCAACACCAAGTGAGTGAGCCGCTGAATTCTATGCCTCATTTGTACATCTGCCAGAAATGTTTAACTGTGCTGGACCTGTACCTTTAAAGTCAGTAACATGGACAAGAATTTCTTCTGATCTCCAATCAGCATGGCGTTGCTCACAAGAGGCAGCTCCCTCTTGACAGCATCTTCGAGGGGGACTGGAGGGATGTTTTCACCCCCAGCTGTAATCAGGATCTCTGAGAACAGGAAACACTGGTTTGCACTCAGAGAGAAACAGACAGACAGACAGACAAGGCATTCCTCATTGTGGAGTTTAGATCTCACTCTTTTACTTATGGATGGCTTAGCTTGCTTTCTGATGAGTCACACCAGAGGAGACATTAGGAAGCCCAAAGAAAGGACATGCATGAGGAGAAATTTGCAAAATATACGCCCCGTCAGGCATCCTTCAAAATCCACACTTCTACAGGTTTTGGAGGACAGTTCTTCAGTCAAGCAATGCATACAAAAAGTGTGCCAAAAATAGTTGCCTAGAATAGTGAAAATAGCAGGTTATACTGCCTTGTATTTGGGAAATTACTTTGCAAAAAATGTTTATAGTTGCCAAAATTGCATTTTTAAAAGGTGGATGTCAGGAGAAATTTGTACTAGATACAACTGGATGTAGTTGGGGTTGCTGTTGCAAGGGGGGGGGGCGAACTGTAACAGGTTGTATGTCTGGCAATTTAATTCTTTTTAAAAAAAGTAATTTTGAACAATCAATGTAGAACTGAACTGAAGATTGGGAAGATGAGAAACTGAAATCGTTTTATTTGCCCATCTGTAGTGCTAACCCAATTTTCCATGGAAGAAGAAAAAAGAAAGTGGGGAAAATGTAAAGCCCTTGCTATGGGACTATGGGGATGGTGGGGAAAGAGAGAGAATTTTGTTTCTGTCTGTAGTTTAATGAGAAACTACTTAATTCACACTTCAACATGTGAACTGAAACACAACTATCCTTTGAAATATAGAGGATTTTTTAAAAAAGCAAAGTGATGTGGAAATGTGAGAAGCCAAGTTTATGGTCAGAATAATGAGAAACCAAGAGAAACTGGACAAATTTGTCCATACCAGGATTGCATCCACTACACTGGTGTGCTGAGGGGGACTATGTGGCTTGGAGAACCGCAACTCAATGTACATTGGGAGCAGACAAACCCAGGTGTAAGGGCTTCCTGAGCTGACCTCACTCCCACAAGGACCGGAGGAGAAAACCTCCAGCAGAGAAAGATTTTCCCCATCACCTTTAAACTGGAAATGCCTGGTGTTGAACCCAGAAACTTCTATGTACAAAGCAAGTGTTCTCCCTCTGAAACACAGCTCTTTCTAAGGTGAGCAGCTGAGCCTCTGTGTCACCCTGTGGAAATGCTAGACTGAAGTGCCAGCTGCAAAACCACCAGAAGGGGGCAGGACAGGACAATTCACTGCAGATTTGGAATAGCAAAAGAGCAGGAGAGGAGAGAGCGAGATTGCCAGGGCCAGACCCAAAAATGGAGCCCCCTCCCCACCAAGGAAGAAGGGGTGAGGGAAGATCTACATCTCAGGCAGCCTGAGGTGGTTGCCTCCCCTTGCCTCAGGGGTGGGCTGGCCCTGTAGATGCTAACAAGGGGAGAAGGCACAGGATGCTTGGCGGATGAGGGTCCCCCTAAAAACACACCAAGAAGGTGTGACCCTCTCCACTGAGCAACCCTGGTGCTAAGCATGCTGGCCTGCTGAGAATGACTAGGTCCCAGGAAGTGTTGCCCAAGGGCATCTCACCTTTAATTCTTCCTGTGACGTAGAGGAACCCATCGCTGTCCATCTTCCCCAGATCTCCAGAATGCAGCCAGCCATCCTCATCAATCGCTTCCCTGGTCTTGTCCTCCATGTTCAAATAGCCCATGAAAACAGTTCGCCCCCAGAAGCAAATCTCCCCATTGCCATCGTCGTCCTTGTTCATTAACTTCACTTTGCAACCTGGGACAGCTTTGCCGCAGCTGCAAGGGAAAGAGAACATGAGGAGCAGCAGCGATAGCACCAACAGCCCAAAGAGTGGACAGTCGCATCATCGTGGTCCTCCCCCAGCAGGCCTGACCCCCCCCCAAGCCCTGCCTGGGCAGGTGACAGGGCCCAAACGTCCTCCAAAGTCCTGCCTGGGTCCCTTTTCTGAGCTCCCATGTGGAAAAATAAATAATTGTGTATGTTTGTTGAGGGGAAAACATGTGAGTGTTCTGACACACAGATGCTGTAAAACTCAGAGCCCCAGAACTGGAGTTATTCTGTAGTCTTGGAGGAGTTGGGGAAGATGGCTCCAGCTTAAAATAAAAATAAAAATAGATGGCGGGCATCTGTTTTAATGCACAAGGCTTCGGAATTATTCAACTTCAGTGGCACTGGGGGACAAAGGCAAGATGGCAGCTGGAAGCTTTAAAAACTTTTTTTAAAAAAAGTTAAATGTGCAAACATCAGCAGTGGGAAGGAATACAGCTAACACCGTCTGGTTCCCCTAAGCCCTTCTTGTCCCAGAAGCAGCATTACTCAATACCAGCATTTCTGTACTTTATTTTCACTGATACATGGATTCAAATATATACCTTACCTCAATATATGTCTTTTTGAACCACATTACTTGGGCTAGAGAATTGCATTGCAAAATTCAGAGAAATGCAAGATTCAAAGATTCAAAGATTCCTGTATTGTGGTTTGTGAACAGTTTCAGAAAGCACAAATTAGGTTGGTTCGCGTTTCAATGTGAACAGAATCAAATTTCTTACCAATCCCTAACTGAGGGCCATTGTCCTGACTGCAAGATTGTTTCTGATCAGGTTGCAAGAACAAAGATGGCACAGCTTTACCTGTAACGCCGGTAAACATATGGGCTGGACATGCAGTGTGGGCCAGTGGTCTCGCTCATCCCGTAAGCTTCATACAAGGGGATGTTCAGGCCCAGGAAGAAGTGCAGCGCTTCTGTCGAGAGAGGAGCGGCTCCACAGAAGTGCTTCTCACACCGAGAAAAGCCCAGATCCTGGCGGATTCTAGCAAGTACCAAAGAGTCTGCTAACCTCATTCGAAAGGGCTTTAAATCACTATGGAAAATAAAAGAGGAGGGAGGGAGACCCCCCCCCCCCACAAGAGAAATGGCAATAGCTTTGAGATACAGAAAAAGAGGCCAAATGGAATTTTTTTCTAACTGACATCAAGAATGGAACAATATGCAAAGCAGCCACAGGGAAAAGGCTCCCCCCCCCCCAGGAAGCTGCCTAGAATAATATCTCTTCCAGTCTACTCTACTGTGCATCTGCATCAGCACAACCAGACACCTTCCTCTGCCCCAGCTTCAACCAAACCTGTCTCTCCTGAATTGGTCTCTACAGCCACAGCAGGGGCTGCTACCTTCCAGCAGTTTGACTTCATTCCCAAAAACACACTCTTCCATTGTCTCCCGAGACAGACAGAGGCCAAAAATGCTCTGCTCCAGGGATGGGCCACCTGTGGTTTTCCAGGTGTTGTTGGACTACACCAGGGGTGGGGAACCTCAAACTGGAGAGAGGAATGTGGCCCTCCAGTTTTCAGCTTCTGGCCCTCAGGGTTCTCCCTCCTGTAGGGTGTAATCCACTGGTGCAGTCAAATGCAACATTCCTTATTTCCCTAGAGTGGTCACAGGGAGGGGGACATCCAGTCAGGGTAACTTCCTGTTCCTCTGGTCTGGAGCATCCTCCCTCCCCCTGCATGTGACCTGGGAGAAGGGCATGTCTCTGGCTGACTCCACAGAAGAGTTGAGTCTCGCAGCAATTTTCTCAGTCTGGTTTTGTCTTTCTGTTGTCTTGCTTCTCTCTTTTGCTGTCATGCTGGTCTCCTGCAGCCATTTTGTTCTCTTAATGTAATTTTGCTGTCTGCTGGCTCTCAGCCGGCAGCACATGAGTTCAGTCTCCATATGAGATGAACTCACACTTTCTTTGTGTAACTATTAAGAAAAGTCTGCCTTTCAGGGATCAAATCGTGAACTGAAATGTGAGTAAACTTTTTGTTACTTTACTCAGAAAGACTCCTGTGTCTTTATTCTTTTAGGAGGGATTAAAGGGGACACCAGGAAATAATCTTAACTAAGATTACAAACTAGCTTCCAGCTATATTGAGTGGACTCTGCTCTGCTACATCACTTACTAGCGTGAGTGAAGGAAGGGTAATACTTATTCAATATATTCTTTCCTACTATCTTTAACTTTACCACACCTCCACCCCCTTCAAGGGCCTTGCCTCACATTCTCTTGGAGTGTCTTTTGCAAGGCTGGAATGAAGGGAGAGAAGAAGGCCTTTCCCCCCATTTCCACCTGGTATTTGTCTCATTCAGCGCTATTTCTATTTCTAATAATAATTTGTTTTTCATACCCCACACATCTGACTGGGCTGCCACAGCCACATTGGACAGCGCCCAACAGAATATAAAAGAGCACAACGATACTTCAAAAATTAAGAACTTCACGTTATAGGACTGCCTTCAGACGTCTATGGAAAATCAGATCTTTGTTTGTTTCCTTGACATCTAATGGGAGGGCGTTCCATGGAGAGGGCACCACTACCGAGAAGGCCCTCTGCCTGGTTCCATGCAACTTGTAAAGGGTCACTTGCACTCTAACTTTGATGAACTTGGCTAGTTTTTAGCTTGTTCTAAAATGACATGAAAGCTGAAAGTTTCAGCTGAGTCTTTTGTCACCTACAAAAACCACCTGACCTTTTTAACCTGGAAAAATGGAAGTCTACCCTGAGCTTGTTTTTAAGGACTAGGAGTCCCTGGTGCTAATCTCTGCTGAATCTCCTGCTGGCCAGATCTGAATGACATACCTATAAGAGGCACTCAGGTTTTGTTCCAAGCTGACCGACATGGCCCAAGAGAGGATTTTCTTCTTCACAAATCCAGATTGAGAAGAGGCATCTTTGATCTTTTCCATGATCTTCTCCCACACCCGGGGAACTCCCATATGTGCGGTGGGCAGCGCCTCTTTCAGGGTACCCACCAAGCCCCCCTAAGAAGACCAAGAATGGATGGCAAAATTGGAAAGCAGAGACCACAGACAACCAGAAATTGCATAGACAACACAATATAGCCTGACACTAGCTAGCTACTCCTATTTGGCTACATATTGTTGATATTTCTGAGGTCAAACAAAGCCACTTGAGAGTGAAGGCAATCATTCCTAGACAGGAATTGCCCTCACTCGGAATGGGTGAAGCTTCATTTCAGAGAAGACCCCACTGTTGAAAAGAGGGGAAGGCCTTTTGTGGCTACCAAAGACATTCTCAAAAAGTGCTCCCTTTCGGCTCAGCCTGAGTTCTGTAGTTCTTTCAAAATCTACAGACTCTTTGTCCAGGAAGGGACAGTTAGAATAAATACATATATCTGCAGTCAATGATACTTTAACCATCCTGATCACTAGTCTGACTTTACACTTAAAGGGTGTTGAAGGGTTTAATCACCCCCGAAGGCAGTAAATTAACTGTTTGTTTCCCATATAGTCTGCTTCTTATTGTTTCCCAGAGGGGTTTCCAAAGCTTTAAAGGGTCTTCTGCATCATCTCACTGAAAAACACCAAGTTCAACTTGACAGTTTTGAAGAGTGAAAAATAACTGGGGCATTTTTATTTTTTACATTTTTTTGTACAGAGACCTTTAAGGCATCCGGCTCTGCAAAGTAGACCTGTTCTCCCCACTTGATTCCAGTCCAGAGGTCATAAATCTGGGCTGCAATGTGGCTGAGAGGAAGATAGCTGACGATGGTCTCCTGCTGGATTTCAGCTGGCTGCATGTCCCCTGCCCGGCTGGCATGGGCTGAAGTCCAGGTTATCTGTGCAGATAAATACAGAGGCGTTAGATAATGGAGCAGATGTCTTTTGACAACGAGGAGCCCTCCATCAGCAAAGACCAAGGTCACATTCACACCATGCATGGAAAACACTGAGTCCACTTGAAGCAGTTCATGGCTTGCCCCAAATAATTCTGGGAGTGGGAGTTGGTCCAGGGGGCTACAGTTTTCAGAGTGGTTTAGCAATCAATCCCTTTCCCCAGAGAACTCTGGGAATTGTCGCTCCATGATCAGAGGGGACGGGAGGGGGGATTTTGGCCCACTTCAAATTTGTGTTCACCAATTAGCACTTCTTGAAATGCTATGTGGTCCTTTAGTCCATTTAGCCTAGTAATGTTGACTCTGAAGAGCAGCAGCTCTCCAAGGATTTGGGAGAATCCCAGGTTGGGATTCAAGGTGGCTTACAACATTTTAAAACATCATTATAAAATACAAAGTAAACCCTAGTTTAAAACAATGGTTAAAATACATAAAAGCACATTTAAAATCAGCATTAAAGTTCAGTTTGCAGTGGCAGCTGCCCAGTGCTCAGCATCATCTGCCTGAACAGGAAGCTCCTAACCTCCCAGCAGAAGTATAGACAGAGGGAGCCTGTCTGACCTCTCTTGGGAGGGAATTCCACAACCTGGGGGCCACCACAGAAAAGGCTTTCTCTTGTCTCACCACCAGCTGAGCTTCTGATGTTGTCAGGACCCAGAGAAGGTGCTCCCCGAGGAGCTTAGCACCCGGGCAGATGTGTATAGAGAGATGAAGAAGATTAGACAAATTCATGGAGGAAAGGGCTCTCAAAGTCCACAGTTGGAGGCAGCAGGAGGGGAGGGGCTCTTGTGCTCCGGTGCTGCTTGCAGGCTGCCCTTGGGGGCATCTGGCTGGGGGACAAGAGGCTGGGCTAGATGGGCTGGATCCAGCAGCCAGCCTCTTCTTAGGTTCTTGGGCCCAAACTTCAGAAACAGGCTGATAGCCAGTGAAGCTGTTTCAGTAGGGGAAGAGCTTGTGTCCTGTGACCAGCGCCAGTCGGCACTCTGACCACAGCACTTTGACTAGGAACGGAGTAAGACTGGGAAGCTTTGTGGCATGTGAGGAGAAGGGCAATGGGCAAAGGCTGAGATCAAGCAGGTGCAAGAGCTGGTGGCAGAGAAAGCTTTCTTCTGAGTCCAAGGCTTTGGTGTCTCCTGCGCATCTAAATATGCTTTTCTGCATCATCCTGTGATGCTGTGGCTCCGAATTTAATCACAGGCAGAGGGAAACATACTTTAATAAAGAGGGCATCAGCCCACACATGTGGGCAAGGGATTTTTCCAGGCTGAGGGTGACATTATAAATAACCTCTCCGCTGACAGCTGTCAGGAGCAGGTCGACCAGCCAGAATAGAAATCACGTAGGGAAACAGGAGTCACCAACTTTGCATTCACTGTCAGGGACACAGGAAGCAGCCTTTTGCAGAGGTAGCCTATTGTCTATCTAGCCCAGCACGGTAGACTCTGGCAGGCAGCAGCTCTCTAGGGCCTGGGGGAGTGAGTCTTCTCCATCACCTGCTGTCTGCTTATTCTTCCAGCTGGAGGAGCCAGCAACTGAACCCTGGGAGGTTCAGTGTGCAAATCATGTGGAATATAGCCTTATGCAGACTCAGACCACTGGCTCTTCTGCACTGACTGGGAGCAGCTCTCCATTTCAAATGGGTTCATTCCCAGCCCTACCTGCAGCTGCCATGGCCTGAACCGTTCTGGTCTGGGTGAAATTTTTGACATTCTGGAGGCAGGCTTTTGAGAGATGTCCCAACAAACCCCATGGATTGTTCTGCTCTCTTGCTTAGAGTTTAAGAAACATTTTTTCCTGTCCTGTTGTGTTCTTAAGGCAAGTCACTTCCAAGCATTCCCACGACCAGGTACTGCCTATTTGAAGCTGAAGACTAAACTGCACTTTCCCGCCATGGGCCAGCCCATGGAGAGGTGGGTGCCTGGAATACACACATTGTCGTGGTTAAGCATCACCCCTTTGGGTTTCCCCGTCGTTCCGGATGTGTAGATCAGAACGCAACATTGATTTGGCTTTTGGGACTCAATTAGAGCATCCAGCTCTCCATCCTGGACCTCATTGCCCAACTCCATAAATTCATCCATCTGCAATAGAACAGGAAGGAGAGACATTGCTTATTTAACATCATTTATATAAAGCATTTTTACCCTGCCCTTCAGCCACGTGACTTCCAGAACAGCTCATATAATAATAAAAGCAAGACAGTCCCTCCCTGCTGTCTTACAATTTATTAAAAAAAAGCAAAACCAAACACGACACAAAAGAAAAAGGGGAAGAGGAGGGAAGAGTAAAACAAGCAAATTAAATAGCTAATTTTTGGAGTTGTGTGGCAATTCTTATAAGCACCATCTGTAATTCAGGAGCAGATATCAAAAGCAGGTGGGCTCTCATAAGCCTGAGGGTTGGGACTGTCATGTTCTGCTTTGGGAGCCTTTTTGCAGGGCGCACGTGCGCTAAATAAATCAGTGAATATTGCTGAACTTCTGTTTCCTGATAGCCTGTTTACCAGAGAGAAATAAAAAACTCTGATCTTTGTTACTCTTACTAAATTCCCCCAACGTACAAGTACATGTGAATCAGCTAATACAGGGGTCAGCAAGGTTTATCTTGCCTGGGCCAGATCAGTCCCATGGAGATTTCTCTGTGGGCTGGATTGCACGCGCGCACCCACAATTTTCAGGCTCTGCGTCTGTGCAGATGCGATTTTTGGCAGACACGATTCCCAGTGCCATGGAAGCGAGTCCCCGCGCTGTGCCGGTTTAGCGCAGCGTGAGTGGGCAGCTCAGTTTGGGAGCAGCTCATGGGCCAGTCAAACGACCTCCACGGGTCGCTTCCGGCTCATGGGCCTTAGGTTGGTGACCCCTGTACTAAAGACACTTGCTGCAAACATGCTCAAATGGTAATGGCAGCGTACCCCTCACAGAGCTACAGTTCCCAGCACTCTTAACAAACTACAGTTCCCGGGATTCTGGGGGTGAGGTGCTTTAAATGTATAATGTGTAAGCAGACGCTTACTGGAGAGTTAATCTAACTGAAGTTAGTGATAGGGGCTGATCTGAAGCTGCCCTTATCTACACCAAATTGTTTGTCGGGTCTAAGGCATAGCTACATGATGATAAAGAATGGATGTTTGAGCTAAAGATTCCTGAATCCACGTTCCTTGTTGTGGCGAGTCTCCGTGAGCCAACGTCCTTTTCTGCCCTCTGCGCTCGCTGGGCAGGTGCCATCCCTCTGGTTATGGGTCAAGGATTAGTTCTCCTTCCCTGGTGACGCTTCATAATGCCCTCATCCTGGCCAAGTGATCCCTGTCATCCCATGAAGCGCTAATCCTTCTGCTCCCAAGCCGCCTGGCTGCGGATTTCTTGGCAAGCTCCTGCATCAGGGTAAAGTTTCCGTTTCCACAGACATTTGATGCCGCCATTTGAAAAGCCTGGGCTGCATCTGAAGAGCAAAGGGGAAATGAGCCCCAGGGCTCTTCTGCAGAGGCTTCAGGGAATTCATGCAGAATGCTGGTATAGCCAGCATGGGAACCTGCAGCCCAGAGGCTGGATGCAGCCCTTTAGGCTGCTTCCTGGCTCTTGGGCTTCCCTCTCGCCTGCCTTCTTGGTGCCCTGGCCTGCCTGGAAAGTGCCCTTGAACTGCAAATGTGTGTCAAGTTCATGTGTGGCCCCTGCCGGGCTGTTGTTTTTCAGGCATTCCAGCAACAAGGAAGAAGAGACAAAATGAATCAGATAAGCAGAAATAAGCAGAATTTCTTGTATGGTTTATGGTTCCTTGCCCATCATACCGTGTACAAATTGGGATGCTTCTCAGCCAAGGGCCCCCTGTACATCACAATGGCCTTCAAGTGTGGTAAACAATTCTGGATCTGTGCAACATTTAAAGGAGGGGGGGGGGAGATGAAACATATGTGCATTTATTGCATTTTAAATCCTTGTTCCAAAAATTCTGGATCTGTGCAACATTTAAAGGAGGGGGGGGGAGATGAAACATATGTGAATTTATTGCATTTTAAATCCTTTTTCCAAAAAAAGCCCCATAGCTAGTGAACCCGGAAGAGCTGGGAAAAGACTCTCAGCCATGGGGCCACCTGAGCTGCTAGTGACCAGGCTGACTCAGGAGCACAGCCCTGGGGCTTCTCCAAACCCCCTCTTGTTCCACTGCTCCCCAGCTACCACCCATGGCCTCCCTCAGGGAAAACCACTCTTTGGCGCTCAGTCAGAGCAAACGGCAACTTCCCTGGATTGCCCTTTGTTCCAATCTGTCACTGAAGAGCAGGTTTTCCCTTGGAAAGGAGCAGGGCAAGGGAAAATCTGCTTGGCCGGTGCTTTCTAGGGATGACGCAAGCAGAAGGAGGGAAGAGACCCTGCTCCTTCCAAGCAGCCATGTACATAGGATTTCCTGGGCCAAGGACGCTCTCTGCGGGTTGGGCCCCCTGCATTCCTCCTGTCCCCAGCAATCTATTGACAAGAGCCACTGCTTATGTACCCAACTCCCACCCAGCAGGCTTGGCTTTTATCAGGGGTTCCCAAACTTTTAGGGGCCACCCCCGCCTTTGGTTCCATAACTCATCCCCAGTGTCCCTCCCCCTTACCCTATAATAAGCATTGTTCTGAATTCATGACCAATCAAAATCCATTTTAAAGTACAGGTGTCCCCCCCCACCCCATGCACATAAAGGAAACCACATAAAGTGGGGAGCACCCTCTAAAAAGCCTCCAAACACCCATTTTAACCCTGCTCTCCAGCTCTCTCCCCTGCTCTCTCTCTCCACACAACTGGAGTTGAAGCTCTGGAGTTGGCTGGAGGATGCGCAGGAAAAGGGCCGCTGTGGCTGCTGCTGGGCTACCAGCACACCAGCTGTTAGGCGGGGAGGCTGAGCCATGTAAATTATTATTGGTTTCCCCAGTCACTCTGGGCGGCTTCCACAAAGACCAAAAATACACTAAGATGTAACACATTAAAAACTTCCCTGAATAGGGCTGCCTTAAGATGTCTTCTGAATGTCAGGTAGTTGTTTATCTCTTTGACATCTGATGAGAGGGCGTTCCACAGGGTGGGCGCCACTACCGAGAAGGCCCTCTGCCTGGTTCCCTGTAGCTTTGCTTCTCGCAATGAGGGAACTGCCAGAAGGCCCTCGGCGCTGGACCTCAGCATCCGGGTAGAACGATGGGGGTGGACCGCTCCTTCAGGTATACTGGGCCGAGGCCGTTTAGGGCTTTAAAGGTCAACACCAACACTTTGAATTGTGCTCGGAAACGTACTGGGAGCCAATGTAGGTCTTTCAAGACTGGTGTTATGTGGTCTCAGAGGCCGCCCCCAGTCACCAGTCTAGCTGCCGCATTCTGGATTAGTTGTAGTTTCCGGGTCACCTTCAAAGGTAGCCCCACGTAGACCGCATTGCAGTAGTCCAAGCGGGAGATAACTAGAGCATGCACCACTCTGGCGAGGCAGTCCACGGGCAGGTAGGGTCTCAGCCTGTGTACCAGGTGGAGTTGGTAGACAGCTGCCCTGGATAGAGAATTGACCTGTGCCTCCATGGACAGCTGTGAGTCCAAAATGACTCCCAGGCTGCGCACCTGGTCCTTCAGGGGCACAGTTACCCCATTCAGGACCAGGGAGTCCTACACACCCGCCCGCCCCCTGTCCCCCAAAAACAGTACTTCTGTCTTGTCAGGATTCAACCTCAATCCATTAGCCACCATCCATCCTCCAATCGCCTCCAGGCACTCAAACAGGACCTTCACCGCCTTCACTGGTTCTGATTTGAAAGAGAGGTAGAGCTGGGTATCATCTGCATATTGATGGACACCCAGTCCAAACCCCCGATGATCTCTCCCAGTGGCTTCATATAGATGTTAAAAAGCATGGGGGAGAGGACGGAACCCTGAGGCACCCCACAAGTGAGGGCCCAGGGGTCTGAACACTCATTCCCCCCCCCCCCACTTTCTGAACACGGCCCAGGAGGAAGGAGCGGAACCACTGTATAACAGTGCCCCCAGCTCCCAGCCCCTCTATTTATTTTTTTAAAGAGCTCCCAGCCCCTCTAGACGGTCCAGAAGGATGTTATGGTTGATTGTATCAAAGGCCGTTGAGAGATCCAGCAGAACTAGGAAACAGCTCTCACCTTTGTCCCTAGCCCGCTGGAGATCATCAACCAGCATGGCCAAGGCAGTTTCAGTCCCATGATGAGGCCTGAATCCCGATTGGAAGGGATCCAAATGGTCCGCATCCTCCAGGTGTGCCTGGAGTTGTTCAGCAACCACACGCTCAATCACCTTGCCCAAGAATGGAAGATTTGAGACTGGGCGATAGTTAGCCATACTGGCCGGGTCTAAAGATGTTTTTTTAAGAAGCGGTTTAATGACCGCTGATTGGCTGATTGGCTGTTCTCCCTGTGCAAAGGTCAGAGGGGGCAGGGTTTCTGTTGAGGCAGGTGATTAGCTGTGGGAGGAGCTTATCAGAGCTTGCAGGGCAGCAGTTGAAGAAGGAGCAAAAAGGGTTTTCTTGTGTGTGTGTGTGTGTGTGTGTGTGTGTGTTTCTTTGTGGCTGATTGGCTGTTCTCCCTGTGCAAAGGTCAGAGGGGGCAGGGTTTCTGTTGAGGCAGGTGATTAGCTGTGGGAGGAGCTTATCAGAGCTTGCAGGGCAGCGGCGCACGCAGTTTGATCCATCTTTTAGATTTAGGGGAGCTAGTCTCAAACGTTTGTTGGGGAGACCTAGGTTTTTTGTGGAGGGAGTTATTTTTCCTGTCTTCACGCTTTTTATGATGGAGGACCGCTGTAGCCACCCCCAACGACACGTTCTCAAGATGGAGGGGAGGGAACAGCTGCAGTCGCCTGCGGTTCCTGCGCAATGTTTGCCATCTTGCCAAAGGTTGCAGGCAGCTTTACCTGCAGCAATTGCATGTTGATTGCCCTCTTAAAAGACAAAGTCCAGCAACTTGAGGAACGTGTAGCTACGCTCCAAAGAATTAGAGAGCTGGAGCTCTTCTTGGAAGCAACAGAGCACACCGTCTCCACCAAGGAGGAGACAGGGGACTCCCCTGAGAAGGACGCTAGTTCACCAACACAGGAGCCAGATATATGGAGAAACGTGACTCAAAGAAGTAGGAGGCCCAGGGTTCGCTCTGATTGTTTAGAAATACACAATCGCTTTGAGGTCCTCTCCCCTAGCATGGAAGACGAAGAGCAGACTCCATTTGAGGATCTCTCCTCATTACAGTCGATCAGGTATATGAAGACGAGCAGCAAAGTCAGTCCTCAGGGAATGTGCAGGCGACCTTGGAGCGGACAGCTCACAGAAGAACCCCGACCAAACCTAAGAGGAGGCGTGTAGTGGTGATAGGGGATTCCCTACTGAGGGGAACAGAAGCAGTGATCTGTGGGCCTGACAAGATGTCTCGGGAAGTGTGCTGTCTCCCGGGGCTAAGATCCAAGATGTAACTGAACGACTGCAAGGAATCATAAAACCCACTGACAAATACCCCTTCCTCTTGGTTCATGTGGGAACCAATGACACTGCAAGCAATAGCCTCCAGAAGATCAAAAGAGACTACGAGGCTCTGGGCAGGAAATTGAAGCAATTAAATGCACAAATTGTCATCTCATCTGTCCTCCCAGTTGAACGACATGGCCCAGGGAGAGAGGGGAAAATACTGGAAGTGAACAGCTGGCTTCGCAAATGGTGTAAACAGGAACGGTTTGGATTCTTAGATCACGGACTGCAGTTTCTTGAAGATGGACTTCTGGCAAGCGATGGGCTGCACCTCACAACGGTTGGGAGAAATGTTTTTGCCAAAAATCTCAGAAACCTCATCAGGAGGGCTTTAAACTGACTAATGTGGGGGAGGAAGACAGTGCTCCTGAAGGTAGGAGTCTATCAATTGATGAAGATGATCATCCAAATGTCATAGACCAAATGGAGCAAACAGCACACAGACCTAGTGGTGGGAGGAAAAATCCTTAAATAAGAGTCACGGGGGGATGATTAATGGACTTCAGTGTCTGTACACTAATGCGCAAAGCATGGGAAATAAACAAGATGAGCTGGAGCTCTTGGTACAGCAAACTAAATATGACATAATAGGCATCACTGAAACCTGGTGGGATAAGTCCCACGATTGGAATGTAATAATGGGGGGATACAATCTATTTCAGAGAAACAGACCAGACAAGAAAGGAGGAGGAGTGGCGTTATATGTCAGGGATGTGTATACCTGTGAAGAGATCCAAGATTTAGAACCTCAAAGCCAAAGTGAGAGCATTTGGGTCAAAATTAAGGGAGAGAAGAATAACAGTGACCTCATTGTGGGAGTTTACTATAGATCCCCAAGCCAAACGGAGGACATAGATGATGCCTTCCTGGAACAGATGGCCAAGCATGCAAAAGGAAGGGAGATAGTAGTAATGGGGGACTTCAATTACCCGGATATTTGTTGGATGTCAAACTCAGCCAAGAGCATAAGGTCAAACAGATTTCTCACTGGCCTTGCAGACAACTTCATTGTCCAGAAAGTGGGAGAAGCAACAAGAGGAACAGCCATTTTAGATCTGGTCCTAACCAATGTTGATGACCTGGTTAGTGGGGTAGAAGTGGAAGGATCATTAGGCGCGAGTGATCATGCTCTTCTGAAGTTTACTATACAGCGGAAAGGAGCAGCCAAGCATACTAGGACTCAATTTCTTGACTTTAAGAAAGCTGACTTCATAAAACTTAGGGAAGTGCTGGGTGAGATCCCATGGACAGTAATACTAAAAGGAAAGGGAGTTCATGATGGCTGGGAGTTTGTTAAGAGGGAGATACTAAAAGCACAACGTCAGGCAATACCAATGAGACGGAAACATGGAAGGTGCCTAAAGAAGCCAGGGTGGCTATCTAAAGAACTTTTAACTGAGTTAAGATTAAAAAGGATGTGTACAAAAAATGGAAAAGGGGAAACCACCAAAGAGGAATTCAAACAAATAGCCAGCACGTGTAGACACAAAGTCAGAAAAGCTAAAGCACAGAATGAACTCAGGCTTGCTAGAGAGGTTAAAAGCAACAAAAAGGCTTTTATGGGTATGTCCGTAGCAAAAGGAAGAACAAAGAAACAGTGGGGTCACTCAGAGGAGAAGATGGTGAAATGCAAACAGGGGACACAGAAAGAGCTGAACTCCTCAATGCCTTCTTTGCCTCAATCTTCTCCGATAAAGAAAACAATGCCCGACCTGAAGAATTTGGAGCAAATGATTCAGCAAAGGAAACACAGCCCAGAATAACTAAGGAGATAGTACAAGAATACTTGGCTAGTTTAGATGTATTCAAGTCTCCAGGGCCAGATGAACTGCATCCAAGAGTATTAAAAGAACTGGCAGATGTGATCTCAGAACCACTGGCAGTCATCTTTGAGAATTCCTGGAGAACAGGCGAAGTCCCGGCAGACTGGAGGAGGGCAAATGTTGTCCCTATTTTCAAAAAGGGGAAAAGAGAGGACCCAAATAATTACCGCCCAGTCAGTCTGACATCAATACCAGGGAAGATTCTGGAGCAGATCATTAAGCAAACAGTCTGTGAGCACCTAGAAAGGAATGCTGTGATCACCAATAGTCAGCATGGATTTCTGAAAAATAAGTCATGTCAGACTAACCTGATCTCGTTTTTGACAGAATTACAAGCCTGGTAGATGAAGGGAACGCAGTGGATGTAGCCTACCTTGATTTCAGCAAGGCATTTGACAAGGTGCCTCATGATATTCTTGTAAAGAAGCTGGTAAAATGTGGTCTTGACTATGCTACCACTCAGTGGATTTGTAACTGGCTGACTGACCGAACCCAAAGGGTGCTCATCAATGGTTCCTCTTCATCCTGGAGAAGAGTGACTAGTGGGGTGCCACAGGGTTCTGTCTTGGGCCCGGTCTTATTCAACATCTTTATCAATGACTTGGATGATGGACTCAAGGGCATCCTGATCAAATTTGCAGATGACACCAAATTGGGAGGGGTGGCTAACACCCCAGAGGACAGGATCACACTTCAAAACGACCTTGACAGATTAGAGAACTGGGCCAAAACAAACAAGATGAATTTTAACAGGGAGAAATGTAAAGTATTGCACTTGGGCAAAAAAATGAGAGGCACAAATACAAGATGGGGACACCTGGCTTGAGAGCAGTACATGTGAAAAGGATCTAGGAGTCTTGGTTGACCACAAACTTGACATGAGCCAACAGTGTGACGCGGCAGCTAAAAAGCCAATGCAATTCTGGGCTGCATCAATAGGAGTATAGCATCTAGATCAAGGGAAGTAATAGTGCCACTGTATTCTGCTCTGGTCAGACCTCACCTGGAGTACTGTGTCCAGTTCTGGGCACCACAGTTCAAGAAGGACATTGACAAACTGGAATGTGTCCAGAGGAGGGCAACCAAAATGGTCAAAGGCCTGGAAACGATGCCTTATGAGGAACGGCTAAGGGAGCTGGGCATGTTTAGCCTGGAGAAGAGGAGGTTAAGGGGTGATATGATAGCCATGTTCAAATATATAAAAGGATGTCACATAGAGGAGGGAGAAAGGTTGTTTTCTGCTGCTCCAGAGAAGCGGACACGGAGCAATGGATCCAAACTACAAGAAAGAAGATTCCACCTAAACATTAGGAAGAACTTCCTGACAGTAAGAGCTGTTCGACAGTGGAATTTGCTGCCAAGGAGTGTGGTGGAGTCTCCTTCTTTGGAGGTCTTTAAGCAGAGTCTTGACAACCATATGTCAGGAGTGCTCTGATGGTGTTTCCTGCTTGGCAGGGGGTTGGACTCGATGGCCCTTGTGGTCTCTTCCAACTCTATGATTCTATGATTCTATGATTCTATGATTCTATGACCGCCTCTTTCAGCGGATCTGGGAATGTTCCCTCACAGAGGGAAGCATTCACCACCCCGCAGAGCCCATCGCCCAGCCCTTCCTGGCTTGCTTTTATTAGCCAAGGAGACAGGTGATTGGTTTCATGAGTACAAGCAGCCTGTCCACATCCTCAGGGGTAACAGATTGAAATTGATTCCATACAACTTGACCAGACAGGGTTCTAGCACTCTCCCGCCCCAGCCCTGCTCCCACAGTGGTGTCTAGCTCCTTCCGAATATGAGTGACTTTATCTGCAAAAAACTTTGCAAAATCGTTGCAGGAGATCTTGGAGTCTTTACAAGGCCCCGGTGGTAAAGGTGGTTCCGTTAAATTGCGGACCACCTGAAAGAGTCTCCTGCTACTATCTTCTGCAGATGCAATAGAGGCGGTGAAGAAAGTCTTCTTCGCCGTTGCTATTGCCACTTGGTAGGCTCAACGTTGAGCTCTAACCTGTGTCTGGTCAGATTCGGAATGAGTTTTCTGCCACCAACGCTCTAGCCATCTCAGCGATTGTTTCATCACCCTCAGCTCCGAAGAAAACCATGGGGCTGTCCGGGCTCCATGCAATTGGAGAGGGCGCTTCGGAGCCAGACAGTCAATAGCCCCAGTTAACTCCGCATTCCAGCAGGCCACCAGGGAATCAGCTGAAAGGCCATCAACATGGGATAAAGCATCCCCTGCCACTCTCTGGAAACCATTTGGATCCATTAAGTGGCGGGGCGGACCATCCGAATTGGTCCCAACTCCCTGCAGAGGGGAAGGGTCGCGGAGAAGTCCAGTTGCACCAGGAAGTGATCTGACCATGGCACTTCTTTTGTTTCACTTTTACTTAGTGTCAGATCACCCACTTCACTAGAGGTGAACACCAGGTCTAAGGCATGTCCGTGGCTATGGGTTGGGCCAGACTTATTCAGGGACAGCCCCATGGAGGCCATGCTTTCCACGAAGTCCCGAGCAGCCCCTTGTAAGGTCGTGTCGGCATGGATGTTAAAACCCCCTAGGACAACCAAACTAGGTGTCTCCAGGAGAACATCTGCCACGACCTGAAGCAGCTCAGGCAGGGAATCCTTGGTGCAGCGGGGAGGTCGGTACACCAAAAGGAATCCTGTACTGCCCCTATTGCCCAACTTCCAGAACATGCACTCAGAGAACTGGGTCTTCCCAGTAGGACGCCTGGTGCAAGCTAGTGACTTCCTAAAAATCACTGCAACCCCCCCCTCCCCACCCACATGACCTGGGTTGCTGTGCGTAAGAGAAACCTGGTGGGCAAGCAGCGGCAAGGACAGGCCCATCTGCTTCCTCCAACCAGGTCTCTGTCACACATGCCAGGTCAAATCCTCCATCCACGATCAAGTCATGGATGGCAGTGGTTTTATTCATCATTGACCTGGCATTGCACAGCAACACTTTCAGGTCATGTGGGTTTCCCCTGTTGATTCCAGTATCCATCCGGTCAAGGCCAGACCCGGAGGCAGGGATAGTCTTCAAACAACGACTAAACCTGCCTCCCCGGTAATGACTTGGTCTGGTCTTAGCGTAACTCCTCCTCCTGCCCACGATCACCGAGATCGGATGTCCCAGTGCTTCCCCCCCTGTGGAACTTGCCCCAGCCATTATGTTGGCTGGGGCCCCACTCCCAGGCAGCCCTGATCCCGCCCCTTAAAAACAAAACACAAACTATACAACAACCAATAAAACAACAAAAAACAAAAACAGAACAATTATACTAAAATTAATCCCCAACCAGATATCCATCCCACCCACCCACCCCCAACAAAGCAAAAAAGGAGAAAAAGAAAGAAAAATTTAAAATGCCACCGACTGCTTAAGGACATTTTAAAACACATTAACCACTTGGAACAGGGAAGCAATAGCAGAACAACTTCCCGCACTTCCCCAAAAGTTTGTTCCAAATGAGGGCCTGGCCCAGCTGGAAAAGGCCCTGGAAGGGCGCAGGCCCCAGTCCTCCCCACAGCCGATGGTCGCCGCTGCGCCACTGGTCTCTCTGGGGCATCCTTTGCCCTCACTGCTGTCCCCTTCAGGCTCCAGGGAGGGTCTCCTTGGGAGTCATGAGGCCTCTCCAGCTCTCTCCCACCATTACCTGGCTGGACTCTATTTATTTACCAGTATTTCCTGGTGCTGTGCGTATACACAGTTGCATGCAAGTAAAATGTGAGTAAGTAGGGGGTGCTTGTATTTGGTTTAATTAATTCAACAAAATGGATGAACTTGATCCGGTGAGCCCAGCTTTTCAATGCCGCCCCTTGCCTCCCAGCACCCTGCCAAGTGATCCCACCCCAGGGGGCACTACCACCCACACAGCCTCCCCTACGCCAGCACCAGTGCAAGGTCTGCTGATCTGGGGAGTGTCCTCCTCATCTGCAGCTGCTCAGGCTGATGGAATACAACCCAACTCAGTGAGTCCTGACTCTGCTCTTCAGGCCTTCCCAGAAAACAAGGCCCTCCTGCAGACAGATCAGATTGCTGCTCCACCTGGCCCAGTATTGTCTTCCCTGGCTGGCAGCAGCTCTTTGGCAGAAGGTTATTTCTTAGCACCTGCTATCTGATCCTGTTAACTGGGGGTGGCAGGGATTGAACCTGAGACCTTCTGCATGCAGAGCAGGTGCTTCACCCCAGAGCAAGGTCCTTCTCCAGCTGCAACCAGCCTTGCCTTTCAGCCCCCAGTCTATTCCTCTGGGAATGGGTTAGCTTTCTAGCACAAACTTTCTTGTGCAGGTCAGTAAAAAGAAGAAGAAGCTGGAGTCTCTTACTTGTGTGATTTTGTCCAGTTGTTTCTGGTTTTCAACCACAATGATATTAGCTCGGCAGTCCTGAGCAATGTAGTGGCAGACCTCAGGAGAACTGGTTGTGTAGATCCCTGTCACAATGCCGCTGGAAGGGGAGGGAAAGACACTTTTAAAAAATGAAAGCTTTGCTTCCTGCCAATGTTGTGTGCTCCTCAATCTCCAGAGGCTCTAGGGGTTCCTGCACTTTCCTTGCAACAAAGGTCAGCAGAGACGGTGGTGTCTTTAGGACCTATGGTTTTATTTACACCCATACACAAACTGAGCATGGGATGGAGGCAGTCACAGCATTAACCCTCCAGCAGATGTCACTTCCCCATTAGGTTGCTAGGGAAGTGCCCCCCCCCCCAGCCGGGGGTCCAGTGCTGAGCAGAGATGCCTCTGTCTCTCTAGCTTCCAGCATCAGCTTCTAGCCACACTGGTAATCTGGCTGGTTATTCCAAGTCCAGATAGGAAATTTGACCATCCTTGCAAGGGCTTAGGTCACACCATGGTACTCCAAGGCTCCTTCCTCACCCTGCCAGAATTACTCATAAGGCTGGGGAATCTGTGGCTCAGGAGGTCGGAGGATGCCGACGGAAACTGGTGTGGAAATTGGCAATGTTTACTCATTCGTCCTGTGTCCAGAATGGAAATCAGTCTGATGCATATGTGTAATGAGTATGGGTTGCTCGTGCGTAAGTTGCCGCCTCTCCTGGCTTTGTTGCCTTGTTAAAGCTTTCTGTCTGGACAGCCCTTCACTTCGTGGCTGCCTCAGTCGCTAGCAGAATCCGTCAGTGGGCGTTTCTTAAACCTTTTCCAACATAAAAGTTGTTTGACACCCAGTCTCCTCCTACTCTCTGCGCGGAAGTCTTCTGCGCAGGGAGGGCGTGGGTAGCGGAGGACCCGTGCTCTCCCCACTGGTGTCCGGTGAAGAGTCTGGGAGCCCTCTCGCCGATTCCCCCATCTGCCCCCTTTATTCCTGGTGTTGCGCTGAATTGCTTCCCCATCTGCTGAGCTGCCTCTTTCCCTGCTGGGCCCTTCTCCAGCATCATTTGAGAGCCTTCCCTCCGCCTCTAGCTCCAATGTCAGTTCCCTGGCAATATGGACTGTATTTACTGTTATTGTTGCTTTCAGTCCACAAATCAACACATAATGGATGATATACACCCATTGTCATTGTGTTTCTTTCACACTGAAACTAACGGTATGGAATATCACATAATAATAACCATGCAGCTAATTGCACAAAATTCCACCACAGTGGACAGCAAGCCCAATGATGTAATTTTTGTTGGAAACTAAACAGCAGTGTAATGGAAACAGTGCAAGTAACACTGGAAATTGGAGTCTTCTACCCTGACCTCTTGGGATGCAGGTGGCGCTGTGGGTTAAACCACAGAGCCTAGGGCTTGCCGATCAGAAGGTTGGCGGTTCGAATCCCCGCAACGGGGTGAGCTCCCGTTGCTCAGTCCCTGCTCCTGCCAACCTAGCAGTTCGAAAGCACCTCAAAGTGCAAGTAGATAAATAGGTACCGCTCTGGCGGGAAGGTAAACGGTATTTCCGTGTGCTGCTCTGGTTCGCCAGAAGCGGCTTAGTCATGCTGGCCACATGACCCAGAAGCTGTACGCCGGCTCCCTCGGCCAATAAAATGAGATGAGCGCCGCAACCCCAGAGTCGGCCACGACTGGACCTAATGGTCAGGGGTCCCTTACCCTGACCTCTGGACCACCCAGGTGTTGCCGGACTCTGACCCCTGCCATTGGCTAGGCTGATGAGTGTTGGGTCCAACAACATCTGGAAGGCCACAGGCTCCACATCGCTGGCTTTACAGTATAGAATGTGTTCCCCAGGATATAGTCTTGCAAAAGCTAAGCACATGTGCTCAGGGTTCCAAGCTGGAAGAAAGGTGCACTATCCACATAAGAAAAGAGTAAAAAAAATAAAATGAAATACTGGTGAGGTGGTGACATAATGGAATAAATGGTGGTTCCTTTTGTTTCTGATCTTGCAAAGCAAGGTTGGCTGAACAGTGCCTGAAATAAGTCCTGTATGCCTCCTCCAAAGCTTACCCAGCAAAAACAGCTCCCACGGCTGAAATGAACCATTCTGTGGAATTGAACCCAAGTATCGCTACACTGTGGAATCGCTCAAGGCCAAGCTGGAGAGAGAAAGAGAGAGAGAAGATAAAGCACAATTTTTTGCAAAAGAAATAGGAGTCTGAATGCTGCCTGAGGTCAATAGGTGGGAAGTTCCAGCGTGCAGGTGCTGCTGCACTAAAAGATCAGTTTCCAGCACATGTGGAACTGGGATTATGTGGCACCTACAATAGTGCCAGTTCTGCAGATTGAAGCAGTCTTGTAAGGCCATCTTGTAGGTCAGCTGGTCCCAAATTGCTAGGGCTTGAAACACTAATAGAAACACTATGAGCTTGGCCCACTGGCACATCAGTAACCCCCCCCCCTCTGAGACACAGACAGCTTCTGGACCAGACATCTCTCAGGCTTGCTCTCGACGTTGGGGCTGTTGGTCCTCCTGCCAGGGACCTGCCCACCCTCCTAGGATGCTCGCCTGTTCTTATTGGGTGACCTTATTGTTCACACCTCTCCTTAAGCTTTAAAAATTACTCTGAAAAGCAACCACACAAGAGCCACACCCCAAAGGAGAGCATTTTGGATCTCCCGCTTCAGGCCCCCCAAGTTTACCTTCAGGAAGCTTTTAGCTGCTTTGCGAGAATAGTTGTAATACTCAGCAAAGGTGATCTTTTCCCATTCCCCATCCTTCTTGCTGACCATTGCATTGAGAGACCCATATTTCTCTAAGGATTCTTGAAACATCTGATGAACAGTTATGGGAGCTTGCAGACATGTGGGGTCCATCCTCAGCTTAACCAGCCCATCAGCAGACGTGGTCCAGAGAGGCACTGGGGAACAGGCAGAGAAATAGAAGACTGCTGCAGCACCCATGCATCTCCATGCAGACAATGAAATATTCTCTTGTGTTTTGCAGGAGCGGAGCCAGTCTGTATGATGCCCTGGGTCCCATCCAGATCTTGGGCTCTTGGGCCCAGGGAGGACTGGAATCTCATGGAGGAGGTTGCTGGACTGGTCAGACAGGTTTCTTTGTAAGGCTAAGTGACCTTAAGGGGCCACCTAAGGGTCTTCATCAGCATATTAAAAAACCCGAGCTCAGTTGTAAGAGCTAACTGCCCTCCAGGCTATTGGGTGGCCTTTACTCCCACCCCCACTAGCTGCTTGGGAGGAGAACTGTGGGTAGAGTGGGGAGAGAGCTGAGCTGGAAGCAGGCAGAGGCAGATCTAGGCCAGTTCAGTTGCACAGGGCAGGGAGCCTTGCAGGCACTGCAGCAGGTGCCACAACTATGGTGTCCAATGGAAGGCGAGAGGTGGGGGCACCAGAGGTTGGCATCGCACAGAGGGCCACTGAAATCTGAGTTGCCAAGGTCTGCCACTGAATCTGGAGACCCAGAACCCTGCTTGTTCTGTGCTACTTCTCAAGCTGAGACTAATGAAGAAGCAACATCTGTTGGGGCGTTAATGCTGTGAGCCCCTCCATCTTAGGCTCAGGTTCTATATGTGTGCAACTAAAACCACACATCCTCAAGACACCACCGTCTCCAAGGAAACGGAGCCCTGGAATCCCTGAAGTTTCTCCATGCTTAGCGAATGAGGCGGCACATAACAATTTTCTCATTAATGATGTCTCAGTGCTTGCCACCCATTCTACAGGCAGCTTATTCTGCTATAGAGAAGGTAGGATTTGGCATTTAGATGCAATTCCTCACTGTCAAGATTTTTAAAGGAATAAAAACTACAAAAGCTTGGAGCGCTAAGAAGGTAAGAGCTCTGCTGAGTAAGTCTAAATATCCATTAGGGTCCAATGTCCTGCCCCCCCCCAGTAGCCAACTAGTTGCCAGCAGGAAGCCCAGGCTTGAAGGCAATAGTCCTCACTTCTTGTTAATGTTTACCCCTGCTGCCTGATATTCAGAGGTATACTGTATTTGTACATGGAGGTTCCATTCTTATCATAGCTAATAAGAGCCCAAGATTCAGACCAAAGGTCCATCTAGTTCAAGGCCCTGTTTCGCACAGAGGCCAACCCAACACCAGGAGTGAGGTAGCAAATTCAGAAGTGTGGGGTCCTTCACAATAGTCACAGCCATGACCCTTCTAAGATTGTGCAACCTTCTAAGATGATACAATAATCTTATAACATAATAATAATAATAATAATAATAATAATAATAATAATAAGGAATTCATTAGAATGATCCTTGCTGAATGTTGCCTTTCACCAAGATCTGCTATTTGCTGTGCACATACTGGGCAAAGGACGCAGGCTGCTCCAACATCACTTTCAGAGTGACCTAAGTCGTATTTTCCTGGAAGTTCCACTGCATGTCACAGAACTTGCTGCATCCCATTGTCTGGAAATGGAGGCACTGAATGTTTTCGGAGTTCCTGAATGCTCAACTTTGGAGCATGCAGTGGCTAAACAGCTCCCCTCTTATGTTGGTGGGGTGACTCCAGGGCCCTGGAGACTGGGATATTGCAGAGACCCCACTGCAGAAAGAGCAAAAGGTCTTCAGCCCCCACCCCCAACCCAGGACCACGGCCCGATGCCCAAAAGTGCAACGCATAAGAAGGAGCCTCTTTCCTGCAGCTGCAACTCAGATGCATCACTGCCTCCAAACGAGGAGGTGCTACAGAGCCATGTGTTTTATTTCATGGCTGTGCTAGAGTGCGACAAAGTGAAGGGATCCAGAAAGTGGCAGGGAGGGAGGACTTGGATCCATGGAGGGGAGACAGACATTTGGTAAGCATGGAGGTAGAGGGTTTGGCAGTCAGAATAGGACAAGGCTTAGCCCAACAACAACACACTTAGTTCTCAAGTAGCCCCCAGAGCAGCACTTGCTTCTAACCCATGGAGGGGTGGGGGAAGCGCTACTCGACTCTTACTTCAGCCAGGAGGCGGGAAGGAAAGAAAGTTTGAGAGTCCCTTTTGGAATGTGCTGCATCCTCAGCTGAGAGAAAAACTAAGGCGAAGATCATTTTGCCACCAAGGCATGGAAAGGGAGAACAAATCTCCCAAAGAAAGGCAGAGTGAAAGTTTGCATTTTTCCAGGGAAGGAAAGTCAGGGAGGAAGGCAGCAGAGGATTTGAAAGGGATTGGAAACTCTTTGGTGGAGCTACTCTGGATTGCCACCGCCATACAACGAGGCTCATTCAAAACGGGGCCTCTGTATCCCTGAGCTAGACATTCCTGAGGGTCCCTCTTGCTTGGAATTGTTGAAGGTGCAATACCCGTTTGTTTGTTTTCCCACCAGGTGGGAGATACAATATTTGAATGCTCTTCCATATAAGAACTTCCTAAAGCCAGGACAAAGGATCTGGCCTTGTCCTCTCATTGCTGTGCCACGTTTCTACGTGCACAAAGTCATTCATGTGGGACAGCGGTGAGGAACATGCAGCCCAGTGGCACACTTTATCCTCAGTATATACCTTTTTGTGTGCATTATTTGGTGGGAAAACTGCATTGCAAAATTAAACAAAGTGCAAATTTCAAAGGATGGCTGGGTTTCTGTGAGAATACTGTTTGGGGAAGTAGAAATAGTTTTGCCTTTCAATGCAGACTGATTCAAACTGCCCCCCCTTAGGGAACCCAATGCTGGATCAGACAGGATTTTGGTCTGATCCAAGAGGGCTCTTCTCACCACTGAGGAAGTTGCCGCACACAAAGGAGGAACAGACACAATGGGGAAGCCCTTCTGAGTCCCAGAAGCAAGGAAGCCCCTTTTTAAAGCTGGCTCTGTTCAACAATGGCAAAATGCTCCCATAGCAAGAAATGGCAGAGTGCCATCGAAACCCTGCACAAAGTTGTTGAGGAACAGAAAAGCCATTCTAGGTCCCCACAAAAGCTCCTTTATTCTGCAGACACCGACAACTAGTTCATTTTTGGCTTTTTCCTGATTATGCTTTGAGCAAGAGAGGTCGCAGACCACAAGAGGGGAAAGGAGCCGCATTTGAAACTCTGTGTGCACAGCAGGGAGAGGTATGAAACTCAGGTTAACAGTATAAAAAGTTACCACGGACAAATCCGGAAGGCTCCCATCCAACTTATGCGGGAGAAAGTGCCAGTGACCTCAGGAGGTGGCTTGGGTTGCGCTGCAGGCGCAGGAATAGGTTGCGTTTGCTGCGCTTTAGCAGTTGCTCTCCCCCCACGCTTACCTGCAGCAAAGATGGGTGCTACACCTGGAGCAGGTTAATTGGCCTCTTGTGCGTCCTCCTCCACTCCCCCCTTTCACAGAAGGCCCAATTAGGCAATTATGGACTACATTGTGGGTATCCCCTTTCCTGACATATGCTTACCTGAGGAATCTTCTTGCCCTGTTCCAGAATTTTTCCAGTTGTTCTGTGCTTCTGACAAATTCCTGAAGAAGGAGGAAGAAAGTCTGTAGGCATAGTTTTGCATGGATTCAGAAGAAGCACATCACCAAAAGAAAAAAGGAGATAGATTTGCATAAAATGTGGTTTAAAAGGAATGTTTTCACCTGGTGCCTAACAACATGTAGTGAAGGCGCCAGGTGAGCCTCCCTGGGGAGAGCATTCCACAACTGAGGAGACACCACAAAAAAGGCCCTTTCTCATGTTGCCACCCTCCAGGTTTCTCAAGGAGGCAGCACACAACGAAGGGCCTCAGAGGTTCATAGGGAGAGAGGCAGTCCTTGAGGTATGGTGGTCCTGAGCTGCATAATAATTTCAGTCTTATTCATTGTTCAGGTAAGCCCAGGGTGGCTGGCCCTGCTCATTAACCCCCACCCCCTGAGCCAGCTTTGAGAGGTGGGCAGGACAATTTATCTGACAGTGACCTGGTTTGGGAGAAGTTGGGAACCGCAAGGGGTGTTGCAAGCTCTTTGCCCAGCAAAGCACCCTGCATTGGGTTGGCAGAGCTGCTTTCTGAGTGGGGATTAGCTGCATGATTGAGTTCCCCATGGGGAACTGGGCCCCACAGCCAACCCCACAGCCAATCCAGCTGTGCCTTGCCTTGCCACACTCCCAATGTCACACATCAGACACCATTATTTTTCTCCAGGTCTTTGGCTCTTAATTATCCTTGAGTGGGTGGGATGTTCTAATCCTGCCTTTTAAAAACAGAACTGTCTTTTAGATTTCTTTCTTTTATGACAGTTTCAACATGTGTGTTTGTTTATATGTTGTAAGTTGCTTTGAATTACCTTGGTTAAAAAAAACCAAACAACAAATAAATAATAATAGTAACAACAACAAACAACAACATAATGGTGTCTAGTATAGAAAATCAGTGCAAATTATGTTGTTGTTGTTGTTGTTGTTGTTACTATTATTATTTATTTGTTGTTTGGTTTTTTACTCCCATAACAGCAATTTTTGCTGCTTTGTGTACATGTATGTGGTTTGCAGAATACCTTGCGATTTTACAAAACTTTTCCCGTTCCCTGCCTGCCCCTTTCTGCATGCATTCTTATGACTTGGCTTCACTCCCAACTGAGCAGCACTTGTTTCCATGTCGGAATGCAAATTGCTACTTTCCCCACTTCATTCTCTCCTGTTCTATTTTCTCCATTTACTGGTTTCAGGTGTGGTTTTTTTTTTTTTAGGGGGCGGAATAGTATCACATCTATGTACTAACATACATAGTATGCTAATATTAGAAGGTTCAGCAACTTAAAATTATTGCTTGATTGTTGTTGTTGTTCAAAAAAAAACAAACAAGGTGCAAAGTAGCTATTTTTTGAAGGGCAAAAGTTCTCTTTCCCAAGTCAATGTCAGCAAATGAGAAACGGTGCGCAAACTTCCATGTCCTTCCATTGACAAAGAATTCCTTGTTTGGTTATCCTTGTTACCAGTTTTAAATGAGCAACCCATAGCCTGCTGATTTACAGGGAGCGTTCGCTGAAATCTACAACATTTACTGCTTCTTGTCATGGAATGAGAGAGAACACTCATTTAATTTCTTACAAGAGCAGAATCAGGTCCATGCTCTCAGAATGCACAGAAAATCAACCTTCCTCACATTCACTCAAATGCAAGCCCCGCTGTGTTCAGTAGGACTCTAGCTGGTAAGTTTGCATTGGACTGCAGCCACCATTTCTTAGGAAAGAAATATCGAATTTACAAAAATTACTTTACCTGATTCCATTGGTTTCGGTCATTCTCTCTCCACTTATTGTTTTATCCTTGATGGGAGTTGGGGGAGAGGTTCCACTTCTTTGGCAGACGAATGCTGGCTTCAAATATGCTAAGAGTTTTGTATGGCCAGGCAGAAATAAGCTGATACGACTTAGGAAACCAAGAGCAAATGGTCACTTTCTTAGTCAAAGACGTAATGCAATAGGAGGAGACTCAAGAGTTCCTAGGAGCCATTTCTCACTGACCATGCTAAAAAATGTATCAATGCTTGGATGGTGTTCAACAGTTACAACTTTCCTTTGCCTTTCTTTAATATCCATGAGAAGAATGTCAATGAGACTGCTGCTTTTTAAGATGCAAATTCTCTCTCTCTCGCTCCCCCCCTCTAATCTTTGGTTCAAATTATTCCAGTTCTCTTATTTGAATATTATATTTTGTAGGATAGTGGTTCTCTTTCTGTAGGACAGAACTGGAACTCAGTCACTGACTTGGGGGAAAGGGTGTTGAAATTCTTAAGGCATTTCTGCAGCAGACCGACAGAAAGATGGAATGTGGGGCACACATCATTCAAAACCCAGATTCATACTGCTTAATCTCAGCATGGGAGAGTCTGCAGCTATTGTGCAAAATTCGTGAAATGAAGTCCTCCAGCTCTTAAACAACAGCAACATATATGTTTGTTCAGATTAGGGGTGACTAACATAGCCTCTAAGAGCCCATGAGGCAGTTTACCGCTCACAATATACTCGTCACAAACTCATTCTCCAAGTCTGGAGCCTTTGGACGGATCAGCAGGCTTGGGAGAACTCCAAGATTTGGAGGAGGGGAAAAACTTAAGGAGGGGTGCAAAACAGAAGGGCTGATCTGGCTAAGTGTGCAGCAGACAAGTGAGGGAAACAAAAGACCGGGGGGGGGGGGGAGGCGGAATGGAGTATTGTGGGAAAGGGCATGGCAGGCTGGTTGGCAGGAATACTGAACAGGGGAACTTCACATTGCAATGTTTTGTTGCAAGCCGTGTGTGTGTCATTTCCCTCTACTGTTCTGCTGTCCAATGATTTCATATCATAGAATTGTAGAGTTCATAACCACTTAGAGGTTTTATTTACATTTAAGCACTATGCAAATTAAATAAATAACCTAAAATGACTAAATAAAGTGTGTGCAATGAAGGGGGAAAATATCACTTTTTAATATTAAAAAAATGCACAAAATTTCACTGTAACAGTAACAATTCCCAAGATAATTTCAATATAATATCAGAGAATGTGTTTGTTTGTTTTTAAAGTTTACCACATGATTGCCAGCTCTCTAACTATACCAAATGCTAAGCAAGCCAGTATAACACCTGCGAGGAGACAGTTGCATGGTGAGGGTGCCACAACCAAAAGCCCCAAGATTTGAGGCAGCCAGTCTCTCATTGGCCAATGCAGCAAAAAGACCCATGTGAGGCAGCCCATGGAGAGGCGGATGCAGACACATCTTGTGCAAATCAAAGGTTCAGCAAAAGAGGAGCAGGTTTTTCTTTCTTTTCTTTTTTTCCTTTCTTTTCAAATTTTTGTATATGAAATTTTACAATTTAGTATTCAACACATTTATCATATAAAAGAGAAAAAAAGAAAACGAAACCCCTCCATCCTGTGACTTCCCTCAACTTCCCCTTCTGATTCTTTAAATATTTGCTACTTCTGCTTAATTTTTATCTTATTTTTATGATCTTTTAGCTAAATGCTCTTATGTTCTTATCATTTTTATACCAAATTTCTTTCAAATTACATCTTACACTTAATTAATTTCCATGTTGTTGTTTCTTAACCTTTACACTTGTTTTCTTAGTTGTAAGTGTTTCCTCAAATCCTGCTAGTGAGTCCATTTCTTTACAATATTTCTGTAGATACAACATGAATGGTTCCCAATCTTTTTTTTAAGTCTTCATTATCATTGTCTTCCCGTGAGTTTTGTTTTTCCAGCGTATTCCATAAGTTTGACTTGCCATTCTTCTTTCGTCGGTATCTTGTCCTCTTTCCATTTTTGAGCTAGTAGAATCCTAGCTGCCACTGCAGAATACATAAACAACTTCTTCCGCTCTTTTGGCAATTCCTGTCCAATTCCACCACATCTGTGGCGAAGCTGCATGCTCCGCTACCGGGGGTGGAGAGCAGGCGGGAGCGTGACTGGCGCCCCCAGGGGGCAGGACGCGTATCCTGAGGGCGTGGTACGTCTCCCGCAATGGCGTGGCACGTGTTCTGGGGGTGTGGCGTGCCGTCTGTGGGGGCGTGGCGCCCAGTGCACACGGGGTACACAGCGTGTGTCCAGGGGGGCGCCGTGATGGCACCCTACCGGAATAGTGGTGCCGGGGACGGTTCACTTCCTCCGCTCCCCCGTCCCTCCACCAGTGCACCACATGTGATAAAACATACCTTCTTTCTCTTTACACTTCCAGCACTTATTGGAGCTTGTTCTATACATTTTTACAAGTTTAACAGGAGTCATATACCATCAATACATCGTTTTCATATAGTTCTCTTTCAAAGTTATACAGTCAGTAAATTTTAAATCCAATTGCCATAATTTTTCCCAATCTCCCATTTGTATGTTATGTCCTAAATGTTGTGCCCATTTAATCATTACACATTTAACCTCTTCATCTTTGGTTTCCCGTTCTAGCGATAAATTATACATCTTCAGTAATTTGGTATTTTCATCTATAATTTCTCTTTGAAATCTAGATAAAGTATAACTGAATCCTTTCCTTTTATCTTCTTTAAATACCTCATTTACTTGGAAATACAGTGGTACCTTTGGTTACATACGCTTCAGGTTACATATGCTTCAGGTTACACACTCCGCTAACCTAGAAATAGTGCTTCAGGTTAAGAACTTTGCTTCAGGATAAGAACAAAAATTGGGCTCCGGCAGCACGGCGGCAGCAGGAGGCCCCATTAGCTAAAGTGGTGCTTCAGGTTAAGAACAGTTTCAGGTTAAGAACGGACCTCTGGAACGAATTAAGTACTTAACCCGAGGTACCACTGTACTGCAACCAGTCATTGACATGTTCTCAAATCTCTTCACAATCTTTCAATTTTAATTTCCCTTCTATTTCTGGTAAGCCATTTTTCTTTCCTATTTATTTTTTTAATTGATTTTGCTTCTCTTGGTGACAACCACCACGAGGTCTTTTGTTCTAATAAATCTTTATATCTTTCCCAGACTTTTAGAAGTGAGCTCCTAATTATATGATTGTAAAATTCTTTATACACTTTCCCTTTATCATACCACAAATACGCATGCCACCCAAATCTGTTATGTCTTTCGAAGTCTAACAGATCTGTATTTTCTAATTTAATCCAGTCCCAGATCCAAGCAATTCAAGCAGCTTCGTAATATAAGTTAAAATCTGAAAGAGAGAAACCTCCTCTATTTTTGATATCCGTAAGTAATTTATATTTTATACTTGGTTTCTTCCCTTTCCAGATAAATTTTGTAATATCTCTTTGCCATTTCTTGAAGCATGCTACATTACTTATCACCGGTACTGACTGAAATAAAAATAACATTTTTGGCAATACGTTCATCTTGATCACTGCAATTCTTCCTAACAATGATAAATTCATTCTCCCCCATATTTCTAAATTCCTTTTTATTTCATCCCAATTTTTTTCATAATTGTCTTTAATAATGTTAATGTTTTTGGTTGTCAACCAAATTCCTAAATATTTTGCTTTTTTATGGATCTCTATTTCTATATTCTGCTGTAGTTCTTTTTTATCCTTTTCTGATAGATTTTTCACCAACAGCTTTGTCTTATTTTTATTCAACTTAAAACCTGTTACTTGCCCAAATTTCTGTATTTTTTCTAAAACTTTTGGAAGAGAATTATTAGGGTCCTCAACTGTAATTCCAAGGTCATCTGCATATGCCTCTATGTCTTTTTCCCCACCGTAATTCCTCTAATGGTTTCATCTGCCCTGATGTTTCTTGTCAGGACTTCTAGAATCAAAATAAATTATAAAGGTGATAATGGACATTCCTGTCTTGTTCCTTTCTGTATCTTACAATTATCTGTTACCAGCTGATTTACAATTAGTTTGGCTTTTTGATCAGAGTAAATTGCTTGAATCCCTTTCCTAAAGTTTTCTCCAAAATTCATTTCTTCAGGGACTTTTTTTTCATAAATTCCCATGAAACATTATCAAACACTTTTTCAGCATCTATAAACATCAACGCTGCCTGTTTTTCATTTCTTACTTCCAGGTATTCTATCACATCTATGATATTTCTTATATTATCCTTCATTTGTCTCCCCGGAAGAAAACCTGCCTGATCGTGATGTATAAATTCCTTCAATATTGTTTTCATCCTATTAGCCAATATATTGGCAAACAGTTTATAATCGTTATTTAATAGCAAAATCGGTCTATAATTTTTTATTGAGGTCAAGTCTGTCTCTTGTTTTGGGATTAGGGTTATATACTCCTCTCTCTTTCATTCAAAATGAATGAAAATTTCATTCATTGTAGCTTGTAATGGTGCTAATAATTGTTTATTTATTTTTAAATAATATTTGGCTGCTATTCCATCCAGTCCTGGCGATTTCCCTGTTTTTGCCCGATTAATTACTTCCAATATCTCTGAAGTTGTTATTGGGGCATTTAGAATTACTAATTTCTCATCTGTGATTTTTGGTAATTTGCTTGCTGTCATATAGTCCTCTATTTCAATCTTCTTTTCTAGCCCTGTCCTATATAGATCTGTGAAATTTTTGAAAAATTATTTCCTAATCTCCTTTGAGTTATCTATAAGTTTTTCCTTAACTTTAATTTTACTTATAGTATTTTTCATCTCATTTTTATTTAATTGCCATGCCAACAACTTCCCTGGTTTGTTAGCATTCTCAAAATATTTTTGTTTCATTTTTTAAATTTTCCAGTCTAATTCTTTACTAATGATCATTGAATATTGTGTTTGTAATAATTTAATAGCTTGCTTTGTACTCTCTTTATTTGGTTTGTTTATTAACTCTTTCCATTTTTATCAGAGTCTCTAAAATTTCCCTTTTCTTCTGTTCCCTCACCTTCTTTTGGTATGCATTTTGTTGAATAAAAAACCTCTCATCACAGCCTTACTGGCATCCCTAACAATCTGAAGGTCTGTTCCTTTTTTTAAAATTTAGCTCAGAATAATCCCCTAATATTTTCTCTGTTTTCTCTAACAGATTCTGATTGTCTAACAAATCTTCATTCAATCTCCATCTCAGAGTGGAATGTTTTTCATTTTGCAATTCTAAAATTAATGGATTGTGTTCTTGGCATTATTTCTTTTTCTTTTCTTTTCTCTTAATTCCAATTCTTTAGAGAGCCACATTGCATGACTTCTTGCACTACTTTCGTAGACATGTGAAAAGACTGTAAACTCTCTATCTAATGCAGGGGTCGGCAAGGTTTACTGGCCATGGGCCGAATCACTCTCACGGAGATCATCCGTGGGCCAGACTGGCGCAGCACGAATACAAAAATTGCATTTGCACATGTCCGCGGCGGCGGAAATCAATTCTGCGCATGCCCAGACGCCAAAAATTGTGCCTGTGCGGAAGTGATTTCCGGTATCTGTGCATGCACAGGCATGATTTCTGGCGCCGCTTGGTGAGTCCCTGTGCCACACTGTACTGGTTTAGCGAAGCGCGCGGGAGACTGGCCAAGCAGGCGGCTCGGTTCAGGGGCGGCTCATGGGCCGGTAAAATGGTCTTCATGGGCGGCATCCAGCCCATGGGCTGCATGTTGCTGACCCCTGATCTATTTTTCCCCCAAATTTTTTTATTGATTTTCCAAAATTTTAAACAGACAAACAAACATAGATCTTAACTGTACTTGATCCAATCTTAGTAACATTGTTAAGTGACTTCCTCAAATCCCCCTGGCTGAATTTCAGTGTATATCATTGTAACAGTTTTACAAAACCAATTTTTCTCATAAAATTAACTTAATCACTTAACATCTTTCTTTTCTTTTCATTTTAACTTTAAACATATTATTCTCTAACATCACATATTTAAATCCTAAGCCTATCTGATATTTGCAAGTTTTTCCAATTAAATTATCTTAGCATATTTAAGTCTTTGAATTTCATCCATTCCTCCTGGTACTCCTCCTCCTTCTGGTCGCAGATTCTTCCAGTCAGGTCGGCTAGCTCCAAAAAGTCCATCATCTTCATCTGCCATTCCTCTACTGTTGGGACTTCTTGTGATTTCCAGTTCCTGGCTAACAAAATTCTAGCTGCAGTTGTGGCATACAAAAACCATCTAACATCTTTTTTGGGCAATTCCATACCTGTTATTCCAATAAGAAAGGCCTCTGGTTTCTTAATAAATGTATATTTCAACATTTTTTTCAATTCATTATAAATCTTCTCCCAGAGGTCTTTCACCTTGGTGCAGGTCTACCACATATGATAAAAAGGTACCTGCTTTTTCTTTACATTTCCAGCATAGATTATTACTATTATGATATATCTTTGCTAGTTTTACAGGGGTTAAGTACCATCTATACATCATTTTCACAATATTTTCCTTTAACACCGTACATGCAGTGAACTTGACTCCTTTCCTCCACAACCTTTCCCAATCTTCAAACATTATATTATGTCCCACATCTCTTGCCCAATCTATCATCACAGATTTAACTTGTTTATCCTTTGTATGCCACTCCAACAGTAAATTATACATTTTAGACCAATTTTTAACTTTAGAGTCCAACAACTCTGTTTTCAACTTAGTTTTTTCTGATGCAAAACCATTTTTCTTATCTAATTTGTACAGTTCATTGATCTGGTGGTTGTGTAGCCAATTTATTTTATCTTTAATTTGATCAAATGGTTTTAATTTGTATCCTTTATCTTCCAATAACAGATCAGAGTACGGTATCTCAACCACTTGGTTTCCATATTTAACTTTTTCTGGGCCTTTGCCTCCATTGGCGAAACCCATCTGGGTGTTTTCCTCTCTAAAAGATCTTTGTATTTCATAATAATAATAATAATAATAATAATAATAATAATAATAATAAATTTTATTTATATCCCACCCTCCCCAGCCGAAGCCGGGCTCAGGGCGGCTAACAACAATAAAATAGTGCAACATTCTAAAAACATTTCATTATAAAAATTAATTCAAATCAAACCGATGGCAACCATTGGGCCAGAGCTCCGCGAAGATTGCCAAAGGAGGGAGTCAGGCTGTGCCCTGGCCAAAGGCCTGGCGGAACAGCTCTGTCTTGCAGGCCCTGCGGAAAGATGTCAAGTCCCGCAGGGCCCTAGTCTCTTGTGACAGAGCGTTCCACCAGATTGGAGCCACAGCCGAAAAAGCCCTGGCTCTCGTTGAGGCCAGACTAACCTCTCTGTGGCCTGGGACCTTCAGGATGTTTTTATTTGCAGACCATGGGTGCCTCTGTGGGGCATACCAGGAGAGGCGGTCCCGTAGGTACGAGGGTCCTAAGCCGTATAGGGCTTTAAAGGTTAAAACCAGCACCTTAAACCTGATCCTGTACTCCACCGGGAGCCAGTGCAACTGGTATAGCACCGGGTGAATGTGATCTCGCAGCGAAGACCCCGTAAGGAGTCTCGCTGCAGCATTCTGCACCCGCTGGAGTTTCTGGGTCAGTCTCAAGGGCAGCCCCACGTAGAGCGAGTTACAATAATCCAGTCTGGAGGTGACTGTCGCGTGGATCACAGTGGCTAGGTCAGGGCCAGAGAGGTAAGGAGCCAACTGCTTAGCTTGGCGGAGATGAAAAAATGCCGCCTTTGTTATAGCTGTAATCTGCGCCTCCATGGAGAGGGAGGTGTCAAAGATTGCACCCAAACTCTTAACGGACGGTGCTGGCACTAATTGCACCCCCGCAAGAGATGGGAGTTGCCCCCTCAATCCCATATCATCCCGTCCCAGCCAGAGGACCTCTGTCTTCAAAGGATTTAACTTCAACCGGCTCTCACATAACCATCCAGCCACAGCTTCCAAACATCTGGTCAGTGTGTCTGGGGCCGAGTCAGGATGGCCATCTATCAACAGATAGAGTTGGGTGTCATCAGCATACTGATGGCAACCCAGCCCAAAACTCTAGACAAGCTGGGCGAGGGGGCGCATAAAGATGTTAAAAAGCATCGGGGAGAGTATCGCACCCTGAGGCACTCCACACACCAAGGAGTGGCGCGATGACAATTCCCCCCCAAGCGCCACCCTCTGTCCCCGACCAGAGAGAAACGAGCACAGCCATTGAAGGACTGTGCCCTGGATCCCCACGTCGGCAAGGCGGCAAAGCTTCTGGGGGGGTTTTGTTAAATTTTCTAATTTATTGCACATTTCCGTGACCATTTTAGTATTTTTTCCCAATTCCACTACCATCATTTCAGACTGTTTTTGCATTTCTTTCAACGTGTCTTTTTAAAATTCTGCCAGAAAATCTGCCATTTCTGGAGAGACAGGTCTGTCTGGTGTCTCCTGCATAGATCCCCTTCTGCCTGCAGCAGCCTGTTTTCTGATGTTGTCATTCTAAGTTAGTTTACACTGTTTCTATACTAGCCAGTCTTCTGGTTTATTCTCAAAACAATAATTCTTTCAGCTCAGTCTTATCACTCCTTCAAGGCCACAAGTCACCCCTTGGTTGTTCTCACCACCCAGCCTTAGTTGGGAGCAAGCAAAATAGAAAGCAAAATATCAGACAAAGGGATAGGAGCAATTCAGAAATGGAAATACCCTAAATTAACAAAGACAGTTCCACAAAATAATGACAGAAAATAAAGCTAGTAAAGTGGGAAAAGTTAACAAAATGATAGATGGTATGCAGTAGTTGTTAATTAGTTCTCTCAACATCAATCCAGAACCGTCGGTTGAAGGAAAAGGCCGCAAGGACAAAGAGAAACTTTCCCCAAGTCCAATTAAATGTAGTCTACTTTCTTTTTGTGATCAGTTATTATTTCCTTCCAAAGTTCCAAATACTCTGGTCTTCACCAATCACTTTATTTGGCCTGATTAGTTGCTCAACCTCCAGCTATTTCCAGGCTTTTCCATGGACTTTTTTGTCCAAAGTTAGATGAGTGTTCCCCTCCGTAGGTTTGGGTTTCATTGTGAAGTTCCAGGTCGTTCCAAATAATTCCAAATAGTTCAGTAAGGTATTTTCCAAATCAGAAACTGTGCAAGTTTAAGTTAAAGATCAAAATTATATCCAGTATTCTATATCACGGTTCAAGTTCAGTGTTCAAGTTCAAGTTAAAGATCAAAGAGTATATGCAGTATTCCAATAAGATAGATATGCTAATGAAGCTCAAAAAAAGGATTTCTTACCAGAGGCTTGTCAATCTTCCACTTACAAATCTTTCCCCAGCAGTTGGAAAGTAGCCAGAAAATGGAAGTTGACTTCCTTTCTAGTTTCCGTTTTCACTGAATTGAAAGAAAGAAATTTCAAACATTTACAGAAATCTTCTTACTGACATTTTTCGGCTTTATAATGTTGGTATGAAAATCCCCTGCTTACAGTGGCAGATTGAGGCTTTGACCCACAGGTTCGCGATGCAGCCATGAGCGCTCTAGACCACTCTTTCCCCGCTACTTGCCTTCCGGTGGTGTTCTTCAGGGGCTCTGCCGGACTTCTCAATGTTCCACAACATAGCGGAACTTGCGGGGGGGGGGGGCTTGCCTTGGAGCTCTCCCCTCTTTCCCCTGCAGGTCTCAGACTGATCGGACGATCAGATCCACGCTCCCTTCCCGATCGGCAGGAAACCAGAAGAGCAGGTTTTTCATACAGTTCCTAAAAAACTTTAGTTCCCCCAAACCATTGCTGGCCACCTCATGCCTAACCCCTTGCCAGCTGGCTGCAAGTTTTTAAGGCTCAGCAGCACATCTTTAACCCTCCAACCAGGGTTTCTTTGCAGCCGGAACGCACCATAGCTCTGTTCTGGCACCTCTCGGTGGGTTCCATCACCTTCCAGGTGGCCACTATTACCATTCTGAGAGAAAGAGGGAGGTGTTCATGGTGAGTTCTGGCATCTCTTTTTTTGGAAAAATAGCACTGCCTTCAACAATCCTCTGATGAAAATAGGGACATCCTAAGGAAAAGCAGGATATTCCAGGATCAAATCAGAATCCAGGACAGCTTTTGTAAATCTGGGGCTTTCCCTGGAAAACAGGGACACTTGGAGGGCCTGAGATAGCCCATATGGAATTGCCCAGATGTTGTTAGCTACAGCCAACAGTCAGCAGAGATGGGGTGGTAGTCCTGTGCTGCCGGCCACGGCAGAGCTCAGTGGGGGGAGAGGCCAGCCAACCGGCCGAGTCTCAGGGGAGAGGTTGCCTGACAGCAGAGTCCATATACAGTGGGACCTCGGTTTAAGAACAGCCCTGTTTATGAACTATTTGGTATATGAACTCCGCAAAACCGGAAGTAGTGTTCCGGTTAGCAAACTTTACCTCAGTCTACGAACGGAAGCCAAACAGTGGAAGGGGAACCTGTGGTGGGAGGCCTCATTAGGGAAAGCACACCTCGGTTTAAGAACGGCTTTGGTTTAAGAACAGACTTCTGGAAAGGATTAAGTTCATAAACCGAGGTACCACTGTACAAGGTCCAGTCCAGTCCTAAGTTCAGGAGTATCTCAGTTCACATAGTCAGACGATCCGGGGGTCAAGAAAGCCGAGGGTCCAACGTCACAAGAAGCATGAAGCAGCAAGAGTCTGGTCAGGAATTATGAATGTTGTTTCAGCAACTCACTGAGACTGGAAACCCTGCTTAAGAAATCTGGAGCCAGCTGGTTCTCATCAAAAGCAAGAAGGCTGATCAGCAGCAGGTAGAGCCACTTCATCTTCTGCTCCTTCAGGCTGCTGCTCAGCAGGTGAAGCCAACTTCTGGCCCATGACAGATGGGAGTTGCATTCCAACAGAATCTGGAGGGCTCCAGGATGGCTGTTCCTGCTCCAAGGCTTTAATTCTGTGCATGTCTTCTTGGAAGCAAGCCCCACAAGGCTCACTGGGATTTACTCCCAGATAAGGGTGTTTAGGATTCTATTCCAAGTCTGTATTAGAATGGTGTGTGTCCCCCTCAATCTGATTTGGGGCCCAATCCAGCACATGAGAGTGGGGACCTGAAATGATCTGGAGCCAACCCAGCCAGGGTCTCAAACCATTTCAGTGGCCTTGTCCGGTGTTCCATAGGGACTTCACACCCACGCTGGCCCACCCATGAGGCAAGGGGAGGCAACCACCGCAGGTGGCAGGATCCACAGGGGCAGCAGATCTGGCCTCCAAGCAATGCATCACCACTGCTGCTGTGGCAGCAACAGCTGCAATGCGCTTGCTGGAGGTCAAATAGAGGTGCTGCTGGTCTCTTCCCACCGTTGTTCCCAACATAGATTTTTATTCCCCACCCCACTCCCTGTTCCCGCTGTAGATCATCACTCACCCCTTCTTCCCTGGTGGGGAGAGGGCATCATTTCGTGGTTTGCCTCAGGTGTCAAAGTGTCTTGGGCCAGTTCAAATTTCTGTGGCCCAAATTTGCAACTCCATCTCCCCCCAAATCACCCTCTCTCTCATTACTTGCACAGGCATTTTTACTATTGAAGTTGTTTTAATAAATTGTGGCTTTGCTACATAGATTTTTTTGGGGGACACACTTTTGCTGTGGCAGAGTAATTTGTTCTGCATTAAGTCACTAGACAAGGCAGTATGGAAATATTTTAAACACATAAAACAGACCTCACTCTTTTAAAAAGTCCATGTACACACACACAAACACACATATTTTTAGAGGGTAAAGGAAGCAGCAAATCAGGAGCAACTGTGTTCCTAAGCGACCATAAAGGTCAAAGGGGGAAACATTCCATTCATTCCATTTGACAGTTGGCCAGAAGAAAGGCTGCTGGTGGTATTGTTCAGTGGTCTCTGAAAGGACGGGATGTTTCTAAGCTCTCTGTTGTTTTTGTTTTTCTCAAGCAGATCTTCCGTTGTTTACACCTGCCACAGCTGAATCTCCCATCTGCACATTTGGACAAGATGTCTTCAAGCATCACATTTGTTAGATGAATTCTTACGTAAATACAGGTATGTCCTGTCCTGGGCACCTCTTCAACAAAAGATTACAGTTCACGACTGTTATAATAATAATAATTCAGTTCATAGGAGCCACCTCCTAGGCACTGAGGTCCCTTCAGCCCCCCAGAGTTCATGGGCATTGCCATTCATATGGTGTGAGTGTGCCATGTCATGTGATTGATTATGCGGGGTGGGGCTTACCTGCCCCCCCAATATTTTATTCAGGTTGGCACCCCTGATTCAGTCCCTATACTTAAAAACTGGACATTTTAAAGGACATTTCAGATTACAAGTCAATGCTCAGTCAATGTTCAAGCTGGAAAGTGTGCAAAGGAGGGTGACTAAGGTGATAAAAGGGTCTGGAAGACAAGCCTGATGAGAAGCAGTTGAGGGAGTTGGGTAGGTTTAGCCTGGAGAAGAGGATATGAAAGCCATCTTCAAATATCTGAAGGGCTGTCACATGGAAGATGGAGCAAACTCATTTTCTGCTGCTCCAGAGGGTGGGATCTGAACTAATAGATTCAGATTACAATAAAGGAGATTCCAACTAAACAGTCTGATTATAAGAGCTGTCCGACAGTGGAACAGACTCCCATGGAAGGTGGTGGACTCTTTCCTTCCTTGCAGATTTTCAACCAGAGGTTGGATGGCCACCTGTCATGAATGCCTTAGCTGAGATTCCTGAATTGAAGGGGGTTGGACTAGATGACCCTTGGAGTCTCTTCCAACTCGACAAAATGATGGTAAAGGATGCTCAGTGCAAGCACTAGTGATGGGCAACTCACTTTCCCTTCAGTCTAGGTTGGAGTAGCTCAAAAATCCCCCTCGTCCCAAAAGAAGTTTGGTGCATTTTTTAGTCCAGTCTTCTTTTGGAAGTACATCTTAGGAAAGCTACATTACTCAGGTGCCTTTTTGTGCTATCAGTGCAGTATGATGAATGAAAGATGAATCAGCTGACAATTCTTCCTGGGCGCAGATTTGAATCCAAGCCAGAGAAGAATTTAGGAACACATGATAGGACTTAATCCCATATAAGTGTGTATATTAATATTATTTAACACTCCTAAAGCACCTTATTTTTTCTATGCACTCTACATATATTAAAAGACAAAGAAAAGGGAATGCAGAGGGAAGAATGCAACCCTGTGCATGCTTTCCTGGGAGTTAGTCCCACTGAATTGAGTGGGACTTACTTCTGAGAAAACAGGCTTGACTTTAGGCCTGAAATCCTACACCCACTACCCCAAGGGTATGTACAACTGACCTCCATGGGAAACACCGAGGAAACATGCATAATTTTGCTTTAAGATTGCAAAGAACTGTGCACTTATTTGACAGTGAAGATCCAAGTATGTGTTATGTTAGCTATGAATCTGTGTCCTAAAGTGCAAGGCTGTTGTTTTTGTTTCCACAAATTGTCAGCAGGAATAGTGGTGCTGATCCAGATTGGGACCCTGATGTGGAGGATGGGTTTTTTAAGCGTTTTTAAAGAAAGGTTTATGTGTACTGTGTTCCCAAAATGGATCATGGGCAAGGGGGACACACTTGCAATTTGCATTTGGGGAATAGGTACTTTCATATCTCAGCATTTCTGAATGTTTTCCCCAATCTACTTCAGCATATCTAAACAAAGGAACCTGAAATGGAGCCTAAAGAGGACAAAAAACCCAACGGGCAGCCCTCAGAGGAGAAGAAGGCTAATGGGCAGCCAGCAGAGGACAAGGCATCCAGTGCCAATTCTGCAGAGAAGCAGCAAGTGGATGGACAAGCAACCGAGGACAAACAAGCTGATGGAAATGCAGTAAGACAACCTCCTTATATTCCACGCATATTCCTTCCTTTAAATCAAAGTAATCCAAGATACTATTTTATAACATGTCAGCATACTTTCAGAAAACTACAGTACTTCTAAACTGCCGGGTCATTCTAGCACAAAGCTCTCTAGTTGTTTGATATGAATTGCATTTTACTCCCTCGTGGAAGCCTTTCCTAAATTTCAGATCTGTGCATTCTTGCTCTCTGCTTACTGGGCCAGTTTGAACGGACCTCTCTGCCAAGACAGGCTGCCTGTCACCCGGGCACATGGATCCTATCTCCAAGCTCACCACTGGAGAGCCCTGTGCGGATGTAATGGCAGGAATGCAATGTGGCTCTGAGATGGCTTCATCGCTGCAAGCATTTCTTTGGACTAAACAGAACCATCTCCCCTCTCCTACTCCCTCCCATGCACTGTTTTGGGGGTTCTCTTGACCCCCCAGAGCAGGCCTGGGGAAGACACATGGGACACATGGGAAGGGGGCAGGAGAGTTGCACCAGCAGCAGTCCTTGTGCTGGCTTCCACTAACAGAACAATGTACCCCAGTAGGTTGTATCCGGCAAAGTGTTACTCAGAGTAGACCCATTGAAATCAATGTACCTGAATAATTTTTATTTAGTTTACATTCTTCCCAAAGGAGCCTACAGTGGCAATTTTGAAATTAGTCATGTTCATTGATTTCAAGGGGTCTGCTCAGAGTACGACTGACTTTGGAGACATCCCAATATTTCTGAAGGATTTGCACACATAACATTCAGTCAGCCTCCCCCCTCAACACACCACTAACGCCCTGCAGATATTTTGAGTACAACCCCCATTTATTTATTTTAACTATTAGATTCGTATACTGCCCATCCAAAGATCAAAGGGCAGATTACAACATAAAACAAAAATTAAAAACTGTTGTTGTTGACATCCGCCTGTCTCGAGAGACAATGGAGGACTGCATTTTCAGAGCTAAAGTCAAACCAATGGAGAGTTACAGTGCCTGCTGTGGCTACAGAGGAGGAGACAGGTTTTGCTGCAGCTGGGGAAAAGGAAGGCTGCTGCAGATGCACCTTGGCACTTCTTCTCTCTGCACTCCTCCCAGCGCTCTTTCCTCCTCTAGTCCCTGCTGTGGATACGCAGCCTGACCGATTGTCTCCAGGCACTGCGATTAAATCATAACAAAAAAGCAATTCCCCTCCCTGCAAACACATCTTAAAGGCTGTAGATGGTTTAATCAGCCATCAGCTCCAGCTGTTGTCCCAAAACATCTGGAGGGCACGAAGTTGAGGAAGGCTCGTCCTAACAATGCAATTTGTTTCCAAATTGTGTGTCATGAGCTTTGGATTTACATGCATTTGGTGCTCCATGCACAAAACCTTTCCATTGGTTTTCATCCACTGATCTGACCCCTTCTGGTCAGGGCAGTGACCTTCTTGCCCCATTGCCTTCTTGAGGTGGCTCAGAAGTGACAGTCCTCACTCAGCCCTGAAAACTGGGAAGATGCCCAGAACAATGCTCTAAAAAGCCTTCTGTGTGCAAGGGGGTCCAGCTTTAAACTGCAGTCCTATGCTCTCACTTGTCCATCAAACCTGACGGGAATTACTTCTGAGTAGGCATGGGTACGATTGCATTGTAAGGCTGCAGTCCTTTCTCAATGGGGCTTGCTTCTGATTAAACACATCTATAATTGCATTGCAAAAGAAGGGGGGGGTGATGTGTATTGCTGATTTGTAGTTTTGGCCACTGCTGCTTTCAAGGAAACCTTTATTTTGTATCATGGATATTTTTAGTTTTATTATTCTGAAGTGTATATATTTCCACTCTGGAACCTTCAGGTAAAGGGCAGATCATTAATCAACCCTTTTCAGGCTTACTCAGTCATAAGCCTTCACAAGACGTACTCCTAAGTAACTGCGGGAGGGGGGGTGTTCGTTTGTTTTTTAACTGTTTTACCTATTTATTTATTTTCAATGGTCAGCTTCCTTGGATATCTCTTGTTGAGATAACTAACAAAATATTGGATATATCAATATATCCAATATAGAGAACAAATGTTTAATACATTTTAAAATATGAATGTTTGCTTGGAATTGCATCTCATGGAGCTCAATGGAGTTGACTCTCATCTCGAATTTTGTTTTAATTTGCTTATTTATTATGTTTGTATCTGACCCTTTCTCCAAGGAGCTCCGGGTGGCCTACGTGGTACCCCCTTCCCAATTTTACCTTCACAACCACAGGGCTGTGAGGTAGATTAAGCTGAGAGGCAGAGGGTGACCCAAGCTATTCAAGCAAGTATCACAGCCGAGTGGGGGTTGGAATTCGGTTTTATCCACCCCTTGTTATCCATGCAATTCTACATCTGACCTATGTGGGGTGGTGAGAGTGTCAGGTGAGGACCTGGGAGAACCCCCCTCCCCAGCTATGGGTGACCTTGGGCTGCTTCTCAGCCTAGCCTACCTCACAGGGTTGTTGTGGGGATTAAATGAGGAGGGGAGGACCATGGATTAAATGAGGAGGGGAGGGGCAAGATAAATGCATTAAAATAAACCAACCAGCAATTTTTTTGGCCTGGCTTTCCAGATCCTTATGGTAGTGTAGCCTTTTTAGCCTCGGGTGAGAAGAGCTTTGCGCCCGGGACGGGGAAATGGGAGTCAACAGACACTCAAGGAATAGTTTCAGAGAAAAAGCTTTATTTCTACCATCTGGGCTGGTAGAAGGAGCAAGTGTGATAGATTCACAAAGCAAGCACGAGTTCACAGCCATTTGCACAGAGCATATATTCCCCTTCAGTTCCCTCCCCTTTCTCCTCCTCCTCCGGAGTCCTGCCCCATGTTGAGTTTCCTGAGCATGAACAGAAAGCTCCTGTCTTGGGACTCTTTTGGACTCTTGGCACCCTTCCCAGGAAAAGGGGACGAGAAGCCTTGCGTTCAGCGTGTCCAAAATATGTTTCTTTTCTCTTGCTCTATTGGCACAGTTCCCGGAAAGAAAAGTTGCAAGTAGAATGTACTTTTTGGCAAGGTCAGCTAGCCTGAGAAGCAAAAAGGCATTGTTCTATTCAGCTACCTTTGTTACAGCAGAGCGAAATGCTTCTAACTACTGAGAAAGTAATTTTGGAAAAAATATTGAGGCTTGAGGCCTGATTTGAGGGGGGGGTGACTTCGGGCCTAGGTGGGGCACCTGTCCTCACCTCCTTCAGTAGGGGGGTGGGGGTGGGGTGACAGCTTTAGCAAGCGAGTGGGACGATTACATCTTCTGATGTAATTATGACACCAGGTGATTGACACCTGCCAGAGGTTGCAGGTCAACCACGTGAGCCTAGGTCCTAGCTTGCAAGCCGCTATGCCTTGGGCCATAACAGGAGACTAATACATTTAATAAACAAATGGTAAGAAATAAGCGGGGCAGTCTCCTGCCCGGAGCCCCGGGGGACCAGCCGGGCGCGCCCCGCCGGGGCAGGTTCCCTCTCCAGCCAGTCCCACGCGGGAGGCCCCGGGGCTTCAGCTCCTCCGAGAGGAATCACGGCTTGGGGGGATCGGAAGGGACCCCGCGGGGGGAGGCGGAAAGAGACGGACGAATCGCAAGGCAGCTGCGCAAAACAGGAGCTCGTTAGAGCAGCGCTGGGCGGAGACTGCGCACTGGGGCGCCCAGAAGCGCCGCTCGCGAAGCAACGAGAAAGCGGCAGAAGCCGGGAGGCGCTTGGCCGCCGGCTGCCATATAAGGCAAGAGGCGGGGCCTCATGCTCCGCCCTCCTCGCGCACGGCGCCGGCCCGATTGCGGCGGCCGTCGCTTAGCAACTCCGCGCGGCCGGGGCGCCCTTTCCGTCCTCGTCTCCCCTCTGAATGGGCGCGGAAAGGAGGGGGCGGAGCCTCCGCCCTCCCGGCGCTCGCCGATTGGTCCTGCTAGGTTTGTCGAGGCTTTAGTCGTGACGTCGCGGCGGCGTCGTTCCAGAAAGTTCGCGGCGGCGGCGCCTATAAAAGGCTCTCGGTCGAGGCGCCGCTCGCCGGGTCGGAGCGCGCGAGGGAGACGCGAGAGAAGGGCCGGCGAGGCTGAGGTGCGGGCGCGGGATGAAAATGCGGGCGGAGGGCGGGCCGAGGCCGACGCGGCTCGCGAGGAAGGACTCGCCGCCAACGCCTTCAGAGCTGCAGGCGCAGCAACGGGACGGGGGTGGGCTGGATGATCCCTGGGGGGCCCTGCTCTGGCGCCGGGGCGCGCTGCCGCGAAGGGGCTCGGCGGGGCCTCTCGCCCCCTGCCTCCTCAGGCGTCGCTCTGGGCTGGAAACGGAGAGGGGGAATGGAAACGGTTTAAGCGAGGCATTTGTTTGCGTTGTGGACGCCAATAGGCGCAAACACTGTTTTTCGTGGTGAAGAGTATTATAAAAATAGAGATGAATGAAGAAACAAGAATTGCATCAAGTAGAGCTTGTTATTGGTTCAATACGATAATTTCTAATATGCATTTTAGAAATGTTGGGGGAACATAGTGTTTCCGTTGTGTTTTGAGTGTTCAGAGGGTTTTCTGCAAGTTGCCTTGTAGTAGTTAAGGCAAACACTGTGAGGTAGGGGGGTCCACGCTGCTGACCTCGTGTGGCGGCACTGGGGTTAAAAGAGGACACCTGGAGCGGTCTTGGTATTGCCTGGCATTTACATCAGAGATATATATATATTTGACAACCCAGTGAGGTAGGTCAGTACTAATGTGACAAATGGGGAGTGAGGAAGAACGAACTGGTGGCTATAGGGATAGTCAAACTGGAGACCTTCAGTTTTTATCTCCCATCTCTAGGAGATGGAGAACAACCGTGGCCCATTTCTAATGTTCAAGAGTGCTTCATTTTTGTTACCATGTCATAATTTATTTTAGCTTACGGCCTTGCAGTTCTCTGTGCAAGCTAGGCCAGCATTGTCGTCCCCATTTGCGGGTTGAGTGAAGTGGCTGAAGCCAAGTGTCTCATCTAAGGCCTTCTAGAAAACTCCAGGCTGAGACCTGAGACATGATCTGAAGAAGCTGCCTTGCAGCAAGTCAGCCCATGGGTCCATCTAGGGCAGCACATTGACTGGCATCAGTTTTCCAGGGTTTCAGACAGCAGTCTTTCCATAACACCAGCTGGAGATGCCCAGGGTTGGATAATTAAGGACTCTGCAGGCAAAAACAAGTGCTCTGTCATTGAGGCCTCAGTGTCTTAGATACTAGAATACTCTTTAAAAAAAGGAGAGCAGCAAACTGATATTGTCATTTTTAGGTAGTTTCTGTGTCTAGTGGTGTGGGCCTTCTGTTGGATTTTTTCTGCTCTAAGTTGATGGGAATTTGTTTTTCCATAGTTATTTAACCTATAAACAAAACTTTAAAAATCTGTTCTGTGTTGCTATTATGTTCTGTTATCAATGTTTGAAAAAAAAATTCCAGTTCCCTCAAGTAGATGAAATGAAATAATGCATTAGATGAAGATGCCGAAATATTTTTAACGTGACTGAAAACAGCATGCAAAATGCATAGTCGCATATCAACAGCCAATAACCCTGTCAGTGGACTTCCCCTTCTCTGTTCCCCCACCATCCTCAAACCTGCTGCAGAGGTTCTCCCACCATCCTAAGCAGAGTTTGGGGGGGCTGCAGGGAGGAGGAGTGGAAGGGTGAATCCTGTTGTACCAGAGGATATCTGTTCTGATAATTGAAGAAAGTAAGGACTGTCTGGGACAATTTTTGTGCTTGTTTAATGTGTTCATTCAATTGCGTTCATTTTGGATTAATTTGTTAAAGTATACATTTACATAATACAGTAGTTCTGAAGAAAGCATGTTTTGTGTTTAGACAATGAAATGTATGTAGAAAATAATGAAGCATTTACTTTGTGTGTAAGGAAAGAGCATACCTCTTCTAAAATGGTTCTTGCCATTTGTATTTTTACAAGTTCTTCTGCCTTAAACCCCAGCTTAAAAAGGGAACATTTGATTAATTGGCAATATCCAGTTCTGGTTTTTACCATATACAAAGCTTTCTTAGTGCCTTCAAACATATTTGATGACAACCTGCATTCCAGGATGGGAAATTCTTTAGCAAAACAAGGGAAATTTGATGAAGAAAAACCTGAGTGCTGTCTTCATTCCTTCTGTTTCTTTCATCCTCTCAGGCTGCTGCCATGGTGAAGGAAACGGGCTACTATGATACGCTGGGGGTGAAGCCAAGTGCCACCTCGGATGAGATCAAGCGGGCCTACCGCAAGTTAGCCCTGAAGTTCCATCCGGACAAGAATCCCAGCGAGGGCGAGCGGGTATGGACTTCAGTTGGAGAGGGTGAAGTGGGGGTCTTAGGGAGGCAACTGCAGGTGGGCCAGTTGAGACACCAGCTAGGAGGCACATGTTTTATTTTTTAGTTCATGAAAGCAAGTGGCTGGTCTTTTGCAGAAGGAAGTAAACCACTGTGCTTAGTTATTGTAGTGGGAATGACCAACATTTGACACTTAGTAGTCCTAAAACGAAGACAGGAGTGCCTGACGTGCTCTGGTCCATGGGGTCACAAAGAGTCGGGCACAACTAAACGACTAAACAACAGTCCTAAAACAGGTACTCTATGCACAGGAGTACAGTGGGTGTCCATACAGAGTATCCACACACCCACACACACACACACACACACACTCACTGTATTCCGGAGATCCTTGCAATATAGATTACATTTTATCCATTAAAATGATTGGCATTTTGCTAGTAATTTCTTGGGTTCCATCTGAACCCAGGGATGGGAAGTCTTGCAGGCTATAGAGCATTTTCCTCAGTGAGTAATGCTGTATATCTGTTTTATTTTCCGTGGCATGCTGTGAACATTTCTTATGCTGATCGATATATTATATTATATTGATATAATTTCCTTTACAGCATTTATTTTGGCCTGGCTTTTTCTTATATTAACCACTGCAGGGGGGGAAATACTCTAAAATAGGTGGATGACTGCTTTTGCTGGGTATATATTTACTGAATAGTCTCTTGATGGATGTTCAGGAGTTTTCTTAATCACTTGTATGAAACTTAACTATTGTTGTCTGCTAGCCAGCTATTTAGAGGGTCTCTTTCTCTTCTTAGTTTAAACTCATATCCCAGGCTTATGAAGTTCTGTCAGACCCAAAGAAAAGAGACCTCTATGACCAGGGTGGGGAGCAAGCTATTAAAGAAGGAGGCCTAAGTGGCGGCAATTTCTCTTCACCCATGGACATCTTTGACATGTTCTTTGGTGGTGGAGGCAGAATGAATAGAGAAAGAAGAGGTATGCATGTGTGTTTTAAATACTGCATCAGTTAAATTCTAGTGTGTGAGACCAAAATGTAGAATGCTACTGTAGTATTGTGTCCAAAGCGTAAAATATTTACACTGGTACCTTGGTTCTCGAATGTAATCCGTTCCGGAAGTCTGTTCAACTTCCGAAACATTCGAAAACCAAGGCTTTGCTTCTGATTGGCGTGGGTGCCCTGAAAACAATAGCTGACAGCTGCATCTGATGTTTGGCTTCTGAAAAAGAGTTCAAAAACCAGAACACTTAACTTCCGGGCTTTCGGCGTTTGGGAGCTGAAATGTTTGAGTACCTAGGCGTTGGAGAACCAAGGTTCCACTGTAGTTACCAATGGGAACTGCAGCTGAAGGTTTCATTCATGAGGCAGCTCTCTTGGCCTTACTGTAAGGCAAAGCTACTATTATTAATGATTGACTTTTGTTGGCCCTGTTGCACCTGTTTTTTCCATTCTGGGAATATGGCAACAATATCTTAGCATTACTGCAGAAATGGCAGTGTGGTTTATCTGAAGCACTGTAACTTGAGGTTATCTTTGGAAATGCTTAGATTCAGGTGATAGACCTCAGAACCAAATAATTTGGGGGGTGTGGTTGAACAAAAAAATTGCAAAATTCAAACCAGGATAGTTTAATCAGTTCTTTGGTTTCATATCCAGGAAACATACTAATTTTGAGAGTTTCCCCTTGGGGTTTTTTTTTGGGGGGGGAGGGTTTGTTCTGCACTTAGAATAGTGTTTAGAATTTGAGGGCTATAACTATTAATACAATGCATTTGAAAACTGGTTGGTTTAGGGATACATATTTCAGCACTGCCCAGTAGTGTCTAACCAAGGAAGTGGATAGAGGTAAGTTGTCCAGAGGACCAACTTTATTCTGGTCAATAGCCTCTGCTCAACCTTCCCAAGTACAATTTTTTAAATTATATCTTGCCATGGTTGCTGGCAGCCCTGGCTCTTTTTTCAAGAAAATTGCCTTTGAGAGGGAGGAACTGCCATGGCCTTCTTCTTTGCCTAGGATGCATATATGATAAAGCCAGATGAGGGGAATTTCATCTTGGTTTTGTCCATGTGTGGTATTACAGATAAGTTAAAAAGAAAAAAAAATTAAATAGCTATATAGGAAGCTAACTTTACAAAATTCTGAAAAGCTAATCCGTATTGCAGAAACAGAGCTGTTGTGTTTCCTCTTAGTAAAAGGTACACATTCCATTCTGGAGGATTGTTAGGCTTGCAGGGAGGTAGGATAAAAAGCTTAAAATGAACATTGGAAATGGGGATCTTGTGTTAAGCATCTGACCTTCATTTTCATTAAGGAAAGAACGTTGTCCATCAGTTGAGTATATCCCTTGAAGACTTGTACAATGGAGCCACAAGAAAGCTGGCGCTTCAGAAGAATGTAATTTGTGATAAGTGCAAAGGTAATGACTCAGTGAACTTGAATATAGAAGTTGGGCTGTGCCCAAAAAGTGTTCTAAAGGCCACTCCTGTAACCTCAAGTGAAAATGCTGAACATTATATGCAGGGATACAGTGGTGCCTCGCAAGACGAAATTAATCCGTTCCGCGAGAGTCTTCATCTAGCGGTTTTTTCGTCTTGCAAAGCAACCCTATTAGCAGTTTAACGGATTAGCGCTATTAGCGGTTTAGCGGCTATTAAAGGCTTATCGGATTAGCTGCTAAAAGGCTATTAAAGGCTTAGCGGCTTAGATAAAGGGGGGAAAAGCGGGAAAAAAATCTCAAGACTCGCAAGACATTTTCGTCTTGCGAAGCAAGCCCATAGGGAAATTCGTCCTGCGAAGCAACTCAAAAACGGAAAACCCTTTCGTCTAGCGGGTTTTCCGTCTTGCGAGGCATTTGTCTTGCGGGGCACCACTGTATTTGACGGCACCAGCTGCCTTGAATACATTAAAGTCAGACACAGAATCATTTTGTGGGTGTGATTACTCAGGAAGTACTTGCGGTGCTCACCAAACCATTCTTAAATCTAAAATCAAGAATGTGCCATTACGTTCTTTCAAATTCACAAACCTTTACTGACGTTTACACAAGATTCCAGTATGGTTCAGTACAATAAAATCACTCATCAGAAACCTGCATCTAACACTTGAGTTAACATTGTACAGTGGTACCTCGGGTTAAGTACCAAATTTTTTGCTCTATAGGACACACTTTTCCCCCTCCAAAAATGAAGGGAAAATGTGTGTGCGTCCTATGGAGCGAATGCAGGGGGGAGGCAGGCAGGAAAAGCCCCCAAAAGCCGCACACAAGCTCCGCGCGGCTCTTGCGGGCTTTTCCTCAGGAGGGACAAGGGACTGACGCGGCCAGTCACTCCCTTCTCCCTCCTTGTAGAAAAGCCCACAGGAGCTGCGCGCTCCTTAAAGGGTGCGCAGCTCCTGTGGGCTTTTGCGGGAGGTGGGGTATTGCCATAGCCGCGCACCACCTCACCAGACGGGAGAGGATGCACGGGGCTAAAGAAGCCATAGCCCTGGGCTTCCCCGGCAGCCCCGAGAAGCTTGCGGAGCAATGGGAAGGCTGCGTGCCTTTCCGCTGCTCCCCAACCTGCTCTTTGGGGCGGGCGGTGGGCTTCCCCCCGCCAGCCCCAAAGAGCAGGTCGAAAACAACCTGAAGCCTGGAGAGCGAGAGGGGTCGGTGCGCCCCGACCCCTCTTGCTCTCCAGGCTTCCAAGGTAACCGCCTGAAGGCGGCTGAATACACCTTGAACGACATCTTGTTTTAGAGGGGGAAAACAAGGGGGGGAAATTCTCCTCCTCTCTGCACAGCGCCTCCTGCTGGAGGGGCGCTGGGCAGAGAGGAGGAGGTTTTTTTTCTTGTTCTCCCCCCTCTAAAACAAGGTGCGTCCTATGATCGGGTGTGTCCTATAGAGCGAAAAGTACGGTACTTAATTTGTTCCGGAGGTCTGTTCTTAACCCGAAACTGTTCTTAACCTGAAGCACCACTTTAGCTAATGGGGCCTCCTGCTACCGCTGCGCCACCAGAGCACAATTTCTGTTCTCATCCTGAAGCAAAGTTCTTAACCTGAGGTACTATTTCTGGGTTAGTGGAGTCTGTAACTTGAAGCGTACCAAGGTACCACTGTATAAGCATTCATGAGTCCTCATTGGATGGTGCAGAAACTTGGCTACTATCTCCATCTTATCCCCATCCTGAGTAAACATAAAGAAGGCTACATTAAATCCATGTGAATACCACTCCCTACTAACAACCAACCGATTATGCGCAGCGGATTCTATTTGTCTGTGCACAGAGGCATAGTCTTTCTACAAGTGGTGTTTTCTAGAATTTCCCTTTTCTTGACCTTAAAGGAGCATTTGACTCTATTTCTAGAAATCACTTTTGGGACAAACTTCTGAGGATGGGAATGGAGAAAAATATACTTTACCTAATTAGGAAGCTTGTATTCTTCTACAAGCTGCCAAGTTAAATTCACTCCCCAAGGGAACTTAAGATCCAAAATCTCAATCCACAAAGGGGTGAAACGGGAAACTTTCTGTTTCAGACGTATTTGCCTCTGAAACAGGCAAACGGCTAATTTTCTTAACAGCAAACATTCTTTTTAATGACAAAACAAGAATGATTGCTATAAAAAAAAATGAGTCCATAGTAAAAGTAGCCATGATCCTCTTTAAAAAGGTGTTCATCTCTGGTCGATGATACAGGTCAGTTGTGGATTGATAAGTGTATATCACATAAATTGTGAACTGATGGGATTCCAACTATCTCCACTTCTCAAGGCTATTGTCAAGTATTTGGCAGGCTTATGAAAAGTCATGAGAAGTGAACAGATTGTTCTGTTCAAAGAGTGCACTGGAAACTGTTGAGCAGCCTAGCAATGTTTGCGGACTTAATCAAATATTTTCCTTGCTGTTGTCCAAACTGTACATAAATATGCTTAGACTTGTTCATTATTTTGAATAATTATGCCAGACCCAGGGAGACGCAGAGCTCAGAGGGAGTAATGTTTGGCGCTGAATTCGTAGATAAGATGTAGTCAAAGCCCTGTTTGCTTGGTACGAGAGCTATACACGGATGGATGTTGAGTTTGGTAATGAGAGCTTGGTGAGTTGCTGTCTGTCATCAGGGAACTTTAGGAGTTACAGTGTGTGTGCTTATGTATTTCCTTCCAAGGCCTCGGTGGAAAGAAAGGTGCTGTGGAAAAGTGTCCTACATGCAAAGGAAGAGGAGTGCAGGTGCTTGTTCAGCAGATCGCACCTGGAATGGTGCAGCAAATCCAGACTGTTTGTTCAGACTGTAAAGGCCAAGGGGAACGAATAAATCCCAAAGACAGATGCACCACCTGCAATGGCAATAAGGTGGTTAGAGAGAAAAAAATAATAGAAATACACATTGACAAAGGTAAGGATTTCATCACACCCAACCTTCCCAGGCAGCTAGCTACCCAAATTGGTAGCTCACGAGGGAATATCTCTTTGCTCATACCCAAAGCCTGGCCCTCCTGCACATGCCCATTGCTTCCTTTTTCAAGCACGACATTCATGGCAAGGCTTCACTGCCACAAGGCACTAAGGTATCCTAGTGATCTTTGAGGACTGGAATTTCATTGCTCAAGTAACTACATAGTGATGAAAGGAAGGCAGACACATAGGCATGCAATAATTTTTATCTTGCTGTTTGCCCCGTAGGGAACCCACAGCAGATTAAAATAAGTCATAAACAGTATCTCAAATATTAGATACAGGTAGGTAGCTGTGTTGGTCTGCCGTAGTTTAAACAAACAAACAAAAATCCTTCCAGTAGCACCTTAGAGAACAACTAAGTTTGTCATTGGTATGAACTTTCGTGTATCTGAAGATAGCTGAAGTGTGCATGAACACGAAAGCTCATACCAATGACAAACTTAGTTGGTCTCTAAGGTGCCTACTGGAAGGATTTTTAAAATTTTGTTTCAAATATTAGAGATACTTTCAAAATTGTCAGTTTTGGAATTTTGATCCTATACAGTATGTTTCAGTTGTTTCAGAAGGCATGGCACTAAGCGATGGATGGATTTCCCGTTCCTCCACATTTTGAAGCTTTGCTGTGCTTTGTTGCTTAAGTTACAACTTAACTAGGATAATTCATCCCAGTATATATAGTTGGCTGCATTTTAGAGTTAATTTGCAGCACACCCTCTTCCTCACACACATTTATAAACACACTGCAGAGTAAGCAGTCTTCATGCAATCATACTTAACATTGCATTGTGATTGTGCTAGGATTGTAGTGGTTTTTATCAATACCCTTGGTCAGAAACTTAAAAAGAAGCATTCCTAATGCATCAGTTTTACTTTGGAAATAAGGCCACATAATTTGGAACTTTTGGAAGTATTCCTAACTTGCCATAGGCTAGAAGTTACAGGATATCCATTAATCAGGTTGCTGGCACTGTTTTGACAAATCTTCTGAATGTGATTTCTTTTATGTGTGTGTATGTGTTGCTTCATAGGTATGAAAGATGGTCAGAAAATAGTATTTCACGGAGAAGGTGACCAGGAACCTGATTTGGAGCCTGGAGATGTCATCATTGTGCTAGATCAGAAAGACCACCCAGTGTTTCAGAGAAGAGGCAACGACTTAATTATGAAAATGAAAATTCAGCTCACGGAAGCCTTGTGTGGCTTCAAAAAGACAATTGATACCTTGGATGACAGAGTCCTTGTAATAACTTCCAAAGCAGGTAGGTGTTGCATCTACCTTGTTAAAGAAAAAAATGCTTAGCAAATGTTATTTAATTAGCAGCTTGCATGTTTCCATTAAGATACTGATTTTAATGAGTTTCTGCTGCAAACCAGTTTAGATCATCCACTGGAGCTGATGATTGGAGACAGAGGATGGACAAAAAGACGAGCTGGTTTCCATGAGATGTGATGCCCACAAACTTGTTGTTGTTGTTTAGTCGTTTAGTCGTGTCCGACTCTTCGTGACCCCATGGACCAGAGCACGCCAGGCACTTCTGTCCTCCACTGCCTCCCGCAGTTTGTCAGACTCGTGTTTGTAGCTTCGAGAACACTGTCCAACCATCTCGTCCTCTGTCGTCCCCTTCTCCTTGTGCTCTCCATCTTTCCCAGCATCAGGGTCTTTTCCAGGGAGTCTTCTCTTCTCATGAGGTGGCCAAAGTATTGGAGCCTCAGCTTCAGGATCTGTCCTTCCAGTGAGCAGGGCTGATTTCCTTAAGAATGGATAGGTTTGATCTTCTTGCAGCCCATGGGACTCTCAAGAGTCTCCTCCAGCACCATAATTCAAAAGCATCAATTCTTCGGCGATCAGCCTTCTTTATGGTCCAGCTCTCACTTCCATACATCACTACTGGGAAAACCATAGCTTTTACTATACGGACCTTTGTTGGCAAGGTGATGTCTCTACTTTTTTAGGATGCTGTCTAGGTTTGTCATTGCTTTTCTCCCAAGAAGCAGGCGTCTTTTAATTTTGTGACTGCTGTCACCATCTGCAGTGATCATGGAGCCCAAGAAAGTAAAATCTCTTACTGCCTCCATTTCTTCCCCTTCTATTTGCCAGGAGGTGATGGGACCAGTGGCCGTGATCTTTGTTTTTTTGATGTTGAGCTTCAGACCATATTTTGCGCTCTCCTCTTTCACCCTCAATAAAAGGTTCTTTAATTCCTCCTCACTTTCTGCCATCAAGGTTGTATCATCTGCATATCTGAGGTTGTTGATATTTCTTCCGGCTATCTTAATTCCGGCTTCGGATTCATCCAGCCCAGCCTTTCGCATGATGAATTCTGCATATAAGTTAAATAAGCAGGGACAATATACAGCCTTGTCGTACTCCTTTCCCAATTTTGAACCAATCAGTTGTTCCATATCCAGTTCTAACTGTAGCTTCTTGTCCCACATAGAGATTTCTCAGGAGACAGATGAGGTGATCAGGCACTCCCATTTCTTTAAGAACTTGCCATAGTTTGCTGTGGTCAACACAGTCAAAGGCTTTTGCATAGTCAATGAAGCAGAAGTAGATGTCTTTCTGGAACTCTCTAGCTTTCTCCATAATCCAGCGCATGTTTGCAATTTGGTCTCTGGTTCCTCTGCCTCTTCTAAATCCAGCTTGCACTTCTGGGAGTTCTCGGTCCACATACTGCTTGAGCCTTCCTTGTAGAATTTTAAGCATAACCTTGCTAGCGTGTGAAATGAGTGCAATTGTGCGGTAGTTGAAGCATTCTTTGGCACTGCCCTTCTTTGGGATTGGGATGTAGACTGATCTCCAATCCTCTGGCCACTGCTGAGTTTTCCAAACTTGCTGGCATATTGAGTGTAGTACCTTAACGGTATCATCTTTTAAAATTTTAAATAGTTCAGCTGGAATACCATCACTTCCACTGGCCTTGTTATTTGCAGTGCTTTCTAAGGCCCATTTGACTTCACTCTCCAGGATGTCTGGCTCAAGGTCAGCAACCACACTACCTGGGGTGTACGAGACATCCATGTCTTTCTGGTATAGTTCCTCTGTGCATTCTTGCCACCTCTTCTTTATGTCTTCTGCTTCTGTTAGGTCCTTACCACTTTTGTCCTTTATTACGGTAATCTTTGTACGAAATGTTCCTTTCATATCTCCGATTTTCTTGAACAGATCTCTGGTTCTTCCCATTCTGTTGTTTTCCTCTATTTCTTTGCATTGCTCGTTTAAGAAGGCTTTCTTGTCTCTCCTTGCTATTTTTTGGAAATCTGCATTCAATTTCCTGTATCTTTCACTATCTCCCTCGCATCTTGCTTGCCTTCTTTCCCCTGCTATTTGTAAGGCCTCGTTGGACAGCCACTTTGCTTTCTTGCATTTCTTTTTCATTGGGATGGTTTTCGTTGCTGCCTCCTGTATAATGCTGCGAGCCTCCACCCATAGTTCTTCAGGCACTCTGTCCACCAAATCTAAATCCTTAAACCTGTTCCTCACTTCCACTGTGTATTCATAAGGGATTTGACTTAGATTGTATCTTACCGGCCCAGTGGTTTTTCCTACTTTCTTCAGTTTAAGCTTGAATTTTGCTATAAGAAACTGATGATCTGAGCCACAGTCAGCTCCAGGTCTTGTTTTTGCTGACTGTATAGAGCTTCTCCATCTTTGGCTGCAGAGAATATAATTAATCTGATTTCGATGTTGCCCATCTGGTGATGTCCATGTGTAGAGTCGTCTCTTGTGTTGTTGGAAAAGCGTGTTTGTGATGACCAGCTTGTTCTCTTGACAGAACTCTATTAGCCTTTGCCCTGCTTTGTTTTGATCTCCAAGGCCAAACTTGCCAGTTGTTCCTTTTATCTCTTGATTCCCTACTTTAGCATTCCAATCCCCTATAATGAGAAGAACATCCTTCTTTGGTGTCACTTCTATAAGGTCTTGTAAGTCTTCATAGAATTGGTCAATTTCAGTTTCTTCAGCACCAGTAGTTGGTGCATAAACTTGGATTACTGTGATGTTAAAAGGTCTGCATTGGATTCGTATCGAGATCATTCTATCATTTTTGAGATTGCATCCCAGTACAGCTTTTGCCACTCTTTTGTTGACTATGAGGGCCACTCCATTTCTTTTACAGGTTTCTTGCCCACAGTAGTAGATATGATAGTCATCCGAACTGAATTCTCCCATTCCCGTCCATTTTAGTTCACTGATGCCCAGGATGTCAATGTTTATTCTTGCCATCTCATTTTTGACCACATCCAACTTACCCAGGTTCATGGTTCTTACATTCCAGGTTCCTATGCAATATTTTTCTTTACAGCATTGGACTTTCCTTTCGCTTCCATGCATATCCACAACTGAGCGTCCTTTCGGCTTTGGCCCAGCCGCTTCATCAGCTCTGGATCTACTTGTACTTGTCCTCCGCTCTTCCCCAGTAGCATGTTGGACACCTTCCGACCTGAGGGGCTCATCTTCCAGCGTCATAACTTTTATATGCCTGTTGTCTTTGTCCATGGAGTTTTCTTGGCAGGGATACTGGAGTGGCTTGCCGGTTCCTCCTCCAGGTGGATCACATTTGGTCAAAACTCTCCACTATGACCTGTTCATCTTGGGTGCCCTGCTCGGCATAGTTCATAGCTTCTCTGAGTTATTCAAGCCCCTTCGCCATGGCAAGGCAGTGATCCATGAAGGGGCCCACAAACTTAGATGGCTTTAAAAGGGATTGTCTCTCAGAACCCATTGCAGGGAACAGCAGTGGGAAAGGGCTATAGATCCTCATGTTCTGCTTTTGTTTTTTTGTGGTTTTTTAAAAGAATTTTTATTAAGTTTACATTTTACCATGATCACAATCCATTAAATAATCTCATCACCAAAAACATTTCTCAAACTGAGCTTCAACCTCCCCCCCCCATCCCACTTTCTGGCTTTCATAAATATTCACTTACATCTTTGCATTTCTATAACCGCCTATTTACCTTCTTTCTATCTTAATAAAACTTACCTTATTTATTGTAAACCAGCTCCAAATATTAGCATTACAAAATATTTTAACTCAAACCTACAAACATTTTCAGATGTTTACAGTGTTCTTTCATATATTGTATAAATATACTCCATTTTCTACTTTTGAGCTTTCCAAATATCTGATTGGCTGTGTGGAAGTAGAATGCTGAACCACGCTGAGCTTTTTAGCCCAAAGGGCCAAATTGTCTCCCCTACCCACCCATCTTGAGCAAAGTTGGACAGGAGAGCAGAGTCAATCACCTGTCAGGTACCTGATGTCACAATGACATCTTGCCCGTTTTTTTTGTTTTGTCCAGATTGTCAGAAGCCCTTTTCAAAACGTTATTCTCTACAGAGCTTTGAAAGGCTCAAAGCCTGCAACACACTTTGAGCTGAGACAGAACCTACCTAATTAGGCCAGTGGGCCTCAGGTTCCTCACCACCGAGATAGAGACCCCTGGTCTGATCCAGTAGGGTTTCATGTATCATTTTGCTGTTGGGAACCTCTCTGCAAGGAAAAAGGGGTTTCGGAAAGCTAACGAACTTAACTGTGTGTAATCGCTATTCAAACAGGTGAAGTGATAAAGCATGGAGATGTCAAATGCATCATAAATGAGGGAATGCCAATTTACAAGTCACCATTGGAAAAAGGTTCCCTAATAATTCAGTTCTTGGTAAGTAAGTTAGTTGCTTTTAAACAGTTGTTTGAATCTATCTGCCTACAAGCTGGATGAAGTGCATTTCCAACTGAATGGGCAGTTGTAAAGTCAGCAACATGGGCTGTGCCCTGTAGGTGCCACACAAGCAGCAAAGCGTTCTTGAAACACACTGAACTGCAACTCATGAGGCACCTCAACTGTCCCTTACTGCTTCCTGCTTCAGGGTTTGTGCACATGAAGCAGTAGAAGATTTGTAAAAATGGGAGGGATGTGCCAAAATGTGTTGTTCCGAGGTGAGGTAGGGAGGTGCACAAAGGAATTCCCTCTCCAGCCATGTTATCTAAAAACTACTCATTGTTCAGTGTCAAATGAGCATCACCCTGTTTTCTTGTTTTAATGGCATCTGGGATCCTTTGAATAGCTTTTTAGCAAAGTTTTCACCTAGCTCTGCCACTTAATCTGCTCTTATTTTGGGATTGCTGGCTTGTTTTATACAGTGGTACCTCACAAGACGAAAAACACGCAAGACGAAAGAGTTTTCCGTTTTTTGAGTCGTTCCGCAAGACGAATTTCCCTATGGGCTTGCTTCGCAAGACGAAATGTCTTGCGAGTTCTTGCGAGTTTGTTTCTTTTTTCTTAAAGCCGCTAAGCCGCTAATAGCTGTGCTTCGCAAGACGAAAAAACCGCAAGACGAAGAGATTCGCGGAACGGATTAATTTCGTCTTGCGAGGCACCACTGTATTGTAAGCTGTCTTGAGAAAGCCAAGCTGTGTGTCATCTTGGTAGAAAGCAGCTGAGGGACAAAACGAGGGAGAGAGTGCTGGATTTTGTCTGACCCCTCCACACACCAGATTGCCTACCCTGCCATCTATGCAAGACAGTGGCAATAATTCCTGATGGTAGTTAACAAAATCAGCCTTAAGGTATTTGCTTGTGTTCAAGGAGCTGCTGTTCCAAATGCAGGATGTGAGCATAGCTCCACACTAGTTACATTAATGCTGCCTTTTTATTATAGGTTGCATTCCCAGAGCATCAGTGGCTTTCCAAGGAACAGCTACCCTTGTTAGAAGCTCTGCTTCCTCCAAGAGAAGAAGTAATGATTTCAGAAGACATGGATCAAGTTGATCTTGTTGAATTTGATCCAAGAGAGCGAGCTTTCCGTAATCATGGGGAAGCCTATGAGGAGGATGACGAAGGTCCTAGAACTGGTGTGCAGTGTCAGACATCTTGAACTGGAGGTGTAACTGGACTGCTAGTGACAGATTCAAAAATTGGCTTTTGAAGCCACTTGTCATGTTCAGCACAGAGATGCTGAGTATCATTTTTGTAACTATATATTTAAGCGTTCATGCAAAAAAAAAACCCCACACCAAAAAAATCCCTCTGTAGCAAGACTTGAGTATACTGCAACTTGGTTGAATAAGCACTTCCAGTTTCTCTAAAAATCCCTAATGTAGAAATAATTTTCAGAACACTATTTACATAAAACAGCTATAGTTTCAGCTTAATGGGCTGTTCTCTGTTTGCTGTAAAACTGAATTATTGCTTCAAATAAAACAGGACCATTCTGTGTGGTGTGAGGACTCTTAACCAAGAGGGCAACTCTCTCACCCCATCCCTCTGGAATGGGAACTAAATGCTTTCTTGGCTTAGGGAGCTAGGACATACAATAGAAATTCACCAGCTAAAAGCTTAAGAAATTGCATGCAAGCAGCATCTTTTTCTGATTTTTTTATGCTTGGGTGCCCCCTGCTGGAAAGAAACTCTTTGTATATTGCATATATTTGCAAATTGCAGGGCTCCCCTGAGCACATGCACAGCCTTTATTCTTGTTTGTAGTCACACCTGTGCCGTCCATGACAAGCACTGCCACCCCAAAAACAGAAAAATGTCTAATAGGGGAAATGATACTCCAGTAGCCCAGTTGGCAAATTAAGTAATTTAAACAAATACATTTATAAACATAAATAGCAAAATTCATACAAACTTAGATATATATTGATTATTTGCATTTGTCAAAATCTAAAGGTTTTCTTGACACCTTTTGAAAGTTCCACAGCCTTCAAAAGGAACCCAAATTGATTTAGGTACATTTAAATTGGACAGTCATAAATATGGATTTCTTGATCATCACCAACTGATACAATTTTAGAACCATTTCCGTTGTATTGCACTCCCCAGACCTGTGAACAAACCAAAAATCTGTTAAGATTGATTGCATAGAGTTAGGCAATAGCTTATAACAGACATTTAAAAAATTATAATGATCACAAGTCCTTTTCTTTAAAAGGTAATTTATATATGCTGTGTACCGCCCCCTGCACAAGAGAAAACCAACCCAATGGGCCCTCAGATGTTGGGCTGCAACTCCACTGTGCCTGACTATGGCTGATAGGAGTCAAACAGTGACAATCGTAGAACTGAAACAGGAGAAGCTGCCTCATATTGAGTAGCAGCAACTCATAGTCTGAGGCAGAGCTTACCCATCACTTGCTCCTTGATGTGGAGATGCCAAGCATTGGACCTGCATTCTTTGCATGCCAGGCATATACTGCCACCAAGCTATGGCCCCTCTGCCAGCAAAAGCACACTCATTCTGCTAAAAAGGCAGGCCAATGGGATTGTACTTTCAGTCTCTCACACCCCTGTTACCAGCACTTTGCACAGAGGCAAGCTGAGTGGTTCAAGCATCTTGAATTAAAATGCCAGTTTTATTTGGGGGTGGGTGGAAATCTTCCGTTTCAGGTGTTAAGAGAACTCAGTAGACAGCACTAATAGACAATTAATTGGACACACTTTCACATTTATTTTATGGAACAAAATTTATATACTACTTTTATAAGAAAACTCCACAAATATAGCAGGAAGTAACCCTTCAAATTTTGGAACGTCTCAAGACTAGTTCTATGCAGCCTGAACTAAAGGTTTTAATGTAAGGAAAGTTCCCTAGGCTGCCACAACCGACAGCCACAAAGTTCTATATACCTGATCTTGATGATCAAAGAAGGTATGAGCACAGGTCTTGGAAGGTACATCCCACACTTTCACGGTTTTGTCTGATGAACTGGAAAAGAACAATGATCAACAATTTTGTTCCCTGTTAATACCAACCCACCAGAAATAGGAAATGGCCTCTGATTCCTGGAATCATCACCATTTGTGCAGTCCACTGGTGTGAGCCTCCAACCCTGAACTCGCCCTTCCCTCTTTGGGGAATTAAAAAATTGCAAGTCACATCTCTCACTTCATCTATCCTAAAGCCACGGTACTCACTATTTTGTCATGTTTATTTAGGATATTTCATTGAAAAGTTCCAGGCCTGGTGTACAAAAGTGTGACTAACACCTCCAACCCCAAAGAAAAGCAGAACAGAGCAAGCAAAAACAAAACCACCATCTGAATTGTCTGGGCAAAAAGGTCTTCCCCTGGTATTCAAAAAGGTGCCAGTGTTGGCACCAGACGTGTCTCTTGAGCAGACGCAGAAAAGGTCCTCTTTTAAGAGTGTAGCATACTAAAGAAGATGCTTGGAGCAGGGACTCTGCAGAAAATCTGAAGACTGGCATTAGAATTGTTTTTGTTTCCCTAAGTGTTTATTTGCCATGCATAATGTTCAGTCCATGTGTTGTGCAAAGCAGAAGCTGCCGTGCTACATAAAGATAAAGGACCCCTGACAGTTAAGTCCAGTTGCGAATGACTCTGGGGTTGTGGCACTCATCTCACTTTACTGGCCGAGGGAGCCGACATTTGTCCACAGACAGTTTTTCCGGGTCATGTGGCCAACATGACTAAGTCACTTCTGGTGAAACCACAGCAGTGCACAGAAACGCTGTGTACCTTCCCACCGGAGCAGTACCTATTTATCTACTTGCACTTTGACGTGCTTTCGAACTGCTAGGTTGGCAGGAGCTGGGACCAAGCAACGGGAGCTCACCCTGTTGTGGGGATTTGAACTGCCGACCTTCCGATCGGCAAGCCCTAGGCTCAGTGGTTTACACCACAGCACCACAAAAACTAAGCAGATGAGTAAAGAGTAACTAACTGACCTTAGCAATACAAGATTAAAGACTGCAGTGCATTTAGTTTCCAACCGAGACCAAACTTGCAGAACTCACTGGCCTGACCCAACAAGGCAGCTGAAAGTTCAAGCATCCATGTTCCTTCACCACAGCAAAATGCAGTTCACACATTCCACTCGCTGTACACTTGATGACCGGCAGCTATTCAGTTACCAAACAACATGCAAGAAAGTGAGCCCACAGCTTGCAACTGTGTCTAATGCAGAACCTTGCTCAGTGGTGTGGCATCTGACTTCAGTCCCCAGCACTTGCAGAAAGGGCTGCCAGTCAGTGTAGGGAACCCTAAGCTAAGACAGATCAATGGTGTGAGTCAGCGTAAGGGAATTCCTTTGTCCTGCACAACCCCGCAAGACAAGTGTGGCTCAATGCAGCTGTCAGAAAAATTATGCACGGCTCATACCCCTGCAATAGATGCCCCTCATTTTGCCATGCTTGAAGATGACGCCAACAGTTATCTTCCACTCACACAAACAAACCCAGGAGAACAAGGGCAAGAGCTTAGGCATGCTGCTAACACCTTGCTGTTTATGGGGAAAGCCACACACTGAAGTACATTGCAGCAGAGTAGAGCAAACCCACACCCAGTAGAGCAAGATCAGCAAGGTAAAGAAACGGAATGCCTCATACACGTTTCTCTGGGCAGCAGACCCCATTTGAGAATTTTTCCTTAGGAATTATTTGTCATTTATCCCAATACACTCTTAATCAGACTTCTTTTAACGTCAACACATTTTTCCGTGTAGAAGATGATTTTTTTTTAGTGGGTCGTCTTAAACACGGATAGGGCAGAGGGGGGATGGGCAATTGGTTGCAGGTGCGAGTAGGAGATTGTCAGTGGCGATTGGGTGGGTGATTGGTGGCTGCTGGCAATTGGGAGTGTTGGTCAGGCGGGGGAGCGATTGTTGGCAACCCCCCGCCCCCAAAAAGCTGAACAACTCTGGGCAACCCCCCCCCCCCAAATACAGTATATTCATTTGTGAAAAACTCATCTTAAAAATAGGGGAAGCAGTTGCATAGGTTGTATTCAACTAACTTTTACTCAGTAGTAGACCTATGATTGTAATTAACTGGCCATGACTTAGGTCCATAATTTTTAAGGAGTCTAAGTTAGTTGAATACAATTCTACAGTTACTTGGCACCTTTTGAAAATAAGGCTGCTAATTCTTAGTTCTGCCCAATTAAGAAAATCATGCACTCAGTTTTACAACTATGTGAATTTTACTCTATGAAGCTCCATTTATAAACAGGCCTTCCTCTCCACATCCCATCCACATAAATGAACGGTGATGCTCTAATGTCATAGGTTCAGGGGGCAAGTTCAAATCCACACTGAGCCTTGAAGTTCACCAGATGACGAGGGACCAGAGCCTATCTCAGCCTAGCCTGCTTTACAAGGGTGCTCTACTTACCTCTGTTGTAATTCTGGGGATTCCTCTCATGTGTTATGTGTTTGTAGTCTTGCCCCTTATAAAATTAGTGATTTAAAAAGAATGGCTTGGGGGGAGGCAGAAGAGAGTAAACCCAGCATAGGCCTGCAGCAGGCAACCATTCCCTCTGCTGGGGGTCACATACAAACAACAGGTGTGGAAAGGTCAAAGCCCAGTGTGGGTCACCACTTCTCTCTCTCTCTCTGCACCACCTCCTTTCCCCTCCAATTCCCCCTCTCCTTGCTACCCACATGAAATTAGGCTAAGTGCTGCTCAACAATGAACCCACCAGTGACATACTCCTTTCTAGAGTTCCATGAAGGAAGTGCAAGATGAACATGCAACGCATAACCCAACCAAATCAGGTCACGTCAACATTCTACATACCTAGAAACGAAATGGGTGTCGTCAGGACAAAACGCTACATTTAGCACCCAAGATGCGTGGCCGCTCAGGGTGCCTGCCAGATTCGCATGCTGCCTGCAGAATTCAAAAACAGGCTCCAGTTTAGAAATACACCCTAACAACAGGCTCTTCAAAATAATATTCCAGGGAATTTCTGAGTTTCTTCAGATGTTTATCAGAGGATTCTCAATGAAAAGTTGGAGCAATTGTGGACAAGTGTGACAAAACGGTTGCTTCTCATGAATCTTCCTTGCAATTCTCAGCTACCTGGGAGTGATGGGTCCGTTTTACCACATTCTTCATTCAAGGTCCAAGAGATTAGCATTCCGAAAGAATAAAACGTATGTGCTAGACTGCATCCCATATTTCCTGCCATGTGAAAGGGTTCACACTTCATGGAAACGCAACCAACATCATCACTTAGCAGGATATGACTTATCCCTTAATTCAACCTTCCCCAACCTGGTGCCCTCCAGATGTCTGGCTCCAACCCCCATCATCTCTAAATAGTTGCCATGCAGCCTGGGGCTTATGGGAGATGGGGTTCAACAGCCGCTGGAGGGCAAGAGGCTGGGGAAGGCTGCCTTTATCAGTCACATTAATTACAACCTTCGTCTTCCAAAGGAAAAGGACTAACAACATCAAAAGATGCTTCTTTGCAGAAGCCAAATGGAGGAAGGTAAATATTTTTATGGTGGTCCAGGGGGAAAATGGGCTCAATGAACCAATACCACCTGGTATAAAGGCAGCTTCCTAGGGACTGATGGTCGGATGGGAACAAAACAAATCCAAGGAAAAAGAGGTTTTTTGTAGCTATTAGACATGTCAACCAAATAGAACTTCCACATTCAGACATAGAAGGCCGCTCTTGCAGGATACCCAAAGGCATCTGGGTGGCCACCAGTGTTTGAAACTAACTGGGCACCAGGCACCTCCTGTAACAGAGAATGGGCTGATTGTGAGGAATTTCTTATGTCTTGTCGCCGTGTATTGCAACTAATTTAAATTGCTGGCGCTTCTAAGAGGCTTTTGCCTGTTGCTGGCTGCCGCTTGGATCTACTTGCACACGTGAATGCTAATGCCACCCTACATTAGAAAGACATGAGAAAGAAGAAGAGAAGGAGTTTGGATCTGATATCCTGCTTTATCACTACCCGAAGGAGTCTCAAATCAGCTAACATTCTCCTTTCCCTTCCTCCCCCACAACAAACACTCTGTGAGGTGAGTGGGGCTGAGAGACTTCAACGAATTGTGACTGGCCCAAGGTCACCCAGCAGCTGCATGTGGAGTAGCGGAGATGCGAACCCGGTTCCCCAGATTACGAGACTACCGCTCTTAACCACTCCACCACACTGGCTCTCTAGAGAGAAAGCGGCTGCCTGCTGCTGGTGTGTCTCTGCTGCTCAGCTGCATTTGAGTGTTTCTCCACCAGACACAGGAGGCTGAGAAAGAACAAGCAAAGGTGGGAGGGTGCCATAGGGGAGGCTTTTATTCAGGATTAAATCTGCACTTCAGAGAGCCTGTCTGAGTGCTGGGAGGGAAGGAGCCACCACTGTGGGAGGAGGGACGGAGGTTGAGATCTCTCCGACGGCAGAGGGAGGGAGGGAGAAGAGGTATGCATGTGTGTGCCATTTGGAGAAAAGGGTTGTTTCCATCCCTGATCTGGTGTTTGTCTTCTACTTGCAACAGAACTCCATGGGGCTTCTTCCAAAGTAAAATGTGCATGGTTGCCTGTGCTTGCATGGCTGAAGCCGTGTGTGACTGTTAAGGCTGGAGTGAACATATGAAGGTAACGTCTCCTCCAGGATCAGTGCTGCCTGGCCAGCTAGGGGTTGTGTATGTTTTAAAGTATACCATGTTCACTCTACTGCCTCCTGCAGTTTATCTTGCCTACTCACCACCCCACCGTTTCTGCCTTTGGGGAGGAATCCCAGCTTTCTCATGACCTCTTCCTCCCCCCGCCCCACCAGATCATTCTCCTTTTCATTGTCTGGATATTTCCCCCATTTCTTCCCTTCTGACCACCCAGACCCCTTCTAAAGGGACAGTGTTCTGTGTTTGAATCCTGTCTCTGCAGGCTCCATTCTGCTCTCCTCCTTCCTTCCTCCTTTATCTTAAAATGCAGTGGCCCCTTTTTTCCCCTCCTCTCCCCAACTCTTGTAAGATCCTTCCCATTTTCTTTCAAATCTAGGCCACCAAACCTACCCTATCATGGTGATGGCCTATTTCGTTTTTCTTTCTTTCTTTTTGACTTTTCTGCACCCTAAATTTGGCCTGGCCAGCTTTGTAGGTGAAAATTTAACACAGCCTTTCTTTAGTGGAGGAAGCCATGGGAAGCATGCAGATTTCCTTGCCATCGCCATCTAACAATCTGAAGAATGGCCCACTTCCATATCGATTCTATTGACACTTGTTTTATTTGGTAGTTTTTCTGATGATGTTCTGGCTCACTTATAATTGTTTGTCTCAATTGTAAACTAACTTGTGAATCCACTGGATTAAAAAGCTAGCAAGCAATACATGCACATGCACATGCATGCATTGGGCCTCTCTGCCATCAGTTGCGTAGGCTGTAATAAGTGGTGTTGTTGGTTAGAACAGAATCAGGAAATGGTAGTTACTCTGGATTTATTTGCCCAAAACACAAAGGTATGGTCTGGGGTGCTCATTTTATTTTTGATGCTTTCTTTTTAGAATGGTTAATTGCTTCCATTGTTCAAAAGGCCACAAAAGACACCTGGAATAACCCAAAGGAATCAAAACAGCAGCAAAAAGGTGGGGAACCACCACTGTTAAATTTGATTCTGCTTGATGATATACACAATTCATTTTCAGCTTTGTAATCTGGGGGGGGGGGTGGCTAGACTTTCCATTGTTGTGACCATAACCTAGGCTTAAGGTGCCATGTGATGACTAGTTTGTATATCTGAGTTTCTAACTCTGTTGGCCACTGTAAGAAACTGGTAACACTAGATTAGGGTTGTCTTCTGGGGCTGTTTGCTCTTTTCTATGAAAGCAAAGTTTGTCACTGACGTAAGTGATTCAGACAGCCTTCCTCATCCTGGTGCCTTCCAGATGTTGGATTACAACTCCCACCGGTCCTGACCATTGGCCTTGCAGGCTGGCGCTGACACAGGAATTGGAGTCCAACAACCTCTGAAGGACATGCTATCAACATACATCCTGGCAAGTTTGGAAACTTCCTGTTGGTTTGGGAAACTGAGGAGCAGTTAAGAGGAGATACAAGGAGGTAGAAAGGTGTACAAGAGTCAAGGGAAAATTGACTTTTTTATCTCCAAAAGGTAAGATTTTACCATTACATTACCACTGAATCAGTTTTGAGAGACATTGCCATGCTCTGGACAGAGAAGGATTAGCACTTACACATCATAAATCTTGATGTAGCCATCATCTGAAGCTGTGACAAGTAATTGGGAGTCTGGGGAGAATGTCAAGGAACGGATTGGCATAGCGTGCCCTGAAATATAAAAGAATCCCACTTTTATCCATGAAGGCCTGAAGATATCACATCTTGTACTGCCCCCACCCCTGCAACCCTGTTTGACCAGCTCCTTTCCTGAACTGTTTCTGGAAGCATGGGCAGGAGAAGCTCTGCTGGGAACCTGAAAACGAGGGAAGAAAGCAAAGCACAGCCTCTATATTTGGAGGCTTCAGACCACTTCCCAGAGATGGAGAGCAATCTGCTGCAAGCATTCCAAGCCTTACCTTCCAACGTGTGAAGAAGTTTTCCAGTCGCAATATCAAAGATATTGATAATTCCATCTATAGCTCCACTGGCAAGATATTTTCCATCCGGGCTCTGCAAATAACAGAGAATTTGCTATTTTTTTAAAAAATGCTACAGTGGTGCCCCGCAAGACGAATGCCTCGCAAGACGGAAAACTCGCTAGACGAAAGGGTTTTCCGTTTTTTGAGCTGCTTCGCAAGACGAATTTCCCTATGGGCTTGCTTCGCAAGACGAAAAACGAAAACGTCTTGCAAGTTTGTTTCCTTTTTCTTAACACCGTTAATACAGTTGCGACTTGACTTCGAGGAGCAACTCATAGAATGCGGTGTGGTAGCCTTTTTTGAGGTTTTTGAAGACTTTGGTGATTTTTGAAGCTTTTCCAAAACTTCTTTTAAACTTTTAAAACTTTTTTGGGGGTTTTTTGGATTTTGGGTTGGGGTGTTTGGAATTCAAGGACTTGGTGTTGGGGAGGGGTTTGCAAGAATCTGGAAGCTTGTGTGTTTTTTTCTGCATTTTTATGATTTTCTGTGACCATTGGGCCACTCTGCTGTTTTTAAAAAAAAATTCTGGATTTGAATTTCTGTGTGGTGGGTGGCTGGGGGAATAGTTGAGGAGGGGGTTCTTCAGCAAGAAGCAAAGAGTGGAAGAGGAACCTTCTTCGAGTTGTCCCCCAGAGTCTTAGAAAATGTACTGTGCACTTTGTTGATTTTTAAATGTTTTTCTGTCATGTTTAGAAACTTAATTTATTGTTCCTTCAATTTTTGAAATGCTCTTTACAGTATGTGTGACTTTAAAGAGTACTTAATAAACTCTTGTTGTACCAAATTTGGCTTTGTTTGGACTTTTTTTGACCATAGGAACGCATTAATTGGATTTCAATGCATTCCTATGGGATTTCGTGCTTCGCAAGACGAAAAATTCGCTAGACGAAAAAACTCGCGGAACGAATTAATTTTGTCTTGCGAGGCACCACTGTATCTTCCTCCATCCCCAAGTGCAAGCAGGCATAAAAGGAAAACATATTCTATTTAGAGAAATTTACAGACCACCTAATCAAAACAACCACCACTAAGTTGAAATAAAAAGCTTTTTGAAAGCATCTAGAACAGCATAGAAAAGATGCCTGCCTGTGTTAATGTTAGGAAGATTGCTCCAAAGCATAGACTGGATGAGTCCAAACAGATGAGGAATGAACATTATGTGGCATTTTGTGAAAGTGCAAGTTCCACAGATCAAAGTGGTCAAGTACGCATGTAAGGGGTAAGGTGATCTTTCATGTAAACTGGTCTGAAGTTCTCAACAGCTTTATGTAATAAGAGTAAACCTTGAACTTGTCTGAGTAACAAACTGGCACCCAGTGCAAATCTTGAGCTATAATATGCTGCTCTCAACAACTGCAGTATTCAAACCAATGGCAAGGACCCCCCGCCCCGAGTTCTTTGCAGTAATCCAACCTTGAAGTCACCAATGCCTTGAATACTGTGGTCACGTTATAAGAACATTACGTCAAAAGAGCACAGTTGCATCAGGCCACAGTCTAATCAAGTCCAGCATCTTGTTCTGACAATGGCCCATCAGGTGCCTATGGGAAGCCCGAGAGCAGCAGCACTCTCCCCAGCAACAGGGATTCAGACCAGAGGTTGTGGAACCCAGAAAAAATCAGCTATACTTAAGCCTCGACCAACATCAGCCAATTTCTTTCTGGGACAAAGATGAGAAAGGCAGCCCTCTCTGCACGAAGATTAAATATGCCTGTGGGTATATCAAGCAGATCCAGTGATGGGAAAGGCTTCAAGCTGCAGCTTGACATTGCAGGTCTCTTACAAATCATCCTGCTTGGGGCTAGTTTGGCAGCATTAGGCAAGTCTGCAAAGCACTAGATGCTTTGCAGTACTGGTCTACACTCCACCAGAGGATATCAGTCTCACTTCAACAAGGCTCTGATTTTCCTGCAAGAAAACCCAGAGGTGGATCCCTAATCCCTAATCAAGTGCACCAATTGGTCCGGGGCATAAAATGTGCCAACTGCTCATTTCAGGCTATATCACAAGGGTGGTGAACCTTTTTGGTGGTATGGACCAGATCCTTATCAAGATCAGCCTCACTGGGCTGCCCATACGCCAATCACATGTCATCAAAATGACATAATGTACAAAGTGCTGTTAAAAGGAAGGTCTCCCCCCCACACTTCTGTTTCAGTTGGGGTTCCATGCAAAGCCCTTGAATCAGGAATTGGGGGAAACAGCCTTGGCCAGCTTAGAGCCTTTGGTGGGCAATGACTGGCTGGCAAGACAAAGGCTCCCCACCAGAACATATTCTAGGATCAGCTAGTGGGGACACACCTATAAATCCCATGAAAAAACAAACACTGATTGTTGACAAGTACACAGTTATATTCTTGTCACATTCAATTTATCTGGGCCTGTGTTTTAATGTCTCTGGGCACCCATACAATTTTCCTACTGTGGGCCCCATATAGTGTGAAAGCATAGCATTTTATCTGGTTTAGATTTGCACACACAGCCTTGGGAAGAAGAAAACGGAGTAAGAGGTGCTGGAGTGGAAAATCTTCTTAAGCAGCACTTATTGATCAGCATTTTGAAACCATTAATGACCTAGCACAGCGGAGGTCTAGGGCCTGGTCATCTCTCCCTTGGCACTACTTTTTAAATGCTAGCAAAACACAGGGCATTCAGGACAAATTAGTAAGTGGTGGAGATAGTAAAAGAGGTTGCACCAAAGGCCAATTAACAGACAGGATTCTTACATATGCAATACTCAGGATGAATTTGCCTCTTGTATCCAAGGAATATTCTTTTTTTCCAGTCTCGACACCAAAAATGTTCACTTTCCCTATGTGGCTTCCTGTTGCAACATACTGGGAGTCAGGCGAAAAAGCGAGTGACCAGGCATCCACTGTGAGAGGAGAAGGAGGGAAAAGTTAATGCTCTAAACTCCAGATTAAATATCCAACACTGATTGAACTGTTCTTATAAGTGCACAGCAATGTTGATGTATGACTAGCTGTGCATGAAAGCAGATATTAGAAGGTGCATCCCATTGCGAGCCATTATCATCGTTCACATGCTATTGTGCTCAATATCCTGGTGATGGTGTTGAAGATGATATCTGTGTAATGGTTTGAATCATTCAAAATGATTTATATTAATTATTTAACAACAACAACTTATTATTATTTATATAATAATATAAATAATATTATAATTTATACCATGCCCATCTGGCTGGGTTTCTCCAGTCACTCTGGGCAGCTCCCAACTGAATATTAAAAATACAATACAGCATTAAACATTAAAAACTTCCTTAAACAGGGATGCCCTCAGATGCCTTTTAAAAGTAAGATACAGTGGTACCTCCAGTTGCGGACAGGATGCGTTCCGGAGCTCCAGCTGGATCCTGAGGTTTTCACAACCGGAGGTGCCTGCTCTGTGCATGTGCACATGGTGAAACCTGGGAGAATACTTCCGGGTTTGCCACGTGCGTAACCCTAGGATTCGTATCGAGGTGCACGCAACTAGAGGTACCACTGTAGTTGCTCACTTTCTTGACATCTGACAGGAGGGCGTTCCACAGGGCCGGCGCCACTACTGAGAAGGCCCTCTGCCTGGTTTCCTATAACCTCACTTCTTGCAAGGCGGAAACCACCAGAAGGCCCTGGGAGCTGGACCTCAGTGTCCAGGCAGAAGGAGACAGGGATACAGGACCAAGGCCATTTAGAGCTTTAAAGGTCAGCACCAACACTTTGAATTCTACTCGGAAACGACTGGGAACCAATGTAGGTCTTTCAGGACCAGTGTTATGTGGTCTTGTTGGCCACTCCCAGTCACCAGTCTAGCTGCAGTCTAGCCACATTCTGGATTAATTGCAGTTTCCGAGTCACCTTCAAAGGTAGCCCCACGTAGAGCACATTGGTAGTAGTCCAAGCGGGAGATAACTAGAGCATGCACCACTCTGGCAAGACAGTCCACAGGCAGGTAGGGTCTCAACCTGCGTACCAGATGGAGCTTGTAATCCTTACAAACAATCCAATAAGGTGAGTCAGGATTAGTGATGCTAAATGCTTGAGAATAATCTTTTGGAGAATATTCTCGAGAATATTCTTGATTAATGAGAATATTAGAGAATTTTCATTTAAAATAGAATATTCATTATAGTTAAAGTTAAACCATTCTAAGGTGATGGCACCAGTAATGGTCATGTTAAGGTTTGGTATAAGGAAACTCAGTAGTTAAATCATATTTTATTCTTCCATTAGAACACGTATTGTATATGTTACAGGACTAGTCAAAAAATCCAATTGGCATGTTAAGGTTTGATACAAGTAAATTTAGTAATAGGCTATCTTGTGCTTCTAATAGCTCTAACACTTAATAACTGTTTTGGTGACTAAAACACAGCTTGATAAACAAAACTATATGCATACATATAAAAATGATAATATATTTCAGTATGTCAATCCCTGGTAAATGGCACCTTGTACCATTGAATGGCACTGCAAAAACCAGTTACTGGCACTAAATAAAAATATAGAAACACCAACTGTTTAAATCAAAGCCACCTCACATGCTGTTACACATAATTGTATAAGCCTAGGTACTTTTAAGTGTATAAAGCATTAAAGCTACTTTCTGTAAAAAAAATAACACTGTATGGCCAAGGGTACAGAATTGTTAAGAATAAGGTCACACCAAAATAGAAAAAAGGCTATTACATGTAGTTGAAATGCATGTGAATTAAAATGCACATCAGATTAAATGAATAGCATTTTTAAAACTAAAAAATAAATAAAAAATGCTCACATTTCAGAACTGCCAGTGGTGAATGACACAATGCCCAGTAATGTAACTGGATCAAAAAAATCATTATTCATTACTTACACTGGCTTGACTATTTACTAGATTTTTAAAATGTGGGTTGTAAAACTGGTTCTTACATTCAAATTTATAATTTGAGAAGAATATTCTCCAGATAATTTTCTAGCAGAGGATACAGTGGTACCTTGGGTTAAGTACTTAATTCATTCCGGAGGTCCGTTCTTAACCTGAAGCACCACTTTAGCTAATGGGGCCTTCCGCTGCTGCTGCAGCATGATTTCTGTTCTCATCCTGAAGCAAAGTTCTTAACCCAAGATAATATTTCTGGGTTAGCGGAGTCTGTAACCTGAAGCGTCTTTAACCTGAAGCGTCTGTAACCCGAGGTACCACTGTATTCTCATTCTCGATAACATTCTCCGGAGAATATTCTCACCTCACATCACTAGTCAGGATTACTATCCTCCATTCTGCAGATGGAGAAAAAGAAGCTGAGAAGAAGTGGCTTACCTGAAATTCACTGTGAACTTCATCACAGTGACAAGGTTAAAACTGGGGCCCCTTACTGAATCATCACCAGCTCAGTCACATTGGAACTGTCCCAATGAACAAACCATCTGAGCAAACATGCAGAGCTCTACTTCCTAATGGAACAAATTACTAACTCCCCATTGACTTCTATGGGATCCACAGCCTGACCCTGTGTCAAGTTATTCAGAAGTCAGTACTGAAGAGTTTAATGTGATGAACTACAGTCAGCATGCATATGATTGCAGTTAGTTGTGACTAGATTTTTATGGAACATATGACCCTTAAGGTCTTCAACACCAAAATTATAGCTCAATTGCTCTATGGAATTCCAATCTGGCTGCTAGGGTTTACCCAGATGGTTGAACAAGTGCAGGCAGCTTTCCTTTTAAAGATTTTTGCTGTCCCACGCTGTGTACCCTATGCAGCCTTGTGTCTAGAGGGAGGTCAACACAAGGTAGAGACTGTTGCCTGGACGAGATTTCTTCTATGCTGGTTAAACATCTGCCTCACAACAGATAAAGATCCTCTCCTTAGTGAAGTGTTGCTAGATCCCTTTCTTTCCCCAGGGCTACAACAGTTTAACACAAAGGTACAGCAACTTGGGCTGTCAATGGAACTTCTGCGTTCAATGTCCCTACCATCTGCCAAGGCTAGGTTGTGGGACAATGAAAGCCAGATCTAACAGTAGCAGCACAAAAAACATGCTCCCCTCTTTACTTTCTTGGGCACATGAAACTAACTACAACTATCTCAAATTTTTGTTTAACCCTCAAGAAAGAAGGGCATTTTCGCTGGCCAGGTTCAACTCAAACCCATCAAAACCTCCTTTGGAGAAACGTTCTCGGGCAAGGCGGAGTGAGGTAGAATCTGCCCATGTGAGGGAGACAGCCTTGTGGACTTCCTTACACAGAACTTTATGGAATTTTGGCAAAAGGAGCTGCAGGAAGAAGAACTTGAAATAACAACAGTTTTTCGGCTGGGCAGGAGGCAAGGTAAGAAGCCAAGGGATTGTTTGATCACATTGAGATCCAAAGGAGAAAGAGATAAAATATTGAACTTGCACTACCAAAAGGCATTGGAGATTGAAAATAGTCAAGTACAAATTTTTAAAGATATCCCTAAATATATTTTGGAGGTGAGAGCCTTCTATAAAGATTTGGTCTACCTGCTGAAGAAAAATATCATACCCTTCAGGTGGGAGTTTCCACAAGGATTGTCTTTTACTTTCAAAGGAAGGAAGGTCAAAATAAGAACAGTTCAAGATAAAGAACAGTTTTTGGAGAGATATCAGGAGGACTTGCAGAAAGGAACAGTAGAAACAACAATACAAGAAAAAGGAGTGACAGACATTGCAAACTTGTCATTTGGACTCATACCACCATCTGAAGATGAACAAAAGCTAGGAGCAGTCGGTGGAACAGGTACTTAATGACAAAATGTCTCTGCAACTTCTTAGTTGGAATTGTAATGGTTTGAACCTTCCCGAAAAAGACGCCAAGTTTTTCATATTTTGAAAAGAGAACAATTAGACCTAATATGTCTACAAGAGACCCATGTGACCAGGACACATAGGAAATTATTGGTAAACAAGAGACTTGGACAGGAATTTATTTCATCAGACAAAGTTAAGAAAAGAGGCGTGGTGATTTATGCAAAAGAAAAATTGGCTCCAAAGATGATATTTAAAGATGAACAAGGAAGATACCTGGCAATTGAAATACAAGTTCAAGGAGAAAAAATCTTGATAGTCGGAATTTATGCACCAAATGACGGGAAGGCGGAATTCTTTAAGAAGCTGCATGAGACTCTAATGGACTATTTAGACTATAGAGTAGTAATGATGGGAGACATGAATGGTGTAGTCTCCACAAATATGGACAAAGCACAAAGACAAGTAATTTCCAAGGAAGGGAGACTACCAAAGACTTTTTTTGAAATGACAGAAACTATGGACTTGATTGACATTTGGAGAACAAGGAACCCTCTTGAGAGAGAGGGAACTTTCTTCTCTGAAGCAAAAATGACATGGACAAGAATTGACCAAATTTGGGTAACTAGCAGTATGGCGCCAAGGATCAAAAAGGTAGAAATCTGCTCAAAGACTTGCTCCGACCATAATGCTGTAAAGATGGAGATGAAACTAACATCAACTGGATCCTTTAGATGGAGAATGAATGACACCCTATTTAGAGATGAAGAGATTTATAAGAAGGCCCAAAAAACATTGAAAGATTACTTTGAGATAAATTTGAGAACAGAAGTGGAAAAAGAATAATCTGGGACGCAAGTAAGGCCGTGATGCGAGGTTTCCTAATACAACAGAACTCCATAAAGAGGAAAAATTCTGGAAAAAATAAAAGAAGGTGAAAAGAAATTGAGGTCTAAACCAAAGTCTCATGGGACTTTGAGAGAAATAAAGCACTATCAGGTGCAATATATGGAATTGATGAATCAAGAGATAGAATGGAAAATAAAGCAAATGAGACAAAAGACATTTGAATCAGCAGATAAATGTGGGAAACTTCTGTCATGGCAATTGAAAAAGAGGCAAAAATTGAACACTGTGACAAGTTTAGAAGTGGATGGAAAGATTATCCACAAACCAAATGAGATAAGTAATTGTTTTCAAAGTTACTTCAGGAAATTATATGCACAAGGGCCAGTCAACGAACAGGAAATAGAAGAATTTGTTAAGAAACATGGATTACCAAAAATTTCAGAGCAAAGCAGAAGGATTTTGAATGAGAAAATAACAGGACAAGAAATAGAGGGTGCCATTCAGAAGATGCAATTGGGAAAATCTCCAGGACCAGATGGTTTGACTGCCAGATATTATAAAGCGTTGAAGGAATGGTTAGTACAACCACTGAAGGAAGTATGTAATGAAATTTTGGAGGGAAAAAGGCACCAGAGTCGTGGAAAGAAGCCTTTATTTCACTTATACCGAAAACTGAGACTGAAAAGAACCAGGTTAAAAACTACCGCCCTATATCATTACTTAATGTGGATTACAAAATTTTTGCAGACATTATGGCAAAAAGACTGAAGAGAGTGTTGGTAGGGGAGATTCATAAGGACCAAACTGGCTTTCTTCCAGGGAGACATATGTCGGACAATGTGAGGAACATTATAGATATTTTGGAACTGTTAGAAGTGGACATCAATAGGAAGGCTGTTTTAATTTTTGTGGACGCGGAGAAAGCCTTTGATAATATTGGTTGGAGCTTTATGAAGAAGAATCTCCAAGGGATGGGGGTAGGTCAAGGGTTTGAAAACGGTATAGGTGCAATATATTCTAAACAAAAAGCAAAGTTAATTGTAAACAATGTGGTTACGGAAGAAATATCTATAGAAAAAGGTACACGACAGGGGTGCCCAATATCCCCTCTACTTTTTATATTAGTCCTGGAGGTTTTGTTAAACATGATTAGAGGAGACCAGTTGGTTAAAGGAGTACAAGTCGGAGCTAGACATTACAAGCTAAGGGCATTTGCAGATGACCTAGTACTGACCTTGCAACAGCCAGATACTAGTACTAAAAGAGTATTAGAACTAATTGAGATATTTGGTCAAGTAGCAGGATTTAAACTGAACAAACAGAAAACGAAAGTGCTGGACAAAAATTTAACATTGGCTGAAAAAGAGAAGTTTCAGAATGAAACAGGTTTAGTGATAACGAAAAAGTAAAGTATCTGGGGGTAAACTTAACATCTAAGAATATGAATTTATTTAAGGACAATTATGACAAATGTTGGACAGAGGTAAAGAAAGATCTAGAAATATGGTCAAGGTTGAAACTTTCTTTGTTAGGTCGAATTGCTGTTATCAAGATGAATGTATTGCCTAGAATGTTGTTTTTATTCCAGACATTGCAGATTTTGGACAAGATGGATTGTTTCAAGAAGTGGCAGAAAGATATATCTAAATTTGTCTGGCAGGGCAAAAAGCCCAGAATAAAATTTAAGATTTTAACTGATGCAAAAGATAGAGGGGGGTTTGCCCTGCCGGACTTAAGACTCTACTATGAATCGGCGGCTTTCTGCTGGTTGAAACATTGGCTACTTCTTGAGAATACAGATATTTTGGATCTAGAAGGGTTTGATAATAGATTTGGCTGGCATGCATATATATGGTATGATAAGGTAAAACTGCATAAAGGTTTCAAAAACCATATTGTTAGGAAAGCATTATATAATGTTTGGATGCGGTATAAAGATTTATTGGAAAGTAAAACTCCCAGGTGGTTGTCACCAATGGAAGCCAAAGAGGTGAAAAACTTAATATGGAGTCTAAATGGCCAAAATATTGTGAAATTTTAGAACAAGATGGGGAAAAAGTTAAATTACAGAGTTATGAGAAATTAAAGTCCAAAGTGCGAGATTGGTTGCACTACCTTCAGATAAACGAGACATTTAAACAGGACAGGAAAATAGGTTTCCAGAAGGAGAGGTCAAAATTAGAAACAGAACTGTTAGAACCCAATACTAAGAATCTGTCGAGAATGTATAATCTGCTGTTGAAATGGAACACACAGGATGAAACGGTGAAATCAGCTATGATAAAATGGGCACAAGATATTGGTCATAACATTATGTTTGCTGACTGGGAACAGCTGTGGACCACCGGTACTAAATTTACGGCATGTAATGCCTTAAGAGAAAACATTATGAAAATGATGTATAGGTGGTACATGACCCCAGTCAAGCTTGCAAAAATTTATCATCTGCCCAATAACAAATGTTGGAAATGTAATGAGACTGAAGGTACTTTTATCACCTTTGGTGGACCTGCCCGAGGATAAAAGCTTTTGGGAAATGATCTATAATGAAATTAAGAAGGTTCTTAAATGGACCTTTCCTAAAAACCTGAGGCTTTTCTCCTGGGCATAGTCGGCCAATTGGTGAGAAGGAAGGACAGGACGTTTTTATGTATGCGACTACAGCAGCAAGGATTCTTCTAGCAAAGTATTGGAAGACACAACAACTACCCACACTGGAAGAATGGCAGACGAAGGTGATCGACTACATGGGACTGGCGGAGTTGACTGGCAGAATCCGTGACCAGGGAAAGAGACAGTGGAAGAAGATTGGAAGAAATTCAAAGTTTATCTTAGAACTTGTTGTAAAATTCAGGAATGTTAAAATGTCAAGGGGTTGTGAAACAGAGAATTGCAGCTGTAATTAACAATATTAGAAGAACTTAAAAGAAATTGAACTGAAAAATTAGTCGACTGAGGAGTTGCTGAAGAAATATAAAACAAGGATGCAGAAAAGGGGAGGTATGGGGAAGTCCGGGAAGTAAGGTTTATGAAAAAATGGTTATGAAATTGTACATGTTTATATGTTTGTATGTCGGTGTATTGTGTACTGTTTGTTTTCTCTTTGTTTTTTTTTTTTTTATTCTGTGTTTGGAAAATTAATAAAAATTTATTTTAAAAAAAAAAGAATCTGCCCATGTGATGACCACCTGGTGGAAACTCTTACTTATATGGTTCTTAAATGTAAACTATATGCTGATCTCCACCAGCAATTCCTAGAGCAACTCTGCATCCCCAAATAGAAACCAGAGTCAGTGGTCATACTATTGGGGAATGACCAGGAGCTCACCAAGTTAGCGGCCAAATATCTTTATCTGGTATTCTGTTGTTGAAACACATTGCAGACGACTGATCTCCCTGGAGACCTAGAGATGTGACAATAGTCTGCTCTGCCTCTCCTTTTTTTTTGGTAAATGTTTTGTGCCACGGGGGAAGTGGTAACTCTGTACTGTTATGTTATGGATGTTTGTATGTGATGCCAACAAAAGGTTTGATGATGATATGTTCACCTTGTAATCCGCCACAAGGTCCTCTTTTATGAAAATAGCAAATACATACATAAAGCTTTAGTTAATGTTTTAAATTAAATATCAACAATAAATCAATAACCTATTAATTACCTTCCTCTCAAAGGGTTCAGAGCAATGTATAACTCTCATATAAATTTCATAACACAAATACTAGAAACAGTATGCTAAAAATAAATATTAACTACTCATCAGAACACTTGCAGCCCTTGAACTGTATATTCTTAGTAGTCAGAGAACTTTTGAACTTTACCAGGTCCAGCATCTATTGACTTGATCTGTTTGCCAGTGTCTAAATCCCAAATACGAATGTGAGCATCTAAAGAACTTGACGCAGCAATGGTACCCGTGTGACTAATATCCACCGAAACTACACCCAGCTGATGACCTTCTAATGTCCACTTGAGATCCAGCTTCTCTCCGTTCCTTTGCAAAATAAAAGGAAACTAAAATTTAAAAACAATACATGTTTCTTCATATGGCACACCTATCACCACATTCTGAAATTCTGTTCTGCATATTTTTCCATTTCCATATTAATTTTGGTTTTCACAATCCATTGCCCTCCCCAAATTTCAGTCTTCCACATGAAAAGGAGATGAAATAATTATGCACATAGAAGTCCCAAGAAAGTCAATGGGAAAGGCCTTAGCTCAGTGGCAAGGATCCCACATTCAATCCCTGGCATTTCCAGGAAGGAAACACCCTTGTCTGAAACCCACTGTCAACACTTTCGAAACCACAAGTTACTAACAGCACAATGAAAACAATTTTTTGCAAGGCTTGCTTGGGTAAATCAAAGCACAGCTTAAAAATCAAATCTGAATTTGTGTTGAACTACAGCGTGTATACACAGGAAACCAAATTATATCAGAGCTAAAAGAAAAAGGATTAGACAAGTTCACAGAAGTTATACCAGCAGCAACTAGCTATGATGCCAAACAGACCAGCACATGTTTACATCATGCTCCTGGCTTCTCGAGAATTCAGTTTAACCAATTCTTTTTCTTTCTTTCTTTTTTGGAACTCACCATTTCCAGACTTTCACCATGTCATCCAAAGAGCCTGAGATGACTGTTTCTGAGCCATCGTTTCTATTCTTCCCCCAGGCCACTGACCAGATGGCGTCATCATGTGCTGGGAAAGAAAATAACTGATTGAAAGATGAATGCAAGATGATTCCAAAAAGGAATGCAGTTTAACAGCTGTGGTTATCTTAAGTTTTACTGGATAACAGCAAGGTGTCACAGATAGTATCAATTCTGCCCTAATATCCATTAGTCCACTCTGGACACAATTTTAGAAGTAGATATATTTCTCCTTTGTTTTACTCAGCTAGTGAGGTGGGGTAGGGGTGGGTGGAGTAACAGAAAATATGGCTCCATATCCAAAGTGTCTTTAAGTTAACATCTTACATTAAAAACCTGGTAGTACCAAATTATCGAAGGCTTTTCACCAAAGCCAGACTAAACGTCTTTCCTTCTGCAGTGTTGGATGGCAGGTTGAGAGGAGTTCCCTACCAGGACAGACTTTGCTCGTGTGCTCAAGACATCAATTCCATAAAACATATTTTGTTGCACTGTGCAAAATATGAGCAAGCCAGGGCTGAACTGATATTACCCTTGCTGGTACCTTTCCTGGGAAAATCAGAGGCTAGGAATATCAGGTTCCTATTGGAAGACCGGACAAACGCTAGAACATTAGCAGTGGCAAAGTTTTTATCGGTGGTTGCAAGAACCAATGATCCCTATATTCTGAACAAAATGCTTGTTTAACTTGGAGGTAGGCTGTATGAATTGTGTATTGCCTTGTAACGATTTGTTGAGTCTCTGGACTGTAATAAAGGTTGATGATGATATCCAAAGTGACTAGGTCTGACACACTATCATTGCTCTAGGAAACTGGTTCCATTGTCAAACTGCTCGTTCTCAAGAACGGTACAACCAAAATCTACTCTCCTGCAATTTAAGCCCATTAGATCTAATCATGTCCTCTTGAACAGCAGAGTTTAAGCCTTTGCCAGCTTTTATTTAGGAAGCCATTTGAAGAGTGTTAGGATGTCTCTCCCACCACCCCGTTTGTCTCTTCTCAAGACTGTACATAACTTCTCCAACCTAGAGACTACAAATCCCATCATCCTGACCAGTGACCATGCTGACTGGGACTGAAGGGAATTGGAGCCCAAGAACATGTGATAGGCCAAAGGTACCCTATCCCTATGGTATCAGAAATTATGACAGCTGGATACAATTTGGATTCATTTTTCACACTTTTCCCTTTTCTGATCCTTAATTTTGTGTCTTCATATTTCAAACATACCAGAAATCACGACAACTAGGACATTTCTTTCATAAATTCTTTTTTTCTTTCTTTCTTTGAACAGTTAAGATGGAATTCATAACTTATGTTAAAAGTCTATACCTTTCTCATACATTCAATTTGCCAGCTTTTGTTAATCAGGCACAAAGTAGGATTATTTCCTCACCTTGTTCTTGCTTGAAGAGAATACTGTACTAGGGGAGAAAAAGGAATATCCCTGTTATAAAGTAATAAAATTTAAATCATAAAATTAAAAGTTGTGGCTCTGATACACTTACTTGTGTAGTCATTTCTTCATACAAACTGAGGACACACAGAATTGGTCTGGGGAAGGAAAGAGGGGTAGTCAAACCAAGGTAGAAACATTCCCAGTGAAGAAATAAATGTGCGTAAGATCAAGTTACAAGGAAAGCAAAAAAATAATAAACAATGTAGAGAGCAAGAAAACAAGCTACATGTTCTACTTTCACCTCTGCCATAAATTCACTAGGTCATGATTTCCAAGTCCTAAAAGGTTGGTGCTGCGATGTTTTTACTATAATGATCTGTATGTTCTCATATATCAGATAGAGAGAAAGATAGCTTTAATTTTATTGCTTAATTGCTTTTTAATGGCTCTTCCCACCCACCCCTCTTTATTTTCAGCTGTTTCTATTTTATCTGTAAGCCGCCTGGAGTTCCTGTCATGGAAAAAAGGTGAGTCCAGAGAAATATAAAAATAGCAGACGAGGGAGCCGCCGCCGAGGTCGCCCTCTCCCCGAGGTGGCGGAAGGGGAGGCCTTTCCCCTCGGCTTCCCATCCCAGCCAATAGCCCAAAGTTTGCCCCAAGGCGCCCGAGGCAGCAGCGCAAGGGCGGCCGCATCCAGCGCCTCCCCGGGCAAGAGGCCCACCCTGAGGGGGGGGACCCCCTTCCTCGCTCTGCAGAGGGAGCCCCCGAGGGAGGCGAAAGGGATGTTGCTATGGAAACGCGGCCTAGCAAACCCCGCCCCCCCACGGCCGCCCCCTCCCTCGCCTTCCCCGCACGCAGTGCTCGCCTCTAATTCAGAGATCTTTGTCTCGACGGATATAGCGATAGTTCAACCCGTCTCCAAGGCTCCCCGCAGCACTTCCGGCGCCTCCTGGTGACGCAGACGATGACGCGCCGCCCGCCGCCAGGAGATCGTGGAGGAGGGCGGGGAAATCCTGGCAGGCCCCGAGAGGGGCTTCTCTGCCGCCACCTGGTGGGCAGGAGGCCGTTTGCCGGGCGGCGTCCTTTGCGCTTTCCGCTCGCTGCTGCCCCTTGTGGCTGCGGAGAGGGCGTCGGGCTGCTGGCGCCCGGGGCGCGCGGGGGCTCCGTCGCCACGCTGGGTCGCCAAGCAACTCTGGGCCGGGGGGGGCGGGCAGCGCGCTTCTGCAAACACAAAAAGGAATATGGGGGCCTCACACGTCCCATATCCTTTTGCACTGACTTTGCTAAGACCATCAAACGTGGTTTTCACCCTCCTTTCGTTTCATTGCCTTCCTGGGAACTTCCAAAACTCCAACCATCAGCCACTCTTTTCCTTTCTTTTCTGCGCAACCGCTAAGCTGAAAAGGTTTGGGGGACAAGCGTCCTACTTTATTTCCAAACACTGCATGTTCTGTAGCTTCACACACTTCTCGTGCATGCCCCCCCACCCCTCCCAAAAATGAATGCTGGGAACTGTAGTTTGCCAAGGGCGGTGTTTCTGCAGCCCTCGTGCTAAAAAGCCCACAAAGCTGCCGAGGGAACCTATGGTTCCCAGGATTCTTTGGAGCAAGTCACATGTTTCCCTCTCAGAGCTACAAATCTCTGCACCCTTAACCAAAGAGAGTTCTCAAGATTATTGGGGGTGGGGATCATATGGCTTAACTGTTTGTTGGGTGTGCATTAAATGTACAGTTGTGATCTGCCCTTAATGTCAGTTGCTGTGATTTCCTGAAGGCATAAGTATTGTCTTATTAACAAATCAATTCATATCTTATTTTTCTTAGGAGAGAGAAAGAGGGTGATGCTCCTACTACGGGACTGGCAATTCTCTCCACAAAATATATGAGTGATAGCCAACTAAGTCGGGGAGGGGCAACCTGCTCCCCTCCCAATGCTGTTAGACCCAAACTCCTCTTGTCCCTAAGCAGTGGACATGCTGGCAGAGGCGGATGGACACCGGGCTCCAACAACATCGAGAGGGCCAGAGTTTTCCTGCCCCTAAATGAAGACATACTCTGAGTAAAACCATTTAAATCAAAGCACTGAAGAAGTGCATTTAATTTGGATATATGTTTCTGTGTGTACACTTGTGAACTTGCTAACCCTGGCACAGTTTAGCTCTTCCCTGGATGCTGCAAGTGGGAAGCCCAACAGAGTGCAGACTGATACTCCAGCTCAGTCACTGAGGACATCTGCAGAAGCTTCTTTGGTCATTTCCCAAGTTGGTGAGGCTCCTTTGACAACATCAAAAAACTGAGCCTTTAGTGTCACTGGCCCAGTCCTGTGGAACTCTCTGCCACTAGAGATTCAGTAGGTGCTTTCTGTGCTAACTTTAAAATGCTTGCTGAAAACTTTTTTTATTCTGCCAGACCCATGCAGAGAATTACAAATACATCCTTCCACAATAGTTAATTGATGTCTGCTTTTAACTGTTTGTAGGTTGTATTGTATGCTTTTATGTTTATATTACTGTAAACCGCTTTGATATCTTTTTAAATGATGTACTGGTTTGACTTCACCCTATGTGCACCCACTCTCACACACACTAACACACTTGCTGTCATCAGTCTTTGTTTGGTGTTTTGTTTTCCCCTATGGAAACTTTAGCCTTAAAAGAAGTTCATCATTGTGTTTTGGGATGTGCTGAGTGAGAGCGGAGACCAGTTCCTACATCTTTTATGACTCAGTTCATCTTTCAGAGTTCCTGAGAAGCCAGGCTTAATTTCATCCCACCCAGAGGGCAGCGAGGTGCCAGGCAGGGGGAGGCAGCGTCTCAGGGGCCAAACATCTGCTCTGCACACAGAAAGCGCAATCCCTGCATCTCCCAGTAAGGCTGAGGATATCCTCTGTCTGAAACCTTCTGTGCTAAGAGCAATACGGGATCACTCGATTGAGGGCCTCACTTAGGATGGGTTGCTTCCTCCTTGTGCAGTGGATCAGACCTGGAGGACATGAACTGGGAACAAGGAAGGGCGTTTTGCAGGGCCTTGGCTCAAGCAAGCAGAGCTCAGCCCCTCGACTCCAGCATCCGGCTCTCGCAGTGGCCGACCACATCCTCTCCAAAGAACCTGTGTGAGGCTTGATAGGCCAAGGCTGAGCCTCTGAAGCGGCGGGGGGGGGGGGAGTCCTGCGCTTGAGCAGGCCTTATATACCCCCAGGACAAGCTGCTGTAGAAGGCAAAGCCGTCGCTGTGTGGAAAAGCCCCAGAAGCATTTAGCTCCACTTTTCCAGGTCATTTCAACACATCCAAAGAAGGCCAGCTAGGAATCAGGAGGCACTACCCTTGCGGTTCTGAAAGCAGGTACATTGGCTGCATCCACACCAGGCACCAAAAGCACTATGATGCCACTTTAAACAGTCAGGGCTTCCCCCAGAGAATTCTGAGAGCCGCAGTTTGTTAAAGATTCTGAACGTTCTTAAAGGTCCATTAGGTCCAGTCGTGGCCGACTCGGGGGTTGCGGCGCTCATCTCGCTTTATTGGCCGAGGGAGCCAGCGTACAGCTTCCGGGTCATGTGGCCAGCATGAGTAAGCCGCTTCTGGCGAACCAGAGCAGCACACGGAAACACCGTTTACCTTCCCGCCGGAGCGGTACCTATTTATCTACTTGCACTTTGACGTGCTTTCGAACTGCTAAGTTGGAAGGAGCAGGGACTGAGCAACGGGAGCTCACCCCATCACAGGGATTCGAACCGCCAACCTTCTGATCGGCAAGTCCTAGGCTCTGTGGTTTAATCCACAGCGCCACCTGCATCCCTTCTTAGGAAGCCCCTATTCCCTCTCACAGAGCTGTTTAACCATCAATCTCTCTTCCTAGGGAATGGCAGCTCTGTGAGAGGGAATAGGGGCTTCCTAAGAATGCTCCGCCCCTTCATGCATCACTGCCTTGTCGTGGCGAAGGGGCTTGAATAACTCAGAGAAGCTATGAGCTATGCCATGCAGGGCCACCCAAGATGGACAGGTCATAGTGGAGAGTTTTGTTTTTGTTTTTTAAATAATATTTATTAAAAGTTTCAGAATTACAGGGAAAAAAAGAAAAAATAGGAAACAACACTACAATACATTAAAAAGAAGAAAAGAAAAAAACAAAGCATAAAAACCAATACAACAATACAGCAAAAAGATTAAAAAAAAACACAAATCCCATATTACATATCTTTAACTTCCATTTGCTTGTTTCATTGACCTCCTCACACCTCCCTTTTTGTATTCTAGTTTAATTAGTTATTTCAGCAAATTCTTTCCATCTTTCTCAATTTTTATTGAATAATTTATCTTAACAATTTAACCTATTAATTAACTCAACAAATCCTTTCCATCTTTCCCCATATTCTGTTATTCAAATTGCCTTAATTTATTTAACCTTATCTTACCGTAAAATACCTTAGAGCTTGAAACTTAATACTCAATTATACATAACTCCTTATATCATTTCTACTAAAGCCATATAGTTTCATTCCAACATTTCCCCTAATATTCATTAATTTTAGGCTAATTCCCTAAATAAAAATTTTTCTTTATAAATTTTCTTCCAATCTTCATCCAACGTCTCTTCTTCCTGGTCTCGGGTCATGTCAGTCCTTACTGTTCATTCCATCTAGTCCATCAACCTGGTAATCTTATGTCCAAGGCTCTTAAGTCTCTTCCATGTCCCTTCTGCAGATCTTCTTCTTCTTGTTTATATCTGCACTTTTCCTTGTCTTTTGTTGGTCTCTTTCTTAATTTATTTCCTTTCTCATTAAGGAGTAGGTCTCTGGGAGGTTCCAGCCCAAAATTATCTCCATCTCCCTTCATCAAACCAGCCCATTCCCCACAGTCTCACTCCCCACAGTCATCAATGTAATCCAAAAAATATTTAAGAGCATATTTCAAAGTCCCTCCGAAGTTAAGAACCTCCTCAGCTCCAGACTCCCCCTGGCCCACTCCAACTTCAATCTTCAAAAACAGTGGCTTATGCTCCTGCAGGGCCTCGGATCTCTCCATTTGTATTATTTGAGGTGCAACCGCAACCTCCTCCATTATCTTCTGCACTTGCCCAATCAATACAGGTTCCTGAGTTGGTCCCTGAATGGTTTCTGTATCAATATTCCCTGTTTGTCCACAGTTATTGACCACAACAGTCATCAAATCCGTTTTCTCATTCATCAGATCCATCTTCTCATGCATCTGTTCCAACAAAGCACTTGTCTTGCATAAAGCAAGCACCAAAACTTCCTCCCAGCTCATTTTTATTCAAGGTCAAAAGGACTGGTCCCACAATCTTAATCTCACAGCTGTAGAGTCCTCAAGTAGACTGCAGCAACAATTTAACAAGCTCCCTCTAGAGGAGACAATTTCTATTTGTATCCATCTTTTAAGGCAAGTCCAACAAAGGAAAATTACTTTCATTTTTCAGATATTTTGTTTCTTTAGAATGCAAAAGGCAACATTGGAATCAGTTTATTTCTCTTCTTTAGCTATCTGTCAAAGTATTCCATTCACAGTCAGTGAACCTCTCCAACAATTTCTGTCTCTGACCCCCCGTTCCCAGATTTGAGACGGTGGAAACTTATCTTTCTTCACTCCCTCTCCTGCAGGCTTAAACAAAGATTCCCCCCCCCCCTTTCTCCTGCTTCCAAGGGGATTTTAGTGGTTATAAATGAAGGAAATTTAGACTTTTTTAACAACTTTCCAGACTTTAGCTTACAAGGTTTTTGCTTCAGTCTATGTACAAAAAGCGGAAGGCGGACTTCCTGTTTGAACCTTCCTGCTTCGGTGCCAAATTAGGGTATTTCTTGATCCAATTTTCCGTTTCTACTCACGGGTACTTGTTTTAAATCCAATTGTCCACAGGAAAAAGTCAGCGCTCTCCGGCAATGGCTGTGCGGCTTCACTCCGTGAAAGTAGCAATCAGTTCGCAGCACCGCGCCGCTCGCCCCACTTCACTCCGGAACCCCGAAATGGGGTTCCCCGTGAGTAGGGGAGGCGCTCCTGGTGCCCTGCCGAACCCCACGTTCCCAGGCTTCCTCCGCCTGGGATTTCTAGCGGGTCCCCACCTTCGCCGCGGTGGGAAGACCCAGTTTCCACAGAGCCAGTTCCTCCGGTCAGAGGAACTCCGCCATTCGCCGATGGCGCTAACCCGGAAGTCCATAGTGGAGAGTTTTGACCAAATGTGATCCACCTGGAACAGGAACCGGCAAGCCACTCCAGTATCCCTGCCAAGAAAACTCCATGGACAAAGACAACAGGCATATGAAAATTATGACACTGGAAGACGAGATGGTGTTCACGAAGCCACAAACATGAGTCTGACCAAACTGTGGGAGGCAGTGGAAGATAGGAGTGCCTGGCGTGTTCTGGTCCATGGGGTCACGAAGAGTCGGACACGACTAAACGACTAAACAACAACAAGAATGCTCTGCACCCTTAACAGCCTAACAGCTGATGTACAGCATAGCGCAGCAGCCACAGCGGCCCTTTTCCTGCATATCCTCCAGCCGACTCCAGAGCTTCAACTCCAGTTGTGTGGAGAGAGAGAGCAGGGGAGAGAGCTGGAGAGCAGGGTTAAAATGGGTGTTTGGAGGCTTTTTAGAGGGTGCTCCCCACTTACATGATTTTTGCTTCTGCTTGGAATGTGACCCCTGTGTCAGTGGGGGGGGGGTGCTTGTATCCCAAACAAATAACATGGTGTGGTGTCTGCAGTTTACAGCTCCTCTATTCCAAGTTGTGAGGGCGCTCATGATCCTGGGTGGGTGGCTGTTCCTTGTGGTGTTCCTCAGACAAGCAGCAAAATCCTACACATGCTTGCTCTGAAATTGGTCTCCCTGAGCAGAATGGAGCTTGCTTCCTAGTCAACATGTTTAGGATCACAGCTAAAATTGTTTGCTGTGGCTGAATAGGGGGAAAGGTACTGCTGAGTTTTGAAGCTGAATGTTTGGAGATTCAGGACACATAGAAGGAAGCCCTTCTTCATGCAGCACATAACTAAACGAGGGAACTTACTCCCCAGGAGGCAGGGGTGGCCACCAACCTAGGTGGCTTTAAAGGAGAATTAGATCAATTCATGGCTGACAAGGGGCTATTGATGGCCACTGGCCAGGATGTTGGAAGCATCAATGCTTCTGAATTTCAGTTGCTGGAAACCATGGCATGGGTGAGAGTGCTCTTGTGCCCAGGGGGTCTCATTGGGGCATCTGGCTGGCCACTGCGAGAACAGGAGGCTGGACTAGATGGGCCACTGGCTGGATCCAGCAGGCTCTTTTTGTGCTGTTATGTTCTTATGAGTTTGTCAACATGACCCAGTTTCCCTCAGCCGCAGACTTTGCAGAGGCTGCATGAAGCCATGCAGAGCGACCTCGCTGGGATGACACCTGGGGATTTTCAGAAGCCAAAGGATCCAAAATAAGCCATGCATCAAGCCTCCTTTGGCATGAAAGCAAAACAAAAATAGACAACCTCTAAGCAGAAAAATCAACAGTGAACTTTATGCAACCTCTCAGAAATGCACGCAATGTTATCCTCAAGAGTAAGAGAACCATTTTTAGAAGACTTACT